ACCAGCAGCCTTTGTGTATCTAAATATATATAAAAAATAAAATACAGGTATTCTCATGCTGATGGTACTACATTAACATCTTGTATTTATGATAACTCTATCCGTTTATGGGATAATAAGACAGGAGAAGAAATCGTATCGATAATCATACAAAAACATTTAAAATAATTTTAAACATCAATTTTTAAAAACAATATGATCGAAGAAAATGGTATCAATTATTATTATTATCTTACAATAAAAAACTGTAATTTAGTAGGTTTTCCAATTGTCAAAGTTACAAATAGCTTGGAGTTTTAATAATAAATGCTGGAAAAATAAATCTGCACACAAAGAAACTGAATACTACACTAAAATACCAGTAAACCAAGTTAGCAAAAATATGAATTGGAAAAAAAATTACAATTATGGTAAATATTCATTTGACCCCTTATTCTTTATTGTTGTATAGCAGTAATAACCTAAAGATAGTATATAATCAATTCAATATATACTAAGTCAAGCTTTAAGTCTATTTTTGGTTTACCAAAATTGTTTCCAACTAAATATCTTGATCTAATATTACCTTCTTTACTCAAGTATTTTCCAAAAAAATTATTAACCAAGATAATCACTTTGCAATTAAAAAAACTGAATTTTAATTACTTTTAATTTAATACCTCTAAAGTCATAATTATACTTTTAATACTATCACTAAGTGTTTACCAAATAATTTCAATGAGCTATTTAAGTATTATTGCTATTAATGTCGGGTACGCAAATGTTAATTAACTTATATACATTTAATAAATTATCATTTTAGGCAGAACTAATCCAATGGATGCATGTAATACATTATCCTATTTCTTAGAATTTCATCAAAAACAAGCACATGAAAAAAGGTTTGAAAAGGTTAATTGATAAGATAAAAAAACACTTTATTTTCGAAATCAAAGATAAGGATTATGAAACAATATTAATTTGTGTTTAATTGAATAAATAAATAAAAAATAGCCTCTTTTATTTGATGATAGTGCTTCATCGCTCTGATACATTTAATCAAATAGCATCTGCAGAATAAGACAGCTTTGTAAGGTCTTTTAAGGAAATATCTCAACGATAAGACATATTATCAAGCTTAGTTTCCTTCTCAAGAATAATCTCAATTATTTGTTGATGTAACCTATTGTTTGACATACGCTTACAGTTATTAAAATAAATCGTAGTTAACACATTTATTAAATAAGAGATTATTATACAATCTTCTACAAGATCATAAGTATGTAACATCGCTGCTAAACCAAATTGAACAGGTATTATTACATGACGAACATACCTTTGTACAATCTTTAATATCATTGCCATTGCCATGAGCATGAAAAAAGTGGATGATCAGTATCAACAATCAAGTTGAGACACCATAGTAATAGTATGAGACAGGATGGCATGTTGTCAATTAACAATGTTAATCGTTAGAACTTTAGCAAGAAGAATTTCAGGTAATCGAGAGGCATCATTATATAATAAATTAATTTTTACATAAGATATACTCTGTGACTAAACAAATCGGTTGCAATCTCAATTCTTATTACTTTCATAAGATATCCAATACTTTTCAAATAAGATCCAATTTGGTTGTTATTTGCAAAAAAATAATTTGAAGACAAGCCAAAACCAAACAGGTAATATCAAAAAATAATTATTATATGTAGTTACATATAATTAAGACTCACACTGCCTTGCAGAATTTCAGATGTTTCATAATAAACATTTTCAAAAATTTGCCTCTGTCGAATAGTTATACGTTGAACATGCTTGGCTGAAATTCACAAATGGCAGAAAGCAAAAGAAAACATGGGTAACTAACTTAATGCATCAGCGGTAGCAGTATCACCAGCCAACGTAAGCGACATTAATTACATGAAGAAATATCCTCTTGTAGTATTAATAAGTCACACATACATAGCACGAAAGAAATGATAAATAAGACCCTGAAATCTATGAGAATTAAGTAAATCTTTTAGAATCTTTTGAATAATGCTATGAAAAGCCAAGTTTTGGCTATTTCGTCATCACCAAATCAAATGATCTAGTGTCTAATAATGATTAGAAAGGATCAATTTATCTTTGATTGTTTTGGGTTAGCCTAACTTTTTTCATCATGCTGCATTTAGCTAATGATGAATTGATGTTTATTATCTGGCTACTCATTTATCTGATCATTTATTTGAAGCAATCAGAAAACAGGCAATGTACTGAATAATATAATCAACCTAATCAATAAGGTTTTATTTGATATAATGTGCATATATCTGAGTACCTCTTTTCCTATATTAATTAGGTTTTCATAGTAGCACTGCAAGATAGAACAATATCTAGTGAAATCATCGACACTACCTTGATAAAAGTAGAAGTAGTGAATATATATAATGCTATTAAATTCAATGTTGGGTTTTGTCAGATATAAATATAGAGTATGTTTAAGTGGCATAGAGAAAATGAAAAAAAGAAAAATTTCCTTCTCTTAATACAAGGATGGATCCCATAGGAAAGCCATCATTACATCTTTCGCATTTAAATTTAGCTGCATATTTCGAACAGCTCATTTGGAATTACAACAAATAGATTGATTTCGACTCTTATCTAAAATTTTATATATGGCTTTGAAATATCAAGATCGCCTTTTACATTTCAACATGAACTTGGACAGGCTCAAAGATAGTAACAATGACACAATCCCCATATCAATTGGTACCTTAATGTGCTTGACGTATATGGCAAAGTTTGCACTTTGTCTGATTATGGGCTAAGTTTAATTTCGTATACATTTTCAGACACTACAGTAATTATTAAGACATTTTACTTCAATTATAATGTAAGAAACACTAAGCAGATGTAATCAAATGATGCAAGAAGTATTAAACGAATATTTTTTTCAAAAAGTCTTGAAAATTCTGCAAATAAAGAGGAGTAATTGTAGAACAATTACAGCTTCATTGAATGTCTGAGAAGAGTGGTTTTGGAGATGAATAATTACTGCAGTCAATTTAACATTTCGGGATGCCTATGTTTGAAGTATTCATTAAATACAAAAATATCTTAAGATTATTTGCATAGTTGTGCATAAAAGGACTCATAAGGCAATAAATGATGTCGCTAAAGGGAAAAATTGCAACATATAAAATAAATTAATCCTGATGTATTCAAGCAAAAGCAGCAGATAAAGGTAAAAGAAAAAGATCACTTATTGAAATTAATTTCATTATTTGACTAAAGGATGGTTTAAAAGGTAATTAACTTTCAATTATCACTTCTTGTAAATAAAATATCAAATAAAATATGCGAATTAAGGTCTCCATCTGCAAGTGCACGATGTACGCTATATCTAGTGTTAAGTTGATCTGCACAAAGTTATCAGGTTTAAGTTCCAGAATGGTAAACGATGCACATATATGAACGTGCATTAATCACAAAAGTTAATCAGTACTTAAACAGGCGTAATGTCAAGGATGACTATCAGTTTATTTTGGTGACAAAATCAGTATTAGAATTAATTGTGAAGCAAAACCATTTACAATACAAGCAGCATATTTTTTAAGTTGCATTTGTCCTTAATGCTAGATTAATTGTATATATAAAACAACAAATATGTTGAACATTGATCTTGATAGTTCGGGAGATGATATAATATACATAAATTGAGTTAGGAGGTTGTAATTTCCATTCTTAAAATTAAAACCTGATCGTGGGCAAGTATCAAAATAAATTTAGCCTATGTTGATACATAATATAAACACAATTTTTAAATTATTAAATGTAGGGAAATATAAATGCACTAAAAATATCTAAACAAGTTATGTTAATGCTTATCATTCCTCCAAGTGTTAAATAGTTGTTAATTATTAAGAAGGAATCATGTAACTGGGCAAGGTTGATAAAATATATTTACTAGATGGTAGAATAAAGCGCAGCAATTATAATGTCAATTATACTCGAATATAATTGCTAGTTTTAGACAAAATGTGCTTTTCATGTCCAGGAATAAGTGTCTTAATAATTCTACTTACTTCTGCTTTGATACTTCTTGAAAATAAGATTTGCTTCTAAGGTCCATAAATAATTGTCAGACAAGACGGAAAATCGAATCCATATATCACAATTTTTTGTCTCATAATTCATTCATAATGAATGTTTAATTAACAAACAATAATGTTTTCTAAAATTCACCTGTTTTACTCTAGCGCATTTTATTCTTGATTTGTTTAGTCAGATAAATTAAATAAAATTCCTTTTTAATCCTTTATTCCAGTGTTTAAATAAAGGTTAATATTGACTTGTTTAGACGACTAATCAATAAAATACCTAGAAATTTATTGCATTCAAATTATCTTTGTAATAAAAACAATTTTTTTTTCATTTTTTTCTTTCATAACAATATCATAGTTATCTTATAATCTCAAACTTAAATCAAAATTAATCTATGTTTAAGTTCCACTTGTTTCTTTTTTTCAATATTTAGCTTCAAAAGCTATCCTAACCATATTTAGCTAATTGGATACTCCTTATTTCCTACTCAACTAAATAAAATTTTTACATATGTATATTTTTTGGTTTTATTCCGTTATATTTCTTTAAATATTTGTGTTTTTAATGTTCAAGTTTATGTTAAGAAATAAATAATTTATAAATTGATATTATAATCAAAATGAACTAATGACTATGCTTGCTCTACTTTAATAATTGTCATTCAAAAACTCAAATTTACTTGGTAGTTTCTTTACTTATTCTTAATTGATTAATATTTATGGATTGGAATTTGAAGGTCTAATTTGAGTTGAAAGAGAATTAAGATTCTCTTTCAACTCTTTAATGGGTTTGGCATAACTAAATAAATATTTCTTAATCTTTTGGTATTAATTTTAGATTCGTTTTCTTCTTTAAGTGCTATTTTCTAGATACTTTCTGAGGTATGGATGTTTCACAGTCCATGGAGCGATTAAAGATATCTTGTCCCTCACTTTATCAAATTTACCTTCCAATTCCACGTAATATGATTTTAAAATTTCATTAAAAAGTAATATAAAGTAAAATAAGTTGAGAATGGCCAAGATTACAAAGTAGGGTATTTGAATTTCAAAATTGCCATAAAGTTCATCAATGTATATCCCAAATCCCAATATAATTGAAATTTAGCAAACTTTAGCTGAAAGGGCATCTAAATTATTAAGAGTGCTCATATTGTAAGGTTTAAATCTATTATTTAATTCTGAATATAAATAAATAACAAGTAGTACAAGAGTACCTTTCTGAATGATGTTGTCGTCATAATAAGACAGAAAGATAATAAGCAATTCTTTTTCAACAATTTTAACAATTTCCCAAAAAAAGGCACCTGTTTTATATTCATTATATAAATATCCAAACTGTTGTCTAATTATTTTCTCATTTAGAATGTCTCTTTTAATGTATAATGCTATGAAAAATAAAAATGGTAGCAGAAGAGCAAAGATAAATAACCCAGGTAAACAAAATGCTAGAAGCCAAATAATATGCTGGGATGTATCATATCTATAAGCTACATTAGCTTGAATCCATTAATATCCAGATATTTATCTAAAAGATAATAATGAAATCAAACCACCTACTAAGTTTGGCTGAATATAAATATAAATGTAGATAAATGTAGTAGTAATAACACTTAAACTGTATTTAATTGCTCCAATTCTTACAGTAATAAAATATATACCTAAAAATAGAAAAATGTATATGAAAGGCATGACTAATTGCCATATTATTCTAGCGTAATGAATTTCCATAGAAAACATGTAAATTAAGAAGCAATCCAAAGAATATGCCATAGTTTGTATTGGGTTGCCTATTGCATTTAAGGCGTTAGTTAAACCAGTCGAGAAATTTATTTTAAAAGTAGTTATGGCTGTCAGTATTTGAAGATGATTAGTAAGCATCTTAATGAGAATAGCTGACTGGGACTATATTGAATTTTTAATGAACTTTAGTTTTGTCATTTAAATTTGAATCGCTATTTAATTAAGTAATGCCACAGTACTCTTCACAGATATGAAAATAGATATCAATGTCCTAAAATATTATAAGGTAAATACCAAATGCTGACTAATATGATTATGACTATGTTTTTGGAATTATTTAGACAAGAACTACAAGAATATTAAACACTTTTTGAAAAATGTCCAGATCCTCTAGTATCATAAATATCACATTCTTCACATAAAGCACCAATATGTCCATTAGAGCAAGAATTATCTCCTTGAGACCAACCTCCGTTGCAATTTCTTGGTAAATTAATACATTAATCAATAGAGTCACTATTGAAATAGGGTCTCCAAAATCCCTCTCTTAGATTCAATTATGCTGATTTAATTTCCTTTGTGGAAACATCATTTTTAACTTAGCATCTTTAAGAATTAATAACTAAAGTATATTATCCTAATTCTGGATCACAAGGAACACAGATTTTATTTGTAGTCTTTTTAATTTCACCCAGCTGACATGGTAATGTCTTGACATTCATTCTCAAATAATAATTTTAATGATATGACGTTATTTATTTATTTTCACCTCTTATGGGTATAAAAATTGAACTGCAGTTAAATTGAAGTTGCAAAGTCATATTTAACTCATCATCTAAATATATTATCAGTTAATCCAAATTATAGTCCTTATCCCCAAATTCAATGTTCTCTTGGTTTGTAAAGTTGTTTGTGAATAGTCTTTCTAATTCATCATCAAGTAGTCTACCTTTAATAGAACATGATGTTTTTTGTAAATTGTTGATAATAGAATCATATTGATCTAGTGCTATTATTCTTAAATGCAAATTGTAAGGATAATATTGTTCCTTCTACCAATCAAAATAGTTATACTCTGAAATTAATTGTCCGTTCGGAAAATAGAGAGTATCGGAAAATACTTTCCTAAAAACTTCATATTTCTTTATGTGTATTTATTCAATTACTAAATTTTCTGTCTAGAGTACCTTAATTTTTGGTAGAAAGTTCACAGCATCTACAGAAATAGCCAATTAAGAAGGTATTTACGCTTCATTATTTCCATACTGTTTTGCGATGTTTCCTGAAACTATTGAGCCCAAAAGTGTCATATTTTAATTCATCTAATCAGTCATAAATAATCCACCTCCAATATTAGCTCTATTATCTTATAGCACTGATTACTCTATGTAGAAATCTTATAGTCCAATAACTAAAATAGCTCCTCCTTTGTTAACAGCACTATTTTTTTATAAGATAGAAGAAATGATCAATGTCGTTATATTTTATATTCTTAAACATGTACCTTCAAATCCTTAATTTTTTTAACAAATATAATTTAATATATTTACCTAGTAATTTTTGCTATTAACAAAAGGAATCAATGTTTATAGCCGACGACGTGATTATATATTATTAATAATATTAATACAGCTGGATTTACCGCATTAATTTCTTTAAACATTGAGTGATTTAATATCTAAATAACTTTGCTTCTCTTTAAGTTGAATATTTAATAATCCATTATCACAGATTTCACAATTAATATCTTTCAACAACAGTTATGAAATTGTCATATTGGATTTAAACGGAGTGATTTCAACAACACTCACGTTTTCATTACTTTTTTACATTTTCATTTTATTAAGAACACAAACTGTCATTGTATCCTATGCTTCATCATAATATGAAGGTAAATTCTTAGGAGATAATCTAGAAAAAGATTCACCCAAACAAGAAAAAGATTAATAAGGTATTGAATTGACAGATTAGACTATACATTCAGTTTTATATGGAATAATAGCTAAAATAGAAATGTTTGATAGTTGCATATCAGTAATACATATGGACGAACTGCTGTTTTTGTTATCAATTTATATAACCGAATTTAAAAATATTGATTTGCTTATTAAAAGTTTAGTTATTTAGATTTAAAAATTATTTGAAACCTAAAGGAATGATTCATAATTTATATCCATGATGAAAATGTTCTAAATTATGATGGCATATGCATTATAAATGCAAAACATATATCTTTAATAACTTAATTGCTACAATTCTTCTGCGTCTTCTAAATCGCTAAATTGATTCAAGAAACTCATCTAACCTAATTGAGAATTTTTTATTTCAATGTTTTCTAGATTTATTATTTTAGGTATCGTTGATTAAGATGAAAATTCAGTAAAAATTATCGACCCCTAAAGAGCATATACATCTTGGATTTTTAAGTTTGACATAAGTATCTAAGATTTACCTTATCCGTTAATTAAATAAACAAAGCCACCCTTTTATCGACATAAAATATTATTCAACCTTATATTTTACAATTCTATAATGGCCTCAATGATTCGAGTAGTATCAAATACAATTGCTCCTCCATTTTCATTTTTTTCCAAGAACAATGATTTAATTGATTAGAATGCTATATTCGTCATTAAGCATTTAGCTTAGTTTTCAAGAGAAATATATAACCCAGAACCAACAGAGTTTGAAATACTTACGTTAGTTAGCTCAATGTTTTGACCAGCCAATTTAGCATTTCCTGTTTACACTTTGACAGGAAAGATTTCTTTAATGTTCTCTAAAAATATCTCTTGGTCACTTTTAAATCCCCATAATATGTGAGGTTGCAAAATGCTATAATTGGAAATACAATTATATCTAAACACTATATTTATCATGATTATTGTCTTTGATTTTATGTAAATGATACTTTAGGTCGAGTTTGTAACTAAATTAGATTCAATTGTTAAATTTTGAAAATTCAAAGTACAATAGGAGCAATCGAAGTTGAAAAGTAATGCAGAGCTTATGAGATCATTTTGTTGATATTAGTGCATAAGATTTTTGGCCATTGTTGAGTCAGATATAGATATTTTATATTCTGACTATGAGGTTATTTAGAAAATGGATGCTTACTTTAATGAATCCGTTATCAATATGAGGTTGCTTTTAAAATATAAATTTGAAACTGAAATTTCCTGTGACTTTGTAATCATCTCGATGGAGGAGAGAATATTTATTATTGGATAATTTATTATTGAAACTGATTCTATTAGTATTGAATATAGTGTTATGTTTTGAATATCATAGAGATATAGTGATGTAAAATAGTACTTTGCTGAAATTTCCTTTTAAACACAATCAAAATATTGATGAAGTCCTTTAATTTGATATGATTTATCCTGCGTGATTCTTGCTTCACTTAGTTTGAAAGTTGACACTTTTTAAATAACAATATCTTTAATCCCAAAACTTCTGGTAATGACCAAACCATTTATGTATATGTATTCTGCTTATAAAAAGATAAGGGACTCATCTTATTTATCTATAAGTGGCTGGTTTGAATTTACTTATAATGAATTGAGATTAAGAATCAAATCATCGAAGAAAAGATATTAATTTGCATTTTAATTGTTTTTGATACGTATAAATCTGGATTCTTTGTCATTTATATTTAATACAAATTCAAGTTATATAAAATATAAATTTCTTGCTTGGGCATCTGAATTATTAAAAACTGAAGAGCCATTCAAAATTGTATTTTCAATAAATTTAAAAGTATTAATAGAAAAGGTTGTTTTCATGCCAAATATCGTAGAATTAACTTAGGTATTTTTATACATTTTAAATGAATAGATTTAGATTGTAAATAACTCGTTTCCTCCTATTAAATTCTATACATCAGTTATCAAACTTTCTTTGATAATAATTTCTTAAATTAAAAGGAGTCCTGAAGTTGAGTTTAGCAGTTGAGATTACTGAAATGAGATTGAAGTAAAATTTGATAATAGGAAATAAGTAGAATCACTTGCCTTAGTATTACATTAGAACAAATTAACTGTTTAGAATTCACAATTTATCATATTAAAGTTTACAATCTGAATAGTTTAGACTTTTTCTATTTCTTCCACCAAAATAAATGCCAAGATCTCAGTTAAATTAAGATCTTAAGTACGAAATGTATCAATGATAACAAAAGTAGAATTCCATATTACAATTTAAGATTTATCCTAGATAAGATTACTTTTATATGTAATATCAGTTAATTGAATTGTTTATTCAAAGACACTATTAAAAAATAACTTCTTAAGATTATGAACTGGTAATGGTTCTAAAATTATCCCTTGAATATAAATCTTTTTGAAGTTCACAATCGAAATAATTTTATCATATTAAAAAATTGTATTTCCATATCCATAAAGTTCCAATTTAACATTTCTAAATTAAAGAATATCAAATACATTGCCGAAAAGATATTTTAACTGAATTATTGTTTAATACTTTTATTATTTTTGATAACACATGTTTGTGGTTCAAAACTGAAAATTCGGATTAGAATTGATTTGATTGCCTACTCATTGGCCATCTGATAAAATTCTTGTTATTCAAACTAAAAATTGAACAAAAATTTACTTGTTAAAAACTGGAAGTGGAAAATAAATCATCTATTAATATATTCGATTATTTAAACGTTTTCACATCTTCATCTCTTTATAAAGATTGTATTTATTCATAATATTATTATTGTGAACAATGCAAAAATAAATTTATCTACATTTCTTTCATACATGGAGCAGATTCACAATCTACATACATTTTTAAATCTGTATCATAATATCCTTTTTAGTTTTATAAGCACTGATTAGAATAATAATAAAAGTCTAGATTATCAAAGATTGGATTAATTAATTTTATTTCATCTTAGTCTCTTTACCTACAGAATACGCAATGTCCAGGACATTAAATACATTAATTATTTTACAGACTTAAGCTTCTTTTGCCTCGAATTTCTGGGCATTATACACAGATATTCTGATTGTTGATAATTTTGCATTACAGACAAGAATTAGGACAGACTTCAATACATTTGCCATTAAGAATTTCATATCCTTAAAGACAAAATTAACATACAACCTCATAGTCGTCAGAATTTTAACTAAGTCCATGATCAATAAATGAATGTGATTGCAAGTCATCATCTATGATTAATCTATAATAGGCTCGAACCTGGTTCTTCCAATTGTCCTTAGATATTTTGTTTTATTAATAACAAATCTGACATTTCAGTTCTTAAGGACAAGGTAGACAAAACCCAGTTAATTTTTCTGCATAATATCCATTATTGCATTCAAGACAAATTTATGAAACTTTAATGAAGATTTAGCTAATCAGGCAAACATGACAATTATAATTCAAACAAGGACTTTCAGTAAGAAAAGACACAGGGTCTCTGTCTGAAATTAGTTTTGGTCCAAATAAGCAAACTTCTTAATTTGAAGTTATCATTGATACATAACTATAGTAACAGTCAGTAGATTATTGTGGCACGCATTCATTCAAATCTTAATTATAAGTTTATTTTAATTAGCATTGGCCACATACAACATCTTTGGCAATAGGAATTAAATTTAATTCATAATCTATGGAATTAATTTTATAGTCGTATCTTGACACTTCAAAAGCATATAGGCAATTTTTTATCGAATTTTCAAAGCAATTCTCCCCATCTAACGAAATATAATATTGTTCATCATGTACACATTTTAAACATCTCAACAACTTGTAATTAGTATCTTTAATTTGTTAAAATTTGCAAATCTAACAATTCTTGCCACATTTTACACAATCTCCATCCTGGACCTCATATCCATCTGGACATTATAGACACTAATAAATTCCATTATTGATTTGACAGTTAATGCAAAAATTAGCACATACTTCACAAGTATTATCACGTAAATAATATCCAACAGCGCACTATAAGCAATTATCTGATTCAAAACTAGATTTAATACAATTTGATATTGATTTCCAACATTTATTATTTTAAAAATAATGGTCTTCCTTACATATGATATAAAAACTTGAAAGTAAATGGGTTTCCTTTTCAATTTAAAAACAATTAGGAAAATCATTTTAAGTGTTACAATAATCTTCAGCTCCCTCAATCAATACTAAATTAGAATTATAATCAATTAAATAGACATCATAATTTAAAGGATTCCTCTATTATAACCTATAACCTGTTTTCCCAGAATCATTGTCAACTACAAAATCCATTTTACACACAGGCTTATAATGCCAGGTACTTGGATTAACAAGGCAATCAGCACAAAGTATACCCACTTAGTTCTCTTAAGGACTGTTCATATAATAAAAGTAAATACCACTTAATACATTATTAGATTGTTGATAAGTAGAAATATCCAACTCCACAATTAAAACTGCTCTAAAAAATTGGAAGATCTAAGGAGGATACCAAAGGGTATATCTCTGAGTAGGATTTACACTCACCTAACTGTTCGATATAGCCTAATTGGCATTAGCAAGTTTTTAAGTCTGCTGAATACATTCTATTTTGTAGGCCATAACATTATAAGCAATTCGTTGATAGTGGACCATCACATTTATTGCATGTGTAATGACAATCTACTTTATATTAGATTTTAGACATACCAATATTCAATTCTGTATTTATTTCAAAATTATACTCAAACCTTACGTTTGCCAATTGACCTCTAAGTTTTGATAATAATGTACGATCACTACCAATAATTGCGTAATATTTAGTGTTTATAAACAATCCTTATGCATTTTAATCAGGAAACTTCTCATCTATTATAAGATTGGAAGAAACAAAGTTAAAAGACACAGTAGGCCCATTACGTTACTAGTAAAGAAATGATACCATATGCCATTATTATAATTATTGATAATAGAATGACCCATCATCTCTAAATGTAAGTTTTTCCTACAATTTTTAATTTATAGACCCAAATATTGGAGTAGAATACATATGTGATATTACATCATAGCCACACTTTTGAGGTTGTGAAAGGTCTAAATCAACTGTGATCTTAGCCAGTTCATCTCCTAATCTTAATTCATCCCCATAATTCTTGAATATTGTAAGTCTAAGTAATAAATACGTTGTTGTAAAACTTGCCTATGAAAAATCATATTTAACCCAACCATAAAATTGAAAACTCTTGCCTACCTAATCTATCGACCTTATGATTTATGAATTTTCTTCGAAAAGTAGTACTTCTTCTATCAAATATACAATTTATCCTCCATTTATGATTTGTGGAATTAAACAGTTTGCCTTAACCCATTCAAAATCTAAATTTGTTTAATCATTGTATGTTATTAATTTTGATAATCTCCCTCTAAATATACCTAGTTAATATTATTGACGCACCTAAATTTAAAATATAATTAATTTACAATTCCAGTACCTCCAATTATGAAAAGAACTTTATTGTATTAAGGTATTTCAACTTGTATGTCATTATAATCAGTCGACACTGAAGTTTAGAATAATATGTTTTGTTATTAAATTGTAATCATGCTTAAGATCCATGTTCCTTCATAATTTTTAGCATCAAATCTGTATTCATAAACATTCTCTAATTATTCATTATTTATATGAAGACTATGAACAACTTCATTTTAATTTCCCCCAACAATAAAATCAACATACATAAACATTATCAAAGATGAGTCGACAGCGTCTGATCTCATCAAAAACAAAAGTTATTAATTTCTATTATCTTGTAACAGAAAATCCTCTACATTTGGATATCCATCCACTTCCCAAGATGGAATGCAAAAACTCCAAAAAGCGAACGATTATGATGAACCTAAAAATTCAACAGTCGCGATTTCTATTTGATGTTTAGCACTTAGCAAACTCTATTCATAATCTGCAAATGGACAACCCTAAACTATATATAGGATTGTTGAAATCATGAGTTATGCAACAATCCTAAAATCCATAATTTTACCAATCCAAGGACGCATATCAATTTATTTAAATTAAAAATGTGTTTTAAAAAGCACATTAATGTAAATCAATGATTAGATCTAAAGAAAGATTGTGTTTTAGATGTAAGTCTCATTTTACAATAAATTAAATACTCAAATGAATAGGGTTTGTTCAAAACCATCTTTAATAATCTTTATTCGGCTAGATGCCACTTTAAAATAACAATTTAAATCTTTGTTCAACTTTGTTTATAATATTAAATATTAAATTTAAATATAAATAATTAGAACTTTTATTTTTCCCTTAATTGAAGTAGTTAACATTCTTTTTTTGTGAAATATTTAAGTCACATTTGATTTATTGTGAATATTCTCTTTACTATTATTGAATTCAAAAGAAATTATTACATATTGAATGATACTTTTTTACCTATACATCTGATGATATTTTTCTTAAATAAATTTAACAATTGAAAATTTTATATTTAAAGCAAAACTATATTTTTAATCCTATCAAAGTTTCGTATATAAATAAACATTTTAGTTGCTTCTATATAATAAACTTATACTCTTTCTAACTTCTTAGAAAGATTTAGTTTATTATTGATTATTATATTCTATATTTTAATTCAATCTAAATAGCTTTTATGGAGTGAAATTGGTTATTTGATTTAGAAAGCTCTAATCAAAAATTTTCATTTATTCTTACATTACAGGTTAATATTGATTAAATACTACTATTTAATTATCGAAATTTCTAAAATTCGACAGCCATTACAGTTGCCAAACAGATTATAAACAACATATGTTTTAGTTAAGAAATAACTAACTTTTTAGTCTATGCATATAAATATTTTCTAATGAAATAATTTTTATTTATTGAAATTAGGTATGTCTATTTGTTAAGTATAATATCTCAAATCCCTTTATTTCATTATACTTTTTTGATTACAAGTTGTTATTTTTTTGTTAATATCTTCATATATTAATTGGCATATAAAAATATTAGTATTTCGATCTAAAATCCTTTCATAACAAGAGATCAATCGAAAATTTTTGAATCCAATATTGTTGAGTAATTTTGAACATTTCTTTATGTTGAGAAAGGAGAAAGAATTAAGGCTTATCTTAAACTAATTTGGATAATGCAAACATCGAATTAACTATAACACTATTTAAAAAATGAAATTAATATTACAACCAAGACAAAATATAAATTTTAAAACAGTTGTTTTAATTATTAATATTATGTAAGTGAATTAAGAATCATGAAATCAAATTAATTTCACACTCATGTAATTTATTTCAAATAAAAAGAGAGGATGAAGAAGATTCTTTTGTATTTACATTTTACTTTCTCCATTTTTCGATTAATTGATTTGATTTAATTTTGATTTGATATCCATATTTTATTAATGGTGCCATTATCCCTAATGATAAAAGTCCAATCTATCCGAATCCAATCAACACTTGAGATTCTGAACTCAAAAAATGTGCATAAGTTTCTTCATAACAGATATTTAGCAGAGTAAAAAAAATAACTGGTATTTCAAAAATTAAAATTATCATTAAATCGATCTTTTAGTTCACCATTTTACCTATAACAATAATTGTTATGTAAATAGAATTGATCAATGATAGTAAAATTGATTATGTTAATTAGCTTCTTTACGATTCAATTAATACTAATACAAATAAAAACTTTTTAGCAACAATTATGCCTTCATGCTAATAATTTTTCCTTTACTTCAATTCCATTTATGAATCCTTTATTTAAAAGATGGAGGAAACTAAAATTAAAATACTAATTAAGAAGGAGTATGCAAGCATGTTTGATATTCTATTTCTTAGATTGCTCTCCTTTTCAGAAAAGAGAAACAAAATAGTCTTAAAAAGTAGGTCCCAACTATTAGCTTTTATGAGATAAATAATCCCCTTAAATGATATCATTTAATAAATCCCAAAGCTTAATTGATTAAGTTTATGAATGAAAAAGGTCAATTTTTATGAAAGAAAAGACTTCTAATTATTGTAAATGAAAGCCCTGAATTAGTTGTAAAAGTTCTTAAAAAGGATCTTTAAATAAATCTTGGATATAGCAAATAATATTAAGGCCATAAAAACTTATACGATCAATCCTGATATATTAGTGATTAGGTCTGAATTCACATCATAAAAAAGAAATTTTCCAAAAGCTGGCATATAATCTTTTCCTATAAAATCATCGAATAAATCGAGGAGCTTTAGTTTTTCCAAAATTGGTGTGATAGTTACTACTTCTGAAGATTCAAAATAGATCATGACATTTTCTGGAAAATTTGAATTTATGTATTTTAAATTCGATTAATACTACATTGTATCCAAGACCTCAAAACATTCAACAGGATTACCAGACAGTAGAATAAAAAAACTTGCTATTCCAAGGCCAATAAGTATATACATATTTAATTAGCTCATTTTATGGGATACGGTTCTTTATGATTCACTTAAAACAATAGGGTTCTTTAATCGTAATGTGCATAATTAATTTTCTACTTAGAATCCAAATTCATCAATTAATAATGTATCTAATTAGACCTAAAAGTAAATTTCTGTAGTTACTTGCTTTAGCAATTTTACTTTAAACAAATAATTAATATCTTATAAAAAAGTAGCATTTGGTTCAACTACTACTTATGAATAAATGATATAATACAAGGGATTTACATCAACAAGAAAGGTCTTTAAATTTTTCGTCAAATTTTAATATGAATTTTGTAATTTGACTTTACTTGTAATTTATAGTTAAATAAATTATGAGTCATAAGTTTAATTTATGAATAATAGATTGAAATGAGGAGGTTTGGTCTAAATACACTAACTTGTTTAAAAATTTGTCTATGTGCATGCCCAATTAATCTCAATTTTGCAATTGTCTGAACATCCATCTAAAGAAAACTGATTAAAATCATCGCATTCCTCAATTTCTTACTTAGAACCATCCCCACAAATACCAATACATAAATTATTCTTGATTTGATAACCATCGTCACATTATAAGCATTGTCCATAATCACAATCATAACAATTTAATGGACATGAATATTAACATTAATAACATCCATCAAAAGCGATTTCATTATCATCATCGCATTTCTCATTAGATGCAATTATTAAGTCTCCACAAATTGAAAGGCATTAACTATCAATTAAATAATATCCATCCTCTTCACATTATTCTATTTGAGTATCCATACATTTGTATTGATCACATGTTTAACAATTTTCTTTGCATTAAAATTAGCATTAATGACAACCATCATATTAAATATCGTTGCCATCATCACATTATTCAAACCCTTCGATGACTATTCCATCTCCACATATAGGAGTGCAAATTTTATTTTAAAGTTCAAAATACTTCTAACATTAAAAACAACCGATATCTTGGTTACAAAATTGACAATTTTTAGAGCATTCAAACTTACATTCAAAACATCCGTCATTGCTTTCATTATTTGAATCATCGCATTGTTCATATTAAAGCAAAGAAATTATACCATCTCCACATTCTGAGAAACATTTGAAGTTAACTAAATTCCAGCCTTCTATGCATTTAAAACATTAAGAACTATTACATTCTAAACATTCTAATTGGCAACTGCTTTAGCATTAATAGCATCCATCAAATTACTGTAAGTTAGCATCATCGCAAGATTCATATTCTTGAGTTATCCCATTTCCACAGATGGGTATACATAAGAGATTGTTGGATAATTCAAAAAGATCATTACAAATTTAACATTAATTTTAAAAGGAAATTTTGCAATTTTGAGGTTATTCAAGAGGACACAACTAATATTAATAAGCAAATATTCCATAATTGTTAATACTACATTAATTAATGTCAAACAAAGGTTGTAAGTCAGTTTATATTAATACATGTTGCATATATGTATTACTTATAAAATTAGAAATTTAACAATAATGTCCTTCTTCTTTTTAGGTTGAATAATAACTTAAGAATACACCTTCATTTTGGGAACAAATAAATTCACATTGATTGTTAATTAATTAATATGATGGGTTGCAAATCAAGCAATTTCCAAATTCACAAATATTACAATTTAAAGGGCAAGAAAATTAACACTCATAGCACCCATCATAAGGTTATTAATTTCCATCGTCGCATTATTCTTCAGACACTACTATTTAATCTCCACATTTGGCCTTACATTAGCCTGAAATTGTATTCAATATCCAATGAGATAAGCATTAAGTACATAGTCCCTTGATACATTAATTGCAACCTTCATTACAATCATAAATTTGGGAAAAGCAACCATCAAATGCTTAAATGTTATCATCGTTGCAGATAATTCCTTCATTAAATATTTGCTTTTCTGCATCAGTAAATACTTCAAAATCTCTAATACCAAAAAAGTGAGTGCTGTCTGCTGGATCGGGAGATTCAACAATTTATATAGTTAGAGTCAAAGTTTAGTCGCTGTTGACTATTTCTCCTAAGAAAACTTTATCTAATCTAAATTAAGCACCACAAATAATATCATTATTAGTAATTTTTGAAACGGAAAGCACGGCATTATAAATTTCTACTCCATTAGCCTCAGATCTCATAACAATAGATCCAGTCACAAATGCGCATAGAAATTTAAACTACATCCTAACTCTTGTGTGTGGATCAGATAAATATAAAATTATTTAGAGTATTTTGGCCATCTAAAATTTACCATAATAATGAAAACCTAGATATATTTTTCATGTACTTCCGCACTGTTAAATCCCATCAAATATAGTATAATCACTTTTCCATCCTTCTCCATCTGTTAACTCAATTTTATTAAAAAATATCTGCATTCTGTTCCAATTTTAACAGTTTCCACTTATATCACAGTAATCACACCCTTTTGGACATTTATAGACATATAATATGAAATCAGAAATCCCCCAAGATGCTGCAATTTATAGAGAAATAATTGTAATTATAGCACTGTTACCATTGTGATTCATGGTGTCACTAATTGAATAAACTTATCCAACAGTACCACTACCACAAATTTGAGTTCCTGTTGATACATTAGGACCTTATTTGTAAGCTTAGAATCCATCAATATAAAAAATATAAAATGAACCGCTCCAGGCATCAAGTCTAAAAATAGTATATTGATGTACCTCCAGAACTTAAACTCAAACTACACCTTATAATGAGGAGGTAAAATAAAAGTCTTTGTAATTGCTGTTTGATAATTAAAAACTGAAGGACCTCCAAAAATCAATGAAGTTCCACAATCAGTAATATGATTTGATGACATGGTCTCGTATGACTTCCAATCTAAATTATTATTGAGAAAATTACTGTCATCCTAATTAAAGGGAGTGAAAAAGGATCTGCTAATTTCAGTTTATGCCAAAGTATGACGACATATTTGGTTTTGTAAGAAGAGATTTATAAAAACAATAAGACTAAGTATTGACTGCGGCAAACTTTTTGCGTAGTATGTGAACAATGGTAAACAAATCATGTAAGGTATTTTAAATTAATAACTAAAGAGGTTTGCAATAATTAGAATTAAAATTGATTGATAAATAAATATCTTTTATTCTCATTTTAATTAGATCATTAATATTACATGCTAGATGATAATTATTGTTAAATTAGTATTTAGATAATAAATTTTTTAATTTAATTCATCTTTTGTAAAATCAAAATTGATCCTATGTCTTTTTCTGAATGGCAAACTCAATTATTCTTATTAGTAATTATTATTATATTGATATTTTAGTAAAAGCTGCGTTAAATACTTAAATTCATTATAAACTCGCACTGTAACCTAAACTAACTTTAAATGTATTTTTTTTGTGTTTATAAATATAATAGAAAATATTTTTTATCCCTTCTCAATGTTTCATTTTTAGAAGATTATCTATTTTGAAAAAAAATATTTATTTAATAATGGCGTTTTAATATGTTATTTTTATTCGTTATAAATTTATTTTACTCCACTAATGATTCGATTCTTCAATCCTATTCTTCACTTTATATTTCTTGAAGAATTTTTTATAAAATATCATAAACGGATAAACAAGTAACGTTTTTCTTATACTAAATTAGTGGTTTCATTTAAGAAAAAATTTGATTTTGTTTAAACTTTTCTAGTCCTTAATATTATTTAAGTCCTTTAAAAAATTGATCCAAGCTATCTTTTCATTTTTGTGAATTATATATCTCATTTATTTTTCTGATATATGTTGTAAAATGCCTTATTGATTAAGTTTTTCGAAATTATATTTAAAGTAAAAGATTTTATTTTGCTTTAGGTAAATATAATTTGGAAATTTCGATTTATATTTTGAGATTTAAGGAATACTGTTTAGCTAGCATTTAAAATAATATTGTTGTTTTTATTAGTATTAATTTATTAAAGAATAATTTAGTCTAAAATAATTTTACAGATTCAATATATATTTAATATATAAATTCAATGAATTAATTTAATCGTATAGACTATGAACAACAATATTTTTTCGAAAATCTTGAGCTTACACCCATAGATGAAGGATTATACAAATAAAAAGGGAAATATTGTTTTTACGGAAATCAACATGAAGCAGATTTCTTTATTCACTATTAAAATGGAAATCTTAGGTACATTAAAAATGGAGTTGTTCTCAAAATGTAAATATTTTATTTTTTTAGATCCTTCAATAGAGTTCCAATCAACGATATTAAAAATCCCCCTAAAATTATTTTTGATCTAGAGTAGGTCAAAAATTTATAATGGGAAGGAGAAATAGGAGACTAGGAATAATGTATAGGGCAATGGAAGGCAAAATGGAATGGGTAAAATTTAAGCGTGGGCGGATTTTATAATGATTTTGGAATTAAAATTGGAAAGTGGTCAGAATTGGGAAATCATACTTACAAGTACTGCTTTATTAGATTTTTCTTAGCGAAGATTATCTAATTCATAAAGGAGAGTACAATTGGGGTAAAAAAATTAGTATATGGGAAACATTGTTGCAAGATAGGATAATGTAATAATATATATACTCTTAGCGGATTTGGTGTTTATAATAAAGAAGGAATTAAAAATGGGAAATGGTTTGAGCCAATTTAAAGTTATTCCAAGTATATAGATGTAATATAAAGCTTGAATATTGCTATTTGGATTGGAAACTATAATAAAGGTAAAAAAATTGGATATTGGAACGCAATTTATAAAAAAAGTTAATGTCATAATGACTTTATGCCTCTGTAAAAATGATTATAAAGTTAAGTGGAGGTGGAAATTATACCAAAGATGGAGTAAAAAATGGATATTGGATTGATTTTGATGACACAAATCAGGGGTATTTCAAATCTAAGTTTTATTAGTGGTTTATTTGCAGTGAAAATTGGGTAATATTCAATTGGGAACAAAATTGGAAAATGGATAATATAGTACCAGGATTAAATCATGTATTTTAATATATTACTTAAGTGGAGGAGGATATTATGATGAATAAGGATAAAAAGTTGGCAACTGGGTCGAAGTTCATGAAAAATTTAATTGGTATATTTTTAATTAATTTCTTATTCACTGCCAAATAACTTTTCATGGATTTTATAAAAATGGGAAAAGAAATGGGTTTTGGCAATATTTTTACTACTTGACTCTATTAATGTATAAATTTATTTTAAGCCAAGGGGACATGGCCGATTTGATGAAAATGGAGTTAAATAGGGAAAATGGGTAGAGTTATTTTAGAATTTTTGGAGGTTTTTATTTTTTAAATTTATCATAGCTCGTGTCAAATTACTGAAGAAGGAGAATATTAAAATGGAAAAAGAGTAGGGCTTTGGTATACTATTGAGAACAATAAAATTATGTAAATACGTTTTACTACTATTTATAAGATCTGGAGGAATTTATAATGACAAAGAATAAAAGAATGGTATATGGAGAGATTTGCACGAAAATTTCAGCTGGTAGGATTGTTTAATACTTTAGCTTTTGCGAAATATCTTATGAAGGGTAATATAAGTCAGGTATCAAAGTTGGATACTGGAAAACAATTTTCTAATCTGAGCAGCACGTGTAAAAGATGCAATAATAATTTAGTGGAGGTGGAAATTATGATGAGAAAGGTATAAGAAATGGCAGATGGGCTGATTTAGACGAAAATTTTAATAGAAATTTTGGCACGTCCTTTGTTTAATATATATAAAATTATGAATGTGGTCTAAAAAAAGGAGAGTTGACATAACAACCCTTTCGATGAAATATAATATATTTATAAGAATTTTATCTAATAATTTTAAATTGCTCAAACCTTTATCCTAATTTGAAATAGCAGAATAGAGCTATTTCATAAGATAATTTTGATTCACATTAATTGGATGATATATTCAGATTCATCTATATTTTTCCTTAAATTTTCAAATAAATCTCATCTAAAATAAAGATCTTTTTATGTTAAATTTTGGATGTAGATTGTACTCAAATCGGCGGCTAATTTAATAAAAACCCTTTAGCCTTTGGCTTTTCTTATAATTACATTACAATATCATAATATGGTTGAAAAGTGTAAGTCTATCTCTTATTTTTGATTAATAAATAAGAGTTATTAATTTTATTTTTAAATCAAAAACATTAATTGTTATTATCAAACTATTAATATCTGATTTTTTGAAACAATATGATTACGATGTTAAATTGAATTAATAAACTGTTTAGGGACTNTATTTCAAATCTAAGTTTTATTAGTGGTTTATTTGCAGTGAAAATTGGGTAATATTCAATTGGGAACAAAATTGGAAAATGGATAATATAGTACCAGGATTAAATCATGTATTTTAATATATTACTTAAGTGGAGGAGGATATTATGATGAATAAGGATAAAAAGTTGGCAACTGGGTCGAAGTTCATGAAAAATTTAATTGGTATATTTTTAATTAATTTCTTATTCACTGCCAAATAACTTTTCATGGATTTTATAAAAATGGGAAAAGAAATGGGTTTTGGCAATATTTTTACTACTTGACTCTATTAATGTATAAATTTATTTTAAGCCAAGGGGACATGGCCGATTTGATGAAAATGGAGTTAAATAGGGAAAATGGGTAGAGTTATTTTAGAATTTTTGGAGGTTTTTATTTTTTAAATTTATCATAGCTCGTGTCAAATTACTGAAGAAGGAGAATATTAAAATGGAAAAAGAGTAGGGCTTTGGTATACTATTGAGAACAATAAAATTATGTAAATACGTTTTACTACTATTTATAAGATCTGGAGGAATTTATAATGACAAAGAATAAAAGAATGGTATATGGAGAGATTTGCACGAAAATTTCAGCTGGTAGGATTGTTTAATACTTTAGCTTTTGCGAAATATCTTATGAAGGGTAATATAAGTCAGGTATCAAAGTTGGATACTGGAAAACAATTTTCTAATCTGAGCAGCACGTGTAAAAGATGCAATAATAATTTAGTGGAGGTGGAAATTATGATGAGAAAGGTATAAGAAATGGCAGATGGGCTGATTTAGACGAAAATTTTAATAGAAATTTTGGCACGTCCTTTGTTTAATATATATAAAATTATGAATGTGGTCTAAAAAAAGGAGAGTTGACATAACAACCCTTTCGATGAAATATAATATATTTATAAGAATTTTATCTAATAATTTTAAATTGCTCAAACCTTTATCCTAATTTGAAATAGCAGAATAGAGCTATTTCATAAGATAATTTTGATTCACATTAATTGGATGATATATTCAGATTCATCTATATTTTTCCTTAAATTTTCAAATAAATCTCATCTAAAATAAAGATCTTTTTATGTTAAATTTTGGATGTAGATTGTACTCAAATCGGCGGCTAATTTAATAAAAACCCTTTAGCCTTTGGCTTTTCTTATAATTACATTACAATATCATAATATGGTTGAAAAGTGTAAGTCTATCTCTTATTTTTGATTAATAAATAAGAGTTATTAATTTTATTTTTAAATCAAAAACATTAATTGTTATTATCAAACTATTAATATCTGATTTTTTGAAACAATATGATTACGATGTTAAATTGAATTAATAAACTGTTTAGGGACTAGAGGAAGCACATTTTAACTTATTTTAAGTCTAAATTTACTCATTAAATTTAACATATTTGTAATCAAGGTAATGTTACAATTATTATTTTAAATCAATTTCAAATATTAACACATATATTATCACTCTAAAAATGGCAACAATGTATTGTAAAATAGCAATAAATTGGCTACTATGAATTGATCCTTTTATAGTCTAAATTTTCCATTTAGAATTTAAAATAAGCTAATTACCTATGATGTTGCAAATCCAAGATACAAAAAAAATACAAAAATATAAAAAATCATGACTGAAAACTCATTTTTAACACAAAAATCATTTAAACAATTTTAGAAATTAAACGATAGAGATATAACAATGATTGATATTATCAAAGGAAATATCATTGATGATACTAAAGTTTCTAAAATAGTGAGTTTTATTACATTTAATAGTTGGATCTTCGTAAAAAGTAAAGTAAACTGCCATAATAAAATAAGATGATAATAGACAAATATAGAGTAAAATTATTCCAAATATTAAAATTGTATTGTAAAACAATCTTATTCCAAAAACACAAATAGAGGAAGTAACTATTGTTGTATATAGAAGAATCAATAAAACTTCTTTGAATAAAGTCTAATTATTTATAGTTTATTACATTCCTAATTTATGGTTTTGATTTTATTATCTACAATAATAGTAACTAAGCTATTATTAGAAAAATAAACATTGGTATGGCAAAAGATAGCTTCAAATCTTTGATGTTTTAAGAATAAGCAGAAACTAATGTAATTGCAAGTTCTAAGCCTGTTTAGCAAAAGCAAATTAGCATCAAAAGAACCAAAAATTTCCTTTTATCTTGGCTTTAAATCAAAGGTTAACACTAAGGCTATTATGCCATATATTCAACTAAATTGGCTTAATGCTTTACTTGAAATAGGAATTTCAGGGGGTCCAATAATTAATTCTTAATTTTGCAATATTGGTTAATACATTAAATGATTGATAATGTCTTACAAAATTAAAAAATAAGTATTAAATCATTGCTTTTGTTCTCAGTCTTAGTGAGATATTACTTTCAAAAAACCTCGAAAAACTCAAAGCAAATTAGGACATACTCATACTTATGATTGGGGATATTTATATGTATTCTTTTAACTGAAAATAATTTGTAGCTTGACAATCAAAATAAAATATAAGTTATTCATTAATGTCTTAGCTGAAAATGTAAAAAATATAAGGATGTAGAGAATTAAATTTATTATGTTATTAATTTTAATACTTATATTAAATACATAGTGCAATTATCTAGGGTAAGTAAGCTAAATAAGATCTGATTTACATAGGGTTTATTTGTTTCCTCATTCACATGATGATGTTGGATGGATTAAAACTATGAATGAATATTATAATGATTATCATGGAGTCAAATAAATAATTAATTCATACATGGAAGAACTAATCAAAGATAAGACAAAGTATTTTTCATAAGTTGAAGTAGCATTTTTTAAAATGTAAATCTATAATATAGAATAGGTGGTGGAATGAATAGAATAACACAATGAAAGATAATGTGAAACAACTCATATTAAATGAGTAACTAGAATTTTTGAGTGGAGGATGGTGCATGAATGATGAAGCAACAACTTATTATGAAGATATTATTGACTAAATGACATTAGGACATAAATTTCTTTTAGAAAATTTTAACTATATACCCACTATTGGATGGTAAATTGATACATTTGGGCATTCTAATACTCAGGCACTCTTTTCTAATATGATGGGTTTTAATGCTTGGTTTTTCGGAAGAATTGATCAGGAAGATCGATTAAAAAGAGAAAAAAACAAAGAATTAGAGTTTGTAATTCATCCTGATTAAGAAAACTCTATTTTTACACATGTTAATTATTATGGATATTATTCATCCCCTAGAGGATTCGATTTTGATATTTCCAATCCTAAGAGAAATTATGTTTCTATTTAAAATGTGGAATAAAAATCTGAAGGACTTGATTAATATTTTAAAGAATAATATTAATCTTACAGAGGTAAAATATAGGCTCATACTCTGGGAATGGACTTTGNTATATAGAAGAATCAATAAAACTTCTTTGAATAAAGTCTAATTATTTATAGTTTATTACATTCCTAATTTATGGTTTTGATTTTATTATCTACAATAATAGTAACTAAGCTATTATTAGAAAAATAAACATTGGTATGGCAAAAGATAGCTTCAAATCTTTGATGTTTTAAGAATAAGCAGAAACTAATGTAATTGCAAGTTCTAAGCCTGTTTAGCAAAAGCAAATTAGCATCAAAAGAACCAAAAATTTCCTTTTATCTTGGCTTTAAATCAAAGGTTAACACTAAGGCTATTATGCCATATATTCAACTAAATTGGCTTAATGCTTTACTTGAAATAGGAATTTCAGGGGGTCCAATAATTAATTCTTAATTTTGCAATATTGGTTAATACATTAAATGATTGATAATGTCTTACAAAATTAAAAAATAAGTATTAAATCATTGCTTTTGTTCTCAGTCTTAGTGAGATATTACTTTCAAAAAACCTCGAAAAACTCAAAGCAAATTAGGACATACTCATACTTATGATTGGGGATATTTATATGTATTCTTTTAACTGAAAATAATTTGTAGCTTGACAATCAAAATAAAATATAAGTTATTCATTAATGTCTTAGCTGAAAATGTAAAAAATATAAGGATGTAGAGAATTAAATTTATTATGTTATTAATTTTAATACTTATATTAAATACATAGTGCAATTATCTAGGGTAAGTAAGCTAAATAAGATCTGATTTACATAGGGTTTATTTGTTTCCTCATTCACATGATGATGTTGGATGGATTAAAACTATGAATGAATATTATAATGATTATCATGGAGTCAAATAAATAATTAATTCATACATGGAAGAACTAATCAAAGATAAGACAAAGTATTTTTCATAAGTTGAAGTAGCATTTTTTAAAATGTAAATCTATAATATAGAATAGGTGGTGGAATGAATAGAATAACACAATGAAAGATAATGTGAAACAACTCATATTAAATGAGTAACTAGAATTTTTGAGTGGAGGATGGTGCATGAATGATGAAGCAACAACTTATTATGAAGATATTATTGACTAAATGACATTAGGACATAAATTTCTTTTAGAAAATTTTAACTATATACCCACTATTGGATGGTAAATTGATACATTTGGGCATTCTAATACTCAGGCACTCTTTTCTAATATGATGGGTTTTAATGCTTGGTTTTTCGGAAGAATTGATCAGGAAGATCGATTAAAAAGAGAAAAAAACAAAGAATTAGAGTTTGTAATTCATCCTGATTAAGAAAACTCTATTTTTACACATGTTAATTATTATGGATATTATTCATCCCCTAGAGGATTCGATTTTGATATTTCCAATCCTAAGAGAAATTATGTTTCTATTTAAAATGTGGAATAAAAATCTGAAGGACTTGATTAATATTTTAAAGAATAATATTAATCTTACAGAGGTAAAATATAGGCTCATACTCTGGGAATGGACTTTGAATGGTCGAATGCTTCTAGATATTTTGAATAAATGGATCTGGTTATTAATTGGATCAATAATAATACAGAAAAATATAATATGATAATCGAATATGGAACTCCAAAACAATATATCTAAGCTTTGAATTAATAAAATATTTCATATCCTTTTCAAGAGGAAGATTTTTTTCCTTATTCTGATCAACCTTATGAATATTGGTCTGGATTCTTCACTAGCAGACCTGCTTTTAAGGGGTATGTCAAAAGAATAGGTCGTTATTTTTAGTAAGTGAAACGATTTTATTCATTATTAAAAATGAATAATATACAAAGTATTTTTGATGAAACAGCTATTTAAGATTTATCTGAAGCTTTGGGTACAGCCTAACATCATGATGCAATCACAGGCACTGCAAAATAATATGTGAATGATGATTACATTAAATTAATTCATTAAGCGCATTTAAAAATGGAAAATCAAATTAGTTCATTTCTGAATCATTTATCAAATACATCAGCCATAACACATGCTTAATGTTATTTTAATGAATCAGATAGCTGCGATTCCTTATTTGATCCTCTTAGCCAAAACAAAACTGTTATTGTTACAATTATTGATACAAAAATAAATAATAATGGTTAAAAAGATTATTTGAAAATGCTGATACCCACAAATTTGAACATAAAAATAGTGGATGAATTGGAAAATTCAATTTATGGCGAAATTATTTGTATAAATCAGAGATGCACTCTGTACTTGTCTAGAAAAGTAAATAATGAAAAACTGGTACATTATATTCGAATAATGGTTGATTTTGAGAATGATTCAAGAATTATAAAATTAGACCCAAAAGTTATTAATATGTAAAAGGATACAAAAATATTTGATAAATTTCAACTACATTATAAAGTTTATTTATCAAAGTAGTCAAGTTTAAGTAGCGGAGCATATATATTTAGACCTAATGGGGATGCCTCTGATTATGGTGATTATCTCTAAGCATTAGAATTTTCTGGTCAAATAATCAAATAAATATATTTTGAAAAAACTACGCTAAAAGTCTGGATGACAAGATTTGAAAATCAAGATATATTTTCTATTGATACATTTTTAGATTCCATAGATATTTCTGATTAATTTGGAAAAGAAATCATATTGTAAATTCAAACTGACATTTCAAATGATGGAATATTTTATACTGATAGCAATGGATTCAAATTTTAAAAACGAAGAATAAATCACAGGGATTCATGGAACATAAAAATGAAAGAGTAAATAGCTGGTAATTATTTTCCTGTCAATGGTGCTATTATGATCATGAATAGTGATGGAAATTCTGCTTGTGCAGTGCTGAATGACAGAGCCTAAGGAGGAACAAGTTTAGCCTAAGGAGTTATTGAATTAATGCTGTAGAGAAGATTAGTACGGGATGATAACAAAGGGCTGTTTGAAGTTTTGGATGAATAAGAAATACATAAGGGTTAAAAGGTAGGCATTAGATAAATGATATCACATACAATCATTTTCTATAATCATCAACAACAACCAAATCTGTTAAGAGAATATCAATATAAATAGGATTTATAACCTTTACTCTATTTTTCAACTTAACCTTTTATACAATATTCTGCTCTATTGGATTTATTTTAAGGATTTTTAATCAAATAATCCGATACAAATTTGAGTAAATTATACATTGAGCCTTGGTTATAAAAAGATTAATATTTAGTAAGAGTTCACAATATGAAGGAAGAGGGTATTTAAAAACTAAATTTCCCTTAAGGATTATCATTCTTAGAAACAACTTTGACTGGTAATTAGGATTTAAAGATGTGGAAGCTTAATCGATTAAGTAGATGATTTTTATAATTTAGAATGGAGCGATAGTTATCCAAAAAAATAAACATATTAATATAAGGATGATGAAGTTGGTCCAATGATGATAAGAACGTGGATTGTAACAATTTGAAGAAAGTATAATCTTTACATCATATCATGATTTTCTAACCCCTACATATTTCTATTATTTGAGTGTTTTAATTTAAAAAAAATAGGTTTCTATTTTTAATTTTAATATATACATAATCATTAATTGGGTAATTTATTAAGTTATATTAAAAATTTTTCAACGTCACCCTCCTCATTTTACCCTTCATTGCAATAAATAATATTGTGGCAAATTTCAACTCATTCAAAAATATGAGAGAATTAAAATTTATTTGATTAATAATGTTAGTTATAATAAATAATTTATTTAATTTAAAAGGAAATTACCAAAAAATATAAAAGGAGAATTGAAATCATTTAAACATAAGGTTTCTCAAATAATATCATCTAATTAATTTTTTTTGAGTCTCTTTAAATTTGATGACATTAATTAGAATTTTCTTTAACTTTAGTATTCTGGCCACAAAATTCATAATTTATTTTAGAAATAATTAAATATGAAAATGGTCCTTATTCTGTCCTTTTTTCTTAAACCTGTATTATCCGATTATGTGTATATTTTAAGTCCTGAATAACCATACATTCTAACAGAATTTTCAATCATAGAAGCAATTATTAGGGAAGGAGTTGTATATAAACAGAGCTCTTGGTTTTAATACCTTCCCTTAACTTCTACAATTTATGCTATATCTGTTGGGATGTTAGATAGCAATTGCTATCATTTATTTAGTTCGGTAGGGAAAGAATCAAAAAGTTTAAATTTTTTACATTATGATTGTTTAGATTATGAATAAAAGTCAATCACAAAATTTATAAAATTCATAGGTAGCGATAATTAACAATACAGTTATGAATTCGATATAAGTATTTTTGAATATGAAAATTAGTGGTACTTCTTTCAATTCATATTATATCCATATAACAATAGATTTTAAATAATATTAATCAAAAATGAAGAAGTCATCAAAAATGAAATTTTGGATGTTTTACCATTTCAAGATGAAATTATAATTTAATAGGTTGGAGGTGATTTGGTAGTATTAGATTCAAAACTAGTCAATATTGCTAATGGCGATAAATTTGCCACATTTCCAGGCAGAGTGATTCCAATTTAAGGTGATTCTACGATTAAAAACTTTGTTTAGGCTGCTATTTCTTTAGTAAAGTCTAGGAAAGCCTGTAAGTGTGAAAGTAATCCAATAAGTAATTTAATGGATTCAGATTATTTTTCTCTCTACTAATCAATTTATTCTTCAAAATTTTAGAACTGCAATTAATTTTTATTTACAGGATGGTTTAAGATTAAAGAAATAATTCAAACCGACTCAGAAATGACATTTTAATTTATTAAATTGACTTCAAATATGTAGAATGATTAATTGTAAAATGAAAATCTCTCTCCTTTATAATTATTTTACAAGCTTTCATAAAACCTAAATACAATAATTATTACAACTTATAGTTATACATTTCCATCAGTTAAATTAGATTTTACAAACGATCCTTTTTTAATAACCAAAGAATTCCAGATTTTGAACAAAATATCATTATGGCATCTATTGTATGTAAAGTTGGTAGAAGATACGTTGGATATTAGTATCAATTTTTTTGAGAATAGGTAAGCTTATGAATACAAGACACAAATCATAGTTAAGCAATTTCATTAAATATACTTCAAGTTGTTTTTAGGAAATTTGTTAGAATCAACTACTAATTATTTAAATATAATGGGCAGGAATCTCTATTTTTTTAATTGCAATCAAAACTTTTAAATACAAAACTGCCATCTAAGTTGTGGTGAATGTGATGGTCCTACTAATCAAGATTGTTTATCTTGTACCTTAGAATCAAAAAGAGTATATTTTCCATAATATAAATAATGTTTATGTCCATATGATACTATTGATTACGACGATGAATGTTTAGGTTATTAAGACTTTGGCTTTTAGGTCATTTCAAATGAAGAATAAAATGAAGGATGTTTATATGGACAATTCGAACTTAATGGCTCTTGTTATTAATGGTAATTTGATTTATTATAATAAAAGTCCAGGTTAATTAAATTCACAAGCAATAACTTGTTTAGAATGCGTTTTGAATCCAAAAGGTTGGTCCAGTGATCCATATTGTGATACATATATATACCTAAATTAAGATGGAAGTACATCTGAAATCATGGAATCAACTCTGTCAATTGAACCAAAATATTATTTCACTTTTAATGGTGAAGATCTTGAATTATGCTTGGAATGTGAATAACATAGCTTAACAAATTTAGAGAGTATATATTAAGATATGGTTGCAAAATAGCAATCATTTAAATCATTATGCGTTTCTGAAAGATCATAGTAGCAATGTTATTAATGCAGCATTCCTAATTGCAAGAGATGTGGTCTATTAATGACAGATTAAGTTTGTTTTATATGTGAAGAATACTATGATTTGGTAGATGGTTTTTGTAGTACATGGACAATAGGTTCATTTAAATAAAATAATTTTTGTTTGTCGCCTTATTATACTTCTTCCACAAAAGAATGTAAAAAATGCTCTATTGATAATTGCATATATTGCTTTGAATACGTTTTAGATAATTTAGAACTAACAACCCTTTACAGGAACTTCAAATTGTTCAATGGAGATGACAATGTTTAAGTTGGATGTGCGATGTGTTAAGATGGATATATTTTTGATTTCAGAGTGAGATTATGTTTAAAATAAACTCCAAATATTGAATTTTGTCTTAGAAGTTACATAAGTGAAGAGGGAACAGAAAAATGCACTTTATCCTCAAAGTAAGATTTCTCAGTTGCGAGAGAAATAGTTAATTGTGAAAAGTTCATTTCTAATTGCATTTAATGTTTTCTTACTGTGCAATCAATTTTAAGATGCATTATATGCAAAGAAGGTTACACATCTTCTACCTCTGAAGTCAATGGCTAATGTACTATAAGCAAATTACCGTATTAAGCAATAAGCATAGAGGGGAATTGGATTGATAAAGATATGTGGGTGTAAAGGATTTAGAGTTTTATGGGATTATATTTACCTAATTCATATTTTTATCCATTCACCATATCACCGTATTTAAATAAGGAAATTGCAATCTCATGCAAGGAAGGATATTCTCTAGTACAATCCAGTTCTTGTTCTCAATATTGCGATTCAAATTGTTAAGACTGCCAACCAGAAGGAAGTTAATTTTTTTGTAATAAATGTCCATTAAATTATTTTAAACACAATCAACGAGTATAAATTAATGGAATTTGTTAAACATGCTCTCTTCTTTGTGCCTTCTGTTAATCTAGAAATATTACTGAAATTAATGTAAGTTATTTATCAATTGTATTTAGTAAACTTCCCCCTATTTTATTTCCACATAGGATATTGATGTATTTTCAAAAAAATGTTATTTACCTTCTTAAGATCCCAATATTATAATTTAGCCTCATTAATTAATTCCTACATATTGTTTAGATAAGACTTGCAAGAATAATTTCTTATATTAATAGTACAATTCAGCTTGTGATTAAGGGTGGTTTATGATTTAAGATTTATTAAATTAAGCCAGTATAAAGTACTTAAACTAAGTTGGTGTTCAAAGATTTATTATTCAACTGGATGTACCTACCTCTGATTTTTACTGCAGTTATGGAATTAATATAAATGGCTTATTTCTTAGATAAAAATTATTCTCTTTATAAGAGACTAATCTCATTATTAATGGTAATAGATCAAATTTTCGCTTGGGAATGGGAAAATTCAATAGCATTCTAAATTTTGACATGTTTGAGTTCTCTAATTTAACTATGGTTTTAGATAACATTTAATTAAACTTTGGAGATACTAAGGTGAAACTTAAAATGAAGGATATTTTATTTATTGGAAAGAATATAGATTAAAGTTCTCTGTTTCTTAATTCAAATTAATTTAGTGGGGTAGAGTTAGTAAACATTACAATTAGAAATGTAGTGTTTTCTTCTTCTTCATTTATCCATTTAGATTCATTATAGTTTAAAAGTGAATTATATATTGAAACGCTATTAATCTAAAATTCAACATTTGTTAATTCCAATTTATTTTTGATGATAAACAATTAATTGTCTATCCAAATTTAAAAACTATAAATTGAAAACTGTACTCTAATTAATTCAACAATCATCAATCTATAATCTAACCTATTCATTGACAGTCTTAATTAAATATCAACAGTAGTTATGAAAAATTGTTTATTAAAATAATAATCCTACTTATTAAATTTTTTTGGGTTAGCCAAGCTGGAAATTGCACACTTATATTTTTATGGGAATTCTTTATAGAATTCAACTTTTTTTATTAACAATTATAATACCTCAATAATTGATGCAATAATTGTGGACAACACCTTAAGTCAGTCAAGTTTAGTAATTATGAATGGAAAAAATGTTCCAGGCTATGTTTTATTTAATATGGATTAACTTAAAATTGAAAACTTAATATCAGAAAATTCAAATTTATTTCAAATATCTACAAATGCTCTTTTTTTAAATTTGATTATTGAAATGAACAATTTAGCTATTTACAATCTTAAAAGATAAGATAATCTCAAATACTAAACTTATATATTTTACATTAGACATTGTTTTCAATGTCACATAAATTAAATTGAAATTAAAAATATCAACAATATTACAACCTTCTTTTTTCTTGAAAGCAATAGGATTTTAATAGAAAATTTTAAATTCTACTAGGATGCGAAAAAGAATTAAGTTCATTTTTCCTCATCATGTAGATAATATTAACTTTTATAAAAATAACTTATCTTTATATAAGGGTTTAATTAATTTAAATTACAAAATGGGGAAATAACTGACTCTTAATTAGTCGATTCAAAAGTAATAGAAATTACATCAACTTTGTAAGATTAAATTAATAGTAAAGAAGCTATTCAAATTAAAGATATATATTTTAAAAGGAACATCATCTAATAGAATTAATAGAGCATGCTATCATTACTAGGAATATATTCGGAAAACAAGTAGTTAATAATCATCTAAAATTTGTCATTTGTTAACAATTTCTTTCATTAATATGAAGATGATCCGAATGAAAATTCGGCTGGTTTAATTAACATTTATTCTACTTAAGGCGAGTTATAGTTATCGAACATATTTTGTCAAGAAAATGCCATAACAAACTCATCGGCTACCTTTATATTTATTACTTCAAAGTCTATCAACCTCAAAAACTATATAATTAATAATAATAATATAATCAATTAATAATTATGGAGTGAATTCTACAAACTAGAACTTGATTAGTAATACAATCAAGATCAAATCAACAAAATTATATAATAGATTTATGCAATAAATGTTAAAGGTGGCGCTGCGAAAATAATTACTGAGCAATTAGTGTGTACAAATTCAATTTTTTAGAATATTTTGGCTTAAACTAGCTCAATCTTTGAAATTCGAACATTAGGTTTAGGCATTGTTAAATTTAACAACATTTCTAGTAATCTAATATATAATATTAAAAGAGACAGCAATGATAATTCTGGTTGTATTAACATTAATTCTTAAAACAGTAATCTAGATTTAGAATTAATCAATTCAAGCTTTAGAAATGTATAGAATAGTATGAGCACTGTGATATTAACTGTCAAACCATCACAAAGAAAAAATCAAATATCACTTCGATAGATACAAATTATAAACTGTTTTTCATTCTTAAACTAAATCTTTTAAATAGAATTTTCAATTTACAACAATTAAAAATTCAATTAAATATCAATTAGAAATATGACTGTTATCTTTGATGAAGAAGAATGGATAATTTATTTATCAAAATTTGAAGAACTAAGTTATACTGAAATTGCATAAATTACTGATGATAATTCAATATTTAATATAGTTGGAGGCTAGATTGAAATTGATCATTTTTTTATACAAGGAATTATCATATCTACAATTTTTAAAATACTAAATGCCTTGAAATTAGAAATAAGGTATTGTTATATAAATGATCTGAAATCCTTCTATCCCTAATAACTTATAATTGTAAATTTATAATCAAATTCTACTGTTGTAATGGAAAAAATAGAAATTTAACAATATTCAATCTATCAATTAAATATGGAATAATATTAAATCTAAAAATCACCGTAATTTAGAGTTGTAGGATGTTAGCTTTAATAATTATCTTAATTAACTAATTTAAACTCTAAAATCCTAATAAATGAAAACATTAATTAATTGTCAAAGTAAACTTAAAAACTAAGTTATTCTCTTATTAAAGTTGTAAGTTCAAATAGTTAAACGAAATTAATATTAAATCAAGTGAAAGTTAATTAAAACAATTGTCTAAATTACACTTAAGGAGTGCTTTTTTTTAGTCTTTCTGATTTTAAATTTGTTAGAATTGATGAGTTTTAGTGTTACCAAAATGAAGTTCAAGAATATGGATGCTTATATCTAAAAGCAGATAAATCGAATGCTAGTTAATTGGCAGTGATATAGAATTCTGTATTCATTAGAAACAAAGGAAGTTAAGGGACTGGAATATAGGTTGAGAATATTAAGCTTGTAATAAGATAATGCAAATTAATCGAAAATTATGCACTCAAAACAGGTGGAGGAATGCAGTTAGATATCAGTAACAACGAATTCCATATTTAATAATCCATATTCATATTGAATAAGGCTAAAGTTGGAGGCGGCATCTTTTTACAATAATCAAATAATTTAAATGCAGAAAACTTTTTAAATTCTTTTTTGCTTTTTAATTTCGCAGAATTCTATGCAAATAATCTAGTTGAAGCTCCAACCCATTTAAGTATCTAAATTAATCAAATGGAAATTCCATCAGTATAATAACATTTAGAAAATTAAATTATTTCAACTACTGTAATAAAACCTTATAATATTATTGAATAAGGTTAAGTATTAAGGGCCAATCAGCTAATGATTCCTAGCAATCAGTAGATCAAGAACTATAAGATATACATTCCAAAATTCTCATTATTTAAGAGTTATATTTCAATAATATCTATACATTTTAAAAATCGATTTAATGAAAAAATGGAGAATTTAGATAATTCTTCTTGTTTAATAGAGGCAACAATAAAATTTGAAAACAAAAGCTCTACTAATAGTGAGAGAATAGTTTAGAGTCTTTTTTATGATAATGATGTTAAAGCTATTGATTTAAGTTCACTCTCCTTCAGGTTTGATCCTTATTTTTAAGATAATAAAATTTTATCAATTTAATTAAATTGCAAGGCTGATAATAATGAATAATCATTGTAATACTTCATTTATGCTAAAACTTTAAAATGTTAATAAGGAGAATTTTATGTTGATAAAGGTTGTTAAGTTTGCTAACCTAATTAAGGATTCTACTCTGTAACATACAATGCTACTAAATGTTCAATTTTTGACAAAGAAAAATTTGAAAATGTTACATCAAATAAAATCAAGCTCTTGGAAGGATTTTGGAGACCTAATTACTTTTCTGATTATACGGAATAATGTGTAAAAAACAATTAATTTTGTACTGGTGGTTGGGATGTTGGAAATAATCTATGTCTTGAAGGTCATTTAGGAGGTTTATGTGAAGAATGTGATAATTTTGATGTTAGAGGAGGTGGTATGTTTTATAGAAACCTATAGAATGCTCAATGTTTTGGATGTTAAAGAATGTAAGACAGTATTATACCATTTTTATTAACCTCCATATGGTAAAAATATATATATTTTTGGTAGGGCTTTAATATCTATTTTAATAACTTTGAGAAGTATTGAAAAATCAAATAGATTATTCTCATCCCTAAAAATTAGATAAAGATTTAGCAAAATTATTTTTAAGTTGGATTAAGGTATTATATACTAATTATTAAAGATCATGAAAGTATTCTTATCAAAATGCTGCTCAACTATTTATGGATATTTTCGGTAATATTCACTTTCAACACTAATTTTTCATTTTCAATCAATTTTATTGAATTGACAAGCAATTCTTCATATTTTATGGCCAATAATTTAGATTGCTATCTATCTTCAATGCAAAGCTTTGAGCTAATCTATATCAGAATTATTGCCATGTTGATTTTAATAGTCATCCAGCTGTTGGTTATTTGGATTGGGTTTAATTGTTACTCTCTATGTAAAAACTGGATTTTCAACAAAAGTATTATTTCAAATACAGTGTTATATTTATATGTATCAAATTATGCTGCTTTAGTCAAATAGTAAATTATTCAATAATCATAGATTTTGTTCAATTCTTTCAAAAAGGGATATTTCAAATATTTCCTATCTTTAAGGAGATGTTTCCCTTATTTATGGAACCGAAACTCACATAAAATGGATGATTATTTTTGCAATTCCAGGCCTGGGAGTTATTGGTATCTTAATTCCCTTTTCTTTATTTTTTTTAATGTATGTTAATAGGGATCAATTAGATTAAATTAAGCTAAGAAGGCATATTTGTTATTTATTTAACGAATATAATTCAGAAAGCTATTATTGGGAATAAATTAAGCTCTCAAAAAAAATAATCATCATCATTATCTTGACATATTTTGAAAGTAACGTTTTACTAACAGCCTCTCTGCTTGGGTTATGCTTGCTTTTCTACTAACTTTTAGCAGTAAAATAGAAGCCATATATCATTTAAAGTTTGAACTTTTTAGACATACAAACTGGATAAATTTGTTCCATCTCTATATTTATCAGCGCAGCAAAATATGTATCAGAAAAGGAAAATGTTACACCCTTATCAGTTCTTCTTCAAATTTTTATAATTATTTTATGCATCAGATTATGCTATCCATTTATTATCAATATTTTTAGAGTCTATTTTAAGAAGTACAAATTACCATCAATTGACTTATTACACAGAATACTTAGATCAATAAAAGCAGATTGTTTTCTTACTAAATATTTGAATAATCAATTAAGAAAGTTAAATTATAAAGAGTAGCGTCGAAGAACTAATTTTACAAAGTTACGATGCCATTTAATATAAATATCAAAGCTTTAAATAGGACATCAAAAGTACTGATTATAAATAAGTAGGCATATGATTACTATGATGACCTCATAATCAACAGTGAGATATCGTTAAACTGTAACAATAACAGATACAGATATGAATAAACTTATAAGTCCTTGAACTGGAAGGATAATTCTTTTTCAAATTGAATTTATAAAATATGATTAGTAATTTAATTTTATAACAAAAATAATTTCAAAAAGTAATCATTAGTTTGATTATTTGTTTTACAAAAGTTTAAATTGATATCCTCTTTTTTTTGAACTTTCTATATTTTCATAAATATGAATAAACAATTTGATAATGCTGAATGGGTAAACATATTGGATAAATATCACCTATTGTATTTCTTTTCATAATATTTGAAAGTTATTTTATTAATGTTTAATAATCCTTTAGAAGTATTGGCAATTAATACCTAAGTCTTATTTATAAAATTTTGTAAGCAGATTTTTATTATAAAAAAGTGTAGATTATTATATTTGCAATTCATCCAATTACATCTTACTTATTCTAATATAAAGATGAAAAAATAATATATTTTTAAGTTTTAACTTTTTCCTTACCATAAAACTAACCTATATCAAAAATTATTTCAATTTTTATTTTTCTAAACTATAAAAACATCTCTATAATAGTATTCCTAAAGAATACGAACCAACTTTCATTATCTTTTGTTGCTTTATTTAACTACCTGTAGCTGAATATCGTTTGATGATAAAATTGCATTATTTAATTTAAAGTAATATTGAGATGCATACTTATATAAAATGATTAAGATTTAATTATTTTTAAGAATTAAGATAATAAAATAATGAGCACAGTTCTTAAAATCAGTTTTAAATATGTGCTATTAAATATAAGTTTTTGGAAATTATTTTAGAAATTTAATATAAAAAATCAAATAATGTAAAAATGTTTGTAAAGATTTATTCTTTAGGATAATCTTATTAAAATTTTTATTTTGAATTACAAAATTAATGTATTTACTCATTGAGATCATATTTAATAATCTGAAATCTACAATTATTGATAAAGAATTATATCTCAATGTAGGGTGTAAGTATTTTTAAATTAATCAATTTTAAATAATTATGTAAATTTGAATTATTTATAATTAATAGAAAGTAATAATTTTAAATGACCATGATTAATTCTAAATTGGTAGGATAAGGAATTGTAACTAGCAAGAAGTAAAACTGAAAAATAAGTATGTATAATATTGTAAAATAATTGTTTACTTAAGAATATGTAAGTAAACCATAAGAGTTATCAATCCAAAATTTTAAATTCGGTTTTTCCAAGTGAAATTTTGCATTAGGGGCATGAGTGTAACGCATCCTTGCAGTCGTCAATTATGCAAGGAAGACAAGAAACACAAACCAGACCAAATGAACATAACAAAAGTAAACAAGAAGCAACGTAGGTTTGTGACCCAGGTTTGCGCACAACAACAGTATCAACCTTAATTACTGGCTTTATTTACCTTTTTCTTACATTATGGGCATTAAACTTTTACCGATTTAACATGGCCATCTCCACTAACTTAAGTTGATGAAACCAATTTTATTTATTCTAAAGTGAAAGGTGTTAGCTTATTTTGTTGAGGTTCGATTGCTTGATTAGGTATCATAATTTAGTTCTAGCTTCTATCATCTGTTTATTAAATTTTATATTAGTCTGCATGACTTTAAATGTGAATGAAGATCTCATCTCCATCACTTTGTTGCATTTTCTTATTTTCTTCTGTGTTCATAATAATTAAATACTATAAATTATGAGTTTAATTAATCTGCCTGGGAAATTAACAATGATTGTTTTTATCATTTCAGAGAGATTATAGATTTCGAGTTTAAAAATTGATGATTTTGAAATTATATGTTTATAAGAAAGAACTTTTCATATTTATATATGAAAAACGTTGTTTTAATTTTAAGTAATAAAATATATTTGAAAATAAATAAAAAATAATGCAATCAGAACTTGAGATTCAGGCAGTGATAGGGTTCACAGGTATATAAAATGTTTATAATCAAAGGTAAAATAATTTAGGGGCTAGTTTTGCATCCAGATAACGAAGTATGATTTAATATATTAACTCAAAGCATGTTATTTATCCATTAGGTTCAACCATCGTAGTTAGACATATAATTACTAGACAATAAACATTTTTAAGGTATGAAAAAGTGATATATTAAATTAGAGGACATGATAATTAGATCTCTGTGATAACAGTTTCTCGAACTGGAGATTATGTTGCATCTGGATAGAAAACTTATATGGGATTCTAAGCAGACATTATAATTTGGGATTTCAAAGATAGAAGCATGATTCATAGATTGAAATTACATAAAGTGCTGATTTAATCACTCAGCTTTTCTTATAATGAATTATACTTGGCATCATTGGGAGGAATTGATGATAAAAACATGTTGATTGTTTGGGATATCAAGGCAGGAAAGGCATTGTATGGAACTCCAAATCGTGATCCAGTCAATTAAGTCTAATTTTACAACTAATCAGATGAAAAGATGATAGCAGTTTTGAATACTGGAGTTTAGATCCTAACAATAGACAGATTAAATAAAAAGGTATTATGCAATATAACTTAAAGATTCAATCCGTCGATGTGAATTTTGGTAATGTCAAAAGAACCTTTACTTGTGTTGCAATAGATAAAAATGATAAATTTTGTTATTGCGGAACAAAAACTGGAGATGTCTTTGAAATTTAAATGGATATGGCCATTTATAAGAGATTGGCCCCAGTCAAGAAGTTGTTTTCTTAAGGAGTTAATTGCTTGGGTTTATTGCAGAATGGAGACATAATAGTTGGAGCAGGAGATGGTATGATAGCCAAAGTGTCATTTCAGACAATGCAAATAGTGGCAAGCAGTGAATTGCTCGGAGGTGTCACATCTGTTTCCTTTACAAATGATTAGACTCATTTTTTCGCAGGAACAGTGCAAAGCAATATTTATTGGTTGGACACAGAAAAATTAATACCAGAATTAAGAAATACCTGTCATTATGAAAGAATTAATGATGTTGCTTTCCCTCATAATTATTCAGATGTGTTTGCCACAAGTTCTTTGAATGATATCAGAGTTTGGAATGCTAAAAATAGACAAGAGTTACTAAGAATTTAAGTGCCAAATCTTGAGTGTTGGGCTGTTGCTTTTATGAATGATGGCAAAAGCATTGTTAGTGGTTGGAGTGATGGAAAGATCAGAGCCTTTTTACCACAATCAGGTAGATTGCTCTATGTAATTAATGATGCACATATTCATGGCTGTACATCATTGACTTGCACATCGGATTGCTAAAGAATCATTTCAGGAGGATCTGAAGGAGAAGTCAGAGTATGGGAAATTGGAAAACAAACTTAAGTTATGAAATCTTCCATGAAAGAACATAGAGGAAGAGTATGGTCCATATAAGTCAGAAGAAACAATGAGCAAGCTGTTAGTGCCAGTGCAGATGGGTCTTGTATTATTTGGGACCTTAAATCATTCACCAGAGTCATGTGTTTGTTTGAAAGCACCTTATTCAAAATGGTTTTGTACCATCCAGAAGAGAGTTAGTTATTGACTACAGGAAGTGATAGAAAAGTATCTAATCATTTTATATAAGATCACTTATTGGGAAACCTTCGATGGATAAGCTATTAGGATGTTAGATGGATCGGAAGAAGGAGAAGTTAATGCTTTGGCAATTACTAAGGAAGGAGAGCATTTTGTATCAGGAGGAGAAGACAAGGAAGTTAAATTATGGGGATATGATGAAGGAATCTGCTATTTTAAAGGTCAAGGCCATTCAGGTACTATTACAAGGGTAACTATCTATTTTAAATTAGATTACTATAAGTCCTGATTAAAGGACTATTATTTCAGTTGGTGCAGAAGGAGCCATCTTTATTTGGAAGATGCCTGAATCTGTTATTAATTCGAAAGCCTAATAAGAATTACCTACTGTTTAAAGTGTTAAAAAATAAAATGATATTCAATAATAATCTTAATAATAACAATTATAATAATCAGTGCCTAAAGATGCTTAATCATAAAAATCAAATCAAAATGCTAAATCAGTCAAATCAGGAACAAAATCATCAAAGAAATGATAGAATTTCATTTACATTCATAATAAAGGATTTAAAATATATAGTTTTTCTATTTGTTATTCTAATTTGAAATAAAAAATTCTATTTTTGCATATTAAATTTCTGTTATATAATCATTGTTTAGCCTATCCAAATTAACCACCAATGTTTTTATTACTTTCCAACAAACTACCGATGTGTGGATTACTTTCCAACAAACTGCCCTTATTGATGTCACTTACAATTTAATTAACAGTGACGCCATTTTTAATATCGCTTTTTTTAACTGAATTTAACAAGTTGTAGTTGACTTAAGAATTCTAATATGACTATAACTACTATTACTATTATTACTGCAATTAATCATTCTAATTTTATTGTACTTTTTATTGATTAATTTCTTATGTTTATTTAAGTTAATTTTATTATTCTTTCAAATGAAGTTAAATTTATCTAGTAATGACTTAGTCCGTTAACTTGCTGATTTAATTTAAATCAATCTAATTTATATTATACTTCTTTGATAATTCATCTTTAAGCTATAATTTTATTGTATTTGTTAAATTGATATAATCTTTATCGTTCATCAGTTGGGTTTACATCATCAATTACTGCTATTTTTTGCCTTCAGTTGTCTCAGCTACTAGTTTTCTTGTCATTTCAAAAAGTTAGTTATTAGCCTCTAAGTGGATTTTATTATTTAAGATTTGAGAAATGCCATCAATTAAATTCCCTTCCCAAATTTAATTTTTTTCTTTTGGAATGGATGAACTGTAACAAAGGAATTAAGTAAACTAAAAAAAGCCAATAATTATATCAACTATTGCCAAATATCCAAAGAGTCCAATCAAAATATACCCACAATAATTGTAATAGGACTCAATTGCAATGAAAACGTAAAATAGAATAAAATTCAACAACAGCTGTGAACCTAATTTTCTTTTCTCATTAATCCTCTATTTAGCTGATGTAGCCTTTTTAGGTAGTTAGAAGAACTGCCAAAAATATGATATCATAGAAAATCTAACAAAAAGCCAAACTATTCCTAACCTCTTTGTAATTAACTGGTACAAAAACGTAATCAACACCATAGCCCATAAAGCTATTTCAAATTCTGATTCTTCATTTATAAAGTTTTTTCCATGGACCAGTATCAAGTTTGCATAAATAAATACTACAACTCCAAAATCTAAATAATTTTATGTTTCCAATATGTAGCCAACGTATAAACTTATGTATTTCAATTGAGGAAATTTATACAAAAAAAAAAGTTCATTATTATCTCGGTATTTATTCTCTATTTCCTTAGTTTCCATTTGAATATATTCATCCTCTTAGACTTCAATATCAAATTTGCTTTATTCATTCGATTCTTAAATAAAAAGTATATCAATATTGGAGGAAGCTAAGGATTTAAATTTAAACTCCTGCTTTTCATTCTTTTAAGCCATCAAAGCGATTTCTTATGAATAACCTTTTTCAATGATTTTATCATTAAAATGGTAGAGCTGGGTTAGTAAGAGGAACAACACAATGTTTATGGAATACAAAATTGGCAATGCAACAGCTAAAGCAGTATATCCTACGGATTTTTCAAGTAAGTTATAGATTAATTGATATGGACATTAAAATGAAAAGAAAAAACCTAATGCAATTGAAGCATACATTACATATTGAAATCGCAAAGTAATTGTGGAAAACTTAGATTTTTGAAAAAACCCATTGGAACACATTTCTAAATAAATGAAATCTGCATTTCCTCAATTAATCATTGATATTCTTTTTGTATTGGCAAAATTAATTAAATACAGTTTCAAATTAGTTAATTTTAAATTTCTATTCAACAATGCATTATGTAATAACTTTTAATTCTTTACCTGAATGTTCATTCATAAGTCTAGGTAATATTGAATTATATCCTAAAGCCCACGAATTATCAATATATTCATTAGCAACCTTACGTATATAATCATCAACAATAGGTTGTATTCGCTCCCATTAATAAATGCAAGAAAGGGGATTATGAAATTATTTAATTTTAAACATGGAGTCGATTTTAAAAGCGATGTCAGCAAAATTTCCTTATTAATTATTCCAAAATCTCCCTTTATAACTTAATTTTTTCAAACATTAAATTCCAAAATACTTAGTTTCCTTTGCTAAAATTTCAAACAACTATAAGATATTTATGTCTTGACTAAAAACTTCGTTACTTGATGCAATCGTAACAAACTTTGGTTAAATTAATTTTAGAATTCCTTAATAAATCCATCTAATCAGATCCAATTTGCTTAATTCATTTGCGAAAACAAAATAATAACCATTTTAATCTGTAATTTAAAAATAGATGCAATGATTGGTCGAACTCTTAAACTTTTAATGAAAAGGAATGTATTTTGTTTAATAAAAATTTAAAAACACCTGCTCATTAGATAGCATTAGTTTCTTAAATGCAGATTTACCATTTATTATTATGATAGGTTTTATTTTTGTTTCTGGCTTGCTATACACCTACATCTATTGAGTTAAACTTTAAAAATCTTCATTTTAATAGATTAATATTGCAACATTTGATCCTGGTAATGAAGTTCTCTATTCTTAATTTTGTGATTTATTCTAAGTGCGAAATCCTTTTTAAAAGCCATATGATCCTGCATTAGGTTAGAGAGATTTGGGTCCAAAAATTTAATCAGGTAGGCAGTCCTCTAAGTTTGATATTTTTTGTGTCTCTATTAGCGGTTGACGCACAAAATCTATATATTTTTTCATATATTCTATTTTTTTTAAGAACTAAAGCTATTGAGTTTGCGATATGAATTCAAGGATCCCAAACTTATCAAGTGAAAGTGGGAAAACATGATGCTATTTGCTTTTTTAATCTTCTAATTCTATTTGAAAAGGAATGTCGTCATTCTCATCAAAAATTATTATACAGTCTATTATTGTATGCTGATTCATTAAATTTAATATTTATTATTGATCTATTTATTATTAGCTAGAAGAGACGATTCAATTTTTCTATCTAATAATTGACTCTTTTTTTTGAAATTCAGAACCAGAGACAGATTAACTATTACATAAGGAGTCATCATAGGACCTATATAGATTTTTACGCAATTGTATTATATAACTTTCAAGAAGATTTTCTTGATAATTGAGATTTATTTAATAATTAAATATATTTAATAGTTATGTATATAATCATAAAATAATGATATATTAATAATAAAATAATGGCAGAACAACTAAAATTTACACATCCCTTCCCTAAATTGCTATTTGATGACAGCCACATTCAATTTAAGAAATACTCCAAATATATTATTGATACAGATGCTGGATCTGATGACGCTCATGCAATTCTTATTGCCTCTTATATTCTGAAATATATTCGAACCGATGCAGAATTGATTGGAATAACAGCAGTGGCAGGTAATGCTGCACTTGAAAATGTGATCAAAAATGTAATTAATCTAATCTAATCCTCAAGGTGTACATTACAACTAGAATTGGACATTTTGGAGATAATCCTCCTAAAATATACAAGGGATGTAGAACAGATACTTTACGAAGGTTTTATAGAGATAATTACTTTTTGGAAGATGGATTAGGCGGATAACAATTGAGATTATTAACTGAATTAGGATTGTAAGATAAACCATTGGAATATTTCCATGAAAAACAACATGCTTGTGATTTCATAAAGGATTCAGTCTACAAATATGGAGAGGACTTATGTATAATTTGTATTGGGCCCATGACTAACATTTACTTAACATTGTAAATGTATCCAGACATCGTTGATAAGCTTGGATGTTTATTTGCCATGGGAGGAACATATATGGGTGTAGGCAATGCAGCAAATTCAGTAGCTGAGTTTAATGTGTAAACAGACGTTGAAGCAACAGCAGCAGTAGCTATGGCAAAGTTTAAATAAAAGATGTTGTTGCCATTTGATGTCGTTTTAGCATACACTTTAGATAAATAGAATGGCAAAGTCATCTTTGAGAATGGAGCTAATACAAAGAAATCTCAATTTGTTGAAAGTATCTTCAAAGCTGTAAGTCACGATGGAAATTACATTCTTTGTGATGGTATATTAATTTAAAAATCCTTTTATAGAATTGGCTGTAATGGTGGCACTGGTACCAAGTTTGATAATTTATTCTTTATAAAAGAATATATCTATTGTCTCTGATGGGCAGGCAAGAGGATAAGTCATCATTGATTGGTTGACATTGATGAGAGGAAATCAAAAGTCAGTAGTCAGCATTCTAACAGCCTTTGAATGGGATTCTGTTATTGAGATAGCTACTAAGGCTAATTAGGATCAATAATGATATATAAAGATCAAATATTTACATTAATTTAAGAATTAACATTCATAATTCGAACTCGTATTATTATTCTTCAATTTTTGGTTAATAATTTAGCAAATCTCCTGGATCATCCACTTTTAATAATTTATTAATAAAAGGGATCAAGTATATAAGAAGGAGAGTCAATTCCAAAAAGTAGAGTAAACCAATACAAAAAAACTGAACAAAAATATTACTATCAATGGAGAGTAAAAATTGCTTAGTTTGTTTTCTACAATAGTATGGTAACATCAAACCTATTACTAATACGATTGTTCTTATTACTCCTTTTTTAGTAAAGAATTTATGACTGTAAAGTTAAGGATCATAAATCCCTTTTTTATATAGTAAACTAATAAAGATAAAATAGGGAAATGAAATTATTGATATTCCAATTATATCATGTTTTTCAAAAGATGTATTATAATACTTATCGTTACACTTTTATTGAGAGTCAGCCACATCCTTCCAATTCTATTTGAGTTGAGCAAGAATCTACGAATTAATGCAGCCATAATACATCATAAATGATACAGTGATTGTCAAAATCAAATAAATTAAGAGAGCTATTTATTACCTGTTAAAAGGTTCTTTCTATATTGTTTAATTCAACAGCTATATTATTTTATCTTGCATTCCACAATTATAGAAAATAAATAGCAAGTAAATTCCCATAATCCATCCAAGCATAACTTAATTTAAAAAATGAACCCCAAAATAAACTCTGGCTATTCCTGTTAATAAAATAAAAATAATTAATATTGAGCATTTTATTATGCGATTCTTCCAACTAATTTCATTTGATTAGGTTTACTCAGGTTGAATCATTAAATATAATTCTTCTGATTAAACTTAATGAGAGTTTTCTGATTGTTGACTATTTTGGGTTTACAGCATGTTAAATAAAATGGCGTAAAATACTAAAGCCCTACATGCATGTCCACTAGGACCTCCAAAACCATATTAGCAAAAATCCAATTAAATTGTACTATCAATGTAAAAAGGCCTTGGCTATTTTAGTATCATTTTCACAAAGTCCCCAAAGAATGACGAAATAGAATACATTATTATTAACTATAAAGTTTACAGCTTATTTGCCTACTTCAACCAGAGGTAGATCAAAATATAATACATTATATTCCTATCCCCCAGGGTAGAAAATACATAAAATATTAGTTCTTTTATTTGCATTAATAATTACCAATGAATCCCCTCAGGTCCCCAAACTCAAATTATCCTTATAGAAATATAGTGATGCGGTTGCTCATTTCAAATGATAAATATCCAAAACTATAATCTAAATAGATATAGAGAATCAAGATTAGCGTTGAAATACTAAATTTTATCATAATAAATTAATCTCAAATATTACAAATTAATGACATTAAATATCATCAAAGATTTACATTGTAAAACTCTCTAATTTCCGATTCAATTATTGTAAATATCTCCTCTCTTAATATTTGAATGCTGTTCTTCTCATTCTCCTTCATGGAACAGAGTCTCACCTTATTCATATTGTTCTAGTTTTTAATGATTGAAGATAATTGATTGGCATTCTCTTTGAGTGTAACAATTATCATAATTGTTGGTAAAATTAGTTCTAATTTAATTATATTAGATGTTTACTATGACTTAAAAATAGCTTTAACTTTTCAGCGTCTGCAATTTCCTCTAATATTAGTAATAGTCCAACTGTGAAATTAGGTTTGAATAGTTCGGATTATTTAACTACCTCAAATAACGCAGGAGTTACTTAAACTTTAGTACCAAATTCAATCTCCTTTTTAGTTTTAGTGTAATCAGCACAAATTTCTTGAATTCCATTTGAGTCTTTGGAAATCTCAAAGCTTTAATAACTTAAACAATTATACTAATCTTTGAGGGTTTGCTGATGGGTACCACCAAAACCAAAGAGCTTCCCTGAATTTGTTTGATTGTATTAAAATAGCTATGATCCAATTAATGTCAGGAACTGCTAAAAAATGTTTAATTATTAGTGAGATATGTGATGTAATTAGTTTGAGTTCTAGGTGAATTCAAAAAAAATATTAGTTTATATTCGAGTTTTTGCAATCTAACTTAAAAAATTTCTATTTTGATTAATTTAAAATGATAGCAATTTTAACGAACCACAAGAGGCCTAGTATTTTAATATAGTCATTTACATGATTGTGGTTGTATAATGAAAAGGTTTTTGACTGAGAAGCCATTATGTCAGAAATAGAAATTTCTAAGCTTCCTATAAATTTATGTTTTGGGGGATTCTTTTTAGAATGATCCCAACATTCTATTTTAAAATTCTTGGATTCATCTTAAAAATTCATCAAGCCCATATCTAATTAGAATGGCATCCAAGTTGGATTTAAGTTACTTTCAATATATTCTGTCTAATGGATTTGATTCCATTATTCTCCATCCCATTAATAAAAATACAAGAATGGATCTGAACGACCGAATAATCCATCTGTGTTTAGCAGCTTGATTCCTGCCCAATGCTGGTATACTAAGTTCCCTTGCTATATCAATTATGATTATAATTATATTGAATAATGATTATTTTCTTTGACTTGGGTTCCTTTCTACAATAATTCCCCCAGTGAAAACTAAATATTCTATATTATGTTACATATATTGATCCAATGGAAGCTTTTTTGTCAAGGCTCACATCTATCCTATAGCTTTGAAACTTTTTAAAATCAAAGTTAGCCTAAAATGAGGATTTCCAATAATCATTTTCCTTTTCCATTATAAGGGTTTGATTCACAATCTTAAATATCTGTTCGCTTGATTCTTTGTATGCCAGAGAAACTGTAACTTCTTTTGGCTTGAATTCCTTCAAGAACAGCGTCATTCCAACAGAAATGTTTTTAAATATACTATCTTATTTCATCACCACTCAAAATGATATTTATAATTATTAATGGATTTTGATGTATTTAAGAAAAATAAAAAATATTAATTCAATTTATTAATATATTACGAACAATTCAATAAATATTCAGTTAATATATTCTCATAATTAATGTGTGTGATTCACTACTAGCTGAATAGAAAAGTGTGTTACGTTATTAATATGATTATTTACTAAATCTCATAAAGTTGTTGAATCTAATTTATGGAGCATATCTTTTAATTACATAGGAATATATTATGAAAGTATGTTAAATTCATCAATTTAGGTTATTATAAACCAAATAGCTTTAATTTCTAAGGATTGCCAAGGTAATAATTTTTTCAGATTTCAGCATAATTAATTGTGTAACATTATTAATAAAATAATATTTTCTCAATTTAATTATAATTAAAAGTAATGTAATTTTGAGAATTTAATACTCAAACAGTAGGGAACAACATCAATCTGCAACTTTTTATGAATACCAAAATAATTTAAGTTTAAGGGTCTATGTTTGCGGAGTAACGGATTCATAATTTTTGAAAATAATTAAATAATGGCATTAGATAATATATATAAAAATTCAAATCCAAGGAAGTAATTTATAACCACAAGGCTGGGAACTTTTATAGTGGGGAGTTTCTATATATTTCAGTGATTTTTAAAAAAGTTGATATTCCTCCTCTGTGTTCTTCTTATTAAAGTAGTCTATCTAGTTTACGTAGAGTCTTTAGGGATTTAATAGATGGGATTTCAACGGTTCGTCTAATTTGAATATCCAGAACTCGATGAAGACGATTTAATTCGGATTGACTTGTGTTCTTTTGAACATCTATCTTTGCTCGATTCGGCACTTGTATTGGGCTCCCTCATAGGTGTTTATATATTGATCAAAATATTAAACACTAGAGATGGATCCAATGGTGAGATCACACCACATTTTTAATGAACCACCAATATCAAATATTGAGGGGAGTGTTTTGGTTTCATGGAGATGGTTAAACATCATATCAGAAGTCACTCCCATCAGAGTGTAAAATTGATCATTGACTATTCTTTGTGAAAGTGAACTATTGTCCTTGTTCACTTTTTAAATTATACATTGATACGGGTAGTCTTTAGCTATTTGTTCAACTTCCAACAACTCTTCATTTGATATATAGTAATGTTGTGTGTATTCATTTAGTATGTTAAATCTTTAGTTTACCAGTTGGATCGCCAGTTAAGCGCACGGGTCGTCTTTATGAGAAAGAATATTAATAATTTATTCAATGGAATAGTTGTCCTGATCGAGAAGTTCGAGAGTGTAGAAATAGACATCGCCAAGTTAATCAGTGCGAGTAACTCTGTGGTTGTAGGTGCAAGGAGTCTCTTTCAAATTTCCCAAGCAGTGGTCAGGTATGTAAGAGAGAGCTAACTTTAGTTCCACATCCGCTTTAACAAAGACGTATTCCCCAACGGATTTTGGCACTGATACGATACAAATCAATTATTTAATAGGCTAGCGCTTATGATAAGCATTTTCTATCGATTATTGATATATAATTACTCTTTTTATTTACACTTTTGGATTATAAAGAGATACTAGTCGACTCATCGTGCATGCTAACACGTTGCCTTACAATTTTACTCATTGCAAAATACCTAATTTATTAATTTTTCTTTAAATCCAAAATTCGGGGATATATTAGCACACAAGATATTTCGTATTATAGGATTCAAAATACGTAATTTGTAATTATTAGAATAATATATATAATTGTTATAAAAATTTAAATATTTTTATAAAAACCTATTTTCCTCTTTAAAATTATGTTTATAATTAAATAAAATTAGATTTTGTTAAAATAAAACAGAACTTTAATTTTATCTAATACATTATATTCACTATTACTTTTGACAATTCAAATTTCAACATGTAAATATTTTTATAAATCTCTCATTTCAACCAGAACAAGTATGAATTGATAAATGGATTCCAATTTCATTTCGAATTAGTCTTTCTCGATTAAGTATTCTTTTTTTCAATACATCAAAATGCTTTATTCACACATTCTTAATCTATGTAAATCAATCATATTATTTATAAATCAGTTCACATATTAATTAATAATTAGTTAAAATTAATGACAATCTTAATATGCTTATTGCAGATGATAGTTTTTACAGTTTCTGCATCCAAGAAATCCAAACAGAAACAGTATGAGTATTTGAATGAGAAAGTCTTGTTTGTTGTGCTTACAGTCTTTGGTAATTGTGAATTATTATTAAGAGTGAGTTTGATTTCTTTCTGCATTTTGATCTTTATCATACTGGCATGTCTACATCAAGGAGGTTTTAGATTGATTAGACAGGAGAAGTTAAATTAAAAGAAAAAACAATAGGAACAATAAATGATTGTGATAATTCCGTCGAATGAGAAATAGCATTACAATCAGTTCCTTTAGGACGTCAACTAATCGTTAGATGTTAGCAGATTATCAGAAAATTAATGTTGATATTTGTGTATAAAATCATTTCAATTCAGCTGTTCTTTTAAAAAAATCTATAACTTCATTTTGAGTCCATAGAATAATCAATTTGCATTTGTATGGTATCAGGGTCATCTGGAGATCCATAAGGTAGTTAAACTCATCCTTAATGTCTAGATGAAGTAATAATAATAATTGATAAGGAAATTATTGAACATCTTAAATCCTTGAAATTATATCATGTGGATGTCCTTGATGGTATGATAAAGTCATAAATATTATATGAAGTTTTCTTGATTCAATTGTGAAATCGCTTTTAACATCTTAAATCTAGTATAATTTATCTAATTATTTGAAATACGAATATTTATTAATAAGGTTTTGGCTAATAATCATTATAATTATTAATTGTTTAAAGGATAATAATTGATGAATATATCATTTCTTTTTGGATACTTTAGCAATTTTAACAGATTTTTAAGCAGCATCATCCAAATCTGTGGCTGTCGTGATGGATACTTTGGTTTATGATTTAGCAAATTCGTCCAACATTTTAGCTCCTAAAAATGAGCATAATATTTACCTTGTTGAGAGTTGGTTCCAGTTAATCTAACAACCAAAGGTGTTTTAAGATCAACCAATTAAGCTGCTTTGATGATACCTTCAGCAATGATGTTGCATTTCATGATACCTCCGAAGATATTGATGAGGATGGTCTCAACTTTGGGGTGAGAATTCAAGATTTCGAATGCAGTTTTGACTTATTCAACATTGGCACCACCTCCAACATCTAAGAAATTGGCAGGATCTCCTCCATATAATTTGATGATATCCATAGTAGCCATAGCTAATCCTGCTCCATTAACCATGCAGCCAATATTTCCATCTAAGGCAACATAATTCAATCCAGCGGCCAATGCCAATTCTTCATGAGGATCTACTTATTCAGATGCAACAGATGTCTTTCTCAATTCAACCAATTCCTTTTATCTGAATTTAGCATTGTCATCAACATTAATCTTAGCATCGATACAAAATAATTTATTCTTTGGATCTGTTGCCCATGGGTTGATTTCAACTTGGGTAGCGTCAAGAGTAATGAACATCTTGTATAGATTCTTCAATTATTCAATTGCTTATTATCTGACTGCTTATAATTACAAAGTGTCGATCACTTTATTGGCAATTTGATCTGTTAATCCAGTATTCACATCAATTGGTAATACTATGATACTGTTTGGATCAGTCTTAGCAACTTCTTCGATTTCCATTCCTCCGTTGATCGAAGCAACAATAGCTGGTTTTTAGGAATTCCTATCCAAAATAAATGCTAAATATAATTGACGAACTATATCCACACCTTCATGAACAAGCACTGCATTTACTTATAATCCCTAATCAATAGACGAAAATGCATACTTCTTTGGGTGTTTAATGAGTGACCAATTTGTATCCAATCATTTATTTGGTATAGTTGGCTACTTCTTCTGGAGTTTTGCAGATCTTGACTCCTCCTTTCAATCCACTTGATAGAGTTCCTTGAATTTTATATGTCTTGTATACCTTTGCCTCTTCCTCCTGCATGAACTTATGACTTCAAAATCAATCCACCACTAGGATCAAGTTTTTTAGCTACTTTGGCTGCGTCTTCTGCATTCAAGGCAATTTCTCCTTTCTACACTAGTACATTGAATCTTCTCATCAAATCCTTACTTTGATATTCATGAAGATCAAAGCATTTTACAACCTTGTGTTATAATGCAGCCAACCTTGCAATTCGATTGAACATTTATTTTAAATCTTTTTATGAAATCAAACCAATATAAATATATTATATCATAATTTTCCTAGATGTCTTCTCACCTCCACTCTATTCCCAATTCTAAAGGTCTTGTACATTTTGGAGAAATACCAATCACACAATTTGCCTACTATCCATATATTACATATACCTATGAATGTATTTTCTGCAAAATTCAAATCCATCAAGTGAACAATCGAATTCATCAATCTTATATCTCCAAAATACTCTTTTCCTTCCTTTTGTTCAGACAAAACCAAATTGCACATTTGTGTAAATATCATTAAACTAAATCCAAATAAATGATTTTTCATTCCCAAATCTATCTATCCAAACAACCCATGATCAAAGTTTTTCACTATTTCGTCAATCATTTTTGGGAATTTTTGAAAAAACGACTTCACCATAAAAAATGTGAATGATTATGTGCATTTTCCCAATCTAATTTTATCACTCAAGTCATAAAAGTAAGAGATTGGAATCCACTTGCAATCTTATAATTCCTATACATTTAATGTAACTTGGGGTTACTCACCTGAGACCATAAAGACATGACTACAAACTTTTAACCCTTTTGGAGCATCCTTGATCTCAATATTGTTTGGAAGACGACCCAAATAGAATGTTTGGTGTTTCCTCAAATCCACATCCACTTCCTCCATCACTTCTCTTATCACAGCCTCAAAGTCACTCTCCTCATTGTCCAATTTTCCACCAGGAAAGCAAATCTCATTTGAATGTATGTCTCGTAGATTGAATTAACGTTAGCAAACCATCAATTTACATTCAAAACTTTCCTGTCTCAACAATTCCAATAAGTGACTTTAGCTGCAAATGCTCTTCATGTGAGCCTATCCTAAGGTTGGCAATTTTGAACTTATTGTATTTGGTGTCCAAAAAATGATTGCTACAGCAGCCTATTTTAAATTTGATTATTCTTTGAAGAAAACCTAGTGTTTGTTTTTGGCTCTTTGATTCCCATTATATACGTACCATATAAATTTGGCATTCTTATTCATTAATTTAATTTAATTGAGAAATTCTCAAGTCAATTAAAATTCATATATACATTTATTTATATTATTTAATCCTTAAAGGAATGGATTCAAATTTTAAATTACCATTTTAAAAAGTCCCTTCTCCAAGATATGCAAAGTGACGCTTTCCATAGAACCATTTCATAATTTTACTATTTTTTGTAGTTAATAAAACATAAAGACTGATTTAATCAATAGATTTTTTCAATTCCTACTTTAGCAAGACAGGGGAGATTTTGAATTAGTAGCGACCCTCAGCGATAATTTGCTTTGCTGAACTCGTCTGACTAGGATAGAGTTATTTTTCATTTCTAACCAATTGTCCTGAATTTTTTCAATATTTGCTGATTTTATATTATTCAACAGGATAGGAACATTATTAATGTCCAAATCTTTCTTCCTTTTTTAATGCCCACTGGCATTAATACATCCCATATCTATTTTTTATTATTAATTAATAAATTACTACTCAGTGAAAATATATGTAATGCAAGAAAATTTTATCCAGAATAATTAATAAAAAACAAGGAAAATATAAAAGGTATAAACTCAATTAATAGATTTGATCACATTAACTTAATAGTTTTACTTGATAGTATTCTGCTGAATAGGGTTCTTAAAATTAAAATATACTGATGTAAAGTGAAGTAGGTTATATTTAATTTCTAAATCCTAGCTTTCTTTTTCCATCAACTGCTTTTCGAAATTTTAAGGCAGCAGCGGGTTTGCTTCAGCGATGCCTTCAAATGTAGATATGCGAGCCATATTGTTGTTTTATTGAACAGCCAAGCATTCCTAAATGTCCGAAGTAGAAAACCCAACCTTAACACTGTTTTTGCTTCCTTGCGTCTCCACAATACTAAACTGCATTTGGCTAGTCAGATTATCAGATGATATCACTTGTTCGTCTTGAGCAGCAATAGTTTTGACGTTTAAGTTGATTTATGTTTCGCCCATAAATGGCCTAAGATATTTATAGATGATATACTTTCTAATTGTCACGCAGCTTTAAAAATTGAGATCACACGAATTCCTCTGTTTTTTGTGGTGTTTCTTCTTTTCTAATTTAATTGCTTAATTGGTCCAATCCAATCCCAATTCAACCGTGTTTTGTAACTTGGATAGGAACAAGCCTCTCAGCATTGCGTACTTGGGCTTAGCACTTGGCTTTAGTTCCTTGACATATTTCATATACCTAAATTAAATTGAGGATGTACTTGAGCATTGAATTGGGGCACCCAAAACACAAATCTTCCAATAAGGCATTTTCTTTCAGCCTACCAATTTTGTCTAATCTTTGATCGTCTGCTTTTTCGATTTTCATCCAAGGCAAGTGTTGCGTGATTAGGTAGATGAGAACATACCCGAGGGATTCGAGGTCGTCTTTGGGTGTTTGTTCTATTCCTTGATGAGCTGCGAGACTGGCGTATCTGCTGGTGCCGATAAATGAGAATGATTTCTTTTTGTTTATGAAATTTGAATCGGAGTCTTTTGAAATTCCGAAATCAATCAAATAAATCTTGTCTGAGCCATTTTTGCTCAGTATATTTTCTGGTTTGATGTCTCTATGAATTATATTCCTAACATAAATCATTAATTATACTTTTTGTGCATCTATTCCAAAATCCACAGCAATTGGTAAGCTATACTATTAATACACTGTGACGACAATTGGCCATATTGTTTCTGATAGTAGATGAGATCGTGTCCCAGCATTTTGGTTACCATAATGTTGCATTTCTTATACTCTCCATGCCACAACAATTCAGGAATTGATGGAACTCCCTTCAATTTGCCCAACATGTCGATCTTGAGTTAGAAGAATGTGTTACTTCACGCACTAGAGTGCCAAAACTGGCCATCTCCTTTTTCTCCACCTTAATTGCTACTCCTTTGTTTGTTTTCATGCATTTCCCGTAAAAAACTATTCCAAATGAACCTTGTGACAGTTTCTTTATTATTTCGTATTGATTGTCGATAATGTCCCCTATTTAAATTTAGAGCATTAATTTATTATTAGAAAGAGAAGCAGAATTTAATTTAGTTATGTTTTATAGAAGAGATTAAATGGGAAATAATAAGCGAATAATTTGTATATTCGAGAATCTTATTCCTTTTTGGGTTTATAAAATCCTATAATTAAATTATAAGAATGATTGAAATAACAAAATATCACTTCTTAATTTTAATAAAATGAGGAAGTGAATTATTATTTGGTATTTTAAAAGTGTATTCAATAATTTATTACAAAACAAAAATTAATCGTATATTTTTAGTGTCCTTCAAATATATGTAATTTTGTATAATTAATTAAAATGGGAAGTTGTCAGTCCTCCAACACCGTGGATGTGTAATGCAATCACAATCGACCCCACATAGCAATATGTCTGGGCAAGGCATGCACAAGAGACGAGGGAGACAGAAGACTATGCGAAGAATGTCTGGTTGACCATATGTGCAATGATCGCATCACGATAGATGATGGTATGCAGTGATTCTCTATTGAAAAGCAATCAAGTTCGATAGTTACGGGATTTAGGAAATAGTGGACAAGTTTGATCGAGATTAAAATTCCCCTAATGCAACTGGTGGATTAACTTAAACCTTAGCGAATTTTAAAAATAATTTCTTTGAGAGCTTTAAATCATATCAAGGATATTATGACATCTATTTGAATCAGTATCTACTTTAAGGAATGCCTGATGCAGAACTATTTGGAGATGCCGCTAGTTAAATTGTGGAGGCATTTGAAAAAAATGATTTAGGTTATATCTAAAAATAAGGATGCTAGATATTACTCAACACATACAACAATCCATCATTGATCAAATAGATAGTCGGAAATTTGGACTAGGCATCGAAGAAGATCTCAATATATTAGAGTTAAGTGGAATAGAAAATGCGGAGGTTATAAGACTCATTCTTCAAGGAACTTCTCTCATTGCCATATAATACTGCCAAATCATTCAATGGTTCCATTTTGAGCATTGATCCAAAAACTTATTCATATGAATTCTCAGCTTATTTGACCACTGTCGATACAAATAGGACGAGTGGTTCATTGATTTCGTTGAATTGCACTGATCACAATCAAAAAATCTAGGTGATCTGTTGTGATAGATGTCCCAATAAAGACGTAAGATTGTGTGGTCAATGTTTGATAACTCATAAATGCAATGCGGGATAGAGAATTAAATTGAAATCTTTCGGTTAGGATCAAGCTGCAATAATTGAGGCTGCTATGAAGTACCAAAAGAAGGTAACCCTGCTTCTTGATATACATATAGAAATAAGAGATATAGGATGCTAAATCCAAGGTAAAAGCCTTATTTGAAGACCTTATGAGGTAGAGCATTAAGGAAATTGAACTGTTGGGATAGAACTCTAAACGAATGATGCTGGATTCTCAGTTGGATGGGATCGACTCGCAGATCAAGCAGGAATTGCCAGCTTACGTAAATAAGTTAAAACTAGTACATATTGATATTTTATTAGTGGTATTTGCCAATCGAAGCATGGTGAGTTTAGACTAAAGAGGTGTGGCAATCATTGCTTACTTGATTCAACATCCAGAAATAAAAAACTAATTGGTTGCCTTTGATGCATCCAGCAATGCAGTTTAATTCTTGAATAAATTAGTTGTCTAATTAGAAGACGTCTCCAAGAGGTTCTTATAGAGTGTATCCCAAGTTGAAGACAGTATGATTGATTATAAAATATAGTTGCCACTTTTGAAAAGAAACCAAGTTAAAATCTGGAATCCTCTTAAATATTCACAACCAACATTGTGGCCAATTATGGTGCCACCATAACTCCTTTGGGCTTGAACCAGTCATTGTAAAGGTAACCATCAGCTAATTTAAATTTCAAAACAGATTAATCTTTTGAGAATAAAATAGATGCTTGTCCTGTAATCAAAGTGCTTAAAGATTTTGGAGAAGATCAAGACAACTATGTGAGTGACATCATCTTCTATTAAAATCATCTGATCGTCTCAACTGTGGATGGATTGATCGTTATTTATAAAGGTATCGGGGACAATAAGATTGGAGAATATTAATTTGAAGGCAAATGCACTAGCATCTGTGGATTTGTATATCAAGGCAAATTGGCGGTGGCTGCATGGTAAACTTAATATTCTAAGCGTGTAGCATTGGTAATTTCGAAGAATAGATCATTGGAATAGTCACTTTTGAAAAGACCATATCTTTTTAAGGTCAATTACAAGGACACTCTGATCCGATTTTGATGATAAAACAATTGATAAAACCAGAATATCTGGTCAGTTGTTCAGGAGATCATAGTGTCAAGATCTGGGATACTAGCTCAAGTGGATTATTGGACAGCATTAAGGCAAAGACCATCAACAATCATAAGATGGCAGTCAGGGATGTCATTCTAATTAATAGTAATCAACTCGTATCTGGGTCGTTTGATGAGACCATCCAAATCTATGATCTGAAATCAGATCGAATCATCTATGCCATCCAATGCGAGGATTGGATTTATTGCGTATAATTTTGAATTGATTGCAGTTACAAAACATCACAGAGAAAGCGTTTGCTGCAGGCACTGGCTCTGGAGATGTTAGAATTATTAGTACGTCTAATTATAGCGAGATGCAGAGAGTCAGAATCGCTCCCAATTACATTAAGAGTATCATGGTGTTTTCTAATCCCAACTACATGTTCTTATCATGCAAAAATAGAGACAATTACATCATTCGCATTTAGGAATATAGACAAATCGATTACATTACGAAGACTGATGAAGTTGACTTTGTTCCTGAGGGGATCTGCGTTATTGACAATTACATCTTATATGGAGAGGCCAATTCAGTTAAAATTAAATATGCTAGTTGATATATTATATTTTATATAATATAATATAATTTTAATATGTTTGAGGATAGATATCAAAATCTATTTGCATCATCCAATAAAATCGCTGCCTTATCTATTGATTGTAATTATTACATTTGTTATTCTAAGCCAATTACATCAAGAGTGGAAGTCTTCGTAGAATCTTTAAGAATGTTCAATATGACGTTTATGAGAATCAACAATTATAAGAATTTAAGTTATATCTTGATTCAATTCCTGTTGAGTATCTAAAAGAGTATTGATAATCTTATAATGTTTGAGAGTTCAAAATGATTCTGTACTATTGCGGTTCTTGTATGCTCATCAATTTGTAAAAGAAGACACAGTTAATTATTTTGTGGATCACTTGAATTGGTTAAACAATCCAGAAACCATGAATTTGGAAGATATCCCATAATATTCTAAATTAGTATAAATTATTGGGAGAGATGAAATGCTAAGACCTGTGCTTCACATTTCCTTAAGTCTCCCCCTCGATGACTTATTTATTAAAGCAATCTCAAATAAACTTATTATTATGGAAGATTATATGTTTGTTCCCGGTAAAGTAGAGAGTTGGATTATAATTGTTGATTTAAGTCAAACTAGCCAAAATATTGAACCTGAATTAATTGAATAAGCAATCAAACACTTTGTCACTAATTTTCCTATGTCTTTAGAGCAAATCTATTTTTTAGAAGTAAATTTGAAATTGAAATAAATTGGTGAAAATGTTTTAAGACTACATGAAATAAAAAAATTGAATTTTTCTCATAAAATAACAATTATGGACAAAGCAAAGTATGAAAAAGAGAAAATCCAATTTTTATATCCAGAATACATTCATTTATTTGAAACTGATCATTTACCTAATCAAAACATACCGTAAAACCAATAGAATTAATCTTCAATATTTTAATAATAGCCATCATAATCCTCTTTTCTACTTCCATCCTCTCCAAATCAAGTGATCCATAATTAACCTCATCAAATAACACAGCCACCAGTTCAGTTAATTCTTAATTAACCGCAACCTACTTTTTATGGTCTCCCACCAAAATTATCAAATGATGTAGAATTAGTTGGACCACTCTATCCTATGATTGTATATGCCTCTGCCTTACCATAACCATATGTACCAGAATATCACAAAAAGGAATTCTCAATACAACCTGCAACTCAAGTAGATCCTCATCATCAGTTAATCAATAGCAATTAAACTAACTATTCTCATAATATCCCTAATAATTTCAACACTTAGAACAATTCTCAAAAATATCAAGGTGGTTATTCCAATCCAGATCATCTTTTGTAAATTATTATTCATTTATACTCTTAGTAGAACCAAATATGACGACATAATCGACTAATATAATTGGAACAAATATGGAGTAACTCAATAATAACCATCTGTTGAGCCTGAAGTAATCATTCATGATGTAAATATGCACATTTCCTCATCTCTTCAATAACATACATCGTTAATCCCTACAATTTAAGAAACACAATAAGCAATTAAAAAAAATGACTTCAATTTTAATCGTGACATCTATTCAACCTATAATAATAATAATCATTTCTAAGATCCTCTTTTAAACTATAAAGATCATTTCCCTTAAATTTCAGAACATCCTAGCTTTACACATTATGAACATTAACCAGACCCTCCAAGTAAATACACCAAGATCCCACCTATTGATTCAGTGACTCCATTTAATTAATATCATTAAGGGTTTGGAATTGATCCATAGCTCCATCAACCATATGAGAAGATAGACTCCTATCCTCCCATTCATCATTTAATCGAAAAGAAATATGATTTCGGTCCAATTCCTAATAGACCATCAGAACACTCATTTACGAACTCCTAAATTACCTATGATAAACCCTTCATTCCTGATCGCAGCTCTCTTGACACTCCAATCACAACCATGAATTACATTCAACCAAAGTACTAAAGTTATGTGCCGTAGACATTAAATAATAGTCAATTAAATTACTAACCATCGCATCCTAAGACAGTTCCTTTGTCATCAATTCCCTAACATTTTGACTATTCTCCTTACAATCCAAAACAGCTTTTAAGTCCCACTCCAAGCAGTAACAATCTATACACTGCACCTAATTATCCCATTCCTACCATCAAACAAATTGAACAGACTAAAATAGTAGAGTAAGATGGAATCAAATTCTAAGATGAGACCATGGTTATAGGTGACAATGATCATAGATAAACCAAATCTTCTAATAGAGATCCTGCATTGGAATAATAACAATGTGCAATATATTGATATTTTTATATGAATATTTAAATATTTAACAACTATAATTAATTATTATTAATCAAACTAATTTAGGATACTTATTTATATGAATAATATCAAAAATGAATTCGAATATAATATTAATTAACTTGATTTTGTTATTTCACTGATGCTATGGTTATACTATTCAAAGTCTAAATCATTAAATCACTTTAATATTAAAATAAATGGGTTGTTCGTAAACTAAGACAAAATAATCAATATTGGCCAATCAAAATTATTTGCAATCTGCTCAGAACGAGGCTATGACTCAATCAAATATTGAGAAAGACAATATTAAGTATAATATTCTGAAGAATCCTATCATTATAAGAAGAACGGAAAGAAGAAATAAGTTGCCTAACACTCCAGCTGATACTCTAACATGGATCTAATGATTATCTTTATATATTTGTGCTCAATTTATTTAATTACAAAATTATGTCAGATGAAACAGTAGCATCTTTTTGAATCCTTTTTAATTTTTATACATCTTTAATTCATAATTTTTTTTAATTTTAATTATTCTCTAGTTTGTAAGATAAGCATTTCAAAAACAAATGACTATCTGAATGAATATTTATTTCAAATCAAATAAGCTTTCATAATATTGATATATATTCTTATTATCATCACGTGAGAACATAGATGGAAAACGAATTTATTTGAAGGAATTCAAAAGATTCTTATAGACGATTGATATAATATTGTTGTAGAAAAAGAAATTGAGACATCAGTAATTTTATTATTTCTAATTCATTTAGTCTCCATTTTGATGTATTTCATGAGAAATATTGTACATCATCAGTTTTATTGATGGACTGATAATTGTGAACGTTAATCGAATTTATGTATGCTTGAAGTAGCAGAATGGGCTCTTCTTAGCACAATTGGATTCTTTTTTATTTGATATTTTTCTATCTAGAGTTGTTGTAAAATAGCAATTTCATCGGATTCCTCTTGTTGAATTGGTGATAGGTTTTAAGTCAATTGGAGAGATTAAAGCTTGAATTTGTTTTTCTTTTAAGGATGAGAACAGCCCATTTAAAATAATTAATGAGATTCAATCTTTTTAATTTACTTAACTAAATACATATGATCGATTATCTTTTAAATATTTGATAAAAAACGGAATTCTATTGCTCTTAACTACTTAGCCCAAAAAGCGTAATACAACTCTCTGGATATAAAAAAACTATAGTATGAAAGTATAAAATTATTTTATAACAGAAAAATAGACTCTGAAATTATTTCTGATTTAATATTTTATATGTTTCAACCTGAAAAACCAATTGAAATAGAAAAATGTTTAGAATTAATTTTCCGAAATAGTTTAGGAGATTAGGCCCAGGAAGACTTGATTAAAGATACAACCTAAGCATTTCTTCAATTCTTGCATGAAAATGAACTAGCCCAAAGAAACACAAAAATTATAATGTTCGGATCACTTTTAAATGGATTCAAAACAAAACAATCAGATATTGATTTCTCAATAACTACGAATTCATATATTTCTGAAAAAACAGCCTTGAGTTATTGGACTACTTAGTTAGGATACCAAACTAGATTTAAGTTAGATTAGAGTTTTCTGAAATCTCGAGTTCCTGTAATAAAAATATTAGATCAATAAAATCTCATTCATATAGACTTGTGTTATAATAATTTATTGGGAGCAATCAATACACGCTTACTGAAAGCTTATTCATAATTGGATTGCAAAGTTCAGAAGGTAATGCTACTTTAGTAACAAAAAGGGTGGTGCCTTGTTAAAAATATGGGCAAGAGGGGCAAAGATTGTGACGAATTTTCTGTTTTCATCCTATTCAATCATAATACTTTGGTTGCATTTCTTACAAGCTAATTATGACCTACCCAATTTATAGAATCAAAATTATAATTGTAACAATATTGATTCTGATCTAACTCTAAAAAGAACACTTTATGAGAATGAAAATATAATAAAAATAAAATCCTTTTTTGTAATGAATTCAGCGTAATTTTTAGGTGTATGAGGGTGAGACTTATGAGAAATTAAAATTCTAATTTTAAGCAAAAATTTCATAAATTTCATTATAAACTCTATTGCAAGAATTCTTTGGCTACTATTCTTAGAACGGATAAGGATTTAATCAACCTTATAAGATCTCTATAAATTTAAAGGAACTGAAGGATTAGGGAATGCAATATTCCATGTCTGATCCATTTGATCCGCTTCATGATCCTTTGAAGAAAATAAACAAGGCATTTAGAAACAATAGGGCGTTTGATAATGCTAAGCAATTTATGAAGACTGCATAAGAAATTGAATTCTTGTTTCAGGACGAGAGACAATTATTACACTACTGATAATAGAAAATAAAATGTGTGTCCATTTATTTATATATTAAAAAATCATGCGATTTTCTCAAACAATTATCCTCCGTATGAGCCTCCCTTCATTGTGGATTTCACAACTTGAGCAAATTATTATTGATCCTTCAACATCAATTCTGCTGCATCTTTGTTTAGTGGATCAGTTGGATTTGTTAATTATGTAAACAACATCTATAATCCAAAAATCACGTCCTTCAAACTGCTTACAGGTCTCCAATCTTCTCTCAAGATATTCAAGCAAACTTTGCCTTCCAAATCAATATTGGGATGGAATATTTTCTAAGAGATTATCATTTAAAATTCTACCTTCTTGCACAAAACTTTGGGAGGGACCATAGGATATTCTAGAGAGATTGAAACAGTGAACACAATCACGCCGCCAGCCCAGAAGCTGTGATCTGGTCTCACTTCGACTTCGAAATAGAGGATATTTTTATTGTCTGGAAATGTGATCTTAAGGTTTTTTAAATCAGGGGGAAAGGCATCATTGAATTCTTGTTGATCGCTCAAGGCTCTTTTCCAAGCACCCGTTTAGGCTAATAATATTTTCTACAAAATTACTAATATCTTGATTATTTTACGCATTCTATTGAGTTTGTTGTTGTTGCTTTATCTTGATGGCAATCATAAAAAATTAAATAAATTATTAATAAAGAAAATGAATAACATTTAAATAAGAACCTTTGATTCGAGGAATAATAATTTGAAATTTAATTTATTTCATAAATCACAAAATGCTTCGTCCAGGTTCCTCAATGAGTAAAGCCAAGCAAACAAAGGCAGCCATCCCAGCCTCCGGTGGAATTGCTACCAGAGTTGTTCAAGAGAAAATGCCTACCTTGGAAGAATACGTGAAAAATAGAGATTGGGTAGGAGCGATTTCCCTCTTAGAAAATGAATAAAAGTACTATTGAGAATTTAAAGGTTAGTTTTAATGATTCAAGAGCTGAGCCCAAATTGTGGTTAGCCTATGCATGTTTTCACAATGGAGAATATAAGTAAAGTGCTATCCTACATTTCAAAATAGAAGGGCCATCCAAGTTTATGATCAGATGATGACCAAGGCCGATTACAACAAGGAGATCCACATCTACAAAGCCTGCTGTTTTTATGCCCTGTGTCAATACGAAGATGCCAAAAGAGAGTGTTCTAAAGGCCCAGAGACTCCCTTATCTGTGAGATTGTAATTCAATTCATACTAAGTCATAGACAATTTCATATTGCTCACAAGAAAAATGATGAGAAGAATCTCATGACCTACCATCACAAGATACAAGAGACTGTCCACGATTAGTTATGTTTGGCAGCAATTCATTATTTAAGAGGACATTACGAAGAAGTAACTGATATTTTAAATTCGATAGGCAACCGATGCATACAAAAAATTACTGCTTGAAAATCGAGAATATTCAGCAATCAATGTTTACATAGCGTTGTGTTACTATAAATTAGAATATTTTGATGTCTCTATCGAAATACTATCTTCCTATTTAAATTAATTTCCATAAAGTGTGACAGCAATTAATCTGAAGGCTTGCAATCAATTTTAGTTATACAGTGGTAAATTAGCAGAGGAAGTATTCAAACCTTTGCAATAATAATATGAAGGAATTAATGTTTGTGCAGATAATGATTTATTGAAACATAATTTAGTTGTTTTCAGAGCTGGAGAAAATGCTTTAAAGGTATTACCTCCTTTGGTAGAAATTTTCCCAGAAGCCAAACTCAATCTAATTGTCTATTATTTAAAAAATGAAGACATAGGAGAAGCATTCAATTTAGTTTAAGATCTTTAACCAACAAACCCAAAAGAATACATCTTGAAAGCTGTGGTCTATGCTATGAAAGGATAATCCAGTCCTGATCAAAAGGAAGCCTTGAAAACTGCTTAGCAACTATTTTAGTTAGTAGGATCTTCGGCTAGTGAATGTGATACCATACCTGGAAGGTAATGTATGTCATCTTGCTTCTTTATTTTGAAACAATATGAAGATGTTCTGGTTTACTTAAAATCAATTAAACAATTTTTCTAAAATGATGATGATTTCAATTGGAATTACGGAATTGCATGTGCTGGTACTGGAGATTACAAGGAAGCTGAAGATGCCTTAGCATAGATTCAATCTGAAAAATACAGAGTAATATTTGAATTCTATTTAGTCTGATGATATCTACATCAAGTGGATGACAAGAACATTTATAATGAATGGCAAGGCAAAGTAATATGTTCAATTTATTGTTTAGGGAAGCATGGGAATTATATATTAATATGGAGACATCCAGCGAATCCTTTTAAATTTTAGTTTTGATTGCCAATGATTGCTATAAGATGGGGCATTTTTATTATGCAGCTAAGGCATTTGATATTCTGCAAAGATTAGATTCAGATAATGGGGAACATGAGTATGAAGACGCTTTAAGAGGCTCAGTGGTCGGAGTATTCCAAATGGTCATTACATCTAAGGAGACACTAGACCACTTGGTTGAGGTGATAAATATCTTAACAAACACAGGTGATAATCCTTAAGTAGAATATATTTTAAAGATAATTAAAAAATGGGGCAAAGAAAATAATTGGAAAATATGAAATATAAGTTATAAATTAATATTTATTACTTAAAAAGTTATTCTTAGGAAATTGCCTTGAAAACACTTATTTATAGATATAGAATATATATATATTGATATAAAATTTCACACATTTTCATCTGAAATAATTCATTATTACTAAGATAAAGAAGACTAGATTATAAATTATACTAAATACCTAGTGCTGCTAAAAATATGATGAATTCATAACTAGACTCTTAGACAAATTTGACTCTTATTTTTTAACCATTCTCAAAATAAACATCGCCTTCTGTTGGTTCATGACACTGACTGAAATCAAATTAAATCTCTACACGGCCTTGAGAAAATGATGTGGTTATCAATCCTTGTAAATGATTGTCTTGATGAGTTTTTTCGATGTTTCTATAATAAGGAATTCTTAGAGTTTGGATTGGTTGACTATTTTAAATGACCACTTCGTTGTTTGGAAGGTAGAATTCTCTCTCATAGACTATTTCTTTGCTGCCATCCAATTATATATATTGATTAGAAATGAATGCGTTAACCTTCACCTTCTTGGGCATAGGAGTATTATCTTGAGCAATAATGGGTTTGATATTATATTCAAAGAGGTTGTCAGTCTTTACAAGTTCAAACCATTGAGGTTAATCGACTTCAATTTTAATATCAAAGTTGGGATTCACTTTATTGGATTAGGGTATTTTAGGATTGACATTCAATTTGATGTTCAAATAATTGTCCACTTTATTTGAATCAATGATTATATGAGAGGGTCTAATGACTTCAAGTCCAGCTTTGAACTTATTGCCTTAATCATTAACCTCAACATAGCACTCGTTCAATTCCTTTTCAATTGTCAATTAACTTCCCTTGAAGCTACCACAATTGGAATTCCATATTGGTTTCTCAGAATTATCCATTTAATATGTGATTGTGGATCCAAGGTAAGCCTTCATTTACAATAGAGTGGCTCCTACCTTTACAAGGATGTAATCAATTTTGTTATTTCCACAACTCAATTTGATCAATGCAAATCCTTGATCCAACCCTTGAATTTCAATTCCATTATTATTCACTTTAATTTACACAATGTGTCTAGTATACCCCAAGACCTCAAGTTTGTTGTCTTCTATATCTTCAAATTGATATCCTTCTTAATTCAGGTAGGCAATTGGAATTTCAATTTTCTCATCTACTTTCAAATTAACAAATTCAGACATTGGATACATTTGATAGATTTCTTCTACTTATATTAACATGGGAGTAGTGGCTAATAGTAATTGTGGTTACAGGGTGATGCTATCACTCTCAATGAGATTTGGGAGGTTCATGTTCAATTATTCAACGCTCTTAATTTCTTATCCCAAAGCTAACCTGCTATTTGTTGGAACTAGAAGTGGAATATGATACAAGGCTTTTGTGTTAATAAATAGGTTCCTGGTGTAAGAATTCAATCTTTCTACTTCAAGTAAAGTCTAAGCCTCTAAATCATAAGCTTTGATTTTGATATTAATTTTTCCAACTACAACTGTCGAAACTGAAAATCCTAAGGAGTTTGGAGCTGTCTAAACCAACTTTTCATCTTGGTACCAATGTATTTTGTGTGTTGGACACAAACAAAGATTCATCTAATGATCTTATATTAAGAAGTCAGCCACTATTCTAACTGATGAACCTAATTCAATTTTTCTGCCATAATATAAAATTGCCCTATTTGGTTTATTTACTATTACAGGTATATCAACTGAGTCAATTAGTATGTTTGATTATCTTAAAAATACTGTAACCAAGTAATTTCCATGTATCTTTTTGGATTTAATAGTAATAATGTTTTGACTAACTGAGGTGTCAATATTCTCATTGGAGATGGCTGAATAGGTGAATTAGGAGTAAGAGGGGAACAACACATGAGTCTCACATTCAGTTGGCATGTAGACGGTTTCAGCTTATAACTTGGGTATAACCTTCAAATCAACTTGATTGGAATTGATTGAGTCGTATTGTGTTTATAATTTGAATAAGCCTTCTCTATTGGGAGTGATCGAGAACTAATTATTGACTTAGTTAATATTGTTGAATCCATAGGTATCGATCAATCTCAGAGATGACCAAGTTGTCACATGCACTTACTTCTTGTAATAATTGAATGAAGAGGTTGCAAAGATAGAGTTTCCAACTACAGTGATCTATTAACTTAATTCTAAATTCAATTGAGATGGGTCAATGACATTAAGGGTTGCTGAAACACTGTAATTTAATGATAAATCGTAAACTACTAATTGGAATTAACCTAATTTTTTTGGAGTGATAGTAACTTAATCCTTCTCGCATCCAATGATATTATTATCATATTAGCATTGTATATTGTTGGTTGATGATTCTATTCTGAATAACACACTTTGATCGATCAAAACATATTGTTCTCCACTTGGAATCAGTTTTAGAGTGTGATGAATGATTAAGTCTAATTCACTCTTGATGGTAATGAATGTGTCTTTATGGTTGTTGTAAGAGTTTGAAGCAACAATGAATTTACAATCAGAGATTCCTGATTAAATATCATATGATAAATATCTATTTTGGTATTTTAATCCTCTGGTTGAATAGTCTAAATGCAAACTGCTGGAATTGTAGAATAAGAAATTCTAATAGACAGCCACTACACTAATTTGCACAGTTTCTTCCTTGAATAACCAATTTACTTCTTGATTCTTTTCATTGTAAATTTTGAATGCTTCTGGCAATAAGCATTTTACAGGTAGTAAATTGCTAACTAGTTTTGGATTAGGCAACAAATCTGATTGTTTGTTAATTCTTGTGATTCTGAATTCAGCTTTGCTCTAGAAACAATTGAAATGATATTTTTCCATGTCTATTTTGATGATGCCTTCTGACAACTTCTCATTGTATGGTGTTTAATCCCAAGTTGTTGGTCCTCCCAAAACCTTAGTCGTAATAGTGGAATGAGGAGTCACATAATAAAATGGTTTATCGAAATGCAAGTAGTCATAGACTCTTACTTATTGTGTCACAGAGATCTTTTACGTGTTAATTTGAAGATTATATTGACCAGGTGTTGCTGATTGCAACTTCAAACCATTACAAACTAAATAGTTAGAGAGATCTCCAGCGATTTATGATGTGTTGAAAATATCAAAATTATCAATTGTAAACTTAACTGCTCTACATTATGTATAGTTTCCAACTTTAGGATCTCCAATGGCTTAATAAAATGTATCATCGGGTTCATTCACTATCAATTCTTTTCTTCTCTCAAATGGAAGAATTTAACTGACATCAGTCACATAGACAGTCACTTCTAAACTGTTATAAACGTTAAATTCATCATAGATTGTTAAGATATTCTCTCCAAGTTCTACAGCTGCAAGGAGGTGAGCACTTTTAATTTCAAAAACAGTAGGTGATTGATATCTTTGCTAATATTTATAAGATCCTGATCCTCCAGTGACAATCAAGTTATATTGTTCATAGATTGGAAGGTGGATGTAGGTTTTAAAGATTGTTGATAATTGGATAGGTTTAACAAAGTGGATGACAACAGAGGATTCCAATGTTCCTCTTTGGAATGTTAATTTAACATTTTGTCTTTCAGTATCTGATATGACAGTCTACTCATTCAATGTGATGTCTTTAGAATCATAGGAGAATACATCAGTAGAATATATTCTTTAATGTGATTCATCCTTGAGATAAGCTTAGAATCTATACAATTTTCCTACTATCAAATGAGTTACTTTTCCTTCTCTCTTCTCTTTGCCATCCTCCCAAATATCAATGTCAATGTACTTAGGAATCACTACATGATAGAATGCTTAGATTTAATTGTACTCAGAATTAATAACCTTTAGATTCAAATTCCTCTCAATATTCTATGTTGTCAAAACACCATTCTAATCAATAGTTGATATTTTAGATGTTGTACTCCATAAATGAGTTTGACTTGGTAATTTTATTCTTGTCTTTCCATCTGCTCTCAATAGATGGAATTAGATAACAGAATGTGTAGGTAAGTAATATACTGGATAATCAGGGGAAAATTAAAATTTTTAAATTACCACTAAATCTACATTAGTTTCTATTTTGGTTTCATAATATTTCTTCTCTATCACTCTAGTAAATACTGTTTCTTTCCCTTCCTTCTTTCCCTTCACCACAATGATATCACTATTAAACTCTAATCTTGCTCTTTTGTCTGACACTTTTAATCCGGATTCAGAAAACTTAACCATTTCCAATGCACCGACTCTCCATTCAAATTTAAGGCCTTCCAATGTTGTGAATGTGTTTCCTTTGTCATCATATGCTTAAACATGCAATTCCTCTTGAGTATCCAAATCCAATTATTTTTATTTGGTAATTATGCTCAATCTGCTTATTTCTTGTACTACTACTTCCACTATAAATTGAGATGCATCTTGGGACTTCGATTTTACGTATATAAATGATTAGCTTGGCATTTTAGTCACAACTCTGACTTTTCCTATTGACTTCGAGCATCCCTATTAATCTTGTCCTGTGACTACAATAGCACTATTTGAAGCACTCCAATCGAAGCATCCCCCTTCTGCAGTGATTTCATATTCAACATCGATGTCAGCCAAGGGCAATAAGATGTTTTTATTGCTGATTTTTGAGCCACTAATTGTGTTTAAAATTCCTAGCGCCAATATTAAGGCAAATATCATTAATTAAATATATTAATCATTTTTATTAAGTCTTAACCTTCTTTGGTTTCTGATACTTCTACTCCATCTATTAGATAAACTAATCAAATGTATTCTTGGGCCTCTGTCTTATCTACTTAGTCAATGAATCCATGTCAATCTATTGTGCCTACGGGTCCTCTCTCAAGGTTTTGATCTTGTTTCTGCTGGTCTAAAATATTTTATAATCCGTGATCTTCTTTTGTTTGATCATTCTATCGTAGAATTCCAAAAAGCGAGGGATGTCCTCGTTTTTGCTCAGTATTATATTCTCAAGTATGCACTTCACATTCCCAGAATTTCTAACAAGATATATTGCTCACAAACCCTTACTTATTATAAAACTCAATCAAGTCTTTTTCCTCCTCCTTACTGAACCTGTACTTCAATTCATATTTATCGATATCCTCCTTGCTGATCTTCGGATATAAATTACGATAGAATTCATAGGCATTTTTAAATTCATCCATCCCCTCAATCATTCCAGTTTCATCATACATTTTTCGTTTCTCTTCATTCGAAAGAATCTGATAGGCCTCAGATATCTTTTAGAACTTCTCCTTAGCATTAGCATCATCTTGATTCTTATCTGGATGTAATTGCAAAGCCAATTGTCTATATGATTTTCTCTACAATTTAGAACTAATTCAAATACAATTTCACTTTGAGTTGCTTTTGGTTCCACATTCAACAACTTATACAGCGTAAATTATTCTTCCCGCTATTACATTATTTAATTTATAAACACAAAATTGTGTTAGATTAATATTAATTTATACAATTAAAAAATCATTCGTAATCTGAATCATCCTAGAGTTAATCATATTTATCAACTGGCAGGTTATTCAATCTAAGTATCTTCTCTATCCTCTTCAACTCAGCTCCATTAATTGGTAGTTTCTCATCTATCTTCTCCAATCTGTTACCTGAACTAGAACTCTTGGCTGGATTCTAATGAGAAGATGAACCAGAGGAAGAATAGGCCTGAGGTTTCATCTTCTCGATTTTCTTAGGCTATTGTTTCTTCCCCTGATTGCTGGTTCCATCATTATCTTATGGTTGTTTGGGCTATTCTTTAGGCTTTTCATCCTCCTTTTTTTAAATAGTTGTATCTGGCTATTCTTATCTCTTTTTTTTGAGGGATCTCAATTGCTCCTCCAATTCTTTCTCCAAATTCTTTATTGTTGCATTATCCTTCCCAGAATCATTCTCATTATTCTCCAAATCAAACACCAATCTACGTACAGTTTCTTTTGAGGTCTACACTACTGGTTTGACTGGTGACTTTTTAACTATTTGAGGCATTATCTCCTCATTGTCAGTCCAGATCTTAATATTAAGATAAGGAATCGTGTTAGTTTAATTGAAACTGTGTTCCTGATTTTCTAATTGCAATTAGATCACCTAAGGAAATTATTGATTGATTTAATCAAAATGAATAGTGGCTTAACCAATTAGATTATACTTATAGAACTCTTTTTCATCCACTGAATATTTCTTATCGAATATTTGTACTTGCAAGTTCTTCAATTTTAGAACATCCACACTTACCAATGCATCATATTAAGGATTAGCTTAACAATGAAAAACTTTTGATTCCTGATCCAATTATGGAAATTTGAGTATTGAATTCGGGATTCTCTTTGTTAAAGCATTTAAGTTTCTTCCACATTCAAAATGGAAGTGCATTTACTTATAATTCAACTTGGGCACTGTTTCTTCATGTTGTTTTACGGGACTTTTCTTAATGACTTGTAACACTTCATGTTGAATGGGTCCCTGCATATCGACCTTAAACAAAGGAGTGGCATTAGGCAAACACTTTTGTAGATGAGCCAAAAATGTCAAGTAATCGAATTGGTTGGTAGGACATTAAAAGTCATTTGGCATTCTCTTGTGGACTTGCTAAATAAACTAATCTCTGTGATCTGCCAAATTGAAGTAACCAAATATCGTTGCCAAAATATTGGGATTGACGTATCTCAATTAATCTGAATCATAAAAAGTAAACTCCTTCAACAAATCAACGATTATGGATTGTTCAGCTTATAGTTCTAGAGGTTTCAAAATAGATGTTGAAAACACATCGTTTTTTAGCAAAGACATCAAGAAGTTAATCTCAGAGAATGAGAATTGCAACTTGCTTCTCAAGTATTACTCAATATTCTATTAGTTCTCCAATTCCTTAATTGCAGGGTATCTAAAAGCACTCAAATAATTATCGTTGCTGGTCTCTTTGGCACAAACATAAATTACCTTGACACCCACTCTTGCAGCAATCTCCAAAGATGATACCTTTGTGTCAACCCTCAAATAATTGCTTTCCCCAAATATACCCTCATTGTTCAACTACTTCAATTGAATTGACACATTTCCTATTATCTTGTCTTCTCCCAACATGACTGATCTCACTTATAATTCTACAACATCACTCTGCAATTCAGTATCAGACAAAATGAAAATGCAATCCTATGTGTTCAAAATCGAAGGAGTGTTGGGTCTCACTTCGTAGGATTCAGACATATTCAGTGGATCAACTAACATAAAATAGATCTCTCCCAATTCATTTTTGTAATCAAGCAAAATCAATTCCATAATACGAATGATAATCTTTTTCTAAAATTTGAGTTTCTCTTCCACCTGAACAACCTACTCCACTATCTGATCAGTTGTGTACACAGTATCTAAATTCAATGTGCAGATGAAGGCACCCGTCACACTATCATCTAACGGAATTTCTCCAGTGACTTTGCTTTCTTCAAATAAAGGTTTTATGGGTAGATAACCAATAAGCGATTTGGTTTATGAATTGCAATTCAAAAGAAGCTAAATTTGTAGATGGCATTTCGATAGCTAAGTTGCTAACACCTGATCACACTTCACTTGATACTCGACTACAATGTCAAAATCTTCATTGAAATCATCACTTGTAAAACACGGAATAGCTTCTTTTAATATCTTCTTATCTGTAGCCAAAGAGAGTTTCACCTTTAAAGAACTAAACTTTAAATTCTTATACCAATTAATTTGCTTTATGTTAATCCTAAAGGTATGCACTATTTCTGGTTTCAGAATGTTCAAGATCTCCTCTTGACTAATTTGAGCTTCCTATTGAATTTGACCTTCAGCATTGAATAGTTGAAAACCCTCCTTTGGTTTTTCATCTTTCACTTATTATTTGATACTCATCTTAAACTCAATCAGGGTTGCATCCATTCCTTTCACCTCATCAAACAATTAGACGAAAAAGGTCTCCTTTTCATTTTCTATCGTAAGAATCTCTTCACTTGCTAGACTCCCCCTGAAAACATGATTGTCTTTGAACAGCACAATACTCAATCCTGAAAATTCCATTCGGTCATGCAGAGTCTTTCTAAAATCATGAGAGAACTTGTCACTCAAAGTGCAAATAGCCCTCATATTAAGAGGGATTTGACCATTTTCATAAAAATTAGCCTTCAATATAGATGTCTTTGGCGTAGTAACACTCAAGCCTGTGTTTTCCAATTAAATCTACAATTGATATTTTTCTCCTTCAATGTAGGTCAATTAGATAAAGTCTATTATCAATTAAGTTTCTAGAAACTAAAAATCTATGGGTTATGGCTTTTTTATTCCATTCACTTTTGGTTGTGGCACAGCAATAGGACTTGAAGGTTCCTTCACTTCAATTTCATTCTAATATAACCAATCGATATATTTCCAAAAAGCGATCTCTGTACATACTTTTTACCCATCCTGATTTTCAACATTATTGTAATCACCAATCTAATTCATTATGGCCACTGCATCAAGCAATGTGCAATTCAATCCTAAGTCTTAAAATATTTCCATTATATTCTAAGCCATCAATCCCTATTAGAACTCTCTATTATTTATATAGTCATCCATTTGTTGTTTATTGTTACGAATCCAAATCTGCATATTCTTTTCAATAATCTAAGCTAATTACTGGATTGGAGCATAGATCTTCGATATTTCTCCCTGCACCTCGAATTGTCTTAAATAATCCACTAAATCCGAGATTTGTATTTAATCATCACTATTAACTTCCAAAGTCTCAAATACAGAGTTGATGGTTATAGCCGAAAAAGAAGGCCCAGAAGGTATGTTTCCTCCTTTGCAACTTAATAAATATTCTTTCAGTTATTATCTATGGACCAATCCAAATGCTCCATGGGGCATATCTCTCTCTAAAGCATTAATGCTTGGAAATATTTTCAAAGCCTATTGATAAAAATTGGCATATATTTTTGTATAATTCAATTTCAATTGTTTCTTATAATTGGTAAATGCTTACCAACTCTGCAAAAAGATATGCCAATCCAAAGTTGATTAATCAAATTATAAGTATTGAGAAAGCGAAGTAATTATTCTCTTATTAAAATTTAATCCACAGAGTTGCAAAACTATATCTACAAATTCATCAATTAATATGAACTGTTCTTTGGGCAAAATACGAATGGTTTAAGTTATTTTATTCAGAGTTGTAATCAGACATTCTTACAAAGGGATCTTTTCAAAGACTACTGGTTAGTCTATTTATGGGGGTTCAGGTTGTTTCTCAGGTTCATTGACATTGTCAATTGGAGCTTCTTCAGGCTCTTCATCAATGGAGTCATCAACATATGTGATTTCAGAATTAACTAATTTATTGATTTGAAGATTGGTTCCAAAGGCTAACTTTAATTTAATTATTGCCATAATCTGCTTAGTTCTTAAATCCTCAAATGGGATGTCTTCATCAATTAAAATTTATGGGGAAATATTGCTTCTGAGAGTTTAAATAACAACTAATGGATTTTAATTAAGTATAAGGGCACTTATTGATGCCAATGATAACCTTGCTATTCCAACTAAAATGTCTTGATTGGTTTAAGTGTGCTTAGCCCATAATTCAAGAATCCATGGAATATTCTCCATCTTATTCAAGGATGCTATTGTAATTTGACATCTTGCAGTATAGTTGATAAACCATTTAGAAGTGTTCCAATTAGTTGGGGTCTGATTTATTTCTTAGGTTCCATATGATTTAAATTTTAAATATAAGTTGATTTACTCATCTTCGATTTTCTCTTAACAGAGCACTTAATTTAAGTGTATGAGTTTTCCTATATTTAAATATAGTTGGAATGATTGGAGATATTAAATCAACTGCTGATTCATTTCTTCTTCCTATTATTATTTAAGTAATCTCTTTTTCTCCTTTTCTTTCTGATTTTACTCGTTGACCTTCTCGTATATCTTCTAGACTTGTTCTTCAATATCTATTTCCTTTTTTGGAGATTATTCTACTTACTAACTCCTTGCATCGATATCCTACAATTATACTTCAAATTCTAATTATCCTGTCTCTATTTATTTGTCAACCTTCCCCTTCTTATTGTTCTTGGTTTACACCTAAGCCAATTATTGGATCGGAACTTAGTAGGTAAAACATCTGAGTCTGTCTATAATCATAGTCGAAAGCACAAATTCGGCTTTTCCAATTTCTACATCCAATGAAAATACTTGAAAATAGATAACTGCTTGGTTTATTTATCCTAAACTATTTTCGGTCAATTAGAAATTAGATCTAAATTATGCATTAAACATAAACGATTTTCCATCTTTTCCGATATCGTATGTTTAATGTATTTAGTATTCAATGATGTTATTTCGTATCATTGGCAATTTCACATTCAATTTAATTGACTTGTCCTGAAATTATTTCGAATTCAAATTCAATGATTTTAATGAAATTTGTAAATATTTTACATTCCTCATATTCAATGTCTCCAATTCATTCGAGTTTGTGTTAACTGGTTATTATTTACCTATCGCATTGAAAATTTTGCAATAATCATCTTCTAATTAAAGTGACGAACTCTCGTTATAATATGCCATTTGAATTTAAAAAACAAATAACTTATTATTATTATTAATTTCAAACATTCTTTACACTTAATTAATAAATAAATAATTATAAAGACATATAATTTCATTGCTTTATCACCCAATCCAAAGATTGCACTTCGTAAGTAATAGTCAAAATAACACCTAAATCATTATATATATCTTAATACATAAATCAGTAATATCAACAATCTCCAAGGTTTTTTAGTAATTAAGAAGTCTGGATTTTAATTTTTCCTTCGCTCTTTCATTGAGGATTCCATAAATTTGCAATTAGGTTGAGCTATATTAACTGGTTACTTTTATATGAATTTGGTTTGATAACATGGTTTCGAAAACTTCCATCAAAATCAAACATAATGAATCTCTTTACCCAAAGACTGGAGATCCCACTTAAAGGCTTTCAACAGATATTTGCTTCTAAGGATAGACTAATCTCAATTAATTAACAATTTTGTCTATTTTAATCTACGTAAATTATTTGTATTCAAGCTTTTCAAGTAAGTGATGATACATAATAATCTTAAATATGGCAGTTAGAGCAGGAAATTAGAATTAACCAACCAATCTTAATTGGTGTAGAATACTCTTGATCAGCATTTTGTATTTGTATTAATACTAATTTTCTATATCTGAATCTTTTTCATTGATTTAAAACTTCAATTGCTTCACTTTGATTAGTACTATAGGAGATGTCCCCTATAATATTGAGTAATAGACATCCTGAACTTTTTTTTCATAATAAATAGTCACTTTTTGGTTCCAAAGTTACTTATGATCAATTTCTAATTCTTTCACCTTTTTATATATAAAATCTTCTAAATTTATTTTTTTTTTATCCTAGTTCACCTTTGAATTTCTCAAGAACCATTTTAATTAATCAGTTGTCTCTATTTTCAACATAAAATCAATAGACCTCTTAAAAATAAAAGAGCTATTTAAATAATTAAAACTGAACAGCACGCAAGGTTCAACAATTAAATTTTAAAGAACTTCCTCCCATTTATCATCTACTATTGTAAGCTAGAACTTTGATCTTTCAGCAGAAACATTTTCATAAAATGTTATTATCAGTAAAAATGCAACTAAAAATGTTGAGAGTGCTACTGAAAGAGAAAAACTGGGTTGGTAAAGTAATAGGCAGATAAAATAAAATGAGTAGAATGAAACCACCTGGACCAAAGTATCAATAAATTCTCCAGTTCTCATTACTATAAACTAGAAGGAAATAATCAAAGCTGAGGCAAGTTAATATTGGTATTGTGTTCTCCCTTCATCAGATTCAGAATACACATATAAAAGTATATAGTTGATCATCATCAGCACCCACCTAATCCATTGTGGTTAAAATTTAAAAATCAAAATCAGACCTATATTGGCTCCTAAGTATCCAATTGTAAAATATATCTCCTTTAAACTAAAGTTTATTATGGAGGAAATTAATTTTGTTATTACTACAAGAAATGTGGTAAAAATGATTTTTTACAGTAATGGCTTCCTCTTTTGCTGTAATTAGAAGTCCTAGTATTTTTATTCTAAGATTCCGTCTTTAAATGCCAAAGTATACTTATTTAACATAAGAAAATATAAATAATAAATAAGAGATACATTAATTGCTTTAATAACAAAAAATTAATAAACAGACAGCAAATACAATGAAATTATTTATTAGAAACTTAATTTAGATAGTTTAATTTTTTCATCAAGATCATTCATCAACAGTTTATTTGTCTTAAATATCCATCAAAATATCTATTCCCCTTGGATGTAAGTAATAAATGGTAGAATTCAATTCTTGTAATTGATAAATAATAAAGTCATTTTATTATTAATTCAAATCTACCAAGTAATATTTTTCATTCAGAATTTAATACTATTAAACAATAGACAGCAAAAAAAAATTTAGGAAGGTTATTGACCTAAACCAGTATTATGAAATTTAAGGTAAAAAATTTTATTCTTAATTACAGAAATTTATCATTATTTTTTTAGAGAAATGAGTGATTGTATTTAGTGCTGAAGTATACTTTTATCTAACATTATACACGCTTTTTCCATAGTAACAATGGTGTTAAATTAGTGTGATTTTTAAAATTATTAAATTTATGGATTTGACTAAAGCCATGTAATATTTCTAAAAATATTTGTATATTGATAAACTGTTTTTATATTTATTTATAAATAATTCAAATTTTCAAAGCGATGCAGTAGCCAAAATAATAATAGTTATCAGTATAGGCACAAAAAGAAAGAGGTAGGATTGTAATACATCTTAGATCGCTTAAAGGCTCAACGTGAAGGATAATTAAATAAAAAAGAATAGGCCTTGAATAAATTAAGTGATGAAGAAGTAGTTGTCCAACTTAAGGCTAAAGGGTTGGGTGTGTACGGAACTAAGCAAGAGAAATTGGATAGGTTGAAGAAGGCAAATGGTATTGATATCAGAATAATATGAAAGGGATTGAAGTAAGCAAATGCGAATCGGCACCATAACAACAGTAAGCACCTATACAATAACCGCCGTAACCTCCAAAGGGCTCTGTGGTCGATAACATAAAAAAGATGGAACAATAAAGGGAGGAACGTAGAAAAAATATGCAAGAAATGAAGAGGGAAAAGGCCGAAAGAGAAGAGTATAATTAAATATTAGGGAAAAATGTGGATGTAGAATTCGAATTGATGATTGATAAGAGCAGACTTAAAGGAGGATTGATCTAAGAGCATTAAACAACATAAAATATAAAATTATGTGTCTGTGTGAGAAAGAGACCAATTTTCAAGAAGGAAGAGGTGGCTGGAGAAATAGATGCAATCAGTTGTGCCAATCCAATGATTCGAGTACATGAATCAAAATTAAAAGTAGATGGTATTACTAAATATGTTGAAAATCATGATTTTTAATTTGACAATACTTTCAGCGAAGTAGAATAAGGAAAAGATATATACGATGTAAGTTTGGCACCTTTAATGGAACTGTTGGTCAATTAGGGTGTCGTTACATGTTTTGCATATGGATAAACTGGTTCTGGTAAGACATATACAATGAAGAGTATTCAAGAGCTATTAGCAATAGATCTATACAAGTTGATCAATGCTTCTCCATCCTTCAAAATTGTTGTATCATTCTTCGAAATCTATGGAGGAAAATGCTATGACCTGTTGAATAATAAGGCACCATTGCAAATTTTAGAAGATAAAAATAATAATATTCAAGTTCAAGGACTTATTGAAAGACCCTGTGAATCTGAAAACGAGTTATTCTAACTCATGGAACTTGCAAATTCTGTAAGAACCACTCATGCAACTGTTGCAAATGATACATCATCGAGATCTCACTCTATTTGTTAGATTATGATAAGATAAGGCTATGCTGATATGGGAAAACTTATCTTGGTAGATTTAGCAGGATCAGAGAGGGCTTAGGATACTCAATCAAACAATCGGTAGAGAAGATTGGAAGGAGCTGAGATCAATAAGAGTCTTTTAGCACTAAAGGAGTGTATAAGAGCAATGGATTCAGGTTAAGGTCATGTACCTTTCAGAGCTTCAAAATTAACGTTAGTATTGAGAGACTCATTCACAGCAAAATCAAATAAGTCTAGAATTATTATGATTGCATGTATCAGTCCTGGCAGTTCTTCTGCAGATCATTCATTAAATACACTTAGATATGCTGATAGATTGAAAGATAAATCAAATTAAGCAAAAGTATAGTTAGAGGAAAGGGAAGTTTCAAATGAGGAATTATTATATCGACAATAATAACAAAATGGATATGATAATAAATCTTAAGAAAATAATAATAATTATAACAATAATAATAACAATAACAATAATAATAAGTTATCACAATAAGATAAATAAAATACTCCTTTATAATTACCTAAAATTAATGATGCTCGAAATTAAAATAATTAAAATGCTGTTAATTTAAAGAAAAACTAATCTTAGGGACCTGATAAGGAAAAGCCAAAGTCTCAACCTGTACCACCAAAATAATCTAAAAGAATAAATTCAGTGCAAGAAGATTCAGATGATGAAGTAGCTGCTGAAGAATTAGTTAACAAAAAAAATGGGTAGGTGAAAGAGGATGTCAGATGAATGAAAGAAACCATGATGAAAAATGAGTAAAATAATGCTAATGGAAATGGGAATGAATTTTTTGACTTTCATGAGAAAGTGAATACGATTTTAGAAGAATAGGATGAAATCTTGAATATTCACATGGCAGCCATTAAGGTAAAAAATTCTATTATGCTTTAATAGGAAGACGCAAAATTGTTGTAATAGGAAAGTGAGTTAATTCAATCCATTCAGGGGGTCGGTATTGTCGATTACGATGTTGATACGTATGTGGGAAATTTGGAATCATTTATTAGGAAGAAACTTAAAATTTATAATTTGTTAAATAAGAAATTGCAAGTGTTTAAGTATTTAAAATATGTTAATTAATATTAGGACTCACTTGAAAGAGGAAGAAGAGATCAGTTCAAAGATGAAGAATACATTCTATTATTGAAAATAATACATATATTATATAAAATCTCAAGCATACTGGTGTTGGCTAATTAAATTTAATTTTTTTTAGAATTCAAAACATGGAAGAGAAGAAAGTGCCAGTAGATAAATAGGCCTAAAAAAAGCCAGGAAAATAGGTTGTGCAGTTGGTAATCATGAAAATAAAGCATCATTTTAGTCAGAATAAGATCTTGAGTTGAAAAACAGACTTGAATAATATGCAGAGGAGATCATTTAAAATAATACAGAGAGTTTGGAGAAGTTGAAGACAGAAGTACGATCAGCCACTACTTCAATGACTTCAGTGCCAAAGCCATTCAAATTCTTAAAGGAATCTTACGGAAAATTGGTTGAGTTTTACAATGGGTTGGAGACATCTAAATTTAAAGTAAGAGTGTAGTATCTAAAATATAGAAATAATTGGCAGATTTTCTATCTGTGTTGGCAATGACTTATGGAGGCGATGGAGATTCTTTGCTTTATCTATAGGAGGGAACATAAGAAGAATTCAAATTTTGGGGACACGAGTATCTGAGTCATCTAGCTGCCAATATTGGATCAGAATTCTAGATAAGGTTACAAAAGGTAGATGGAGCTGATGATTTACTGTATTTAGTTGATCAAATAGTTCCATATTTTATGGATCATAATTCAGAACATGATGCAATTGATTTATTAAGTGAAGTGGATCAATTACAAAAAATAGAACAAGTATTGACTCTATTTCTTATCATTAGTATGTGAATCATGCAAACATATAAAGAATTTTGGTTTATTTATTGAGTCTCGTTCCATTTTGTTCAGATTAGGACGAATTAGATGTTTTACTTGCTACTGCCTTTAATATTTGTTTGAAAGTGAATGAGTACACTAATGCTTTGAAAATTGCATTACGTATAGACAAGCCAGGAAAGGTTGAACAAGTATTTTAAGCATGTCAAGATGAAACAATAAAAAAGCAATTGGCTTTCTAATTGGCTAGACATAGATATCAGATTGGCGAAGAAATTATTAATGATGAGACTTTGAAAAAGATTGCAGCAAATTAATACTTGAGTTAATTCTACATAAATTTGGCTAAAGATTTAGAAGTTCTTGAACCTAAGACTCCAGATCAGGTTTACAAAGCTCATTTAGAGGAAAAGAACAAGGAAGCTAATTTTGAATAAATCCAAAAAAACCTTGCAGCTACATATTGTAATGGATTTGTGAATGCAGGATTCAAAAAGGATGCATTGATGAGCAATAAGGAGAATCCTTGGTTGAATAGTGTGAAAAATGATCATACTGCAATTGCAGCTGTTGCAAGTATTGGATTAGTCAATTTATGGAATATTGACAATGGAACAGAATAAATATCTGAATACTTTGATTTAAGTGATATCTTCACAAAGGCAGGAGCTTGCATAGGATTTGGGTTATTTTGTAGTGGAATTGTAGATGAAAACTAACCAGCTTAGGCCATGTTGTTAGCATAGTTGGAGAGTCCTGAAGTGTAGGTTAAGATTGGAGCTGTGATGGGATTGGGATTAGCTTATGCAGGTTCAGCAAGAACAGAATTATAAGAACAATTAATAAGTTTAATTGTAGAGGCAGATAGTGTTGAATTGGCTTCTATGGCTGCACTATCTTTAGGTCTGATATTTGTTGGTAAATGCAATGATGAAGTTGCAAATGCTATTGTCTAAACAATGATGGAGAGACAAGAATCATAATTAGACATATCTATATCAAGATATTTGGCAGTAGGATTGGGATTGCTCTATTTAGGATAAGCTGAAGCAGCAGACATTGTAATTGAATCACTTGCTTTAATTCCTCACAAGATCAATAAATATGCTAAAGTCACCTTAACTTCTCTTGCATATGCCTCAACAGGCAATGTGTTGAAAATCCAAGAGCTCCTTGGTTATTGTTCAGATGTTACATCTGATGACAAGGGCACTAAAATAGACAAGAACTATGAGCTCTAATAAGTGGCCATTTTGGGAATTGCTTTGATAGCCAGCAGTGAAGATGTTGGTAGCGAAATGGTATATAGGATCTTCTAACATATATTGTAATTTTCGGATGTGGAAGTAAAGAGAGCCATCCCTTTGGCTGTAGCCTTGATCAATGTATTAATACAGTACATTATTTATTTAGATATCCAATCCCAAGATTCAACCTATGGACCTTCTACTTAAGTTGGCTCACGACAGAGATTAAGAATTATCCTACAGGGCAACCTTGTCAATGGGTTTGTTGGGAGCAGGTACAAACAATTCAAGAATTGCTGATAAATTAAGAGGATTGGCAGTCTACTTTATGAATGATTCAAATGGTTTGTTCCTTGTGAGAATTGCCTAGGGATTATTACATATGGGCAAAGGATTGTTGACACTTCAACCATACTATTCTGATAAATTCTTAATGAATAAGGTGGCTATTGCAGGAATTATTTCATTCTTACATGGATGTTTGGACATTAAGAATTTGATTTTGGAAAAGCATCATACATTACTCTACTATTTAGGTATTGCCATGTATCCAAGAATGTTCTTTACAGTAATTATTCTCTCCTAATTTAGTTAAATGAAAATCTTGAAAATCTCCCTGTTTAGGTACGTGTAGGATAGGCCGTAGATGCAGTTGGATAGGCTGGTAAACCAAAAAGAATTACAGGATTTCAGACTCATACAAGTCCAGTCATTGTAAGTGCTGGTGAAAGGTAATACTAAATATAATCTATAATAGAGCTGAATTAGCCAATGATGAATATATGCCAGTCTAAGACATGATCTTAGAAAACTTTGTTATTTTAAAGAAGAATCCAGATTATAAACCAGAAATTGAGTAACCATAACGTAAAAAGACTAGTTTCAGCATGTGATTATATATAATAGTATGCATATATATGTAACTTTAATTAAAGTATTTGATCTACTATAGTAATTAAATATCATGATAGATCATTATTTAGTTGATGAAACATTCTCACTTTTGTTTGTTGATTCCGTATTTTAGAGATAACACCCATAATATTGCCTAACTTCACCTAATGTATCTTCAAAGGTTCTTCTCTAATCATTTTTTCTTTTCTCAACATCATTTCTAATTTTGTTGAAATCAAGTTTGGTTGTTTTTACTAAGTTTGTTTGATGTTCAGGCTTGGTAATTTCCTCCCAGAATCTATGGATTGTTGAGAAAGACTCCTCAGCTTTGTTATTTTCTACATAAACTCATCCATGGACTTTTTGTTATTTTAGTTGTCTTTTATTCTATGCTTAATTCCTGTCATTATTACGATGTTTTTATCAGGTAAAAGCTTTCGCATTGATTCATTTAACTGTTCCATTGTGCTTGCATCAATCGAAGCCTATTATTTCTAAAATAGGTCAGCAATGCTTTGATTATTTGAAATTACCAATTCTAATTTAATTAATTAGGAAATTACTTTTCAAAATGAATTTTTCAGGACTTGAGGAATCACAAATGGAATTTTGAGTTGCCGTTGAGTTGTGTTTTAGAGTATTCCTTTCTGTGATAGATTTGATTCCTTAATTTTTTAATCGGATAATTTTTTATTTAGCCTTGATTTCACAACCTATTGAATCATCCCTTTCACTTGTCCTATCTCTATTAGACGTGATACAAGGTTGGCTACTTGTGTGATTTTTGAGCTTCATTCTTTTATCAAGTAGAGCAATTATGTCTTCTACATTTCCTGTATCAGTGCAATCAATTGATTTATCTTTCAAACTCATTTTTGCAATTTCTTATTGAAGTTTTTTAATGTTCATGGCAACAGCATGCAAATATAAAAAATAGTCTTGCTAACTCGTATTTGATGTCATGTATTCTAAATAATTCATTCTTTGCAAGGCTCGGTGAGTCAATCCCAGTTTCTTCATTGCCATTTAAGTGATATGAGAATTGTAATCTATCCTTTGATCCAGATATTATTTCATCTCTTGAACAGGGATTTTACTCATTTTTTATAAAATATTAAACTTTAAGTAATCATTTTTAATTATATTATCATTTATTCATTGTTGTCCTGCCCTTTCATCTTTTTAGTTTGCAAATAATAATACTGTCGCTTCTTCAATGGCCTTTGAATTTTGAAAAACTACGCATACTTTGTTAATATCACACTTCAATTTCATCTCCAAAAGTGAATATAAATAAGATAATAACTTAATGTCTTGATTGTCAGTACGAATATGCAACGAAAATATGGGTTGCAATCTGCTATTAACCACAACTTAATCCAAAAGTTTGGCTGCTATGTCTGCTGACAGATGAGTTTCAACAGCTGTTTTGAAAAGAGGCCAATTATCAGCAAATAATGGTTGATATTTGGATTTTACTAAATAGCAATACAATTATTCGGGTGCCTCTATTTCCACTTAATCGCTAACTTAATTGTCTTCTTCAGCAAAGATCATTTGTGGAACTTCTTTGAGTAATGGCTGGAAACTTGAACTCAAGACATCCACATTCAGACGTGAAGATTCTTCAGGATAAAAAATCAAGAGTACTTCTTCATGAAATGGTTTCTTTCTTTGCTCACTTGTAAATGGAATAACCTAGTTTTCAGTCTTACATTCCTCTGCCCAAGTAAAATTAGGTATTGAGAGTACTTCATTTAAAGGCTTCAGCATATCTTCATACCGAGTATCTTCCAAAACCATATAGAAATGAGTGATCTCAGCCTATTTTTCAGGATCAAAGTCATGCAAATCACTCCATGTATTATTCCAGATATTGAGTTTTGCCTTCTATATATGTTACCTTAATTATGGATAATAACCGCGAAAACAGCCAAATCCCATTCTAACCGATAATTCAATAATTGGTTGACTTTGAGTAAAGAGCAATGTTTGAATATCTTCGCATTTCTTAGACCGAAATTATCCGCAAGCAGTAATCACTTTACATCTTTTACATCCTCTTATAAACATGCTAGATTCAACTGCGGCAAAAAACATTTAACAATCAAAACAATCATCAATTAAAATTTATGCTGAGAAGTCTGCTATAAAGATCTTACAACGGACACAATTTCTTAGTACAAAAGCCTCACCATCAACTTCCCCAGGCTTTTTTACCAATATTTCATCTTGTTTGTCATAAAACCTATATTTAGAAGCATCCTTTTTTCTTAATTCCCATGACTTAGGTTTGCTATTGTTTTACATTTCAAAGAATACAAATGAATTTTATCAAAATACAAAATTATTAAAGAAAAACAAATAGTCATTGATTTGGAAGTGATATATGAATAATATACTGTGAATAATGCGGATTCTATCTTTTTGATTCATCCTTTACAAAGTATGAGCATATATTTTCTCTCTCTTTTTTACTGCCTCAGAATATGAATATTTATTGTCATCTCAATTTATTACTTATTATTATTGTTTTTGGTCATATACTGTAGTCTCTATTTCCTCCTATTAACTTTCTTCCTCTTAAACATTAATATCTATGAATTCATCATAACCTCCTTTTTATTCATCTTCATTTTCATGTAATCTTTATTTCTATCATGCTCTTAACAACTTCTGTTATCTTCTCTTAATTAGCCTTTGGTTTTCTAATTACTTAATAAAAATAATATTATTAAAGTCTCTATGCATTTCTCATCTAGGTTGCATTTATGGGCTCATCCTTGTCATTAAAAAACCACGATTAGTATAAAATATATTATATGGTATTTTATTTTAATTAAAATTATTAACTATAAAATGATATTATAAATTTAACCATAATACAAAAATCATAGAATAAGTTTTCCATCATTTCTTTCTGTTTCAACCACTTTATCAATTTCTTTCTTAGTAACAATTTAATGCAGAGTTCTTAAACTATTTTTTCCACTATCCACCTTAAAATCCATGTAATTCTAAGGCTAATCTAATTGTAGTTATTCGCTAAAGATTTTAGTTATGTCATGTCCCAATAAGTGAATTAACTTTAAATCCACTTCCAACTAACACTTCGGAACATCCTCATCTTCAATCTCTTCCAACATATCAGTGTAAGCCTGTAAGGTAAATCATTTATTTACTTAATAAACTATGTTATGTAAATTTTTGTCATAATAACTAAGTTATTGTTTGAAGGGTTGAATTGGCTATTCATCATCTTCAAAGTTCATTCTTGTTGGTATTGCCTAATCGTCATTCAGTGCAATAATAGGTTTCGGTGTAAAGTTAAATAGAATTATTTGAGACTAATTAAAAAGCACTTCCTTTAATTTATTAATCTCATTTATCTTAAAGAGGATACTGTGCAAATCCAAGTCTTCATTCATTTTATCACTATTATAATTGTAATTTAAATTTACATAGCTTTCTTTAAAAACTTCGAGTTTCTCTCGTTGAAACATATTCCGCATGTAATTTGATTTAAGAATAACTTCACACTGAACCTAATAGGTTCTGACTTTTTAATTAATTTCTTCAGTACATTCTATCTAATCACAGTATTCGATCTTTTTTTCACTACCAATTAAGTCAAATCATACCATCTCCCTCTGAATTTTTAGTATCCAACAACCCTTTCAACTTAAAAGCATCCTAAATGAATCTTGGTGTTCTGGAACTAAATGAAGGATTACTCTATAATCTATCTTATCCTTCTTTGAAATCATACAATTTGTTGGATAACTCAATCAACACTACAGTTTATATATATTTTGTACACGAAGTCCTATTGTAGAATGCAATGAAAAGTCCAAAGATAAGCTTAGTGATTTGCATAAATCCACCAAGATAAGATAACAATTCACCTATTTGCTAATAATTTCTATCAATTTAAGCATTCATTTAACTTCTTCTTAAGAAGATTTCTGCATAATTTTAATTGGGTAGTGTAGCTGTCAGTGATAAATCTCGAAAGTCTTCAGAAGTTCTCAAAATGATCTTTTGTTTTTCTACCTCTTAAAATGGCACGATGCTGTTGTCGTTGTTAATTTCATATTGCCTGTAATAGATGTTTGCCATATTACTAAATGATTTAGGTACAAAGTTAAAATATAAATCGCTGTCTAGATAGATTTCAAGGTAATTGGATGGAGATGCAGGATTCACAACCGTGTTTATTTGATAGACTTAGAGTTTGAAAAAGCCGTCTTTGGAGAAGGCATTTTCAAATTGCTCCTGACTAGCACAGATTGGATTCCATTAGTCTAATGAAGGATTTGTGTTATTCACGCAATCCTTGACTGTTATCTTAACGAAATAGAAATCCTCACTTCCGTAAGAGCCTTATAATTTAAATTTAAAATCGTCTCTTAGAAATTTACTATGATATTTACTTTGGACAAAGCCAATTAATCATTCCTAAAGACTAAAATTATTGTTCGATTGTTTTTGAATTTCCATTCTAGACTTTTGTGGTGAATTGATCCATTGTGCAAGGTTAAAGATCTATAAAAGCACTTGTTTTGCTCATCGTTCCATTTGCTTGCCTATGATAATACCTAAAAATATTAATGACTACTACTACTTTTATTCTAAAGTAATATTGAATAGGGGTTGACTTGTAAAGTTCGCTTAATCAATGGAAAAGGCTGTCATAAAATTAGTATTGTTCAATATAACCATATCAGGATCAATGTTGAAAAGAGTTTACAATTTTGCATTCGCCTTTTACTTAGTCACAAAACCCACTATGTTACTGTAAAAGAATATTCCAAGAAATATGATTATCATAANTTTGATTTAAGAATAACTTCACACTGAACCTAATAGGTTCTGACTTTTTAATTAATTTCTTCAGTACATTCTATCTAATCACAGTATTCGATCTTTTTTTCACTACCAATTAAGTCAAATCATACCATCTCCCTCTGAATTTTTAGTATCCAACAACCCTTTCAACTTAAAAGCATCCTAAATGAATCTTGGTGTTCTGGAACTAAATGAAGGATTACTCTATAATCTATCTTATCCTTCTTTGAAATCATACAATTTGTTGGATAACTCAATCAACACTACAGTTTATATATATTTTGTACACGAAGTCCTATTGTAGAATGCAATGAAAAGTCCAAAGATAAGCTTAGTGATTTGCATAAATCCACCAAGATAAGATAACAATTCACCTATTTGCTAATAATTTCTATCAATTTAAGCATTCATTTAACTTCTTCTTAAGAAGATTTCTGCATAATTTTAATTGGGTAGTGTAGCTGTCAGTGATAAATCTCGAAAGTCTTCAGAAGTTCTCAAAATGATCTTTTGTTTTTCTACCTCTTAAAATGGCACGATGCTGTTGTCGTTGTTAATTTCATATTGCCTGTAATAGATGTTTGCCATATTACTAAATGATTTAGGTACAAAGTTAAAATATAAATCGCTGTCTAGATAGATTTCAAGGTAATTGGATGGAGATGCAGGATTCACAACCGTGTTTATTTGATAGACTTAGAGTTTGAAAAAGCCGTCTTTGGAGAAGGCATTTTCAAATTGCTCCTGACTAGCACAGATTGGATTCCATTAGTCTAATGAAGGATTTGTGTTATTCACGCAATCCTTGACTGTTATCTTAACGAAATAGAAATCCTCACTTCCGTAAGAGCCTTATAATTTAAATTTAAAATCGTCTCTTAGAAATTTACTATGATATTTACTTTGGACAAAGCCAATTAATCATTCCTAAAGACTAAAATTATTGTTCGATTGTTTTTGAATTTCCATTCTAGACTTTTGTGGTGAATTGATCCATTGTGCAAGGTTAAAGATCTATAAAAGCACTTGTTTTGCTCATCGTTCCATTTGCTTGCCTATGATAATACCTAAAAATATTAATGACTACTACTACTTTTATTCTAAAGTAATATTGAATAGGGGTTGACTTGTAAAGTTCGCTTAATCAATGGAAAAGGCTGTCATAAAATTAGTATTGTTCAATATAACCATATCAGGATCAATGTTGAAAAGAGTTTACAATTTTGCATTCGCCTTTTACTTAGTCACAAAACCCACTATGTTACTGTAAAAGAATATTCCAAGAAATATGATTATCATAATGGAGGATACCCCTCCCAATGAGGTGGTGTAACAATTTTGTTTGTTCATATTTAGAGTTATGAATTATCCAAAAAAATCAAATTTCTTCAGAGCTAATTACTAAGAATAAGTAATTACTTTGTTGTAGAGCCATCATAATTTATGATATCTAATTATGAAAGATTATAAAATATTAATAATCTATAAATCGATCGATACGAATAATAATTTGTTAAATAAATTTAAATTAATATCAATATTTTTAAATTATGATGTTATTTATATAAACCTACTAAATTTTTCATCTTTATTTAATTATCAATGCCTACATATCCCTCTAAACTTTTGAAATATCACCATAACAACTGTTTTCTCAATTTGGAAATTTTCAAATATTTATTGATGTGAAATACTATATTTATATTAATAGTATTGAGATATTCCATTCTAAGTTTAATTAATAAAAATACTTATAAATTATATTTATTTTTATTTTTAAATTAATTTGTGACTTTTAGTATTTCCTTACTTGTAATTAAAATCAAATTATGTTAAAATCAATAATGCATAAATACGATAATAATCAACTAAGTCTATACAACACAACTTGCTCGTTTTTTCCATACACATTTTCCAAATGATACGAAATCTTAATATCTAAATGTCTTGGATTTTATGCATTCTTTTTCACTGCAATACTTCCAGAGATAATATCATTATTCTTAACAGCCATTGGCTCTTCAATATAAAATACAGTTTATTTCCAGTGAGTACTTTCTGCATAAGGAGAAGTAGTCAATCTGACAGGAACATGACAACTTGAAAAAGAGACATCAAACCTTTCAATATTGTTATAAATATGTACCATCCAACCAAAGCATGAACATAATCGTCTTTTTGAACTTTCAAAAGATATTGATGACTAAAATCCAATTCATCAACTTTAACAGTCTTCAGATCGATTTCAAAAATAGGACAGGAATTTGAGTTGATTTGTTCAGGATTGCAGCAATCCACCAAAGGTTCTCGGAGTGCCCATTATTTAATGCAACTCATGTTCACACCATACACATTATCCCTATTAAAGAATAACACATGACTTTTACCAGAAATCAATTTTTGACTTTCTGTATTCATCATCCTCAATGGTAGCCAAGTACATAATGGCTTTATCTGGGAACATATGACCATCAGGTGCCAAATATTTGTCTCTTGCATAAAGTACACAGTCCAACATTGACTCATAAAGAAGAAAGTAACTAAATTTTAGTTTATTTTATTTACCCCATCCATTCAGAAATGATGATGTCCACTTTTTCAACTGGTAATTCAATCTCTTCTATCTTTCCTTTTACAATAGTAATTTATTCACTGAGTCCATTATCACTAATTATCTTTTTTGCATGAATTGCTATGTTAGCATTCTCAACTGCATAGACATGTTTAGCTCCAGCTTAAGCTGCAAAAATAGAGAGAATGCCTGTTCCTGCACCTACATCTAATACTATTTTATTTTGGAAAAGTTGCTAGACTTGTAAGCTAATATAGTTACTTTGTTCTTAAGAATGGCATTTTGATAAGCTTTTGTTCTGATCTTGTCTTTAAGCATTTCCTCATGGATGCTGAAATGAGAATATGAATCAAAATAATAATCAGCATCTTTAATGTATCCGTCTTAGTGATCTGACTCACCTTTTAAGAAGCAGGATTCAAGATCAAATCCTTTTTCTGTTGATTTTTTAATTTTCATCGACTTGCTATTGTTCATATTATTATATTTATATTATTGATCACTAATAAATAGGTTTAATTTCATAAATTATACATAAATTTCTTAAAAACTAATTATGCTAACCATTAATCGAAAATTGTTATTTCAAATTTAACACAAATCTCACCTTTAGTTCTAATATCTGTGATCATGTAAACTCATTATTCAGTTAAAACTTAATATATGTTGATTCATTTTGCGATCTCATAATAAGGGTGATTGAAAAAGAAAGTAAATATAATATTTCATTTTCTAATAGATTTAGTGCTGCTTGAATATTAAATTTAACTAATTTCAACCCAGCATGATAGAAATGGAGAAGTAAAACAAATAAAGAAACTATTATTGAATGTAGAATAAACCAAAAATTTGATTTATTAATATTATATTTATTCTAATTAATGTTCTAAATCACATTTTTGAAGTCATTCTTAATTTAATTTAAAAGACATTGTTGAGTATAAGACCATAAATTAGCATCGAGTTAATGATTCACATTGTCTATATGTGTATATATACAGTATATAATATTAATAGAAAATTGTTCAATTAGCTTCAAATAAACTATAATAAAGATTTTTTCAACTCTAAAGGACACTCTCATTTAATTGATCTGAATAATTAAAAATTTGATTAATATTAATTAACATTTAATTATTTTACCCAATTAAAAGTTTCATTCAGAGTATTTATTATTTAAATACAAACTTGAATTTAAACATATATAAAATGTAGTAAATGAGAGAAATAAATAAGTATAATTTCATTACGACTCCTTCTGTTTTTTGCAGTAGTTGATATAATTTTAAATAATTGTGTGTGCAAATGGCTTTATTCTGTTGAGACAAGATTACAGTTGATCAATTTTTACTTGAGAACTTTGGGCCAATAAGCTTAAACTAATTCCTCCTTTGTGATAGTAGATTATGTCACAAGCAATTTTGACTGCCAATGCATGTTAAATGGGTTTAGAAAGCTTGTTTACGTATTTAAGTATGATTTTATGCATCAATTGGCAGAGCATTTTTTATTTTTTGTCCATCTGAAGCTTTTCGCACAATTAAGTTATCATGTTGTTTAGTCGATAATTGATGTGTTAAGCAAATTATTGTATTTTTTAAGGGAACATTGATAATTCCATATTCAATTAGAGCATGGCACAGCAAACTATAGCTTATGCATGGAAACTGGTATTAGGCAATTGAATCGTTGTCATTATTTAGACACATTGTTTTTCAATTAGGGCATTAAGGTTGAATTTGACGATCAAATGAGTGATTTCATCAAATAAAGAATTTCGTTTTGGTGGAGTTTGACTTCTTTCTTCAAACTTTGGGACAGGAGGCCGTTTTGACATGAATTGTTTTTATTATTAAACATTAAACATTTACTATTCCTTATTTAACATAAGAGGACAAAACATACCGTAATATAAATCAATTATAATATTAAAATGAAAGTAAAGTTATTTGAGTATGTTTTAGAAATAATATGAAAATTGAATCATATTTTAGAATAATCTAAGAAAACTTATAATATTCGTAGGTTAAATCTTGGACGTCATTGTGAGCCTATAGGTTTAAATTATGCTCAAATAACAAAAAGTACGATGGGTTTATGACAAATACAAGGGAGTAATTTTTGTGATGAGTTGGAAATCAAAGATATATCAACTCATTATTGTAGATTGATCTCTTATAATTTTGGAAGTATTAAAAATATGATGAATTACATTTTCATCAGTTCCAAAATGAATGGATAAAAATAAGATTAATCAATTTATCATTAAATAATTTGAAAATGCTTCAGATATTGAAATGGAAAGATTATAACGAAATTTATTTTTTTTAAAATTACCACGACTTTAATAATTTTTATATTAATTTTAATTAAATGCTAGCAAATTCATTTTAATTTAATTATGATTAAAAATTTTAATACTCTTTTTTATTCTCATAATCGATAAAGTGACGAAAAATGACAGTTGTTTGATTTTGTTAGAGCTCTTGAAATTGGAAAGATTGCATAATTAATTAGGCACGGAACTTCTCCAATTTAATTAATTAATAGGATTCTAAAATTTATGCTTTATTTTAATTACACATTTATTAATTTTGAAATGATTTATTCTCAGTAAACATTATAAGAGAACAAAGAAATGGATTTACAAGGTATTGATACTTTTGAGCACCCTTTAGCTCAATTATAATCCTTGAAAACTCGGTACAACCAAGTATTTTATGGAGTTATTTTAGGAACGATAAGAGTTTGTGCTTTTTATGCAAGAGTACATTGTAGATTGCCTTACTTATGAAAATCAAGAGATTGGAGATGATGTACAGACCTTCTATAATATCAGTAGGTTGTTTAAACAATAAAAAATATATGTTAAAAAATGGTGCTTAAACCCTTATGGAATTATGAAGATTTAATTGTGGAATTAGAGCAGCAACTAGAGACCTAGACACGTATGCAAACTCTTTCTATTTTTAATATTTTTAGACGATTATATCGTATTGAATTAAGTCAATTTAATCATTTCCAGTTTCGATGCATAATACTAAAACAAGTTTAATTAAATAAGTACCCACTGTCTGTAGACACTAAAAAGCTTATGTTCTACAGAGAAAAGGTAATTAAAGAGGATGACCAATTATATTGAAGGTATATATAAACAATAACCAAAGTACAAGAATTAATTCCGAATTAATAGGATAGAGTGGAAGAGATTCATGAGCTTCTTACATCATTAGTCTAGTACAATCTAATTATATTAAACTAGAAATCAAGATAATGTACTATCCATAGATTTCTGGAACTATCCTCCCTACTAATTTCTGAGCACAACTTAACAAGATTTATCATATTAGGTCAAAAAATAGAATGTCGATGTTATTTTGATTGATACATATGGGATCAATCAAGAAGTAGCAAGAGCTCTATTTTAGCTATTGCCAGATTATGAACTTATTTTGCCTCAGCTCCTATCCACAATTAACTTAACCAAGGGCAATTTGTAACATGTAAGAAATTTTAAATTATGCATTATTTCAGAGCCTGTCCAATCTGTACGATTTGCAATTGAAAATGACAGATCAGTTGAATCCTTTCACTTTGAAGGGAAAGGGAATGGTTTGTTGTCAAGGTGAAGGTTTCACACCAAATGAATTTATATGTTTTTACTATGGAGAAGTGTATACACCTTAAAGATGGTTTGAAAAATAAACAATATTTCATAAGANGCAAATTCATTTTAATTTAATTATGATTAAAAATTTTAATACTCTTTTTTATTCTCATAATCGATAAAGTGACGAAAAATGACAGTTGTTTGATTTTGTTAGAGCTCTTGAAATTGGAAAGATTGCATAATTAATTAGGCACGGAACTTCTCCAATTTAATTAATTAATAGGATTCTAAAATTTATGCTTTATTTTAATTACACATTTATTAATTTTGAAATGATTTATTCTCAGTAAACATTATAAGAGAACAAAGAAATGGATTTACAAGGTATTGATACTTTTGAGCACCCTTTAGCTCAATTATAATCCTTGAAAACTCGGTACAACCAAGTATTTTATGGAGTTATTTTAGGAACGATAAGAGTTTGTGCTTTTTATGCAAGAGTACATTGTAGATTGCCTTACTTATGAAAATCAAGAGATTGGAGATGATGTACAGACCTTCTATAATATCAGTAGGTTGTTTAAACAATAAAAAATATATGTTAAAAAATGGTGCTTAAACCCTTATGGAATTATGAAGATTTAATTGTGGAATTAGAGCAGCAACTAGAGACCTAGACACGTATGCAAACTCTTTCTATTTTTAATATTTTTAGACGATTATATCGTATTGAATTAAGTCAATTTAATCATTTCCAGTTTCGATGCATAATACTAAAACAAGTTTAATTAAATAAGTACCCACTGTCTGTAGACACTAAAAAGCTTATGTTCTACAGAGAAAAGGTAATTAAAGAGGATGACCAATTATATTGAAGGTATATATAAACAATAACCAAAGTACAAGAATTAATTCCGAATTAATAGGATAGAGTGGAAGAGATTCATGAGCTTCTTACATCATTAGTCTAGTACAATCTAATTATATTAAACTAGAAATCAAGATAATGTACTATCCATAGATTTCTGGAACTATCCTCCCTACTAATTTCTGAGCACAACTTAACAAGATTTATCATATTAGGTCAAAAAATAGAATGTCGATGTTATTTTGATTGATACATATGGGATCAATCAAGAAGTAGCAAGAGCTCTATTTTAGCTATTGCCAGATTATGAACTTATTTTGCCTCAGCTCCTATCCACAATTAACTTAACCAAGGGCAATTTGTAACATGTAAGAAATTTTAAATTATGCATTATTTCAGAGCCTGTCCAATCTGTACGATTTGCAATTGAAAATGACAGATCAGTTGAATCCTTTCACTTTGAAGGGAAAGGGAATGGTTTGTTGTCAAGGTGAAGGTTTCACACCAAATGAATTTATATGTTTTTACTATGGAGAAGTGTATACACCTTAAAGATGGTTTGAAAAATAAACAATATTTCATAAGAGAATGCAAGATGGCAATCGAAAGACGTGTTCGTAAAGTCCTTATGTCGAATTCTTCATAAATGATGATTTATTGGTAATGTTTAAAAATATTTTTAGTTTATTGACCCCACTCGATATGGGAATATGGCTTAGCACATTTCATATTCGTGTGATCCAAATTGCAGATTAGTCTCAGTAATTGTCAATTAGCAGAATATATTGGCAGTTATCACATAAAAGAAAATAAATTACCTAGAAGAATTGACTTTGCCTTTTCCTTCCACTTCTATGGACGAGTGTCTATGCGGATCATTGCATTGCAAGAGAGCATAGCATCTGGAATTGGAAAGTGCCCATCAAAATAGCATTTACCCAAATTATATATAAAGAAATGTAATTTTGCTATAATCCACCCTAATGAGCTGCCAAAACACTCAGAATGATATTCCTGAGTGGTTGACAAATTGGTAGAAACTCAACCATCAATAGAATTATATCAATATATTGTCGTGTGTTGACAAAGTTAAGTTTGCATTATAACATTTGAAGACGGTGTAACCGCCTATTTTTGTAGTAACAAACATTTTCGACCAATTCTGGAAGAATTACGAATCCAACACTCAGAAGATTCAGTTGGAGTCATCAATAATAAATGAAATTGTGATATTCCTGAAAAGACATTCATAATAACATTAGTGCAGTATAGGGTTAGAAATAATAAAACAGATGAAGCAGATTATTGATCAAAATAATGTATATGCTTTGGAATTGACGAGAATGCTATTACTTTTATTGAGTGAGATAATTTTAAATATAGAATCTTGCTCATTTAATAACAAGGCATTTGCTACTATTTTGTACTTTATGTCATTTACACACACATACTTTTCATCGACCTAATACTAAGGATTCGATGGGAAACCTTTTGAGGAGAATGAATTCGAATATATTCCTTAACCAAAAAATAAATCCAAATTGGCCTTGTCTAAATAATACACTCCTTAGTTTATCTGGGGCTAATTAATCAATTGGAATAAGCAGACACTTCAAAATCCTTAGTCTTCAATGGCACAAGAAAGGAGAGGTGTTTTATGCTATCCATCATTGTTGTTATCATTTGATAATAAACACAAGACTTTTCCTTATTAATGTAAGACCAGGGAAATATATTTGGAATATTTTTAATCAAAAAAAGAAATACAGCCTGATCTATCAACTTGGTCATACAAAAATTAACACAAGTACGTAATTCTTATTATTTTAGCATTTATGGTACCATATTTTTTGAATAATATTTTTCATAACAAATAGTGGGGGAGGATTTCGTTAATCAAATTTGTAAATTAGGGATGCAAACATTTGAAAAAAAGTTTCAATATTGGTTGCAAATAGAAAATTGTTTTAATATGAAACAAGAGATGATCGATGAATTACAGACAATTTTTTAGGAGTAAAATTTATAACAATATTCTTAGAAAATTTTAAACATTTTTTGATCAAACTCCCAAAAGCAATTCTTGTACAGAATATGTTAATAATATCAAGAAAAAAGTTAAATTTAATCAAGATACAATAATTGCAGAGGAAACTCAATTTAGTGCATATTGATTTATTAACTCTTTTCAATTTGTATTCTCAATCTCTATATAAATATTGCATAAATCGAAAATAATTTTGGATGTAATTAAAGAATTTTAATTATTTTAATATTTTTATTATTTTATATATAATTAAACAATTAACTTTTTTTTATAGTTTGATTTTCAATGGTTATCAATTTCTTTCTTATTTCAGAATTTCTTTGTTGTCATATGTGTTTATTTCCTCGTATTTTTTGCCCTTCTTAAACACATTAATTCCCACCTGCATCATAAAGTAGGTCCAATATATGTGCATACCAAACAAGATGCACATCTGGACAATGAGATACCTGTTACCCCAAGCTGCTTCAGGACTTGAAAATAATATACAAAATTTCATTACTAGTCTGAGTAATTCAATATTGCCTCCAAAATAATTTAAGGAAATATGATCACTCTAGTATAAATCCATGTGCATAAAAGCAATACGTATTGCATATACATGAGGGATTTGATTGATTTTAGATCATGTTGAGCCCTCGAGAGAGATAAGATGATATCAGCAATATCATGAATTCCCAATACAACAATTCCAAATCGAACTATATGATAACTACGATATTCTAACATTGATTATAAAGGGATGAGAAGATGAGCAGACAGGTTGCAAGAGTGTGATGCAACATGTACTCCCAATATTTGGTTTCTACTTCCTTCCTCTTTATCGCCAAGTGGATCAAGGCATATAAATGATTCGCTGTTTGAATCATATAGAAGGGGATCACCCATTTATTCTAAAATTCTTATATCAATTGTTACATTGACCATATTAGGAAAATCCTACCAAATCCCTGTGTAATTGGTACCTCCCAACCCATTAGGATACCAAGGCTCTTCATGAAAGAAATACCAACAGAGTATCTAAATATATTCAATGCATTATATACAGAAGTTGTTGAATAGTATACTCCATCAAATAGCCATTTTAAAATTTTTTTAACTCTTATGTCCCTGAATTCTCCTGAATATTACGATGATATGGTCCTATACACAAAATCACGGAATAAGTAATTTACAGCCCATTTAGAGTACTAAAAATTTAATAGTCCACTTACATGAACGATGATTAATCCCAATAACATGATGCTGAAACTGGAATAGGATATTGCAGGAATGTCAGTCATTATTAAGTACTATCTGAAACGTAAGGCATCAAATACAAAGAAGGAAAGTATAGCTAGTAGTTATCGATTAGAATTACATGCCAAAACGATGAATAAGAGTCTGAAAGTCTCTTCATAGGAGAGATGTGATATTCTGAAATAATAGAAATTTGCCTTTTTGACAAAGGACTTGCCATTTGATTTCAAAATGAGATTCATTTTTAAAATGATATATTTAATTAATAATATTATAGTTAATATTATATTTTATATTAATCTCAGAGATTAGATATATTTTTTAAATTAATGAAAATTATTGTATTAATAAACACAGTATTTCCTAATGTAAATATAAAATTATTGAGGCTTAATTGTATAAATTAATTGTGTGGTTGAGTCCTTTTAATGATAATAGTATTTTCCTGCATTTGTCAAGTCATTCTACTTTATTCTTTCTGAATATTAGCAAAATTTAAACTTTTGTATATGAGTGTTTCAATTTGTCATAAACTCTTTATTGTGTTTTACCTCTTAAAATATTTTATTGCTACAATTGATTTATATATAGAAATAGACCTTAGATTTTTGAAACAAGTAAGTACATCTGTATTGATTTTTTCATTACTCTGGTTAATTCATTTCCTTTACTTTTAAATAATATCAAATTAACATTTTCTTATCATTCACAAAGTATTATGCGAAAATCATAGAGTATTCATTAATTGAGTTGATGAAATTAATGATACTCACTATGATATTTCACATCTGAAAGTCCTAGATTTCCAGATATAATATATGGTTTAATCATATTGAAAAGAACTATTCTTCAAAAACTAAATAATGAATTAAATTCTTAAATTCTTAATTTTCTGTGTAATTCTTGTTGTTGTGTAAATAAATGAATAATCAGTCTGTGAACATTCGATCATCGAGAAATGAACTAAAAGAATTCATCAATATAATTATTAAATGCGTCTGAATGAATAAAGTATTAATTACTTATTATAAGTTCAATATATAAGTATATAACAAAAGATTTGATTTATAATAATATTATTATGGAAGGATATCTTAAAAAGTGGACTAACATAGTTACTAGATGGCAAGACAGATACTTTATTTTGAATGATCACATTCTCCATTACTGTGAGCATCAAGGAGGATAATCCAAAGGATAAATCCATTTAAAGGTGGCTGCAATCATATTGGTTCCTGAAGATCCATTAAGAATCATCTTAAACACAGGGACAAACGAAATATAGTTGAGAGCTTCTAGTGTACCTGAAAAAATAGAATGGGTGAATGCTTTAAAAAGAGCTCAAGAAAGTTGTTAGGAAACAATTTCTCGAGATTACATCAAAGAAGTGAATGACATTCTAACTGACATTTGGGTTACACAAGCAGCATGTATCATAATTCCTTTCTACAATTAGTTGATGAAACCTTAAATATACTTGTACCTAAATTGGAGAGATAACCTAAGTATGTAGAATTGGCTGAGAAATTAAGTGAATTAGGATAAAAGATTAAGATGAATGTTACAATATGCACTTAATTGTTGGAAGTGGAAAAAGAGAAGTTAGAAACTCAACAGTCAGGTAATTTTGAAATAATATTTTAGGAGATAATTAAACTTTATTTTAATCATTCAGAAATATCTCCAGCAGGATTGACGATTTCAATAGATAGAGTTCGGCAATTAGTTCTAGTAGTTCTTTGTCAATTCAAGACATCTTAGAGCCTCTTAAATACGAACAACCTGTGAAATATGTAAAATATATTATTGATTTTAGAAAAATCTTATAAACAATCCTGTGTTCTAAAAAATCTAATTCACAAATCAATAATTAAGAACTGCTTTACCTAGGACTTAAGACCCAAATGAGAAGCTGAAAGTTTGGAGTTTAATTAAGGACTTGATTGGTAAAGATCTTTCAAAGTTTGCTGTTCCTGTGTATTTTAATGAGCCTTTGTCTATGCTTTAAAGATTGGCTGAGAATTTAGAATACTATCAAACATTAATTGAAGCTAATTAAGAATAAGACTAATGGCTCAGGATGTGCTATGTAATGGGATTTGGAGTCAGTGCTTATTCAAGTAATATAGATCGACATAAGAAGCCATTTAATCCTATTTTAGGCGAGACTTTCGAAATCCAAAATAAACAATTCAGATTCGTAAGTGAATAAGTTTCTCATCATCCTCCTATATCAGCTGGCTTTGCAGAATCGAATGATTTTGAAATGTAGATGTAAACAGACCTATAGACTAAAATGTCTCCCAGGAGTATGGAGGTATAACCTATAGGAAATGTCTACATTAAACTCAAACAATGTAATGATCAAATTTCCTATAATAAATGTACTACAAAAGTTCACAACATCATTTTTGGAAACATGTATATTGAACATATTGGTGATATGGTTTTTCATAATCATACTACTAATGACAAAGGAGTGTTGACTCTATCTGAAAATTTTAAAATGGTTGGCACTGTTTGTGATAGTCATGGAAAAGAAAAGTATAAATTGAAAGGATAATGGAATGATTAGCTGATTGCTCTTAATGTTTAAACAGGATAAGAAACAGTGGTATGGAAGAGATATGATTTACCTTAAGATTATAAAAATTACTTCTACTTTACTAAATTTGCTATGAATTTGAATCTACTCAATATAGATTTAATTAAATCACTTCCCTGCTCTGATTGTCGATTAAGACCTGATTAGTTGGCTTTGGAATATGGGTTCATTGATTTGGCAGCCGATGAAAAACATCGATTGGAATAGAAACAAAGATAGAGAAGAAAGGAAATGCAAAATGCAGGTTAAAAGCATATGCCATAATTTTTTGAATTGATTAAGGAACCATGCACAAACGAGATGGTTTATAAATACAGAGGGAATTATTGGAGGAAGAAAGGAGAGGGCATGGACTTGTTCTGATTACTTATACATACACATATAAGATTATCAATTAAATGATTAAATCTTTTATATAAGTTTATCCAATTAGTTATCCTGATTGAATTCCTTAATTAATTAATAGAAATGCTCATTCTTAGGACTTATGGAATGAACTAAATTTATAGTTAATTAAATTATTTACTTCTTAATTTATCTTCGAATTTTATTTGAATGTGAATATTCTAGTTGTATTCCAATTGAATATCAAGAATCTTCTGATGATAATCATATTCCAAATACACTCCTGTTATTTGCTATAATTAAATTATTAATTTCTCTTTCATCTCTCTGTCCTCCTTAAGTTAATTAATATCATTTTAACACTCTAATGATTCAATGATCTATATATACTAATGAGTTTCTCTTATAACTGAATGTAGTTTGAATTCTCATTGCAAGATTATTCAATGAGGGATTCAATCTTCTGGTTTTACTCTTATTGAAACGAGATCAATTAACCAAGTTGGATTTAAACATTCTCTTTATTGCCTTTTGATTTCAACTTGAATTGCTGTTCCTCAATTAGCTTCTTTTATTAATCAATTTATTGTTATTGTTACTTTTGAACTTCTTTATGTTGGAGGATTTTATCATTATACAATTTCTTTTTTTAGTCTAATAAAGTTTACAAGATCTTTTTAGATTTTTCGATCTCGCTTTGGACTGAATTTTAATACTCAAAAAACTAGAGAATTTAAATTTATGACTTTTACTCAATATTATTATTCATAATATTAATTATTAATCATTAGATAATCTCTGATGTTGAAATTTGAGGATATTAAACATTTGCAATATGTTATATGACCTAAGGTCGTTGACTATTGCTGAGATCTCTCCCTCTATTCTCTATCAAATTCAATTCCTCTGGATTGATGATGTGATCAATATCCTGTCTCTGATCAAGAATCTCCCAATCAACCCCTACATTGCCTCTAACCAATTCCAATATCATGTAAACCAAATAAAGAACCAGCAATAGTATTAGCAACACAATAATAGCCACTAAGGAAGACATCTCTTCGGGATGCTAAACTTCCTTATAAAACCAATACGAGAGACCACTCAACCCGCCCAAAGTGATGATGAGTCTGATTAAGAAGGAGACCAATTCTGTTAATTTGCTCTAAAAATGCTAAGGTTTAAAAGAATACAAAATTCTTTTAATGATAAGCCTCTATTTTTCTAATCTTATATGCAATTCCACAATTAGAACATGTAGTAACATCATTTGTAAATGGTCCAGTTGTTGCTAGCAGTTTCTTCTTAAAACAAGTCGAATGGTAGAAGTTCTAATTAGAAATCAAGTCGTTAATACTTCGCATTGACAAGGTTATATTAAATTCATGTCATCTAAATTTTCGCATATTTGACATTAGATTATCATGTTTTCTGTTCTGGAAACTGAAAGTTGATTGCCAGATATCTTCCTGGGTCGTTATTGCAATTTCATAGGAGTGAGATTATTTACAGAATTACTCATACTATGAGCAATTTGAACATTTTCGAATTCAGTATTTCTTTGGGAATCCTGTTTGAAATTCTATGGACTCGATACAAAATTGTTTTGGGGTGACAGTATTTTGATCTGTGTTTCTGATTTCAAATGGGAACTCATAATTTTATTAATATCACTATTTTGCACCTCATTTGTGAATTTTTCACTAAGAAATTGATTATATTAGTATAAATTTTATTTATAATTTCAAGCTTCGAATTATTAAACTCCTTTTACATATTAGTCCAATCTTTTCTGCCTTATCGACAAATAAATAATGCATATGGAAAACACAAACAACAAAGTTAATGCAATACTAATTACTACAACTAACCAAGTGGCTATTTCTTTTTGACTTTTGGGAGTCTAAGGAATATAAATGATAATATTACAATCCAGCATTCTTCCTCATAGTTCTTTACATTTTGGAATTGAATAATGGAAGTGAATTCTTCATAATCACACTTGTATTTATTATTGCAAATTGGCATCACAGTGCCATTGTATAAGACTTACACATAATACTAATCCTCTAATCCCTACTTCTTATACAATTCAAATATGATATTGCTAGCGTAGCCTGGGAAGGTGTAGATGCAATTCTTATTTGATACTTCCTATTTGAAATACACTTATTTTAGACACTCAACAGTTGTTAAATTAAGAGCATTCAAAATCAGTTCAACAGTTGTATCATGAGCAGAGAAAATTCTGAACTTGTGCTTAGTTAGTTTGTTTAACACATTCTCCATATTGTCCAAAACTTTGGTAAAGAATGGAGTGGCCAAAAGACGAGCTTAACTAGAATACATCAATTAATTTACTCAAAATCTATGTTATGCTCAAGAGAGAAATACAGATACTGCAGGAGTTTCATCTAAGCCTTCGTGCTTTCTTTGAGTTTGGGGAGTGAGTACCCATTGAATTCACAGGAATCGAATGTGTCTTGATACTCGTATAGATTGGTAATATTCTAAATGATATTCCTATTTATACTAATAGAGATGCATCGATTCCAAGTTGTTCTGCCAAATCCAAGATTAGGGGCTAGGACTTGAGATTGATTTCATGGTATAATTTAGAATTGACATTGCTGTTTATTATTTCTTCGTTTCTTGGACAAGCCACGGGATCATATCCTCTTAAATAGATGTCTGCCTTCTTCTCTCTCACGTGAACTGGAACTACTTGCAATAACCCTGGAATGGCTTCATTTCCCATATCTTCAAAAGTAATTTCGTTTGGAGGAAGTAGATAGGAGTGATCAAGATTCGGATTTACTTTTGGGCCTGTTCCCATTGGATACATGCCTTAAAGATTGCTCAACGCGCTCATTATTGTTCGATTTACATCTGTGCTCTCAATATAGATTTCTGCCTCATTGTAATTCTAACTCAAAAATTTCTAGTCTTCAATGTATCTCTTTCTCAACCATTATCCCAAAACATAATGTTGTCTCATTCCTGTGGCTGTCAAGTACCCATTCAACAACCCCTATTACTCAAATTCTTCGCATTTCCAATTACAATGAAGTGGAGTACGAGCACCGTGTCTCCATAAAATTTACGATAGAACTAATTAGTCTGCAAATGCTTAGGAAATAAGTACAAGAAGGAACAACATGTATTAATTAATGAAAAAAAAAGATTCATATTTAATAACATTTTCTTGATTTCTAATAATATTTGAATTTCCTGTATTTATTCTATAATATAATACAATATAAATTTGCTCAGTGATAGTAGCAACTACGAGGGTGTGTAATTTAAAAAAGAAAGTTAATCGAAATAGTTTCAACATCCAGAAGAGTGAATAAATTCAAATAGTGTTTGTGTAAGGATTTAATATAAGATTATACATTTAAATTTAGATTTTAAATTTGTAAGTGCATTTGAGATCGCAATTTTTGAATAAGAATATTGTTAAATTAAAGGCAATTTAAAATCTTACAGCAACTTAAATATAAATTCTAATTGATCGATGTGTGAACACATATTGCGGGAGATGTAATATATAGGTAAATTTTAAATCTTTGGAAATTAGAAATTAATTTATTCACACGTCATAAGTAATGAAAACCACTTTTATACTTGTTCTTGTACTAGGAATATGGGCATCGTAGTAACCAAATGGGATAATATGTCCAGTTATAGGCATTGATTTGGGAACCACAAATTCTTGTGTTGGTATCTTTCGTAGAGGAATTGTTGACATTATTCCAAATGACTAAGGAAACAGAATAACTCCCTCGGTTTTTGCATTCACTGATGAAGAACGATTAGTAGGAGATGCAGCCAAGAATCAGGCCTCATTGAATCCTTCACGAACACTTTATGATGTAAAAAGATTGATAGGAAGAAAGTAAATTGAGAATTTTAATCTAGATACACAGATCCATCTATCCAGTATGATAAAAAGTTGATGCCCTATGAAATAGTTCAAAAAGATAATCAACCTTAAATCTAGGTTAGGAATTTTAAAGGATTGTCCTCTTTGGTATTTGCTCCAGAAGAGATCTCAGCTATGGTCTTAATGAAAATGAAAGAAATATCAGAAACCTTTATTGGAAAGACTATAGCGAATGCTGTAATAACAGTTCCAGCCTATTTCAATGAATTTCAAAGATAAGCCACTAAGGTTGCGGGAACAATAGCAGATTTAAATGTATTGAGAATTTTAAATGAACCAACGGCAGCAGCTCTCTCGTATAATCTTGATAAGTTACCAGGCGAGACGAACGTTTTAGTTTTTCATTTAGGAGGTGGAACATTAGATGTATCTGTTCTGTAAATAGAATATGGATTAGTCGAAATATTAAGCACTTCTGGAGACACTTACCTAGGTGGAGAAGACTTCAATTAAAGAATGATAAATCATTTCATATAACTGATCAAGAAGAAACACAATATGGATCTCAGTGGAGATAGGCGGGTTATTCAAAAATTGAAAAGAGAGGTGGAAAAGGCCAAAATAGAACTATCATATACTCATTTGACTTCACTTGAGATTTATGACTTAGTTGATGGACTCTATTTTTATGAAACTCTAACAAGATCCAAATTTGAAGAATTGAATAATGATTTATTCGAAAAAACAATTTTACCCATGAAATTGGCCTTGGAAGATTCAGGATTAAATAAGGAAGATATACACAAAATAGTCTTAGTCGGTGGTTCTACTAATATCCCAAAAATTAGAGAAATTGTCAAAGATTTTTTTAATGGAAAAGAAGTTATTACTGGATTAAATCCAGAAGAAGCGGTCTGTTATGGAGCTGCCATATTTGGAGGCATTCTATGCGAAGAGTCTCATAAACCTAGGGATTATTTTGGACTTGAAGTTACACAATTAAGTTTAGGTTTTGAGACCTCTTAAGGAGAATTCAAAAAGGTTATTCCAAGTGGTTCCTTTATTCCAAATAGGAAATCTTTAATATTCACAACTTATCAAGAGCAACAAGAAACAATATCGATTAATATATATATAGGCGAAAGACCTTTTGTCAGAGATAATCATAAATTAGGGACACTTGAATTAACTGATATTCCCCCAAGTCCTGACGGTACTTATTAAATTGAAGTCAATTTTGAGATTGATGTTGATGGCATACTCAATGTTTCAGCTGTGGAGTAGTAGTCAGGAAAAGCGAATACTCTTATCATACAAAATTATTCTGAAAGATTATCATAAGAAGAAATAGATAAAATACTTGAAGATGAAGAAATATTAATACAAATTGATAGTTATGAAGAGGAAAGAGTTAAAGCAAGGAATTCTTTAGAGAATTACATCTATGTGATGAAAGGTTAACTTGAAGTAAGATTTATCTATTTACATAAGGACCTTGAATGCCAGCGAAACTAATTATCAGACGATGAAAAATCGATGATTTAATAAGTTCTCAAAGAGGCGACAGATTGGCTATGGTTAAACGAAAACAGATAAAAAGAGATTTATGAATAAAAGCAGAGTGAAGTAGAAAAGTAAGATCTTTTATTTAATTGAATAGTATTTGCAATCAGATAGTGAATAAAATCTACTTTGATGGGTACCCTAAAGAAAATGAGAATTGTGATTTATGAATGGATTTTGCATTTATCATTATCTAACAAAAAACAAAAGTAGAATAAATATTGTAATCAGTATGGGTCAGTTTTGAGCTTCAATTTTTCAAATTGATTTCCTAAAAATTCATTCAAAGACTCCATCTGATCTGTTAGTTGTTTTCTCTCAATCTTATTCACTTTATCTAAGTAATCAGCTGAGTCTAATAAATATTAGTTCATGCTCATAAAGGATTGAACCAAGGAGGGAGGTTTGTTTAATTTAAATGACTTTTTCCACTGTTAATAGAACTCTCCTTATAACATGAACTTTTGGATATTCTCTTGATATTTTAAGTCATTAATCGTGACACTTTTGAATATGTCAGGCAACTTCATTTGTTACAGTTCCCTCAAGGTTTACTACTTGACTAACTATTAATCCATCCTTAATTGTTAATTAAGCAGCTTCATCGTTTCCTTTTTTCGCTTGATCTGATTACTAACAGCTATTTTTGGTAGCATCTGGTACCCATGAATTATTTGCTGTTCAGATTTATGCTTGATGATTGCAGGTGCTTTCTATTAGACTGCTTCTTCGTGAGAGACATATTTATCAAGATTATCAAAAATCAATTAATTATAGGAATCTTCCTCGAAGGTCTCCTTCTTAAGATCCAAGTAGACTGAATCGAAATTGATCTTGTGCCTTCTAGAGGTTAGAACTTCTTTGGCTTTATTTAGAATTGAAGATGATTGAAGTGTTTGCGATGATTTTTGTGGGGGAGACTCTTCTTGTGTAGGAAAATTGGACAGGATTGATTCGAGTGCATTTAGCTTAAGCTTTAGTTGGAAGTGCGGTTTTTTTTGTAGAATCTTGGTAATTCTGGTCTTTGCAAGATTTGCTTTTAGAATCACCTAAGCATTCTAATTATCATTATTCATAATTTTAATTAATGCTCAGAAAGAACGTAAGACTTAGAAAGGAGTATCTCATGAGGATAGAGGACGAGAAAAGAGCAAAGCAGAAGTACGATAACAAAATGAGATTGCTCAATGCTGAAATTGAAAGGAAGAATGTCCCAACTGACCTTTACAGAGAGGAGGATAATCTCAGAAAAGAAATCAATGCATAAGATGATAACACTATAGGTTGATTAGTAATCCTTAATTCCTTAGTCCCAAGGACTCATTTAGACGATGAATATGCTATGAGTTTTTATCGAGAACCTCAGATTGCATTGACTACGAGTAGATCTCCATCCTAGAGATTGGTTACTTTAATGAAAGAGATGGGATTGATATTCCCCAATTGCACCAGAGTTAATAGAGGTGCCTTGGTGGTCAAGGATCTCGTCACTCACTGTTAACAAAAAAATTACTCAGATCTTATAATTGTCCATGAGCATAGAGGAGAACCTGATGGATTGATTATATCCCATATGCCCTTGGGTCCAACCATTTATTTTGGAGTAAAAAATGCTGTCTTGCGTCATGATTTGGATGTGCGAGCAGGTTATCTATCATTGTTATCTTAGATCCTCTGTCTGAACAGTATCCTCATTTGATTTTTGATAACTTCTCAACCAAATTGGGAGAAAGAGTCACCACCATTCTTAAGCATCTATTCCCAGTCCCCAAAATAGACAGCAAAAGAGTTCTTACTTTTCACAATGAAAATGGAGTCATTTCATTCAGACATCACACCTATTAGAAATCATTCAATCAAGTTGATCTAAATGAATAAGGTCCAAGATTTGAATTAAAACCATACAAAATTACATTGGGTACTATTGGATAAAAGGAAGCCATTGTGGAATGGTAATTAAGAACCTTTATTAACACAGCTGGTAAAAAAAGTGTATTATGAAATTGTATGTAAATAATTAATTTATTAAATGGACTCAAAAATTATTCCACTTCAAAATATTGATGAATTCAAGGCATCTATTCTCGTCGAAGAAAGAGTGGCCATCTTAATATTTACAGCAGAATGGTTTTATATAATCATTATTTCAAGGTGCCAACCAAGTCTGAACCTAGTAACCTAAATGAAAAAAGAATTGGATTAATAACGTAAAAGACTAAGCCAACAAACAGGTGCCATCAACATCTTTGTTGTGGATCATGAAAAAGAGGGATGCTATCAAATAGTCAAATAATTTGCTCCAACTACATTACCATATGTATATTTATTTGAAAAAGGGAAATATATCGCCTAATTCGGAGGTCTAGATGTTTTTGCAATGAATAAATTAATTAAGAAAGCTTTGGAATCATCTAGAGCATTATGAATAAATGATATTGCATTATATATTGGTCATTTATTTAAGTCTATAATTTTATATTCAATGTATTAATTCCTTGTTGTCCCGTAGATTGTTCTCTCTGATATCAATCCTTTGTTCTAACTCATTGTTTGACTACTTTTTGAGTTTATTTTTATAATTATAAAGTAAAAAAGTCTTATAAAATTAATTGATAATTAAACTTTCGATTGTTAATCTTTTTTGTGTGATAAAATTGATTTAAAAACCTCATTAAATATGAATGTCAGAAAAATTATAAAAAATTTTTTTCTTTTTAGAGAAGTTAAAAAACTATATGTTTGAATAATAAATTTTGATTCTATATTAGGATGGATTGTAGTATTATGGGACATGCTTGAAAATTTTTGTTTGTTTGATTTTTGATTAATGTTGACATCATCTCTAACTATTATTATTTTGTTTGTATTATTGTAGTCCTACACAAAACCATTCTTTTTAGTTAAGGATTAGATATAGTAATGCATTAGGTACCTGTCGAGTATTTTAGAGCCTATATTTCAAATATTCCTAAATAGCCAATCAAATTGCGAGAAAAGTACATTAAGTATTGGCTTATAAATATTATTTTCAAATTAATTAAAATGGCACCATCAAAATCACCAAAGGCTGACGCAGCTAAAAAGACAGTCAAAACAGTCAAGACCAAGAAGGGATCAGATGATAAAAAAAAGGCAAGAAGACGATAAGAGACATTCGCTCTTTATATTTACAAGGTTTTAAGATAAGTTCACCCAGAAATTGGTGTTTCAAGAAAAGCTATGAACATTATGAACTCATTCATTAATGATATCTTTGATAGAATTGCACTTGAAGCCAGCAAGTTGGTTAGATTCAACAAGAGAAGAACACTTAGTTCAAGGGAAATCTAAACAGCAGTCAAGTTGCTTCTTCCAGGAGAATTGGCCAGACATGCCATCTCAGAAGGAACAAAAGCAGTCACCAAATACACCAGTGGTTGATTTATTCAATTTAATTCATATAACATTAAAATGGATGTTAAATTTTATATTTTTGTCTATTTTACTAATTGAATAGGAAGATTGTACACATTTATTTTAGATATATCTTAATTCAGAGATTTCTTGTTATCCTTAAAAATAATGGAAGATCATATCAAAATATACTTGATTATTGCCTTGTATCTAGAAGTGGATGGATCAAATGTAGATAATTTCTGACTAAGAATTTTATTATATAAATTAATGAAATCGGTTCCTATTGTATATTTTTTTCAAAATGAACCAAAGACACAATTTATGTTCTTTTTCTAAGGAGAGGAAGTACAACAATTATCTAACTTTATTGTAGCTGATAGTGAAAAATATATTACAGCAATTCCCATTTAAGATTACTACTCATCATATTCGATTCAAGATATTTGTTTAAGACATAGAACCAAAGACGTAAATCGATTAATTTATTAAAGATATGCTTGGTTTGATATCTCCAATCCCAACGCCAAAGTCCCAGTTGTTAATGATACTGTTTTTGTTAAAATCTTAACACTTTCAGATCTTTCATATAGCAGAATCGCCAAGAAAATGGTTGAAAGCGTGTCCTAAGATTAAAAAGTAGGAGATTTAAGGGTCTAATAAAATCCCATTTAATAATTATAGCCAAATTAAAATAAAGGATAGCAATCACAATCCAATTCATCACCTAAATTGCAATAGTAATAAAACTAAAAGTAAACTCTACAGTAAGGTAGCGAGAGACTAAGCAATAGGCATTTGAGTAATTAATCTAATGGGACTAGTCAAAGTGGCGATCTTTTAGAAGCATTTGAGAAATTAGATTTCAAACCAAATCCGCATCATACCTAATCATAACCAATCAGTCAAGCAGATTTGGATATAAACATTTAGAATTTCCCCAATTTTGCTCAAAGTTAAACCAAAAGAATGTAAAATGATAAAGACTCCTCACAATCTAAAGGGTTGAATCCTCAATCAGATTCTTATGATAACCAATTTATGTAATTCTAACAAAAACCATAGTAGCAATAAGCCAAAAAGGGCTAGAATTTATTTGAATTTGATACACTTACTAATAAATAGCCTACTGTTTTGAATGAGTAATTTCAACGAAATGATGGGGAGGATCTATTTTAATTCGATGCTCCAACCCAATAGTAAGAATAGCCTTATGATTAATACGAAGGATTAACAGATAAATAAATTGTTGATTTGAGAGTAGAATAAGCAGCAGAGGGTCTATAAAAGATTTGGTAAGAAGAGTAAGATTATAATATCCTGAGATAACAAGCCAAAGATGAGGTAGAACCAAAAATATTAAACTGGGCCTACAAGAATAATGTAAGAAATAATCTAAGGTTGCTTCTGACTACATTAACTGATGTTTTGTGGGAAGGAACAAATTGGCAATGCTCAATAGGAGACTTGATGACTGAAGGCAAAGTCAAAGTATTTAATGAATTTAAATTACTAGTTAAAATATCGTCAAGCTTTATTGATTGTGCATCCTGATAAGCATAATTCTACTCCTCCTGTCTAAAGATATATTGCTGAAAGAGTATTTTATGAACTTAATTAAGCTTGGAATGATGACAAAAACAGAAGTTGAAATATATTTATAATTTAAATAGTCTTTAATAAAATTATAGTTTTTTATGTTCGTCTCCTTCTAATCTAATGTAATTAATCAATTCTCTTACATTATTAATTAAAATAATTAAAATAGAATTTATGAAAATTCATTTGAGTTCAAATGAAATCAAATTTTAATTAGAATTAATGCTAATTGAGAAAGCAAGTGATTTCAATATTAAAAAGAAACAAAACTTTTGAATCTATAAGAGTGTGATTAAATATATATATAGAAAAAGTTTCGCTGTTCATCAAACTTCACCTGATGAATTAGTTTGCTATTCGTTTACTTCAACATTAGACCCAATCTCTGGGACGAGTACTTCATTTTTTGTCTACTAGGGCTGTAGCTCAATTCCAGTTATTGAAGGTCTACAGCTCTCATCTCCGTCTACTAATTCCACTTCAACAGGCTCATCTGTTTTCTCATATAGAGCATCCAAGACTGCTGTTTTTTCCTTCTTCTTAAATTTGCTTTTCTTGAGAAATGAATCTTGCACCCAAAACTATAATAACCGGTTTTGATACGCAAAGAGCATTAAATATTAAAGGGATGATGACTAGTACAATAATAAGCTCGAGTTCTGGATATTAGTTTATAGGTTAAAACATCCATGATACAGCTGTCAATAAATATTCTCCCAAAAGTAATTAGAAGAAGTAGAGGATAATTTTGCTCTTGTTTATTGAGTGATAACTTACTACAACAACGATTAAAATCCACAGTGTTAATTAAAACACGTACACTCCATAAGCAACCTCAACTTTAGGTTTAGCCTTTTTGGTTTCGGTCACATCGCCAGAACTCATAGAGTAGGTTGTGATTTGTGGGTAGGATATAGTGTAATAATTGCCAGTTTGGAATTGCTACAAAATTATTGAGATGCATACCGTCTAGCCTAACTTTTGAAATAGTGCTTCGAAGAGAGTGATCAATAAACAATTAATTAGCATGCCTAGAGTGCAATCCAACATGTAAGTAATAAAATACCTGTCTTAACAATATTATGTACCATTGACATTAATCTCCACTATCTGCAGAACTCAACAATAAAGCCAATCCAATATTTAAGAAGTGCTACACAACAGCACTAACAAATTATTTAGCAGTATCCTATATTATGTATTCTGGGATTACCATTAAAAATATTTTCCAAACTCTTTTTGGTTTTTCAATGTGCCTCTTGACTATTAAGATAAAATTGTATTAGTTACAGACAAGGACTAAAAAGCAAAGGAATCCCAAAATCGATTACACTAGGATTCCAAATCCTCCCAATAATTCACACCCCTAAGCCTCAGGTTCTTCTGTTGACATACAGAATTATGTTTAATTAATAAATAATATAAAAGAATAATAAGTAATTAGACAGTTAACGATTCAATCAAACATCTAAGATACTATATAGGAATACATTTTTATCTCTAAAATATAAATTATTCTAAAAAATTGTTGTTCAAGATAGTTATGATTAATTAATTCTTTGCAAAAACTGACGATTTATGAAAATTCAAATACTAAATCTATATTTAGTATTTTTAAATTGAAATTTTCCTAAAATAAATTATGAATAACTCTTATTTAATTACTATAATAATGATATTAATAGCTATTATTAGGACTATTAATAATCTTCATTATCATCATGATTTTATCATTATTATTCTTATGTAAAATATAATTGATAATTATCATAATGCAAATGCAAATATATTAATTCAAGACATCAAGTTCAATTTAACTCGATATTTAAATCACTGATTAAGTTCTATTCATCTTCGATTAACATATCACCATTGTTATCCATCATTCCAAATTATTATATTTTTCGTCTTGGTTGTGGTGGAGAATCTGTAATATCTTCTGAAGATGATTCTCTTATTTATCTTCTGGGTGGTATGATGATATTTTCTGTTTCATCCATCTCTTCTATTTGTATCTCTTCAAAAGGTTACACTTCCTCCACTTATTCTGGTGCTATGGGATTTGTCTTTTCAGAACTAATTTTGCCAGATTATTCTTTAAGAAGTAGCATCAATCGAGCATTATTAATCTCCTAAATCTAATCCACTCCTCCGCTTGAAAATTCAATACAACTTTCAAATAGATCCAATCTTTCAGTACTGCATTTGGTCGAACACATTCTACTGGATTTTCTCATTAAATTTGTTTCTTTTATCAATATGGAATTATACTTTCTCTTTTGAGTCTTCTCTACATAAACAATTCATCTTATCGCTTAAGATCCTCTTCAATCACTTTTTATGTTTAATCAGATGCTTTTTAATATCCACTTATTAGATGCTACAAATCATTCTAGCTGCATTCAATCTTGTCTTATATTTCCATTGCAATCTTTGCCTTTGTCTAGCGTTCTCTCTTTTTGTGTTCAACACCTATGGTTTACTTGATATAAGATCATTTTTCATACCTTAGCTTTAGCACTTTCTTAACTGTTCTGAATATTGCTAGTCTCTTATATTATTAAACTTTATGTGTGACTAGGTATCGATGGAGGCAAGTCTTGATTGGTTTTACGAATGCTCTTCAGGGCTCTTTGACAAGCAAACAACGATTACAGTTTCTCATTAAAATAATATCCAACTGGATCCTACAATCATTCAATTATTTACTTAGATGCTGTCATAATGTTCGATTAACACAGCATACAAATCAATCAATTTTTATATAACATCATATTTCTCTGATCCTTTGTGGTATCTTTCTTCGAAGTCAAGCAACTCCTGATAGATATCATCTACAAATATTATGTACAAATTTTACTCGTAATTGGCATTGTGAATTTATTTAATTAAATTAATTTATTGACATCATCAAAATGTTCACCTACTTAATCTGATTTTACATCTGAAATACTACCTTTTGTTATAGACAGAGAATTAAAGAAATTTTATAGATTCGACTGGATATATTCAGTTTTAAATGATAATCTTAATAATATTATTTAATAAAATATTAATTAAAATTATCTTGATCTGCCTTAATACCTGATGTTTTGGTGTTTAAAACATAATAAATATCAAATTTTAGAATATATTTAGCTATTCAGATCTATTTTCATTGGTAAAATCCTTCAAAATTATTTATTTTATCATCTGTTATAATTTGAATCTCTTTATTTACAATATTTTTAAGTTTATTTTCTTTTATAACATAAGTTAATATTGTGATTTCATTATATTTATACATCATTATGCAAATCTTTCCTTTTAGTTCTTAATAATTAAAAATAATAAAATTACTTGATCCAACCAACCTAATAGACTTGATATTTCATCATTTTAGTTAAAGATTTTCCTTGTTTATACCAATAAACAATTACAAAGTTACTTTAAGTATACATTTCGAATTGGTATTTACAAATTACATATATATCTTACCAAATAGCTTAAGAAATTTAATATATAAATTGCAAATAGTTTTGTCATTATTAGACATCCAAGAAAATTGCAACATAACTAACATTTAATTTATCTAAGTTACTATTTTTATAACATATCATATGAGATTGATTCTTAATTCAAATTGATTTATGATTATTAAATTATAGTATCATTGAAACCTCGAAAATAAATTTTTTTCACTTGAAAACAGGGTATTTTCAATCTTAAATATCAAACCCACTTCTTTTGAATTTATTTAACTTAGCTAATTTATAGTATTTATATTCAATTTCATTTTTGTAAATGAAAAAATTCATTCAAATGATAACTGTTGATTCTAAAGTAAATTAATTTCTATCTGAAAATACCTAATGCTCCACATTGATATCATATTATTGGATTATTCAACTTTATATGAATATATAGATATCATAAAATCAATGTCAATATATTTATAAAAAATTGAAATTACATTTCTATAAGACTTAAATCATAGAATAAAATTCAAATTATAAACAAATGATTACAATTGAAGGTTTAAAATATCTATTAAAATAGGAGTAAGCAAACCAAGTGAAAATTTTTAAGCACTGTTTTTTCTTAGAGTTTTTATTTAAGATTTTATTTATAAATTAATTATAAATGGACACCAGCACTAATTATGATTAATATGCTTAAAAGGCATACTCGGCAAATGTATTTAAAGTGGATGAATCTGAATTTATTATAGAAAAGAGATACAAGCCAACATAATAGCGTAACATTATGCTTTTATTTCAGTTGGAAGTGGTGCATATGGTGTGGTGATTGGTTGTGAAGATACAAAAGCAGCTAATTCAGAATAAAAAATGGTGGCAATAAAAAAGATTGAAAGGACATTCGAACATCGGTTTTATGCTAAAAGAACATTAAGAGAGTTGAAAATCTTGAGAAACCTAAGGCATGAAAATGTAAATTTGTAATAAAAGACTTTAGATAGTTAATCTAATCACCCTTCAATTACCGAAATCGAGAAAGCACTTTTACGACATGTAAATACTTGACTTAAATGAATTAATAGTTATTGTGTTACAGAATTATTGGATACTGACTTAAAACGGGTTATTGATAAAGAACATGCTAAGTTGAATTAAGATCACTTTAAATTGTTTTTGTATCAAATTCTCAGGGCCTTAAAATACATGCATTCAGCCAATATATTGCATCGAGATCTTGTAATACTATAAAATATATAATAGAAACCAACAAATCTGTTATTAAATAAATAAGATTGCATGCTGAAAGTCTGCGATTTCGGATTGTCAAGAGCACTCTTATAGACAACAAAAACACAATAACAAAACCCAAATATCATGACAGATTATGTTGAAACTAGATATTACAGAGCTCCAGAATTATTGTTAGGACTTAAAACCTACACTTAAGCAGTGGATATATGGAGTGTTGGATGCATATTTGCAGAAATAGTAAGAGGCAAAACATTGTGGAGAGGATAAAATTGTAATTGATAATCACTTATTTTAGCTAAGCAACAAATTAAAATGATTTTTGAAACCCTAGGAACACCTTCAAAAACTAAGATTATGCAAGTATAAGATACCTTCGTCTCATCTAAACTAATTGAATTAGTATCAGAATTGGGTACTCTCGAAAAGGTTCCTTGGGATAAAGTTGTTAAAGGATTACCACCTGAAGGATATGACCTTCTTGAGAAGCTATTAGAAATAGATTATAAGAAAAGAATCACAGCTGCTGAAGCCTTAAAGCATCCCTACTTGAAGGAATTGCATAATCCAAATGATGAGGTATTAAATTCATTCCAATCTTAATAGCCAACAAGATCTCCAGTATCCAATATGGAGTTTGAATTTGAAATGTATGAGTTTACTAATGAGTAACTCAAAGGTAATAAAGTCTATTATTTTAGATATGATTTACGAGGAAATTCTTTTGTATCATTTTCCTGATTTTAAGAAGTAATATGAAGACAAGATTGTCAATAATGAAAGTGTCATAAGTCATATAATGAAGGGGGAGAGTGCTAAAATCATTGACCCTGAAGCAGATGATGATTATCCCATTTGATGTTATATTTATTAAAATTTATAATATAAAATAGAAAATTTAAAAGATCTAATCATTGTCATGCATTAACTAAGGTATGTAATTTATAAATACTATCAGCCAAAATAAATTCATTCAAGATTTCAATTAGTACATTAAAATACTCCTCTTTTTGAGATTGACTTTTGTCTTTCACAAAAATTCTAGTGATAATATTGATGTTTTACTTATTCTGTTTACAGTTTTACTTCGAAATCTTATGACTTTTATAATGCACCTAATTAAATATAAGAAATACTCTTTTCCACTTTTATTCAATCTATTTGAATTTCTACTTACAAAGAGGACAAGTGTTCTCAATCTACATTTAATACATTCTTTACATTAGACCATTATTGAATGCAAGCTAAACAAAATGAGTGATTACAACTATCTAGCTGTCCCTTAAAATAATGAACTCAATTTACCTATTATTCTATTGTATTATAACATATTCCACATTCTTCTGCTTTTGATTAAAATCTAGTCTGTCTTTCTTGTGGTTCTTTCATTATAGTTTTCTTTAATTATTAAATTATTAATTAATGAAATTTTTTACATTCATCTAATTTTTAGGAATCTGATATTCATTTTTGATACATTATGTAATTCTTTGAACTTTAATATGGTTTTAATTTAATCATATCTATAAAGAGAATTTATTTCTTTACAAAAGATTAGTTGTGTTTTGAATCTAAGTATTCTACCTGAACAATAGTTTAAATTAATTTTGTATTATTGACAAAACACTTTCAAAAATAATTTGAGAAATTCTAACAAAACATATTCAAATTTATTAAAGAAATATTATTTATATGAATAAGGTGAAAAATATTATATATTTATATCATATTGTAATTTTAGTTAAATCCCAACCCAATTTCTCTAAGATCTCTATCTATTTTACTGCCGATTACCTTCTTTTTCTGTATTGATCTTATTGATTCAACCAATCTAAATCTTTAAGTCTGTATGATCTGATCAGCTTCTTATTTTAATCGTAATGCAATATTTCTTCTTTTCCATCAGGCAATAGCCAACCATCAGGTTCACAATTGGAATTATAGTAGCAACCTTATTAATCGACCCATCCACCATACTCATCTAAAATATAGACTTGGTCATCAATTTCGAATCCCAAAAGTGTGCCATCGTGATCAAAGAAATCAGTGTATTTTTAAAAATACCAAGGCTTATGAGGGACAAACATTAATTAATAAAATAATTAATAAATATATGTTATTCATTGATTGTTTTAATATTAAATTCATTAACTTGCAAGAACTGGATGCTCTTCTTCTTCAAATGATTGGAGTTGTGCAAATGAAAAGGTTATAGATTCCATGCATTATTAGTTTGCAATGAAAGAAGTTCTCTGACCTTCATACTTTTCTTTATTAAAAAGATATAATCTCCTGGATACTGGTACTGTTAAAGATCTGATTGGTTTTGACCATCCATATCCTGGTAAATCTGGGATTCTGTCACAAACAGTGATTGAGTCTCCCTTGAAATTGCATTCGGAGAAGAGCTCAGCACAATCAGGGTCAAAGATTTTGTAGGTGGTATCAGCAACAAAAATAGCAGCTTAATGGAAAACTCCATACATTTAGGTGTCCCACCCTAATGGAAATAGCTGAAATAAGTACATGTCACAAGATTGTATTACAATTTTGATTCAAGTACTACTTTATTATATGCCAATCTCATGTTTCTTGCTCTTTCAACATCATAACCTCTAAGTGTAACGATGGGAACTCTGGGACCACTCTACCATACTTTTGGTAATTCAATTGTTTGTTAGACTTCAGCTGCACTTGGTGCTCTTTTGACAAAGGGATGACTTGAAGCAGGATCATTGTAGAAAACATAAGCAGGTGAGACCCACAAAGATTGATCAGTACCCAAAAGTACGTTGAATCTGACGAATTCCAATTATGCTTACCAGTAGGTTCTGGCTGAAACAGTGACAGATTTTGGTGTTACTTATTCAACCTAAAATGCAAGACACAGATTACTTTGACTTCCACAATTGGATTCGTTAACAAGTGTTTACAACCAATCAAACCCACAATTGCATTTGTTGCATCTTTGAGACTGTGTTCAATTGTGAATGATACCTTTCTTTCTCCTTACCCAGTTTTCAATTCTTTGACATCTGTGGATTCGAATGTGACCACTTAAATTCTGGGATCGTAAATTGCATACCAATCAACAAATAAGGAATAAAGAGGAGAGGGACCTACAGCAACACCACTCAATTTGAATCCTTTGGATTAATAATGTCACATTGTTACCAGTTGTTGTGATATCGCTAACTCTTTCCATATAACCATGAGGCAAGCCAACACTCCAATCGAGTAATTATGCTGAAATAAACACCTAGGGAGGAATTTCAAAAGCTTTCTTGAACTTTACATCCACAACCACTTATCTTGGAACTCCTGNTAGCAACCTTATTAATCGACCCATCCACCATACTCATCTAAAATATAGACTTGGTCATCAATTTCGAATCCCAAAAGTGTGCCATCGTGATCAAAGAAATCAGTGTATTTTTAAAAATACCAAGGCTTATGAGGGACAAACATTAATTAATAAAATAATTAATAAATATATGTTATTCATTGATTGTTTTAATATTAAATTCATTAACTTGCAAGAACTGGATGCTCTTCTTCTTCAAATGATTGGAGTTGTGCAAATGAAAAGGTTATAGATTCCATGCATTATTAGTTTGCAATGAAAGAAGTTCTCTGACCTTCATACTTTTCTTTATTAAAAAGATATAATCTCCTGGATACTGGTACTGTTAAAGATCTGATTGGTTTTGACCATCCATATCCTGGTAAATCTGGGATTCTGTCACAAACAGTGATTGAGTCTCCCTTGAAATTGCATTCGGAGAAGAGCTCAGCACAATCAGGGTCAAAGATTTTGTAGGTGGTATCAGCAACAAAAATAGCAGCTTAATGGAAAACTCCATACATTTAGGTGTCCCACCCTAATGGAAATAGCTGAAATAAGTACATGTCACAAGATTGTATTACAATTTTGATTCAAGTACTACTTTATTATATGCCAATCTCATGTTTCTTGCTCTTTCAACATCATAACCTCTAAGTGTAACGATGGGAACTCTGGGACCACTCTACCATACTTTTGGTAATTCAATTGTTTGTTAGACTTCAGCTGCACTTGGTGCTCTTTTGACAAAGGGATGACTTGAAGCAGGATCATTGTAGAAAACATAAGCAGGTGAGACCCACAAAGATTGATCAGTACCCAAAAGTACGTTGAATCTGACGAATTCCAATTATGCTTACCAGTAGGTTCTGGCTGAAACAGTGACAGATTTTGGTGTTACTTATTCAACCTAAAATGCAAGACACAGATTACTTTGACTTCCACAATTGGATTCGTTAACAAGTGTTTACAACCAATCAAACCCACAATTGCATTTGTTGCATCTTTGAGACTGTGTTCAATTGTGAATGATACCTTTCTTTCTCCTTACCCAGTTTTCAATTCTTTGACATCTGTGGATTCGAATGTGACCACTTAAATTCTGGGATCGTAAATTGCATACCAATCAACAAATAAGGAATAAAGAGGAGAGGGACCTACAGCAACACCACTCAATTTGAATCCTTTGGATTAATAATGTCACATTGTTACCAGTTGTTGTGATATCGCTAACTCTTTCCATATAACCATGAGGCAAGCCAACACTCCAATCGAGTAATTATGCTGAAATAAACACCTAGGGAGGAATTTCAAAAGCTTTCTTGAACTTTACATCCACAACCACTTATCTTGGAACTCCTGCTTGAGCTTCCAATATGTGACCGGCAGCATATTGCACTATGACCTATTGTGCTGCCTCAAATTGTGGTGTTCTATAACAGAACGCAAGTGATAGTATCGCTATCAGAACTGCTATCTTCATAAAATCCGTTTTTATATTATATAAATTATCTAATTCTCTTGTTCAGATATCAATTTAAATCAACTTTATAAGAATCTCAATTACTCTTCTCGCCAACACTCAAGAACTTCTACAAAATTGCATTCTCTCCTCCAATTCATTATCTAAATTAAGAACTATTCTTTTAATCGAATATTATTATCTAAATCATTATTACATATATATTTCATAAAATGAATGTATGTTCCAATTTTACATTGTCCTTGACAGGAGGTTTCTAAGAGTGTAGAAATTGCGGAAGAGAAAAAAAATTCCATCGTCTTGACTTTGAAAATAACAACATTGAGTACGTCTAAAAGACTAGCAACAACAATGCTGGTAATTTGTCATCCCTATTTTCCAAAAGCAAAATTCTAATAGGAAAAACTTTAATAGATAGCTTCACAAAAGTAAGTGGAAGAGGATGAGCTAAGAGCCAAAGCCTGTTCCAACTTCACATTGGCCCTCACTGGATAATTTCAATAATGTGGCAATTGCAAAATAGAGAAAAAATATCATAAACTTGACACTGCTGGCCAAATCGCCTATCAACCAAAAACACAACCAGCTAAACCTGCCTCATAGACTCAACAACAAACAAAACCCACTTCAGTTGCTGGTATTACTCATTCTAATATTGTTATGTAGAAGTTGTCCAAGAAACTATGATGGTATAATCAGTAAAAGACAGAATAGCCTAAATGAACAAAAAAAATCAAAGCACCAATGAGCCTCAATTCAGACCTAGTATTAAAAAGGAGGAAGTTAAAGAGAAGGTTCTTGGATAAGCCGAAATAGTCACAGAATAAGTCTTCACTACTGTATCTGATAAAAAGAGTGTTTTTGACAAATAAAGAGTCAGAAAAACTATAGAGTAATCCACTTAACAAATTAGAGAATAATAGAACACAGAAGGAATTAGAAAGGCAGAATCGTAATACATTACATCATAAGACAATGCTCAAGAATAAAAAGAATAACTCATATAGAATTAAAATCAATTCCAAGAGAATAATTAAGAAGGTTCTTCAGAAAATTAATAATAAGAATAATAATTTGAAAATAATTAAGATTAATAATACTAACATTAAGTTGAGGAATAATAATAATAATAATAGGAATAATAATAATAATAATAAGAATAATAATAAGAAGAATAATAATAAGAAGAATAATAAGAAGAATAATAATAAGAATAATAATAAGAATAATAATAAGAATAATAATAAGAATAATAAGAAGAATAATAAGAAGTTATATTATAACAATAAGAACAAGAAGAATTAAATAATTAAAATGAATTGGTTGAATAATCCTATCAATAGAATGATTAACATGATGAAGGACAATAAGATAACTAATAATAAGAAGAAGCTAATAATAATCTAGTTGAGACTGCTGAAATCTATTGAGGAATATTAAAATATTAATAAATATTAATATACATATATTTAGATAATATATCTCCAATGCTTTTTAGATAAAAGGAAAAAGTTCCTAAAAAAGGAAAGGATAGCTTTGGTGAGTTCATGAAAAGAGAAAAAGATTCTTGTTTACAAACTTAAATGAAACTCTCAACATTTATCCATAAAACTGTTCCAAATGATTAAGTCAAATCTTAATTAAGGTATATCAACCATCATTCCTAAGTTCTGCTCCATACGCCTTAGATGGTTCATTGATCAGGTTTGGTAATACATGGGATGCCAAACATTTAGGAACATTTCTTTAAAAAAGTTAATATGCTTCTACTAGTGGAAGCTCTCTTCTAATTACTGAACCAGTAGTAGTCTAAAATACCACCAAAAACTAAAGTTTTTTTTTCAGAAATTAATAACCTAGAAATTCAGATGATCATGTGGATTATTTACATTAACATACAATCAATCATTTAATAAGTGATCATCCAACTCTAAAAAACGGACCCTAATTTTTACAAAAGAAACTCCTCTCTGTACCTGATAAAACATTTGATGAATCTAAACTAAATTATGAAACAGAGACAAAATTGAAAAAACCAAAAGAATAGTTTTAAGACTTGCTAATTGCTAAAGAAAATCAAAGGAAATTTCATTAATGGAGATCAGAATATCAAGATGTCAATCGAGCATTCAAAAAGGCTAAACAATGTTTTAAAAGTGGATTGTATGCTTTAGATAATCCATTAAATGATAATACTGAGCTCTATAAGGAAGAAAATGTTAAATTAAGAGGATAAGAAAAGTAGAGTCTCAGGAAAAAATTGGAGAGATATAAATGTACACATCAATTCGATATCATTCTTAGCACTTGAAAAATTTACTTCAAGCAATCCCTCCATAGAATTTTAGAATATAGCTCATAAACCATTAAGTTCTAAATAGTCAGACCCTTTATTTACAAAAGTTAGTTTCCCTTCTCAAAACTTTGAGTTGCATGATAAGTGGAAAAAGAAAAAAATGATAGACTAAAATATTGATACTAAAAGTAGATTATTTGGAGAAAATTCTAAAAATAAGGCTAATCCTCACAGAACTGTCTTTTCGAGAGAGTAAGATTTTAGAGACAAAACCTAAAATCCTGTACACCTAACATAAAGTTTAATTGGTTGAAATTATTTAAATAACTTATAAATTAATTAGAATAAATTAAATTTTTCTCTCTTTCTTATTGTCTTGAGCCTTTAGGTCTTTATTTAGGAATATTGACTAAAACTAGACTAGCAGAAACCAATTTAATGTAATTAGGATGATATCAAAAAATTATATATACGAAAGCAATGAAGTAATAATCAGATTAGAAAATATGTTAGTAATAAGAGTATTCTATCGATAATTATTTTTTTCATACTAAATATGATAACATCAGAATGCTTTATCCAATTATAAATCATAAGAAAAACTCTTTTTTTTATCGAAATTTTTGATTTTAAACAGAACTCCAAAACAGAACTTCTGAAAATACATAATGAAAATTTGAGTAAAGATTTTTAACATCAATTAATCTCAAAGGGAATTTTTTGATGTAATTTAATAGCCTACAAAAATTAACTAAATAATTTGTTTCATATTATAATAAAATTTTTGTTAGCATTGTAAAATTATTATAATCACAATTTAATTATAATATGCAAAGTCATGCAAAATAAGTGGTTGCACTAATCAATCAACTTCCCAAGAAAGATGAACTGAAATTCTTAGAGAAACAACCAGGAAATAAGAAATTTATTTCTGAAACCAATAAAGCATTTATTTCAGCAATTAATGGACTAAGATCTTTGGTTGGAGATATTTAGGCAAATTCAACTACTATCCCATTTAAAGTACTCTCTCATAAGTATGTAGTAAATTGAAGAAACATTAGATTAATTCTTAGAAAATGCAGCCATTTAATACGACAAAATGAATAAATTAAGCTTGGTTCCAAAACAACCCCAAACATAAAAAACTAACTAACTTAAACCAAAGGATATTTATGGATTTGCTGATGCAATTTAGCTCAATAAATTACCTTTTATTCCTGTTTTAAAATATAAGCAGTATGCATAGACAGAATTAGATTAAAAAATAGTAGAAGCTTAAAATAACCCATTTTAATTTTTTGAGAAATATGAAATAGATGAATTTGCTCATCCTTACTATGAAGAAATAATGAGATTGACACCCCAAGATTTTGTTCTTGATGTACCATAAAAAATTAATAGATATAGAGATTTAGAACCGCCCATAATGATTACTAATGCAGATCATTTAGGAGAACTTGTCCTTAAAATACAACAAGAAGTAGATTAAAATGGTTTTAGCGAAATAGCAGTAGATTTAGAGCATAATCATTAAATTTCATATTTGGGAATCACTTGCTTGATTTAATTAAGCACTCGATCACAAGATTACATAATAGATCCTTTTCCTTTATGGAAATAGCTAGGAGACATGTTGAGTGTCATTTTTGCAAATCCTAAAATAGTTAAGGTTTTCCATGGAGCTGAAAACGATGTATAGTGGCTATAAAGAGACTTTGGTTTATATATTGTAAATCTATTCGATACTTTCCATGCATCTAAAGAATTACAACTTATGTAAAATTCGTTTTAGTTTTTGTTATCAGAATATTGTAAGAAGTCTACTGATAAAACTTATTAAACCGCTGATTGGACTTAAAGACCATTGCCAGATGAAATGATCAAGTATGCTTAGATAGATACTCATTATCTACTTTATATATATGATAGAATGAGGCAGGATCTTAAAAAATTGAGTAAACCAAATGAAAATATAAGCAATATACCAAATTACTATATCGAATCAGTATTAAAACGAAGTAAAGAAACAGGTCTCAAAGTTTACAAGAAACCTTTGCAAGATTAAGATTAATCTTTGCAAACAATTCTTAATAAGTAAGATAGGCGAATGGAAGCAAAAAGTTTTGAATTAATGGTGTAATTACTAGAGTTAAGAGAAGAATTAGGAATTAAACATGATCAAAATCCTAGGTATTTTCTACCAAATCCATTATTGTTTAAAATAGTTGAATCTAAACCTACAACAATTTAAGAACTCAAAATTTAATTAGGAGGTGATAAAAATATTCATGATGTGGTTAAAGAAAATCTCTGGTAATTCTTAAAAGTACTATTGGAATTTGATGAGAAGATTCCAACTGTAGATATTATTCAGGAAGAACAATAGAACCCAGCATAAATATAGATTGAGGAAGTGCAACCTATTTTATAAGTTGAACCATTAAAAATTGTCCAGGTTTCAGTTGGGATCAAGAAATTTTAAAATAAAAATAAAAATATTGTAAAAAATTACTTAAAAAATGAAAATGTTGAATTAATAAAATCGCAATTTTATTGTGAATCGCCTTTTAAATTATTAAATGTATTTTATGAGGGCTTAGGATCTTAAATCTTCCAATCTATGAAGGAATAAAGTTAGCAGTAAAAATAATTAGTTGAAGAAACACAGCAATAAAAAATAGAAAAAATTAATACATCAGATTTCATAAAACTTCCTAAATTGGATGAAACAAATCGTGATTAATAGAAGGATTTAGATATTAGATTGAATAATACACTATAAAATTAGCATGGAACAAGGATTTTAAAAAGACACTAAAAAATAGAATAATAAAGAACTTAAAAAACTAACATTAGTAACAGATTTGAACTGTCATGATAATAATATATGTATTTAAATTCATAAATAATTTTAATTAATGTGTTTGAATTTAAAAATTGATCTATTAAAATCTCTCATTTTTATTCTTGAATAATGATAATTTTTGATCCTAGCTAGTTTTATAGTTGAACTACCTTTAAATATGATCAATTATTTAAAATGAAAAATTCTATTATTCTTAATAAAAATGAATGGCATCCTAATTACTTAAACTATGACTTTGGTTTATTAACATAGATATGGATTGTAATTTTAGTAGAGATAAAATAATTATTTTAACATATAAGTGTTCTCAATCTCAGTCCATAATTAAAAAAAAAATTGTATAAATTTCTTCATATCTTTCTAATTTCTAATATATAAATTTACAATCTTCATTAAAATGAAATAATAAAAATAACAAAAATGAAAGCTTTACCGTTTTCCCTGATAACCCTTCAATTCTTCAATAACTCTTTGGAAGAGAAATACTAGGAATATATTTCAGAATAAAAACTGACTTGCTTTAGAATGTAGATGTCAAATGCCATTATAATTTTACTAGCAAATTTATTTACATTGATAATACAACAAGAAGAAAATTACTTGGTCATCATAGTCACTGCACAAATTTTATTATATGCTTTAACATTAATATTCAGCAGAAAAATTTCTCCAATTTTCAAATACCTTTTTCCCTTCCTATTTGTTATGTAACACATATTTTTGATAATTTGGGCACTTGATAATCTATTATAGTATAATTTTTATTTAATTTAGACCTCATTTTGTTTTTGGTTTTTTAAGTGGAATTTATTCAACTTCCTTGATAAATTATTTAAGTGTGAAAGTAAAAACAGTTATTTTATTATCCTTTATATGGATACTACTAGGAGTTTTTAGAATGTATACTTTAATGAATCTAAATTAAATTTTCTTGGCATTTGGAGTCTTTTGTTTCTAAGTATTTTTTGCATATCTCTTTGAATATAATTCAAGATTAAATTTTTCATAAGGAATTATTATACAAAACCAAAAGTAATAAATATAAATTCTATATTAGTAATATTTTGTATAAATTTACAAGCTAAAAAATTCTAATTTTAAGTTTCAGCGAAAATAAGACATTTTTTAAATTGGATTTTGCCAATTAGAAGTTCGAATCAATCTATAATATTGATAATAATTTAGATAACCTTAAAGAATTCCTAAGAAATCATTTTATTATTAATTTGCCTACCCATTAAATGACTGGCAGTTTAAAAGTTCAAAAATTTGCAAATAAATAAATAACATTAGAAGATTTGTTATTTGAAAAATATAAAGCTAAATCAGAGCTAGTTGACGAAATTAATGAATTTTAAATGATTGATTAAAATAAAACTTAAAGTGAAGTTCAGATTTAAATAATACATGGATTATAAACTTAATTTGTAATAGTTATTTAGGAAAATAAAAGCGAAAGTTAAATTGAAAATTATGAAAAAAAAATTTCGATTATTAATAATATATCAGCCAATTTTTCTATGTTAGTTGGCTAACAATTATAATCTATATATAGGTAGGTTTCTGATTTAGAAATTTATGAAATTGAATTTCAAACTTTAAATAAAATCTAAGGAAACATGTAATACTTACTTAATGAATCTAAGAATTAATTCATGTTTTATTCTTTCAACAAACTCCACTTATTAAAATAAGAAATAAATCAATGTTAATTATCTACCTTTATTATGGCTTTAAAACCCTATTTTCTTTACTAAAGTCGAAAATATAAAAGAGAATTTCAATTGCTATTTTAAGTAGATAAAGATAATGTTTAAATGAAAATAAATACAAAGTTATTAACGCAAATATTAATAAATGTCTTCAATAGAATTCTAACCTATTCAAAATTAAATAGCAAGATTTTATTAAAAATATCTAAAGAATATAATTTAAACCCATAATCAATTAGTTAATCTCAAAAGTACCGATAAAATTCATCCTCATCAAAATACGATTATTTATGCTCTTCTTAAGATAATATTCAACTTTTGATTAATATTAACTTTATATTTAATCGAGATGATGAAATTAACAATTTTGAAGGATGCTTTATAAGTTAAAATAATGAGTTTGAACAGAGCGATGATTTAATATCAATGGTCAATTCATATTTATTAAAATAAATTAGTCCTTATAATAAGGTATTTATCATTTAAGAGTAAACCTCTGAATCACTAAATACAACTTTAAAATTGTATATTTACTCTGATTAAACTCAGATTGATCCATCTTATTGTGCATCTTTAAAATAGCAACACATAATTGATTGATATATATATATTTTATGCAATGCATTTATAAAACAGATAAAATATTTATCATTTGAAAAAAGCGTATAAAAACACAAAAGCTATAGAAATCATTTTTTCCTGATCAACATTCTCTTCATTTCTACTTATTAGAGTTATTCGGTTTAAATTAAATTGTGTATGGCAAACTCTACAGCCCTTTAATTATTGAATCTATCAGATAATTCTTAAATCAATCTGGTTGCTGGAATTTTGGATCCTATGCTTATTCTTCTAAGAATGGATTCCTCAATTTTAGCAACTAATTATTTTAAGTCATTAGATAAATCAAGGCCAAACTCTCTAAAATGATAAAATAAGAAAATACTTAGTTCCTAATGAAACTGCTGTCATTGTAGAAGTTTAAAATAATCGATGGGCTTCTTTGACGTGTTCTTCCTTGACATGCTCAAGTAATTGCATTTTAGCCAGTGATTCACTAATTCTAATGATAGCTTCTAATTATCTAACAGTTATTGGTATATGTGATTTCCCTCCACTTTTTGAATGGTGAGTTTGTTGACTTTTCTATCTATCATCAACATATAGATTCTGGATCATTTAGGCTGCTTATTCTGTGAGTAAAGGTTTAACAGTAGATTTTGCATATTTAACATATTGTTTTAATTTCATAAGATCTAAGGTATTGCTACTATCCTATTCGATTTGCATTCCCTCTTGATCAGCAAATTATCCTGTGTGGAGAGAAATGATATGGTTAGCTAATCTCTAATCATTTTCAATGGATCTCACATCTCTAATAATGAAGATATTGTCAAAACGAGATAAGATAGTGGTTTGCAATTCAATTTGTTCTTAGATAGATTTATTCTCTTGATATCTACCGAAGATAGGATTTGCAGCTGCCAATATTGAACATTTAGCATTTAATCTAGTAGTAATACCAGCTTTAGCTATAGAAATAGTCTATTATTCCATTGCTTCATGCATAGCAACCCTATCTTCTGATCTCATTTTATCAAACTCATCGATGCAGCACACTCCTCCACTTGCCAATACCAAAGCACCTGCTTCTAAAGTAAATTGTGATGTATTATGTTGATATGTTATTGTTGCAGTAAGACCAGCTGCACTACTTCCTTTACCACTTGTGTAGACACTAATATCTGCTGCTCTTTCAACGAATTTCAATAATTGAGACTTTGCTGTACTGGGATCACCAATCAGTAGGACATTGATGTCTCCTCTTAATTTCATACTATCTGGAAGATTTTTTGAAGTTCCTCCAAAGAGCAAACAGGCAATTGCCAATTTAATATCTTCATGACCATATATGGCTGGTGCTATCGAATTTGTAATGATTTTATAGACATCTCTATTTCTACTTAAGGATTTGAATTCTTGTCTTAAAGCCTCAGATAATCCTTGTTTGATATTCACTTTATTAGTTTATACTCCGAATACATGAATGTATGGGAGAAGTAATTCAGCATCTATTGCATTACTTTTAATAGTGGCTGAGCCTTTTGGAGGTACTTAATATACTCCAGTGATTATCACCCTTTACCCAGGAATTAATTTGTTAACCAAATAACGGTCACAATATACCATAAAGTTTCTTGGTACTTCTCCTGTCGGAATTGCCTCAGAAAGCTCTTGGATTCTAAGAGTTTATTAATCTATAAATTGGCATTCTTCTGGGATTATCACATAAGGATCTGTTGGACATTATGCATCTGTTTAAGCACCCTTTTACTATGACTTTCCTAAGCACACTCTTGGTAAATTAACTGGCTTTGGCCCATATCCAAGATTTATATTTTATTCATCTTGACATTCTCTGCATCTTATTAATAATTTCTTTGCTTTCACTTTTATTGACTTAGATGCTGAGATAATGCATTTGATTGTAACCAACTTTCCGATTTATTATGCTGTTAAATTTCGAAGTAAATCTGGATTTTATTATGAAATTAATTGCAATTGAAAATCTGGACAGTCACTCTTATTTATCATCTTTTCTTAGCAATATAACTTAGGCTTAGTATTTATTGATTACTTCTTTAATTTTATCTTCAAAGGTTTCTTGTATGTCTTGTGGACGATCCATAATAAATGAGTAGAGTTCTTTGTCAGAGTTTTCAATATCATTTATTTCAACTCTCAAAATGAATTCATTGTTGGCAACGTTTTCTTTGAGTTGATCTCTGTATACGAATTTGTCTTGGAAATGAAATTCTTTGAGAAATTTCAAAATTCTTTTTCCTGCATCTGTGATTGTTGATTCGTGATTGAATTCCCTAATAAATATTAAACTTCATTAGCATACTCGTCGGTTGTAAACTTCTAATTTGTGTAATATATTTTTTCTCCGTCAAAAGTAGTCATGTGAAATTTAGATTTAAAATAAATTATTAATGTTACGCGCATTTATTTGGCGGAATTAAATATTCATTAATATGTTTCGTTATTTTTATAAGCAAATTAATTCTTGAATTAGATAAATTAAAAAAACTCAATTATTAATTCATATTTAACTGAATTTCAATCTCCAATCATCCTTAATTACTTCATTACATATTTGATTTTGTATATAAAATTTATTTTTCCATGGATGAATTCAAATCGAATTCAGAGCGTCCTCAAACCTCTCACATTCTCAATCAATTGAAATTCATAAGACGAAATCTTGTCAAATAACCATAAAAACAACATAAATATACTAGGTCACACTTAGTACCAGCAGATATCAACAATATGAAATATGTGCTGTCCCAAAGGCAAATCTTCGGAAACTTCTCTTCTTCTGTAACATCCTTCAAAGGCAAGGCTATATCTTAAAGTCAAATATAATATGACGGATCATTTTTGAATAGATTGCTCCCAAAAGAAACAATTAGAAATCTGAATAATTAATCAAGAAAAATAATACACTCTTCACATTGTTTCGACAACCATAAGAAAGAATGAAAACAGATTGGATAAACTCTAAATATCGATTATTTTGATTTCGTCTAAGGTAATTATGAATAATTGATCTAATAATTATACAGAAAATACAATATTTAAGATTTTATTTATATAATGATATTACAATAAAGGTATGCTTCATAATCTAAAAATATTTGAAGTGGATTTTTAAATAATCAATTCTTTTCATATCAAAATACTTATTTTACTCTAAAATTGTAATATAAAGAGGATGGTTTTAACTATTTTGAAAGGAATTCAGAAGGGATGATATTGCAAATCGATATTTATAATTAATTTATATAGTTGACAACCATAAAATACAAGAATATTATTTTAATCAAAATAATTTTATAATTAATTTATGAGTCACTAGGGAGTACTGTCAACAAAGTAATAAGAAGCAGCTTTCCTTAAAATACTTAAAAAGTAATGCAACTTGACATGTGCGGATTGCTCATCGAAATCGCCTACTTGGGCATCTCTGGATTTTGGAGTTTTTGTATGCTATAATTGCTCAGGTAATTCAATAATATGTATTCGCCTAGGTTAGCATAGAGCCTTAGGATAAAACATAACTAGAGTGAGATCGACTAAACTAGATTGTTGGACTTAAGAAAACGTTGATATCATGGATGCTTTAGGAAACGACTAAAATGAGTAAGTTAATCGTAATTAAACTTAGGTATTGGGAAAGCAGATTACAAAAAAATAATAAGATCCAACCTTCTGCTTCTCCAGAAGAAATTAAACTGTTTGTTCAAGAAAAGTACGTAAAAAGAACTTGGGTAAAATAGGGTCAGGCTGATCCTAAAACTCGATATACATAATGTCTCATGAGTGGAGTGCCTTTTAGAGTTGTAAAAACTAACACATTTTTTAGTGAAAATGGGACTCAAGGTTAGCAGGTAAAAGATGATATGAAGCAATTTCATTCAACCTAATAATAAGGAATTCAAAGAAATAATAGGTAATTTAGCATAGACTCAAAATAAACATAAAAAGAAGCTAATCTTATCTCACCAGATAAGGGAGGTCAATTTGATTGGAATTCATTTAATCATTTCGCTACTTTTTCTGGTGTTCCTAGCCATCACTCCTACTAAACCAACTAATTAGAAATATAACCTAAAAAATTATAACAGAATGAAGATCAATCTCCAAGCTTCAAACCAAAGAACAATAACTTAAATGAGTTTGATTTACTAACTTATTCATCAATGGCAGATAATTAATAATTTATGTCATATAATCCAATACAATAATAAACTTTATAACAATAAACTCACTAGTAATTTAATACACACAATCCTTAATATAATACAGCAAATTAATAGTCGTGGTCATAAGCTTAGATGTAGGCATAAATATAATCATAATAATAATAATAAGCAAATTAATAAGTTAATTAATAATAGTAAAATAATTAATTATTAAATATGGGAAATAATGCTTTTGGATCTAATAACTAATAATAGATTTGGGGATAATAACCATAATAATAATAACAATAATAATAATACTAACCATAATAATAATAATAATAATAATACTAACCATAATAATAATAATAATAATAATAATAATAATAATAATAATAATAATAATAATAATAATAATAATAATAATAATATAATTAAGCAAGTAGTAAACCTCCTCTTCCTGGTAGATAAAATGGTTAACTTAATTAATAAAATATGAATTTCTCTTAATAATAACCTTAAGTATAACAATAATAATAATTAGCTAATTAAGTTAATTATTAAACAAATTTTTCATAATAATAAACTTAACCATAGTAATAATAAGCTAATTAATAATAATAACCAAAATATTAATAATAATAATATCAATATCTGAATCAAAACTAATAAAATAATATCTAAAATTTTGGATTTGACAATACTATGAATAATACTTTAAACAACAACCAGTAAATTTATTAAGGATTTAACAATGTTTAATTCCCTGCAAATTAAGGAATTAGTAATAATAACTAATAAAATCACCAATTTAATACAACAAACTAAGTGTCAAACTAAAAGTACTAAAATAATCCATTTGCAAAGGATGCTTAAGACATAAGGAACCTCTATAATACTCAATAGCCGAGCAAGTATGATTAGTTGAGAAACAACCCTTTTGTTTGATTAATATAATTATGTTCTGCTTGATTTTAATAGTTTCATGTTATGCTCGATTAATATTACAAGACCTAGAAAGTATGAAAATTTAACCTGAAGAATCTACCCTTCCTAGATAGCATTGTACAAACCTTGATGCGTAAACTAAATATGGTTATTTGCATGTTCCTAATGGTGCAATAAGTTTTATCTATTACTAAGGAAGAGGTCAAAATAACATAGTGTACATAAATGGAGGGCCTGGAATATCAAGTCAAGTATCAAATTACTTGGAAATAGGACCTCATTCTGGGTAATGGAACAACTTTAGTAATCTACTTTTTTTGGATTTGCCAGCAGGAACTGGTTATGGCAGAACAAATACAACAAGAAACTTAACTTATGAAGATGTTGCGATTGATTATGAGATAGCAATGAAGGCGTTTAATAAATTATGCGGACTGACTTATAATAATGTGATTCTATTTTCCACAGATTTTGGAGCTAGATTCGCATTGGCAATAGCAAATAGAAGCAATACCATAAAGTGTGTTGGACTATTGGATCCATTCTTAGACACGATTAGTATAGTGACAGAGATACCCAATTTCGCTTTTCACATGGGTGTAATTGATTATTAAGAGTTAATATATTTTGAGAAAGCCATAATAAAGTTGAGTGATGATATTTACAATGGCAATTATTAACATGAGAATGCTAAATTCCTGACTCAACTTTACTATTCGACTGGGAATGTGTCTCTTTATAACGTATTGGAGTAGAAACAATATTCAGAGGATGAAGACAAGTTGGAATAGATTCTAAATGATCCAGATTCCCTCTATTACATTCCTTTTGAGACTGAGTTTTTGGCTCGCTCATAAAATGTGTTTGATTAATTTAAATACAACTTTTTTGAACCTTTCGATAATCAAATGTAAGCAATTAATGAATATTTAGTATACAGCATTTGCTCAGTCACAAGAATGTTCTGGTGTATTAATCTTAGTATGATATGCTTATTCCTCCTTCAGGAACAATGAAATGGTTGATCTCAATTGAGTATGAGTTGAATGACTTCTTCTACTAGAATTAGTTGATTAAATTAATGAAGGATGATTTGCTTATTGGATTATAGAAAAGGGGAGGGTACTTAGAATATTTGTTTGTATTGAATACAGGTTAAGTGATGCATAGAGACAATTGCAACAATTCAATGAATTTAATTTAATAATATTTGGAGAGTATTATTTGATTTATATTAATTAATTAAAATGGGATCATCTTGTTGTGCTTAACAAGTGGCCGAAGAGCAGGATCATGAACTCGAGAATAAGTACAAGTACGATCCTAACAAATAACCAGCTAAGGGAGCATTTAAGAAATAAAATGAAGATAAAAAGATGGTCAAGTTTCCAACCAGAGTACGATAAGACGATGATGAAAAACATAAGGGTGAAGAAGAGAGTCCTGTTGGGAATCCTCTGATAGAAGAAAGCGTTGTTGCACCAGATGCCAAATCTCATAAGTCGTAACACACTTAGAAATCTCACTAAACAAATAAAAGAGGATTATTTAGCAAGTAGGTAAGTTAATTTGTAAAATGCGAAGACGAATGATTATTTAACTAATTTATGTATTCCCAATAATCTTTACACTCCTTAAAGACTTGCATTTCTTTCCTCACTTTCATAACCATTCTAAATTCTCACAACTTCAACACTTTCTCTCAAGAACTTTAAAGACTCTAAGGTTCCTATCACAAAGAAACATCCCTAGTTTGTAATTTGCAAAGAAGTTAGTCATTCTCCCATTCACTTTTAAAATGGATGTAAATTAAAGGCCAAAGTCAAACAACAAAAACAACAACCCGCACAACAGCCATATATTATTAAATTAAAAGATCACTATACATTTGATTCGCTTATGAAAAAAAATTATGAAAACTTATCATGATACTTCTTTTCTAAAAGCAACTTGAATTTTAGCTTATTTGATTACATCATATGAAACTCATTTGCGTATAATATTTAATTGCTAATCGCAGACTAATTAATTACAATTTAGTTTGTGTATAAAATAACATATAAGCTTATTGAAGTACAAGAAAATCATTCCTGCTCTATAATTCTGATTAAAGATGATCCAAATTAATTAAGATTAAAGCAAATATACTGATATTTGTTGTTTCATTTTAAATTGTATATAGAAGTTTGACAAAATAAAAATTAAATATTACTTTAAATAATTTATAATTTTATGATTAAGATATATTATAAAATAAATTTAATTTACAAAGTTTAAGAATAAATAAGAATTTAACTTATACTAAAGTTGTTAAGTTATTGTTTTATTATTAGTAAGTATTTGCCATAATATTTTTAATAAAGATCAGAGCAAAGAGTATAAATCTATAAAGAAATTAACTATTTTTATATTAAGTATTAAGTAAATCTCTCTTATAGATGTTAAGTGAGTAATTCAACATTCCTTTGCTTTTTATATAATTTTGAAGAATCTAAGATTAAAAGGCACAGTTGTTGAGATGTTGAAAATGAAAAGAATATATGATTGTCTATTTATTTCATTATTTATATTTTGTTATTAGTAGATTTTAGACTTCTTCATATGCTATTGGATCACTGCTCATCAGTTTTTTGTGAAGTAACTTGATATTTTTGTATGACTATAATATTTACAGTGTTTTATCATCCGTCAGATTCAAAAGCTATTTTATTTCATCATCTTAATTATAATGGAATTCTTACATAAAGGCATATTCTCTTGATTCCAAACTTAAAACTATTGTAATTTCATTCTCATCATGTTGAAATTGAATTTTCTCTAAGCCATCTCAGTCTAATGCTCCTTTCCTATGTGAATGAAGCCGTCGTTTTTCCTAAAAAAGAGCTTAAAGGGTTAATTATTCTAATCTTTAGTCACTTGAACATTACGAGTGGAAATATGTCTCTTTATATGCTTGGTCTATTTAATGATTTTGAAATGTTTGTCAATCTGTTTGCTGTTTAATTCAGATTCATTTTCATCAAGAATGATTGTTGGAGTTGTTTAAGGTAGCTCTTTGAGCAATTTTAGATTCAGCCTTATTCGTGTACCACTAACTGACACAAATTAAGAACAAGTTTATGTTTGTTCTTTTTCATTTGGCTAAGGGGGCTGTAGTGTGGTTTGCTATGCTTGAAAGGGTTAAAAGTAAGGGAACTGGTAGTACATAAAGGGAAAAAAGATTTATTGGGAATTCATAAACTGAGGTATGCACAACGGAAATCCAAAAGGTTGAGCATTAATGTTGACTGAGAGATACTCATTGTTATTCATAAAAAAAATAATAACATCAAAAAACAAAACAAGATCAATCAATATACTATACTCCGTCAATAATATTTTAAAAAATTTATTAATTCTTGCTTTTTATATAGAACGATCAGGAGCAATCATTTAAACAATTTATATTAAAGCTTTCTTCGATCTTAAAAAGGTTCTAATGATAACTCATATAGATTTCTTGTTTTTTGTTTTACTTTTCAAATATATTTTCTTATTTTTTATGTAAACTCTAAAGAAAAAATTTGAAGCATATTTCATAAGAATTTAATACTCATTATAAGAATAATCGAATGTGGATTAATCAATTTAGAAGAAAAATCACTCTACAAACTTCCTCATCTTGTGTTGCATTATAAATCTATAAAAAAATACAAGAATATAAGCAATTTTTAGAATTCTTTGAAGATATTTAAATTGATATTATAATAATGAACTTAATACATTTACTTATGTCAATAAGTAGCAACAGATTGTCCAAAATAAACCTTTTGTTGAGCCTTCACATTCCAATCTATAGATGTACTTTCAAAAATCATTACAACTGTGGATCCTATACTTAATGAGTATAAATTGTACCCATTTCAAATCTTCCAATCTCCTATCCTTTCTTAATTTGCACTCCTTTTTCGCATGATTAATATGGAGCATTAACTGGAAGATTAGAGTAATTTCTGTATCCACTTTTATGTTATGTGTTAGTATTAGTAATCAAATCTGAATCGAAATTAACCTTCATTGAACCAACATTAGTTGCCCCAATGAATATAATGTACATCAATCCTTATTCCCACTCTCCTTCAAGAACCACTCTTTCATTCCCTTCATATAATCCCTATTTAAGTAAAAAATAGCAATACTTATCTAAGACTGCTTTCCTTAACAGGTGCTAATTTCCCTGGAATGTGCAACCTACTTCTTGCAATGAAATCTACAGGACAATGGTAGCGATGGTAGTCTCCAGGAGCAAGGTAAAAGATACAAGACCATAGATTTGATGAATCCTATTTTTTTTTGAATTCCATTTCATATCCCTTGATGCCTGTTAAAAATTATCCAATTTGATATGTAACCCTTTTAACTAACAAACATTCATTCTTTGTGACTTTGCTTATGGATAAGATCTTTGAATCAGCAGGACTGACCATTCCACATTCTATTTTTCTGGGTTTAATTTATCTAGTAAAGAATTTATTGAATGTTTCGTAATAGTTCAATGGGTGGATCATGTCTTGACGTCTTACTTTATAGATTTCGCTGAATATTGTGTAAATAGGCATTCTTGCTTATTGATGTTAATATTACCTCATAATCTTGGGGATGTAGAGATTCATTACATATCCTGTGGACTACGATACATATCTAGAGATTGGCAACTCCATGAGTTTCTTAACGATTATCAACAAAACTAGGAGTTTCAGATAATATAACTAGGATTGGAAACAAGAATTACGTTTTGAAATTATGAAGTGAGTAAGTCAACAGCGTAGTTAAGACCATACAGAACCAGGACCAAGAGGGAAAGATTCTTAAAGTGGGTTTATTTCATCAATTATTAAATGTTTAATAATTCATTTCAATATTGAGTGTGTTATGGTTTTAATGATGCACTTATTTTTTTATATTGAAGTAAATGAAGAACCCCGTTATGAACAAGATTGTCAGAAATATACCCAATAAGATCCATTATTGAGTGGATTCCTGCAAATTGTTAGAATAGTTCATCTCTATTATTGGCAACGGATATGTGAGTTCTTCAATCTCATACTCTATTTACAATTGCACTTTCCCAACCACACTCAAATACTTCGCTTATTGGTCTTTGGTGGTAAAAGTGACAGTCGTAAAGTTGCTCGTATTGCTTTATTCAACAACCTAAGTATATTTACCATAAACGTTAGTCTTATTGTTGACATAATTGGATTCAAACATGCAGGCAAGACTCTTTTCCCCAATTGCTTATTGCATCCTTACAATAAAATAAATATGGATTGCTTAAATATCCTTTTTTACTTATACAAGGTTTGGGATATGGATGATCAAATTATCGTCAACTTTGTACCAATCAATGGATTTTTCACTAATTTCAAAAGATGTTTGTGGAACAACTTCTCCTTAATCAAAAGTCTGTTATTTAATAAAATATGATGAAATTTTGTTTTTGTTGTCGTCATGTTCATGACTTGATATCAATTTCACTAAAAAATAATATTTACCTTCATCAAGTTACAGAGTGGATTGAATATGATCTTAGGAAGAATTCATCACTTAAATTTCAAATATTTGTTTAGCAAGATTAGTTTAATTTTTTGTTCCTTAGACTAATATAGATCCAGAGCAAGTAAATACTTCCAAGAAGAGTTTTGATTTTTATAACAAAAATACTTCATAATAATTTGGTTATCCAATTTTAGTTAACTGATATTGCGATATACTATCAATCAAAGCATTTAACTCACCATTTGTAATTATTACTCTGACAAAAGTAGAATTATGCAAGGCCTTGATGGAAATTTCATACAATCCAAATTAATCATACAGATGATATGAGATAGCTTTAGGATATTTATTAAAATAATTAATAGGCTTGATGGAAGTATGAATTATATCAAAATATAGATTATCAATTGATTGATGTATATTTTAGATTTGTAGAGTTATATACTTTTATTGATTATTAGATGTTTGAGTGATGGATTGATATTAGAGTTGTAGAGTCTCTTGAGCTTTTATTTAATAAGTCATCATCTAACCCAAATGAATAGTTTAAGTCTATTTCTCAATTCTAACTGCACCGATCATAAAGATAGAAACAGGCGACAATGATTCCACTTTCATTGTAATCAAATACACTGAGGAATCATTTTTTTAGAATAGAAGCAAAGAGTCCTTTTAAATTCTAAATGTTGCATCTGCTTCATCATTATGTCGAAGTTCTTAACCTTCCTTCACATACAATTTGATGTCACCGCTTATCAATTAGACACTGATTTGAACATCAACATTTGAATAAAAGCGATATTGAGCAGTCTCTGATTCATTCAAAACTTCTCTCCATTGAAGATTGTCATGTAGAGTAGTCTAATACTTTTGACTACTGAATTCAATCAAACCTTTACTGTTCCCTTGGACGGCTGTGATTTCAATTGAATAAACGCAACCCACTTTTTCACAAGTCTTCACTTTAAATGATTTTTGTTTATCAACAATTTCATCAATAAACAAATGATCATCAGTACTAATGATGGTTTCATCATCAATCGACTCCAATTTTTTGGCCCTGACTTATAATTTACCTTGTTGTGCAAATACAACAATCTTATACTCCTAATCATTTGGATTCTCTCTAAAAATGTAATAATGTGGTATATCTTCATTGAATAGAACATCAAATGGATAGCCAAGGAAAGCATTGTAAAATTTGGCATCGTCGATATTGTAATTAATTTGAAATTCACAATCGCCTTCCCCAAACACTCCTATGATATAATCATCCTTTGCCAAATATCTATCATTATTCTCTTATAGAATATAATTTGATTCAAAGATATTTGACCACTCTTGATTATAATCAGATAGACTGGGTCTCTTGTCCTTCCCTTTTGATATTCTAGCAGTAACAAGATCCCCGCCTCCTTTGACATGAATATTAACTTGTATCGACTTAACATCTTAGGTTAAACTGAGCTTGTAATACTTGGTTTAACCTTTATCAATAATGTCGATAATAGGATCTGAAAGAGTCAATAGTTTGACTTCTTCATAGACACCAATCGTATAGGTGTCATTTTAATAGTGAGGCTCAATAGGTTAAACCCGGATGTATAAAATCTAATACTTCTCAGTTTCAGGGATCGTAAAACTTTAAAATTAGGTGAAATAAGAATGCGATTAGAATGTTTCATATTTCAGATCATAATTATCCTTATTACCATAGTAGGGTTCAACATTTGCTTTACTTCCTCCATAGGAATACCACTACAATGAGACTTCTTTATTTTTTTTGAGGATATAATAGAATAGAGTTTCTTGTTCAAAAGTGACAGTTTAGGGGTATCCTTCATGGAGTTGAATTATACTATTATTATATTTGGTAGATATGGTGTAGAAGATTGTTCCTGATGAAGAGGACACAGCTATGTAAATGAAACACAGATTCTTTTCGTTAATCTTAGTTGTATTCTGAGGGCATTGTAAATCAGTGCCTGGAATTGTTAAATTTTTTCCAATGAGATAAATATTGTAGTGTTTTAGGCTTGGATGTGTATTTTTCTAATCTAATGATATGAACATGTCTAAATCGACTACATCATTGCCTGAGTAGATATCTTTAGTAATTATGAGATTTCTTGCCTGCATAGGTAATTTATAATATCTAAATTTATTCTCAGCTACAGTGCCTATAATCTATTACCCTACCTGATAAAATTCAATATCTCCATGCATAGTATATTGGATGATAAATTCTCCATGATCATTCAAATTCTGGACACCAATGTAATATTATGTTGCGTAATTAGGATCATCAATGTTAATTTCTATTTGCTTTTAGTCTTTCCATTGATAACTATTGCTATCTGGTATTTCTTTATTTTTTAGATTGGACTTAACATACATAATGAAGTTGCCTTCGATATTTTATAATGTAATTGTAAAGTTTTGTTTCTATGTCAATTAAATCTAAAAGAAACTGTATTGATCTCCGGATAAGTATTTTTGTGGTACTCCACTTTGCAATTAGATGAAATAAGTTTGATTGATGGTTTAATATCTTTCCACTTAAGTGTAAATACCATATTGACATTAAGTATACCCATACACACTCAAATAGTAAGTCTTAGCATTGCTAGCTTTCAATTGGGAAGTACTCTTCATTTCGAAATTATCAGCATTTGGATATTGTTCAGATGAACTGCCAAACAATATACATGTTCCATTATATTGAGTGATTTAGAATTTTACACTTTTTATATTAGTATCATTGGGAATGTTGTACAAATAATAAATATAGAATCCTTCTTCAACATGAAATTGCTCTTATTGTCCCTCTCTCAAAACAACATGCTATTCCTGGTGTTTAGCCAAAATACGAAATTGTGTTTTAGAATCACTTTTCAATCCAATTAAATAATAACAATCTTAGCAGTCATTATGAACAAAAGTAAGCGACGATTAAGTAAGATGAATGGCTGTATCAGTACTATTGCCTTCATAATCACTCAAAGTGATCTAGCAATCCTCAGTGTTACATTGCTTTAAGAACTTTTCTGCTTGATTTGCTGTAATCTACAAAGTAATTTATTCTGTTGATTAAATGGGTTTCAATTTAAACTGAAGGATCTCTTTTTCTACTAATTCACCACTATTATGAAAATTAGTTTTACCTTAGTGGAATGTTGTATTCCAACTATTGGATACCGTCCCAAATATAAGTAACCAAAGAATAGCCGGATACAACTTCACTAGAAACACCAATATAGAATTGATTATCTGTACAATTAACTGCCTGTCTTTCTTAGTAGGAAATTGAGAGTTATTACATGAACCAAGATCCTGTTTACCATTCGTAATAATCTAATAGCTTTGGTTCCCTACTCTATAATTATTCATAATTACGTATCACAATCTACAGCTACCTTAGGATTGCCAATCTATGGTAGCAATTATACTATCAAAGTACGATTCTACAATTTTTCTGGATTGTGCAATTATAATCTATATACCTTATAATCATAGGCTTCGATAGCATCATCGACTACTTCATTTAAGTTGATTTACTTCACTACAAAGATTGTTGAATTTCATTACCTGTTCCATTTGCCAATGCCATGGCAAGCATCAAGAGGAATGCATACATATTATATAATTATTTAATATTATAATTCTAATAATTACTTCACATTATGATTCATATCAATCTATTACTTCTATTTTATGTTTATCTGGCTATTTATTTGATTAAAATTGAGAAATGGCAAATAAATTTTATTTTTTTATAATCAGCTATGGGTCAAGCAGTTAGTTCAAATAATCCTCTTGATTACAAATTTGATATCCCGAGGCCACAATTTAACAGGGGTGAACTTGATCACTTAAAAAGTAATGAGCTAGAAAGCCTCTCGAACCTTAGAATCTACACTAACTTGGATATTGATGACCAAGGATTTAATTTCGATAATATTAATTGTTTCGACTTTGAGGAACATTCTTAAGGCGCTGGAGCATATTATTATGGTTAGTTAGATGGGGGAAAGAGGAAGGGCTTAGGAATTTAAGTGTATGAAGAACCGAGTTCTGGAATTAAAATGGCCTTCGGAACTTTTTAAAACAACTTACTTGAAGGTTACGGGTTAGCAATATATCACGATAAAACCTATTATCATGGCGAATGGAAAATGGGGAAATGTGAAGGCTTTGGTTATTACTCTACCAGTTATGGTGATTTCTATCTAGGAAAATGGAGAGGCGGTGAATTTATAAGTGGCATTTATAGAACGTATAAGCAAGATCATCTATTTTAGATCAGACTTTGAGTATGTAGGGGAGTTAAGTAAAGGCAGTTTTCATGGAATTGGAAGATGTTATTATTTTGATGGAGCCATAGTCCAAGGGAATTGGTGTTATGATTAATTAGAGGGATTTGCTAATCACTAATTTCCAAATAAGGATAACTATGTTGGTTATTATAAGAAATCTCTTAAGCATGGGAAGGGAATTTTGTATGAGAATTCAGAATAGAAAATATATGAAGGCGAATTCTTTTTTGATCATTTTCATGGTGTTGGAAAAGAAATTGACAAAGAGAAAAAATAATTCATTTCTGCTGTTTTTAGATAAGGCAAGCCCTATAAACTTTACAGTAAATAAACATATCAAGATGAATATAACGGAGAATAAGAGTGGATTTTGACGGAGTATGACTAAAATAATTAAGAAGTGGATAGAAGCTTATGTGTTATTAGTGATTACAATTTCGAATTACAATTATCTCAAGGAGGAGATAATTATGTATTAGTATTAGATATTCTTAGGAAGCAATTTATAAAGATAACTTAAATTTAAACTAGAGAATGGATGAAATTTTGAGGAAAAGTGAGGGATATAAGGAGGAACATTAAAAATTAGAAAAAAGACTTAAATAATTAACAATATTGCATCAGCTATAAAAATGGCATTACGAATAAAATTAAGATAGATTTCCTCATCATTTTAGAAGTTAGTATTAAAAGTTTCTTTAATAAGAATAATAAAAATAATAATAAGAACAATAAATAGAATAATGATAATGAATTTATTACCCAATTTATATTCAATTATATGAAATAACTATTATTTAATTCCATTAATATAAATATTATATTATCATTTCTTTACCCATGCATGATAAAATGCAGATGAAGAAGACAAAATAAAAAAAACGCTATAAAATATAGTTAGTAACTTAGCAATGAATTTAGTTATTATATAATGATTACGAACGACCATTATTAATGTGAATAAGAGATTAAGGAAAGCAGCCAATATAACCATTAATTTAAAAGCATTTTATTCTATGTCTATAATACTGAATAGATTGAACTTGATGGGACCTGAATTAACAAAATTTTGCTTCAGAAACGCAACACTAAAGCCAATCAAATTGGTGAACATTTATCCAACTACAGTATTAGCTAAATCAATTACAATAAATTCCATTTAATGCCATGATTGCTATTAATAAGGTTATTTATTACCATAACCTTCCTCTGCTAATGAAACTAAAGTGATGCAATCAGGTAGTACATTCCCCATAGCGATTAAGCTGAATCCCAAAAATGTCTTATTCAATTCTGTAATAATTGCCCAAAATTAGAGGAAGTCTATCAGTAATCCAGATAAAAAGAATATCCAAACTAAGGAACCTAAAATACAATATAGTTGAATATAAAAAAAATAGCTTGGCGGAGTTCTTTAAGAAGGAGTGGTTGTGTTGATAAAGATTGACATTCCAAATCCAAACATCAAGGCCAAAAAGTAAACCCACCAAGGAGGGAAACCAAACACAACAGAAACAAAGAAAACTGATCCAGGTATAGGGAAGACTAAAATAAGTAAATCTTAGATATATTGAATTACTTATGGCTTAATTTTTATCGAATTGATCCTCTTAAGGTTTAGGCAATGTGAATTTGAGTATCATTTACAATGGATATATGATTACAGCCCTAACTTTTTCATGCATTGACAATCTTTCCCATTTTTATTTCTAGGTTTCAAGATTGGCCATAGTAAGCTTGACTGCTGATCTGAATTTCTTAGCGAGCATTTTAACTCTTGCATCTCCAGATACATAATTTAATCTAATCAAAGGAGTTGCCCACTTTACTGGTTTTGCTGCTTATTCCATTTCTGATTTTTTATCCCATAAATAAATTAATTTCATATCATCAAATTTCTGTGCAATCTCTAAATCGTATTTCGCCTCATTAACAGTCTAAACTCTCTCTCCTAAACTATCTTTTCTGCTTTTTAATATTTTGTCTCTTTCTTAATAGTAAACCAAAGACACCAAAATCAAATACAAAACTGTAAGTGAGATACTGGAAAAGTAGGAAATCTGACCTATCACTCCAAATACCATAATAACAAATATGGAAATTATTTGAAATCCAACATTCCTCCAGAAATGCACAGGCTCCATCTTTATTTGAGATTTAGATGTCTTTGTAATCAAATATACGCCTATACTACACAAGAACTAAACAATATAATTTTTGTTCTTAATTTACAAATCCTGCTCCCATTGTGGCGCCTATGTTGTAATCTATGCCTCCCGGATACGATGAAGCCACTAAGGCTGTAAGGACATCTCCTGCTCCATTTCCAAAAGCCAAAAGAGTGACTCCAGCCATAATCTCAGAAATTTCAAAACGCACTTTCACAGCTTCCAATGAGGGAATTAAATATTCTTTTATCACTTCACTTATTCCATTGTAAACCAAATAGCCCACAAATCCAGAGACTATTAAGGTTGTCTATTTCATATACTAATTTACCATTATGGATCCATTCAACCAACAATAACTCAAGATGCTGTAATTGAAATATAAAAAATCATGTTGGCAATACTATTATGCGATAAAACATTATTAACTATGTTCAGTAGTTTACATGAACTAAGATTTTTAGCATGATAAGTTCTTTGGTTCATATGGAGCTTCAGCTAAATGCCAATACATTTTAAATATTTTTTTATTATGGGGAATAATTGTACCTGTTGGAAACATGACCTAATAAATTAGATTGAGGTCAGAGGCAGTCAAAAACCAAGATGGCAAAGTTTAGAACCGTTAAAGAGTTAGGAACAAAAGATCATAAAAATGCAGTCCTGGATCCGTGGCTGGTAAGCTCGTTAAAGAGTTTGGAAAATGCAATTACAAAAATACAATGATAGTGTTAATGAATAGTTAAGAACGTAGCCTCTGTTTTTTAGGTAGGTATTCCGCAAGTGTGATTAATGTGGGTTAGAGGCAGCTACCTCCATTTGAATTTGGAATCGACGATATAAATGATTAACTTGTTCATTAGAAAGTTCTTAAAGCACCAAGCAAATTAGAAAATGGGTCAATGTATTTCGGAGAATGGATCAATGATTTAAGACATGGCAAAGGCATTCTAATATGTGATGTATGTTATAAATACAATATTCAAGGATGGATCAAAATATGAAGGTTATTTCAACTAAGGCAATGCACATGGAAGAGGGAGATTGATACATTCAAATGGGGAGGTTTATGAAGGGCAATGGGAGAATGATGAAGCGCATGGGTTAGGTACTTATATTCATGAAGATGGGGCAAATTATACTGGCTAATGGGAACATGATTTATAGCATGGGAAGGGAATTGAAAAATGGCCAGATGGAAGGTATGATGATATGTATAAAGTAGTTATTTTGAAGGTTTCTATAAAAATGGCAAGAAGGATGGATTGGGTAAATTTGTGTGGATTGATGGAGCTATCTATGAAGGGGAATTTAGAAGTAATAACATTGATGGATATGGGAAATATACTTGGCCAGACAGCAAATATTATCAAGGATATTGGAAAAACAATAAGAAGTAAATCATATACTTAAAATAGAAATGGAAAAGGAAAATATGTATGGCCTGATGGAAAAATATATGAAGGAGACTTTTTGAATGATCAAAAACATGGTTAAGGCATTTTGAAGTTTCCAGATGGCCGAATTTATGAAGGAGAGTGGTAAAACGATAAATAACATGGGAAGGCATTACTAAGATTACCAAATGGTAAAACATCCTATGGTGAATGGAAAAATGGAATTCGTATCAATTGATATACTTTAGTCATTTATATAAAACAATTCCCAGGTTTGTCTCTTTATATTTTATATATAAATTTGAAATCATGAGTACATAATACACATAGTTGAGGATTGTAATATAGCTCCATTAAAGTGAAGCTTGTAATAAATTTATTAAGGCTAACCCTCTGAATTATAGTTTTTGGTTACAGTTACAGTTTTCTAAATTTAGTACCCTTTAGAATCTTCTATAAGTAATTCCTACTACACTAATATTATATAAGAATGGCAAATTTTATTATTAAAATGGTCACAGATATCCGTAAGTTATGAATCTCTTCAATTGATTAAGTAGATTTTTTATAGCCCTTAAAATCTACTTTTTTGAAATGAATCAGAAAAAGTCAAGGTAAATTAGATAAATTTTTAGAGCATTATGCAATAGTTTTTTAGATTAGGCAATTTATTGTATTTATCATATGCTATAACTCATTTTGGAACTCTAAGATATGTATCCTGGCATAAATAATATTTGTTAATCTTCGCATCTCATTAATAATAGAAAAAGATTAAACCAATTTTTTAGCTTAATCAATTTGTGAACATTAATTAGTCCTTTCAATAGGATGGATTCTTAAAATAATTTTTAATAATACAGGCTCTGTTTTGATCCCTAATGGTATATCATATTTAGCATACCTTCTAATCATAATGGAAGTTAAGCCATTTCAAATAAATTAAATTGCAATAATAAAGATATAAAATCAATAGGGTTAACAACAATTATAATAAATAGTTTGTGAGATATGGATTTATATAATAAAACTGAACTGATTTTTTTTCTTAGGTTGGAACCGAAATAAATAGTAATAGCGAGTTCAGTTTGAATGGGGAAAACAAGGCATTTTAATCTGATTAAAATTGAAATATATACAGTTAAGCTGTGTATTGATTGTTTAGACCTTTTTGTATTTTACTAAAGTGTTTTGTTATCCCCAAAAAATTATTTAATTTCATATATCAGGGGAAATACTAAAAATTTAAAAAGCTCGAAATGATATTCTTATGTCACAACAATGTTACTTAACGAAAAATTTTTCAAAGCTTCTTCAAATATATTACTTAATTTTACTTTTATTAATATCCTATTCCAAATATTTTGGGTTTTACTCAATTGCTGTCTCTTTTAAATAAAACACTACCTCTTATAGATTTTGGTTTCCTTTCTTAAATGATATCATATAACTTGCTTTCTTATCCTTATATTCATCTCCTTTGTGAATTCTCATTACTTTCTCAGGAATCTTCAAATTTTTTACATATTATTATAAGCCTAATTATTTCTCAAGTTGTTCTTTTCCATTATTCTTTCTCTTGAAGTAATTCTTTTTGCTTTTTTAGACAAATTAATTTTGAATTTTTGTTTAATTTTATAAATTCTTAAGAAAATTAAATAAAAGCAAATATATTGGTAATGTATTTAATAATTAGAGTGAATTAATTGTTATATCCAAATGAAAAAATCACTTTTGGTGATTAGCATTTTGGTTTTATCTTTTAGGGCAGTCAAATAGAACTGGATTTTTTCTTAAGACTTGTGACACCTTATAATAACATCCCCTGTAATGGTAGGCTAAAATACCCTATGAGGAGTTTGATTGATGATTTCATTGATATGATTGGCCATCATTAATAATAACTAGATAAGATAAATCATATTGATGATTACAATGAGGAACTATTAGAGATTTGGATGTTGTAAATCAATTTATTAGATGGCATTTATAGTTTCATAATTATGACTAACTTTAGAGTAAGAGATTAGGTCTTCAAAAAACTAAAATATTCTGATCAACAGGACTAAACATAAAAGTAGTTGGTTTTGTTGCCTGTTGAATAAAACTAATCAAGCATTTATAATATAATTCGAATAATTAAAAATAAACTTATTGGTAGAACTAAAAAATATTGAAGAAAAACGAATTGATGAAGAACTCTCATATTGAAAATAAATCAGAATTTGTTTTAATGTTTTAGAGGATACGAATTCTATTTTTTTGAGAAATTTAAAATAAAAAGTGTTAAGTAAACTCACATATAATCAAAAAAATTATTTAAATACTTTTTTAAAATAGTTCTTAGTCTCTACTAATTTATTGGTTTTGGTAATATATCCGAAAAAATGGAAAATTCTTCTTTATTTGAATCATAAGCAGTACATGCTACTATTGCTGGCGGTTATATATTTAGGGAATTAAAAAATGATATTATCTTATTCTAAATGTTATTTATACCTTTTAGGTTGCTTATAAGCCATTTAGGAGAGGCATCTCTATATCCATTACTATCAATTAATAGGTAGGATGACAACCATTTTACTGATACTTCTTGATAACTAAGTCTATGGCCTCAATTCCATTATATGCAGAATCACTCTTAATCTTTTTTTACAATAAAATAGTCTTTAAGGCTTGGACATTAAATGGCACATCGTCAACAAGTAGTATTTCTGAACAATTGCAAGCCTTCTGATTGATGTTCTGAATCAATTTATAATCCAAACTCTTGTGCACTGAAATGAAAAGCGCATCATCACTTAGAGCATTAGAAAGTGATTCATTTTCCTCTTTTATTACTATCATATCTGAAATATAAAAGGATATGTATGTATATTACTAAAGTGCAGATTTTATTGAGAATGTATTTTTTCTAGGTTCAGCATATGCCAACCCTTGAATTAAGCGATTGGACATTTTCAATCCTATACCTAAAGACAATTAATTTTGAGTCATCCAGTAGCTGCTTTCTTCAGAAGATACTGAATGCAATTCTCGAAAAATAAAACTTAATTTTTACTCTGATATTCCAAAACCTTAATCCTTTACTTTTATTTTAATATATTTTTGTAAATTTTTGTTTTTCTTTTTAAATTAAACTCTTATATGAGTATCCGAAGGAGAAAACTTTATTGAATTATTTAATAAATTTATGAGAACCTAGATGATTCTTTGTTTATCATTATTAACAATATAATTTTCTAATTTAATCTTACAGGTTAAAATGATCCTTTTAAGAGAACAGGCGTAAGTGTATAACTATTTTATATAATCTGCGACCTCCTAAATGTTGAATGAGGAATAATGATGGATGAATTAATTTGATTGCATGGCTGCATAATCGAAAATATCATTAATTTAAAAAAGCAGTAATCTATTAGAATTTAATGCAGGTTAAACATACTCTTGATTCATTTAATCATTCAATCTTGTTGATAATGCTTCTAAAAATTATAATGAACTATTTAATGGCGTTCTTAACTCATGCGAAAATGAATTTAGAATGCTATTTTAAAATTTTATAAATTAAGTTAACTCTTTTTTCTTTTCTTTGCTAGATACATTTTAAATCAACACAATTGTAACTTCTTCAGATTTAAAGAATTATTGTATTAGTATTATTTTAACTATTTTTAATTTAGTACTTCCATTTTTGTTAAGCTCCTTGTATTTATAAACTAGATTAAACTGCTCTTCCTTTTAATCTAAGATGGCTTAAATTGGATCATCTATTTTAATGCTTGATAAAAAAGGCCTGTTTGATTTTTAATTATCATTAACATTATTTAAATCTTCAGGTCCTCCCATATGATCAAGCAACATTCTAATTGAAAAAGAATATATTACTTAATTAATTAATGTTTTAATTGAAGACTAATTTCATCATTTTTTTCACAATCAAAGTTCTTAAAATATTATTTTGCAAATGTATTTAAATACTTGATACTTTATTGTAAATCTAGTATTATGATTCCAATCGGTAGATTATCAAGGATTCCTAATTCACTATCTAATTATTTTAATGATACTATCAAGTTGGTCTGAAAATTCTAATATATATTATTATTATGGTCGTGAGATGTTTAGATGATGCTTTTTTTCTTTTTTCTCTATTGCATATAGGATTTCAGCCAAAAAATACAGGAAAAGAGCATTGAAAAAATCATTTGAGCTCCCTTAAATAGATCGTTATCCCAAAAGAATATTACTCTTAATATTTATGAGATTATAAGTAAAATTCTAAAAGCTATATTTAATTCCTTCTCTATCTCCAATTCGCAACTTAAGATCTAGGTTAACACAATAAATAAGAAGGCAAAATTTGTCTACTCTAAAATTTGCTATGCATTGATAAAAGAAATGAGAAAAACTATTTTGCTTCTTAAAAAAGGCTTAACTACGAAGACACAGCTGGCAATTATTTAGCTAATAGTGATTGTCAATTGTAATCTATTCATTTCTGAGTTGAAAACTATAACTTATATCAAGATTAGAATTCCGCTTATAAGTAAAGCTATTGATATCAAGAATGAATTATCCATAATTGAATTAAACTGTATATTAATATTTAATAAACAAATAAATATGAAGCTTACAGTCTAATTATGTTAGTATTTCAAATAATATCATCTTAAATATTTTTCTAAGATTTACTGCAAGCTTCCTTTGGTGATTGGTTTTGGTAAAACATCACTCATTTAACACCTCTAACTCATCTTGACACACTCTTAATTATCATAAGCTGAACACATCACTATTGTAGTCTAATCAGTCGAATCCCCAAGAATCTACCTAATTTTAAGAGATGCTTCAAATCCATTCAATTTGGGCATCTCAATATCCATAAGAATTAACGAATAAAATGGATGACATTTATTGTTCTTCATTCTTTATTAAACAAGATCAATAGCCTATTATCCATCGTAAACACTGTCTGCTTGACAATTTAATTCATTTAAGATCATTTTTAATGCATGATGATTGAAAGGGATATCATCAACAATCAAAATTTTATTACATTTACAAATTATTTATTTGATAAATTTAAACTCTCTTGTTGTTAGTTGACTCAATTATCTACTCAGTTAAAAATCTTTTAATTGAGTTTCTGATACTTGACTCTTGTTATCCTCTAAGAAATCCTCAATTGTAAAGGAGATTATAGTCCCTTTATTAAGAGTTGAATTTATTTTTAAGCCTTTTTTTAAAGATGACAATCCTATAATCAATCTATTTGCTACTTTTAATCCTAGGCCAACATGAAATTAATTGTATTCATTTTCCAAATTGTCTTATTCAATATTAATTTGTAATTAGCAAAGTTATTCTTGCGATAGCCCTAGTCCAGAATCAATTACTTAAATTAAATACATATTATTTTTTAACTCTTATACTTTTAAAACTATTTCTCCACCCTATTAGGTAAATTTAATTGAGTTATTTAAAAGGTTGACAATCACCTGCTTCAATCTTTTATAGTCATTATTAATCATGTGCTTATCTTAATAACTTGATTCTATTTTTAGTTCTATATTTTTTTGTTTACAAGCCTAAAAATATATTGAAATGCACTCTTAAAATAAGTCTTCCAAGTAGAAGAATGAATAATCCCAATTAAAATCATTGATTTCCAATGAAGCATAATCAAGTATATCATTAATTTAACATAACAATAAATCAGTTTACCATTTTATTGGTTTCAAAATGTTTTCTTATAACTCTGTATTAACTTTCAACATAATAACTTCAAGCAATTATTAAATACAATTTAATGGTGTTTTTAATTCATGCGAAAACGAATTTAGCAATTAATTCTAAAAAATATGTTTGCTTTTTTAGTCTAATTTTCCAATTTTAGAGGTCTCATCTAATAGATTGATTACAATTTAATAGTGATGCTTCATAAAATGAAATCGAAAGCATCGTTTTTTGCCTTTATAATTGAATTGAATTCTATATTTGTTCTTTAAATATATATTATATTACATCCATGAATTATTATGAGTATGGAACAAAATCATTATATTAGTGCAATATACTATTGATTGGATCAATTTATTTTATAAAGTGATCATCTAAATGGGGCATGCTCACTCTCTGTTTATTATTGAATTTGGATAATAATTGGTGGATTCTCGTTTAACTGGGTCTGGATAGGTTTCCTACACTTGTTATTTTTTCATTTATGCATCTTCAATATGTATTGAATTCGTACCTCTTTAGTAGTTCTTTTATTATAATTACAACGTTGTCTTCTGTAATTTGAGTATTTGAAGCTCTTTCCAATAAGGTTTTTGCTCGTTTATTCATATATTGGAAATCATGATCTTATGTCAATACAACCAAACCAATTGGCAAGTGGTCAAAAATTTATATTTCATGATTTCTTGGAGTTTATGTTTTGTTTGTGAATATTCTTTGAAATTCATTAATTTTGGGAGTAACTAATTCTAAGTCTAATGATTTGATGAATGATTCCTTGCTTTTTTAATAGAAGTAGACAATGAGACCCAGAGCATAGACGAAGGCAGTGGTGCTGTTGTAATAAAATGTGGAATTGTAGGTTTCGAAGGAAATAATAATCTTAATTATGGATGAAAATAGTAATTCCAATAAAATGGGTAATTCGAAATTCGGATTGTTTGAGATCAGTTGATAAGCTAAATATATCCAAATCAGTTAGAACTGAAAATGTTAAAATTCCATTTAATTATATTTTGAGTTTTCTTAAATTAGAAGTATTAGTATAAATTATACGGCTTATTGGAGCTTTTGTGATTTCAAAGTACTAAATAGTATCGTAAATAATAATATGGAACCATATATTGATAAGGATATGTATTCTTTGAAAAATGCACTGATCAGTATAGCCGCTGTAGAATTGCATATAATCTAAAATATTATTAATTTATGTTTAATCATTATTAATTTAATTAATTTAGAATTTAGATATGATGAAAGGCCTTTTTTATTATAAAATTAGAAATAAATAGATACAATATCATTTAATAAATATATTTAGAATATTAAGCAAATTGCTCCTCTAAATAGGTTTTGGTAAATAATCATCTATCATACATTGTTTAGCAGTTTATCTGCTTTCAAAATTATCATATGCTGTGCACATTACAATTTTGGTTTGATATTTGTTTTTTTCTAGTAATTCAGTAATTTTTATGGCCGAATCAAATCCATTCATTTTGGGCATTTCGATGTCCATTAAAATTAATTAATAATAAGGATGACACTTATTAGTTTGAAGTCGCTTATGAACACATTAGAATGCTTCTAACCCATCAAAGGCATGATCACATGTTTAATTAAAAGCACTCAACATGATTTGCAAGGCTTAATGATTAAAAGGAATATCATCAACAACCAAGATTTTAGGACATTTACATTTCAAAGCAGATATAAATTTATATTCTGAATTGGTCATGGTTGACAAATTGCCATACAGAGTTCTCGATGCTCTTGATTAGCAATCTAAATCTTATTCATCAATTTAATCTTCAATGTAAAATGAGACACTAGTTTTTTTATTCTAAATTGACTAAATCTTTAATCTATTATATCCTTTGATAAATGATTTCACTTATTTATTGGCTACTTTTAAACCCAATCCAATACACATTGAAGTAGTAGCATCAAAATAATCATTATTCTATTCGAGAACATGATTTATTAATGCTAATTATGATGAACTGAATCCTACGCCATTGTCTTTGACTTTGATTTTGGCCATCCTCTTGTCATTCTTAATTTTTTCTTTTGCTTGAATAGTTATTATTCCATTTTATGAACAGAATTTAATAGAATTGTTAATCAGATTAACTAACACTTGTTTAATTCTCATGCAATCATTACGAACAGGAGGATAAACAGTGTTTTTGATATTTAAATTAATATTTTTCAATTTACATCCTTATTCATACATTTCATGACATTAATTGAATAGTTGATCAATAGTAAATACAGAATAAAAGGAGTGGAAGTTATCAGTTTCCATGGAAGCATAATCTAAAATATCATTGATTTAACATAAAAGCAGATCATTCTAATGAAAGATCTGATACAAGCTCTTTAATTACTCTTCATCTTATTGTTTTACAATGAGACTTTCCAATAATTGTTATGAACAATTGAGAGGAGTTCTGAGTTCATGAGAAAAGGAGTTCAAGAGTTAATGTTGGAATTTGTACTTTTTTTCTTGATTCTATCTTTCAATTTTGGATGTAACATCTAAGATTAAAATTATTACAATATTTGGTAGTTCTTGTTTTTGAATTTAGAATTTAACACTTCTCATCTTCCCCTAGGATTGATATGTCGTAATCAATTTACTCTAATAATTAGTTAACAAATGTTACAGTCATTATCGAAGATCCTTTTTGATTGCTGATGATATGTTCCAATGGGGTGGGTTTGACATCTTCAGAGGACTCAATATTTAGAATGTTTTGAGGACTGATCAATTTGGAAACCTATTTTTCAGACTTGTTTTTAGGTGAATTTTTTTTGCTTAATAAACTTATATATGAATATAATTGAGTACCCTTTTAAAACTGAATTTATTAGATCTACAACATTATCTTCACTTGGTTTAATCCCAGTCAAACCATATATTTAATCTATGGCCTTTTCATTTATGTGTTGGAATTCATATTTACAGGTCAACAACACCACACCATGGGGAATGATATCCAATACAACAAAATCAGAACATAAAGTATTCATCGATCTTCGAGTAGTTAAAAATCTATGAAAATCTTCACTTATGACTTTTTGAGAGCTTTGAAACGTTTCTGTGTTGTTCTATTTTATATGAATTTGATATTCGTAATAACAATAACAAGCAGAGAAGCTCAATACTCCTTGCATGTGTATGATTGCTTGATAAGTATTGCCATTCCAAAGTCTCCAAATTTGATATGCCGAGCTGATTATGATAATTATTGAGTACAGAAACCGTATAGCTTTATGAATTTTCAAGAATTTCCGAGTTACAATGAACCAACCAACAAAATGTATAAAAATGTATGAGGAATTTATTTAAACAAGCCCTATTATGAATATATTGAAGGATAAAAGAGTTTAAATAATGAAAACTAGTTTCTTCTCTGTCCTAAAAATAAAAAATAGTAGTATCAGAGCCATTAGCAATCCTTCAATTATTAGTTTAAAAATATCAAGTTCTAAACAATAAACAACAACGGACAGTAAGGTATGTATTAAGAAAAAGGATATCACGATTTATTCGGTATTCATTAATTTAATTGAAAATAATCTAACTTAGTCAATATAACAATATTCAAAGAATGCCATAATAAATAATATAACATTTTTATTTACAACAACAAAGCAGTTAATTATTCATTCTCAAATAGAACAAATATAATTCTTTTATGAAATAATAGCACAATATTTTAAATATTATTAAATCACCTCTAATTCAATCATAACATATCACAGGAGCATCAGAATTTTGTTGGATCATAATTCAATTGCTAATCTACAAACTATATTGAATAATAAGATATTTAAGTTGAGTTAAAAAATAAATCAAAATGTAGAGAGATAGATTATCAAGCATTTGAGAACACCAATATCAGTACCTTTAAATTTCAAATTAAATAGAAATTGAAATAAGAAATCTAATTTAATTTAATTGAAGGTCATATAATATGAGTATATTTTAAGAGAATTAAAAAAGTATTCAAAAAATACTTAACTAAAATAATAATATTAAAAATTTTTGCTTATAAATCAAAAATGAATAGATTATTGTATGATAGCCAAAGTAGTAAATAAGCTAATTAACACATTATATAAGTGACAAATTATTAATTAATAGAATTTATTGTGAATATAATTTGTTTAACTATCATACTAGGAGTATGTGTAACTTGAATTTAGTCAGATACACATCTTTTCAAATGATTTATTAAAATTGAAAAAAATTATAGAAGTTAGATTTATTGAGATGAATTGCGTTATAGAGGATTAAAAGTACCTCATTATTAACTTACAATATTATTAATTGATTAAGCAGCTCTAAATACCAATTTGTATTATATATATATTAGACAATATAATTTATGAAATTCGATCAAAATACAGTATTGATAGCTTTTGAAGGAGATTTAATGGTATGATTGGCTATAATTTAATTCTTTTTATCAAAAGGATTTTAAGTAGTCTATGTAGATTCTTTTTAAGTTAGTCTACACTAATATCATAAAGCTATTGTTAAATTTTATAAGAACAAACTAGTATAATTTACAGTTTTTAATTAAAGATAATCAAAATATTGGAGGAATTTATATACTTGACAATCCAGTTGTAAACTTTGTCACAAACAAAGAAACTTTTGTTTCGATTTAACTTAGAATTTCGGAATATTTAGATGGAACATTAATTGTATATTATAAAAAAATTATTCTTGTACTTTTTTATTACTTCTAATTTCAAAATGATGCTAAACTTAAGATATTATAGATTTCATTAATAATATATTTTTATTAATAAATATTTTCAATCAACAAATATCAAAAAGCTGTTGAAATGATAAAATAAAAAGTCTAGGGGCATATTCAAAGTGGGAGTAATAATTGGAATAGTATTATCAATTGTAGAAATTTAGGACCTGGAGTAAATCAAAATATAAAGATTTAGGAGTCTTCTAAAGGGTAACAGAACTTATCAGAAAAGTGCGGTATCCTTAAAGAAAATCAACAACTTTGAAAGATTAAGATTACCATCTGAATTCCCTGAATCTATCATCGAAATTTGTTCATGAACGACCTTAACGGTAGAAGTCATTAAATTTAATAAAGTCTTTTAGTTTCATGAACTTTTTGAGTTTCCAAACAATAAACATTTATTTATATATTATTTATTATATAATTTTATTCATATACTCCATGTATCTTTCTCTCTTGCATCCAATTCAAATCCAAATTGAATAGAATCAACAACTTTAGGTCCACAAAATATACATTCACTAGCAACAATTTTATCGAATTTATCTTTTGTTTCTCTCAATAGTTTCTCTTCATCTGGGGTTAATGTTGATTATGGTCTCTGTTCTTACTTTGCTCCTCCGAAGATATTCATTATTTAGAAGAAGGATTACCCATCTGATGATAAACTAATTAATTACCTTATTATTTTTTGTTTGCATTCTGAGTAGGATTGGATTTTACTAAAATAGATTACATCGTCATGTCATAGGTCTCTATTGATGGAATATTTGCTTAATGTTGAGGTAATTATTTAATCCTTGTAACTATACAATCCTAATTATTTTTTATAATATTACTTTATGAAATCCATGATTACATGGGAAAATATAAAAAGTATCATTGAATAGTTGTTTAGCACAATGATCACATTTTTATTATGTATCAATAATCAAGAACTTATTTTTTGTCATTTTTAATTCATTCTTTAATTAATCTGAGTTAGCGGATAGCTTTTTCATTTCATCTTTTAATTTTTCAATTTCTTCATTATACTTCTTAAGAGAATTACAAATCTCATCTTTGAATTGCTCGATCTTAATGTTTTCATTAAAATGTGGCAAGAGATCTTCAATTTTAATTTATTAACTATTTTTTGTAAGTTCAATGACCTTATCTATATCTTAATTTTAAGATAACAATCTTTCAGCAATCATCATCCATAATTTCTTCTTTTTCTCATCATCATCTTCTGGTTTTTAAGCATACTCTTTGGCCTTCTCAATCATTCCGTAATCTAAAGCTAAAGTAACTGATTCTGTATAAAGGGACATCATTCCATAAATTGTGATTTGAGCATCTATACAACTTGCCTATTTGAATAGTCTTAATGCAAAATCTAAATCAAAATTTACCTTTTCTGTCTTCTTTAATAAGGCTTCTTATTCCTACAAATAATAATTGAGTTTCTCTTTCTATAATGGTTAAGTTAAGAAGAATATTAAGATGTTGTGTATACTTTTATCAGCACAATCTAATTTATTTATTAAATGTTCCAAAAATCTTATTCCAAATTCTCTTTTTTCTACAGGAATGTTCATAAGACCACCAATGATCTTAGTTTAATCAAATTTTTTAATATTCTTTTATAGAATATCTAATGTTTGTTCTGGTTCATGTTTCATAAGAATGAATGAATATTTTTAAATGATTTCCATTGAACTCTTTTCTTTCACATTATTCAAATTTTTAATAGCTTCCTTATAATTTTCTTCATTAATATAATGCTAGATGATCATCTCATAATTATTATTTAGCTTAGCATATTCAACACAATTTTGCAATCTTCCATGACTCACCATAATTTAATAAACTAGATTCTAATCCAATTCTAACTTATATGTTTTCAGGAAGTGATCTAGATCTTCATTTAATTAGTTTAGTTATTGTTTCTTCTCTTTTATATCTTTGTCCCTCTAAGCTTCATTCTCATAATTCCTAGTTTCGTGTATTAACTTCTCCTATTCGTTTAATCTATAAATCAATAATTCTGAAAGCCATCCCAAGACAAGAGTTCTCTCAATTTCTCCTTTCAAATTATTGATTAGATGTTTGAGATACTATTCCAATCCAATTCTAGCTTTCATATCATCACAATTCAAAAATTTCAAAAATATTTCTTCAAAGTTTTTTGATGATTTTTAGTAATATGATGCAGCTTCATTATATCTTTTCTATGTGAATAGTTGATCTCCACATAGTCCAGCAATATATTGAGTATATTCTGAATTGTATTTGTTTGATATCTCATAAGCATCAATGTACATTTTTTAATCCATCAACAATTTCCATGCTTCCTTGTCTTCATCTTCTGTCTCTATCTTACAAAATGTCCTTTCCGAATAGATCCAAAAGACTTTGCCATCCCTCTCATATTACATACCCATTATTCTACCCATACCTCTGAGTTCATATTTTTAGACTTCCTATTAAGTGATTTTGCTGAATATGGTCAATGAATCAGCACTTAAAATAAAGTAATGGAAGTCTGTTAATCCAATTTGGACTGGCATCTCAGAATAATTGTTTACTGATTTCAATTGTTTTGCTTATTGCAATATTGATTCATTCAAATCCTTCTCAGGAAGAGTGAATAAATTTAATGATTTGCCATTTGTAAACAAAAACGAGTTTTTCCTTTGAGATACTGCCAATAAACTTGTATGATATCGAGATGGCTATGATTCTGCTCTAGCAACGCTTTGAGGATCTTTGTATTTAGTAAATAAAATGCTAAGACTGTTTAATCCATAAAAGAAGAACAAACTAAAGTTAGTTGAAACAACAACGCATGCGTATTTATTATTATCATACATCACTGTGAATTGTTCTATCTGATTGATTTATCTCTCGTTTGGAATGGTGACCATCAATTTTGCTTCCTCCTCTCTTACCTCTGCTTGTCTACAATCAATTCTATATATATAGATTTTTGAATCCTTTGTTGCTAGTAATATTTCATGAGTGTCAGTTTCATCGCATTGATCATCCCAACCTACGCATTTGATCTGTTTTCCCCTCAATTATTCCATTGATCTGATTTTATCTGATTTGAAATTTATGTAAAAGCTTTCCCCATTGTCTGATACTATCAAAGCATGTGGCCCAAATAAGAATAATTTCTCCAATATAATGTCTTTCCTTTCATTTTTTTTCCCTCCTAGTAATTTTCCTGTCAAACCACTTTGTTGAGCTTCTGGCAATTCCATCTACACACAATAATCATCTCTCTCTGGTCTCCATCGATATATGTTATTTTATCTAGTTATGATGACAAACATATGCGAAGAGATTCCTGCCTACTTTATTTATTCATTCTTAGGAAAATTGGGAATATCGAATGGTTTATTCACAAATAATTCCACTCTTGCTATCTCTTCCTTGTCAAACCCAATATCTTCAGGCTTTTATTTTAACACATACTCATACCTGATCCATGTGATCATCATTGATCCATTGATTGTCATCCATCCTACCTTAATACATTTTTTTATAATTAATATTATTCAATACTCTTTCATGTAATAATAAAACAATTTAATCATTCATTATTCGGTATTATCACGCTCAAACGATAGGACTTCCTAGGCGTCTCCCATTTCCTTACCAAATCATTTATTTTTGATTATTTCTATTTCAAAGTCTTAAAGGATCGTTTCTTGTAAAAATTTAACAATTTCAATCTCTATGTCTTAATCTTTTAAAATTTCATTATAAACTCGTATGGATAGTACATAAATCTAATTAGTTAAGTGATAGGCTTCAAAAGTAAAGCATGACATTTCTGTTCTGTTTATAATATAATGTTCTCGATATTATGATGAACCATGTAAAAACTAAAGTTTTTGACAACCTCAAATTACTCGATACCCTATTATGCTTTAAGGGAAAAGTATAAAATCTATAGATCCTATACTGATCTATCTACAGGTATTGAAGTACGTTCGTTGAAGATTTTATGGTACAATAATTCAATATTCTAATAAATACAATCCTAAATATCAATCTTTAATGATTCATCAGTATCAATCAAAGCAATTTTTGGATTTTATTAATTACACATTTTTTTGTATTTTGATAGTTTTGCAGTCATAAATTTATTGGCAGTAAGCATGCATTATTACCTTGTTGACAATTTCAAATTTTAGATTGAATAATTATCGCTCGAAGCAATAGAGTCATTGATATTTATTTACTTCTAAATTGAAATTGCTTCTCCACTTTACAAAGAGCATCTAGGTAATTAAATAGATTCCTGTCTCTTAAAATGAAATGTTTTATTTATTGGAGACTAATCATTAATATCAGATTTAGCCTCATCAAATTCCTATTCTTGTATCAATTATTTAGATAGCTAACTCTAAACTAATTTTGGTTATTCATTTTAAAAGTAAATAGCAAACTATTCTATGATCTCTCTATCACACCTAGTTGAAAAGGATGTCTTTCCTCTTTTTTTAGATCTCTTATTATATCTTCTTTGTTAGTCTTATGAATATTAATGTCTTTTGATTATTAATTCTCTATCAATGCTTATAAATAAATTGGGACACTCCTTCAAACCATGTGTATTAATATTGCAAGCTGCACAATATTATCCAAATATTATATTTTTACTATTAACTTGAAGAATAAATTAATCTTTTAAATTGCAATACTTTTAATAATCCTTTGGGTATTATCTTATTATTGTTGTAAAATCAGACTGAAAATATTAAATATCAAATTTACCTTGCTTAAAACAAGTAAACTCACATACCCTATTGCTTTGAACATTTAGGCATTGTCATTTTCTTCGATGAATTCTGAAACTTCCAAAAACTATCCTTGATTCTAGACACTCTTCAATGAAACATTAAGAACATTTTGATATTGCAATTAACCCTATTCTACAAAGCACAGGTGAGGTTAGTAGACATCACTTAGAGTGTAAATGGAGAAAGTATTCTAAGGTTAGATTATTTTTCTTTTGATAAAAGGAGATAGGGAATTTTGTAACTCCAAACTGAAATTCTTAAATAGAAAATCACAATGTTTGAAAAATACATTGTTGGCTTATTTTTTTAAATCCTATTTCAATTCTTCAGATAACTCATTTAGCAAGGTTTCTTCTTATTACAAATCAATCTCTGCTTCTTCCTTCCATCGAAAAGTTAAATATTCCCTAATTCTATATTGCAACGAGAAAGGGATATTCCTTTAATGCATATATCTATTGATGACTCTAATCTTTCTGCTTCTTTCCATAAAATGTTGATTGATTTCCTTTATTATCGTTCCAATTGCATTAATGCTGTAGGAAAACCATAGACAAGCACTCAAGATAAAGAATATTGCAACGATTTTTTCATTCCAAGTTTTAGGCACATTATCACCATATCCAATAGTGAGCATGGTGACTATGGCGAAATAGAAGGCTTCTAAATATTAGAGTTGCCATTATTGATGATCCAATTCTTTGAAAGTAATCCAGGAATTCCCATAATTTAATGAACTATTGAAGAACCATATACATGAAAACAAGTGAAGCACATAGATCAAGTAGATTAGCAATTTAAATAAATTGATGAATGCTTTTTGTTTTTTTGTGAAATATTGAGATTCTTCGCTTTTCTATAAAGTTTAATTAATTTAAAAGTGTTGTGTAAGTGATATTAGAAGCAGTAAATATTAAAATTAATTACCTTAATTGTTAATAAAGTAGATTAATAAAAATATCAAAGCGAAGTCTGAAATTGTTTATAGATTTAGATTATTTTATATAATTTGCCATCTATCATATACTGCCTATCCACTAGAGTAACAAATAGTATTCATTCTTAATAAATTGTCAATAATCAAGATGATGATGATGGTAAGAGTAAGGCCCATCAGTTTGTCAAATAGGATTTGTGGATTGTAGGCAATTTCTAATGGAATCAATATTAGAAGGAGTAACCTAAAAAGAATGGTCCAATAATCCCAAACGATTTTCTTCAGTGATTCAGGGTGTATTTATGGCATTTTGGATAAAATTTCATAAATAGTCTTCCTACTTAATTAGTATTTTTCTCTTATCCATAGGATGAATGGATGTTCATAGAAGGAGAGAGTATTATCTCGAAACAATTTGGTCACATTTCGTATTTGAAAATGAGGGTGATTGTTTAACTTAAGAATTTACATCATCACTTAACTAAATAAAATTGATGATACCTGTCACTCGAATTATCGTTAATTAATTTGATATGATTTTCATTTACAATAGACAACTTAGTTCTGCTGTTTCTAATGCGTTAAAGGAATCGTTTCAGATAAAAATATTTCATGAAATTAGTGCCTGTCTTTTTGGTTGTATTTGTTTTCTTATCTTCATCCTGATTGATTAATGGCTTAGTAATGTGTAAAGTATTACTTCACAATTCCTGCGAGTGTCTATATTTGTTGTTGATTTTATTGTGAAATTATTTGTACTGGGATTTCTAGTTTTTATTCTTGTTACCAAATCTGCTTCCAAATACTCCTTTTCATATTCATTATGATGTTCTGCTTATAATTCAATTTGAAGATTCTCTGGTTATGAACTTAAGGCTGAAAATATTATATTAGAGCCAATCATTTATAAAATTATATACTCACTTAAAATCTCTTTTTTTCTTGTCATTATCCATATCATTATTCTCCTACTCCCTAAACTTTTTCAATTTCTCCTGTTTGATCATCTCATCATACTCCTCCTACTCTTTTACAGCCTATTAATAGTTGGCTTCATAATTGGAATCATCGACCTCTTCTGTTTACTTCTTTGGTTTCCTTATTGATCTCAAAAACACAGATCCCAAGAAGACAGCCAAAACTAAAATATTAGAAATGCTATTACGTCCACTAATCAATAAGAAGGGCAATTATTATTTCGTGTCCTTGTCTTGTATGTAAGGATCTAATTTGGCTTGTAATTTCAATTCTTCTTTCTTTATATAATCGAGCTTGTTTATTTTGCCATCCCTATAGTAATAAGCCTTCCCATTCTCTTCGTATGTTCCAGATTCTCCAACCTGTTTTCTTATTCTTTCCCTATCGGCTTCAGTCTGAATTATTTTATTTAGCTTTTTGCTAAATGCAAACTTATTTAATCTATTCATATTTATTAAAATTTAAATTCCTTATATTACAGAAAATATAAACAACCGCGTAATAAGGTCTTATGGTTTTCCTTGCTTAATAATAAATAATATAATATTGTAATATGTTAAAATAAATCAAAGAGAAGCCACTTTCATAACTAATAGTAGAGTTATAATAGAAATATTAAGAAGAAAATGACCAATCGAATATATTCTAGAAACTTTATCAATAATAAGTGGAATAAGAAAGTTCTACAGAATCATCCAATATTGTTCCTGCTCTCTTTTCTGGATCCACAGGTTCTTCGTCCTCCCACTCATAGGAAGGTATAACACTTCATGCATCATAGGCGTCGAAAAGAAAATTAAGAAGGCAAGAAAAAGCCAGATTCCTAACAAAACTAATTAGGACGATAAAAAGCTTTCGAATGAAACAACAGATAAAAAAACTTTGCAGATGATTCGAAATAGAATATCTGCCTAAAATTCTAGAGATAGGAAGAAGGCCTACCTTTAAAAACTAGAAGAGGACTTCAATAAATAATCTAATTGTCTTCAGGAATTAACTGATTAAGTTAGCTATTTACAATAACAATTAGAAGAAGTCTAGAAGCTCAATTCACATTTACAATCCTAGTAATCAAGTCTAATTTGTATGAATTGTGGATGCAAATAATTTGTCCTTGAAGAAGAAGCTCCAATTTCTATTTCTAAGAATAGAGGTTTGGGCAAATTAGGATTTTCATTTGTTCTTATATTAACTATTTTTGCTTGTCTTATTATTAACTTTGACACTGCAACTCAGAATTTACAATCCGTCCCAATTGTCTCATATGAGAAACCCCTCATTAGAGAATTGAATAATACTGATCAACAATATGGAATTTTGGAGTCAGTTCAAAATGGTAGAATGAAAGGAATAACAGACCTGATGGAATATAAATCAGAATATAACTATAAATTTGATGATACAACCTATCATGCCATCTTAAATACGAAAGAGAGTTTTGTCAACGAAATGATCAATTACAATAAGGAAAAGGCCAAATAAAATAATGTTTAGGCATTGGCCCCACTAAACTATCATAAACCATAAGTAGACTCTTTTTATTGTCCAACCGTTTATAGATATGACAACAAAACTAAGGAGTAATAATATTCTATAAGTTAGAAAAATATCGATTAAATACCAAGATGAATAATGGATTCATTTGGTTATTCCAAAGAATAATGTCAATATATTTTATCAAAATCATGATAACTCCATAATATTGAAAGAAACCTTTAAAGATTCAGACACTGATGTAAAAGAAAAATATCAGGAAATTTGGTGTTAAGTAAAAAGTATAAATGACTTCTATATTTGAAAACATTAACTCATTCATTTTGTTAGATAGTAGTTTTAATAATTTCATTATAAATATTAATTTTTTTTAAACATTTAGTCAAACCAAGTAAATTTAAGTTCATTCTCCTATTTTAACCTACATTAGTGCTTTTTTTATCTCTGCAATCATACAATCAATCTCATATTCTTATTAATTGATTTCGAATTTAGCCATCGATAAAGACGTCTATAGATTAACCAATTTTTTGAATTATTAACCTAAATTTTTTATTTAATCTCCTATAGCTCCACATTTTTTAATGCTTTCAAGTTTCTGTTTTTGTTTCCTTCTCTCTTCTTACTTTTCATGCTTAGCATTTTCATAAATTATTTGATGAAATTTGTTGTAAAATATATCTATCTTATTATTCTTAAATTCACTCTTTTGAAATTTTAGAATATTTCTAATAATATGAATTAATTTTTTTCTTGAGAGTCTTTCATTTGATTCTTGTTTACTTTTTAAGATAAAAGCCTTGATTAAGTTTTCATCTTCTCGAACCTTTTCAAAGTTTTTCAATAATTTTTAACCCACTTTTTTCTAAATTAATTTTTCCCAAGTACAATCTTTGATCCTATTATTTATCAAATTACGAATTATTTTATAATCTGGATCATGTATTGAAATTTTTCTAATTTTAGATGACCTTTGAACATAATATCTTATTTTATTAATGGCCTATATGATATGGTTTATATACATTGATAAACTTCTCTCTAATAATCTTATTTCTAGCTTATTTTTATCCAACAATTTAAAGCATTAAATCTTATTAGACACTTGGATACTCTCGTAAGTCAATTTTAAATCTTAATTCCTCCAGATGCTAAGTAGATTCTCTTTTGCTATTAGTTTGATGAACATCATTAATGGCAGACCCTCTCTTCAATTTTTATTGTCTTTCTAGAATAAAAAGAGGTTTGATTACATCTTTTAATTCTTGCTTATTCAATAATAAGTATCTTCCTTCTTTTATACATCTGTTGCAACTCAAAAAACTAAGGCGACTCTTTTTCAAGGAATTAAGAAAAATAATCAGATGAACACATTAAAACAACACTTTCCTGTATAGCATGAGCACTCCAACGCCTTAAACTGTTTTCAATGCATTCGATTTCTCCAAAGCAAGTACCTTCCATAACTCTCACCAAGGTTTCCCCATTGTTGTCACACAATCTAATGTCTCCTTTAATAAGAAAGAAGAAATCATTTGCACCTTAACCAATGTGATAGACAGTTTCATACTTTTAATAGCAGACCAAGGTGCTAAACGGCAGAATGGACCCTGAGAAATTTATATCATTTGACATGAAGGGAATAGTTCTCAAAATATCCTTATGGACTGCAGCAACAGTATATAATGCTAATTGGTGAGGAAGCTCTGAAATGATTCTTTTGGATTCCTCAGCCCAAAAGGGATTCCTCTATATGTTAAACTTCGTAAATCTGATCCAATCATTCTAAATTCTTTCAGGCATGTTTATAGTAACGTCTTCCAAATTCAACAGTTAATCATCAAACTCCTGATTAGGATTTGATTAGATCAATATAAAAGTAATGTTACCAATAGTGAAGGAATAATAACCAACGCCAATTAACATCCAAATTACACTCAACAGATATTCATCAAAATTATGGGCTTCAAGATCACCATATCCAATAACTGTAATTGTTTAATAGGCCCAAAAGAATGCATATATCAATTTAGTGTAATCGTTAGCATGTTTGATATCTTATCGTTCCATCCAATTTTAATTAACATTAAATTTGCAAATCCATATCCAAAGACAAGCGAATAAATGATTCAAAATGATCATCTCCAAAAATATTTTCATTAACTTCTTTATTCTTAAATCCAAATTGTACTCCTCTCTTACTATTAACTCATCCCTCAGAGATTGTTACTTTTTGAGTAACTCTATTGACTGATTGTATTCAACTCTTCTTTCATAGAAAAAAAACCTTAATAACCGTAATAATTTTATGGGTTTCAAACTTTCTAAATCTAAATCAGGCAATATCGATAATAGATCAATGACAAACCAAGTGGTGATGTAATAATTGGCTATGTCTTTCAAATTGTGCAATAAATCTAATTGCTTATTTATGTGGCAAATAATAAAATTCATCAGCAAATCAACCCAAAAGATCATCTGTAAAATGAATGTCAATTGATGGCCAAAACCCTCTATTATAGCTGTAAAAATGTACTTCATATTCAAAGGCGACCTATATTGGATATAGAATGGCAGCTACATCAGTACATAAATTAATTCCCAATCCCCAAACTAAATACACGATATCATCAGGGAAAAATGGAAGGAAGCCTCTCTTGCGATATTAATATTTGGATCTTTAATTCTTTAATTGATATGCATAATTTCGAAGTTAATTTATAAATTTTTGAGCCATCCCAACCTTTTTAATTATCTTTCTTAATTCCTGGTTTTTACTCACTCTCGATGCTTGAAGTTGAGACATTGTTAAGGTTGTCATTTAAATACTAAATATCACAGAATTATCTTACAAACTTTTTACAGTTTTAGCTCTAATTATTCTTTTAGAGGGTTCGATCTGTTTTAATAAAACACTATTTGATTGCAAGATGCCTATCTGAGATCCCATGTCCGTTAATTATCTTTGACTACTCCAATTTTGTTATTGGAACTGTTCTTCCTTAATGCGTAAAGGATAGACTTACATTTATTTAGTATTTAAGAAAAATAATTAGAATAAATGTAAAATAAGTTATCATAATTAAATAATATTTTATTTTTAACAATGGAGGTTAAGTTGTTGTAATTTATTGTTATTTTTGTTTGAGAAATTAGGGGAAAAATAAGGACATATAAATCATTAATCTGACCTAGGACTATAAAGGCTTGGCTTTATTTTGGACTTTCTAATAATGCTTTAAAGATGATCGGATCTTGATGCTTTTTTTGGCTTTTTGAGTTTTTATAGAACCTTATCCAGATTGTAACTAGTGAAGTAATAAGTAGTTATAAAATATCTATCTAATTCAAAATCAACTCTTTGTTATTTGTTCTCACCTTACTTATGAGAGAGGACCTCATCCAATTAATTAACAACATTACTGGCAACAATTTCCAATTTAGATTAAGCTTTATATTGCATTTCTTAATCAAAGTTTGTACATGAATTAGAATTATTCTTTCTTACTCTTTGGACAATTGAGTTTTAAATAGAACCAGATTGATTTTGGTAATGTTATTCTGAAGTGATTATAGAAATATTAGTGAATCTGTTATTAGAGACTTGGGTTAATCTCTTAAAGGTCCTATGTCTATTGTCTGCTTTCCTTTTAAATGAGTTTTATGCTCTTAAATTTTTGGGTTCAGGTTCAGAAATATCAGAAAACTTAACCTTCTTTTGCTCTATGCTTTGTAACTGAATATATCGAGATGATTTTGGAGTTTTCGATGAATTTAATACCACATCAGGATCATCAGCATTTTCTGAAGATTCACTATTCATTTATTCCAAACCTGTTAGTCCTCTTATAAAAGATTTGCTAGATTTTTGAGTCCTTATTGATTTAATTAGTCTTTCACCTTCATCATCATCCACATTGAATCCTAACATATCTAAATATTGATCAGTTAAATCATCAATTGCAAGCATATTCTCATTGACAATCAAAGCCAATGCATGTTCCCTTATTATATTCTTTTCATGATTTTTCTTATCGACCCTCCTTTTATGATATGATCTATTCATATCTTCTGTTATCATAAATTTCTTTCTAATTCTATCCTAATTAAAATGAACAAACACTAACGGACATCTAATTAGATAGGCAATTTACTTTTTAAATTAATGTGTCCATTTACATATGTAACAAACTTCACCATAATTTTATTTTTCTTCTGTAAATAACATCTAATCTCTCAGCATACAATAATTTTCTTCCTCTAATGAATCTTCCCTAATTATCCTTAAAAAATCATCATAACTAGAATATGCTTTTGATTAATTACTTTACAAAAGCAATTTGACAAAACTTAACTGATCTAATTGTATATTCATATCGTGCCTATGTAATAAACTCCTTTTCTCCTACAAACTTTCCTTTCTCTATTTTTGTCAATGTAGTTTCTCTTAACTTTTGATCACCTAATCAACAAAGAACATATAGATACATATCAAACTTAATTCACCCCTTTATAGAAAAATTAATTTATTAGCTTATTCGTGCTAATAAGCAACAATCTCTTCTGGAGGCACCTTTATCTCGTGTACATATGAACATAATTTTTAGACACTCTTTAAGGATAAAGTCTATCTGATGAGTCTTGACTTTTTCAACATTTCACAATACATATCTATTGCCACTTATTCTTTTAATTTCTTATCTAGATTGCTCATCATTTTTTCACCGTATTCATTATACTCTTGTTCCATTTTTAGATAATATTCAAAATATTTTCTAACTTGTAACATCAACTACTTGTTGATTTTCTTCTTTTTTAGAAAACTATTGATGTGCATCATTTACTATTTAAATTGTTATTCCTTTTCAGTAAGCTATTTTAAAATATTGCCTATACTAGATATAGTATAGCCAAACAATCCACAAATAACCATTGCCATTATTATAACATATATTCTTTCAAGATCTGTTTGAGGAACAATATCGCCATAGCCAATCGTCAAAGTTGTTATTGTACTAAAATAGAAGGCATGGATGTATTTAGTGGACCAATCAGCCTCTGTAATATTTTTGGCAATTAACCAAGAATTTTATCCTGAATCTAATTCATTCTCTCCAATCAGATTCCACAAACACGCACAAAAATGGGATACAAATGAAACTAAGAAAATGGATTTGAATAGCTCCAAAATTGTTTAAATATTATTTGAAGGATTTGTCACTTCTTCTATTGATTCAATCATCGATTTAACCTTTGTCACTCTGAGTAGTAATATATATTCTGTGTAAGGGACTGAATAGGAAGATAAGATAAATGGTATAACAATCATTAAATCCCAGACGAAATTTGTATTTACATAGTGTTTAAGTATTTATTGCTTGTCTCTATGTATTTGTCCTTAACTATAATAGGCGGTGAAGAATGTCAATACTATATCCATTACAAACGTCAAAGAAGGTAAGGTTTCCAAGAATATTCCAGTCAATAAATCTTCCCTTTCAAAGTCAAACCCTAATTTCATGGGAATGTAGAAAATATTAATGATGATTTAGGTTAAAACAAATATATCCCAAAGTACTTTTATGACTGAATCAGGATCAAGTACTGGTACTTAATTTATAAACCATTTAAAAGATTACATTACTTACTAGACTTTATTTAATCTGTGAAGTAAAATATCTGCATCACTAGCAGAGTCTGATATCAAATTGAGAATATTATTGGTTAAAGATTTGAACTTAACTTCGGTTGAATAGGTTTTCATTTGCTTACTAAATTTGGTTATATAAAACATAATCCTTAATCCACCATGAACCCACAAATTAACTTTTTATTTTGTTTCAACTTGTAGTATACCTATACTGTCATCGTCATCATCAGGATCAGGACTCAAACAATCACCTTTAAAAGACTATTTTTCTGGCTATTATAATTCGATCTTTCTATTGGAAGTAAAGTTAGGCTCGAAGGATGCGTCTTCGCTGTTGTTATCAGATTGTGGGATTGCATAGTCTTAACGGAATTTCAAAATTCCTTTTACAGTTTGACTCTTAATAATAAAGCTACTTACTTCCTTTATCGTTATTGCCGTAAAACCGAATCTAACAATTATGACATTAAACAAAAAATATAATATTTACAATAATTATGTTTCAAATAAAATATAACGAAGTTATAGATGCTTACTAATTATAAAATGCTATTAAGGATATATTATAAATATAAAATTTAATAATGTCATTTTGGATAAATCTGAAATTTGAAACAATTAGGAACAATCCATGATATACTTTATTATTTTTTCTTCAATCAAAATTAAAGAAAATGCAAAAGCTTAATTAAGATATAAATTTTGTTGTTTCAAGTCGAAATAACTATTTACTTTTCTTAGATTCCATTTAAGATCAAATTCGTAAGTTGCTATTAGAATTGGCAATTAGATTTTACATAGTCGTTCCCAATAAAAGTGTTTTTCAAATATGCGATTTTCTTGTAGTTTCTATGAATTGAAGATTTATTATTAAATGTAATAAATTGAACAGGATCAAAAATTCAATATTGATTTGGACTTAGAACTCAGAGCTGTACAAAATTATGACTTCGAATAAGAATATTTAGATCATTGTCTAAGAGATACTCATAGATAATTATCAATCAATAACAATCATCATATTCACAGTCAAACAAAAAGTGAGAAAAGCAATGATGGCTACGATTTCAGAACACCAAAGGTAACATCGCAAACCAATCTGAATAATATTATCAATTCCGAAGTGTAATAAAATCATGCCATCGCACCTAAATATGTAAAATAAGAAAAACCAATAAGCACAGGTTCTAGTATAATGCAATTCTTTTTTATAAGACGTTTTTTAGAAAAACTTACCTTTTAAAGAAAAAGATTGTAGAATTTAAACATTACCCATTTAAATCTTATAGATGATAAGGCCTCAGACAAGTAAAAATAATATTTTAATTTTGTAGAGCCAGTTTGTTAGCGTATAAATAAACAAAAGTTTAAAAAGGATTGACTATCAATTAACTAAATAGAATTGTGCAAACGAAAATAGAAATAAAAGAAAGGAAATGGGAGAGTGTGAAGAAAAATTTAGAAGAGAGTAAGTAAAAAATTATCAGACAAATAACAAATATTGCCAATAAAATACCTCTAGTACAACCTGAAAATGATTTTAAACTTTATTGGGACATTTTTGCTTCATTATTTAGAGTGATACTCGTGGTTCTAGTGCCTTTAGAAATTTCATTTCACACTTAGATTCTCTTTTAGGATTACGTAGGGCTGACATTGACAATTCTATTCATCTTGCAATTAGATCTATTCATTAGGATCAACACTCTCTGTTATGAAAATGGAAAGGCCATAACAGATCGATGGGGAATCATTATTCGTTAACTAACCAAGTCTTGGTTTACAGATTTCTCATTAATAATAATAATAGTGGTATTTATATTCCACTCGGATGCCCAAGATGGTTATGACTTGTTTTTGCTCATTTTGTTAACCCAATATAAACACATTTATGGAGCTTTATCAAAAACTGATTAGATCTCCTACTTTACAAGACCCTAGCGAGGAATAATAGGATTAATCAAATTTGTGACCAGTTTATTTTATATTATGCACATATTCAGTTGTATTTGGTTTTGGTTCAGTAGCATTGATAAATCTAATTCATGGATTGTAACTAAAGACTTAGATGGGTAGACTTGGCAACTACAATATTTAGAATCAATTTACTTTGCAATAGTGACAATGTTAACCATAGGTTATGGAGACAATGTGCCTAAAAATTCAATAGAGAAAATTGTTACAATAATATTTATATTGGGTGCTTGTAAATTATAAATTAAATTTATAAGGTTTGTGGTTCTCGTACAGTGTGAACTTTATTGGGGCAATCATGAATGACATCACGCAGAATTAGGTGGAGAGAAGTCAAAAAATGAGAGTCATCAATAAATATATGACATAAAGACAAATTCCATTTAGTCTGTAGCATTAGTAATTTTGCTATTAATAACCAACTTAGAGTCAAAGAATACTTAACGTATAGATGGAGAGAGGATGATGAAGTTGATTTGCAAGTGGAGTAGATCTTGTTGGAATAATTATCTGACGAACTAAAGGAAGAACTGGAGAAACAAGCCTATAAAGTATTTATCCAAAAGTCAGAGTTATTATAAAAGCAATTTTCCTTGGAATTCAGAAATGCTCTATTTAAATCTATTAAACGTAAGATTATAGAACCATAACATACTTTTTAAAGTGAAATCAATGGTCAATAACATCTTTGTTTCGTAGAGTAAGGTGTTTTGCTGTATTAACATAAGGATAGAAAACAAAGATCCAAAATGAATGCTTCAGTTCATTAAGGGTAATTCTTTTGTGTGAAAGAATTTCTTATGCAATCCCCAGAATATGAAATCTTCAAAGCTCAAAGTTATGTCAGTTTGCTTGTGTTATCAAAGCAAGATTTCTTAGAAACATTACAAGATTTCCCAGAGGATTTTCAAAAATATTGCTAATTAAAGGATTCATATTCATCAGAGAATGAAGGCTGTTAGATATAATACGGTAGTTTCTGTCCTGCTTGCAATAATTTTGATCATTCTTTGAAGAGTTGCTGTTAAATATAATTGGTTCTGAATAAAGAAGTCGTAATTAAAAAACATTAGATGAATCAAGAGTAATAAAGAGAACCCTATCTACGTCAGACACTTGATAAACCAATCTAAACTAGAGCAGAATTGTAATATGTTTAGGAATGTGCAATCTACTTTTAAGCAGAGAATCAAAGCCTAATCAATGAATAACTAAAATTGCAAATGGTGTATGAATAAGAAACAGAATCTTAGCAAGGAAATTCAGATACACAGAATGCATTCGATCCTATGCCCTCAGTCAATATCTTTTAAATTAATGAAATGTACTAAAGTACTCACAAACCTATATTGAACAAGGTAATTCAAAAAGTAGAATTTGAAGAGGAAAAGTAAAAAGACAAAACTGAAAATCACAAACCCAATTCATTATTGACTCAAAGTTAGAGAATAAATAGAAAGGGGTCATTGTTTTCAAAATAACTTTAACGAAAAAATACTAAGTCTCCTTCAATATTATTCTCTATGAATGAAATTACAGAAGAAGTCATTGAAACAACGCTAATAGTGTAGGAGAGTGATCATATCAAAAACACCAACAACTTTAACTTTTATATGAAAGAGAATATCAAATCTTTGTATTCTAAGCTTTAGAGGTTTTCGGAAGACAAATCTTCTTCTATCAACTAGGGCTTAAATTCACTTCAATATATTTATTGGAAATATAATGCGATCACTCTTGAAGGGTTTGAATCCTTATTTAATTATGATTATTATTTTCCACAATCAAATTCCATTTCCACAATAGAAATGGCCAATAAGAACCAACATGCTTGGCAAAAAGAAATCTTAAGCAAATTCTCAAAATATTTATATTACCCTTATTAATTTATAAATAAATTCTTGAAGCTCAAAAAAGTTTAATATTAATGTGCTGCTATAACTGCAGCTACGAAATTCAAAAATGCTCAAAAAAAAATTTGGCTAATTCAGTTAAGAAATAACTTATCTTCCAAAAAATTGATACCATCTTCTAAAAATATTAAAGTAACAAAGTCAAAGTTGAATTCGATTGTACCGTATTCTGGAGATAGTATGCAATCTATTTAAATTAGCTAAAGTTGATAGATTGATTATATATATTTATATTATTTAAAATCAATTACATATAAAATAAGCTTTTTCATTATTATTATAAAGTTTAATCTATCTATTTTTCTGACTCTTCTTGAATAATCATCTCCTAATCTTTCAGTAGAAGTTATGCACAAGACTAATACTTATGATCACAGTAATTTAGGAGCCTCTAACTCTTTGGAGTTGTGGCTTCTTCACCTGTTGATTACCTTGACCTAGATGAAGTGTGGTGGAATTCTCTCTTAGTTTTGGCCTTACAAACATTTTGCTAAGTTGAACATTTAGTCTGATTCTCAAAATATATCTAAATCTGCAAAGGAGACTTTAAAACTCCCTTTGGGTCGTACTGACTTCGAAATTGGTGGTATTATATCATTTTCTATTCAATTACTTTCAACTTTAATTTACACATGAATTATTACCTCTCTTAAGAGTTCATATAAGTCAACACTTTAAATTTTTGAGTTCTCATTCAATAATGTAATAATTGAATTAATTAGATTTTTTTAATAACCTTGAATTTCTTAATAAATATTAAAGGTTAACTTTTATAATAGTCTATCTTGTGGATAGTTTTTAAGGGCAATCTTCAAATTAGGCACAAGAGAAAGAGCCATATTGACTATATTCACCATCTTAAAACTATCTATCATGAGACTAGAATTATGAGTGATTTATACTTCGAATAATTTGATTTTCTAAAAAGGCTTGTTTTGTAACTTTTTATTTCCTTGAAGCTGATGGCCAATTTTTATAAATAAGATAAAAATGGAATTTATATATTTAATAGTAACCAAGCTTCATAATTTCTATGACTGTGTTTGAGTAAACTAAAATTTGTTAATCTTAAAGAAGTAAATAATTTGGAGAATTCTTCGTTTGAATGAATAAACTAATGGGTGATAATGAGCATTTTCATTTTAATATTATAGGTCTGCATGTCAGTGTTCGAGTAGAACTCAAAAAACTCCCTCAGGTTCCTATCCTTAGTCATGAATTATAATAAAAACTCTATTTCTTCTTAGTCGAATACTTAATTGTCTTTGGAAAGACTACTTTTCTTTAGAAATCGAAGGAATTCAGAATCTAATTTGAAGATTTCGCTTATTTTTTATATCATTTATTAAAATTACCAATCAACATTCTTAAAAGCTTTCTATTATTATAATCTTAAGAAACTGAAAAATCAAATATTCATAATTCATTTTAAATTTCTAGAAATTAAGAAAAATTACAGCTTTTAGCTATTAAAATTTCATTAGATGAGAAGAGTTATAAATAATGTATATATATCTATTTCATAAACATAAATTTCAAAATAATTTCATACCATAAAAAACAAATTAGGATAAATAATGCTTATTTCTGTATGCTGTAAGTCCATAATTGCTTGGTTAATACTGGAAGAAATAGGGTTGATAACAGTAATTAAACATCAATGAAACAAAGGTTGTAATGACATTTTTACCAGATCCAAGAAGTAAATTCTAATAACTCGAAGCCAGCAACAATTATATGAATAATTCCATATCATTCCTTTCCTACGAGTAGAGATATCTGTTTTTAAATGCCCAAGTGAGTATTTTGGCTTAGCTTAGATTATAAAAAAGGTCGTATTAAAAACAAAAGCCATATTTCCATTAGAAGAGTGTGATAAAGAAGTGAGCTATGATTGAGTTTATCAATTTTGGTAAATCCCTGTCTTGATATTCAAGTATGATTGATCTAAATAGTAAATCAGCTGAAAAGCATATGGCGAAACTTTGGATTAGTTGGTGTAGGAATTACTAATTCTTAATTTTGGTATTAATGTATAATATCTTACCTATGAGGATTATTTCGTAATTGTAGAGGTGGAAATAATGAAAATAATGATAGCCGAGAACAGCTAAAATAAATATAAAAATAATATTCATATAGCAATTAAATTAATTTATGTAATTATTATAAGGTTATGAATTGATGTTTGGAATATATTTGATAATAATAATCAATGCTATATATTTATCTTAATTTTCAATAATTAATTAAATGGATAATTATTTCACAATCATCAGTTTACTTGGATTGAGAAACTAAAATCTTCCTCCCTTTAGGTTTGAAATGATAAATATTATTACAGAGAAGCTCGTTTGAAGAGATATAGATCAATTAAGAAGATGGTTGAGTTGATAGAAACTGCTGGTTGGACTTAGCCAAAAGTCCCATTCAATGCATTTTGCTTGAGTTCATAAGATCGTACATTTATAGTTTTATTTCTCCTTTAGCTGAATGGGAAGATGACATGACCTACCCAGTGATTGAATATAATAAGTTTGGCTATTAGGCTGTGGCTTTCGGAATAAATTTAGTATAGAGATGTCATTAATATTATGATAGTTCCTTTATGCCTACAATTACAATGTTATTACACAAAACATCAGATTCAGAACATTTAGATACTTGTTTCCAGTGGTCTAATGTGTGATATTTGGAAAAATATACTTTGAATATAAATCTGAATTAACAAAGGTGAATTTGTTTGATGAATATGTTCAATTGAGAGCTTAGGAATTAGTAAAGGAGAATGAATTCTTATTGGAACATGAAGGTATCAATAAAAGTCAATTACTTTTATAGACATCAAGAGATTCGTCTGGTGGTATGAAGATTACAAAGAGACCTTGTGCAGAGTTCATAGATAAGCTAATGATCATGCTGCAACAGATTTTAAAGATTCTGAATTGATTTTGTAAGATTTCATTAGAAGATATACAAATCCAAATTCAGCTAGACCACTTAATATCTAAGAGAAGGGTGTTTTATTCTGAAAATATTATTCATTAATAAAAATAAATAATATAGAGTATGTTTTACTATATTAATGAAGTTATATACCTGTTACTTTATCAATTACTAGAATATTAAGAGGAGTGTATTTAATGATCCATTATTATACTTTTTATATGTTGTACAGATAAATATTCTCATAATCCTTTGATTTTATCTTCTACAAATTGTTTTTCACCTTCACTTACTTCAATTGCGAAATCTCTAACTGCAACAGATGAGCATTTTCTTGATTTGATTTTCTTGGTTTTTGTTAAAAACTTTGAAATTCCAATCCATTCACCTAATAAGGCACCTTTTTCTACTTTCCAAACTGGAATTTAGAATTGTTTAGCCAAAGCGACTACCAATTTTTTATAGGATTCCTCAGAGCAATCATCAGCCAAAACTACAAACTTAGCCTATAATGCATAGTATGATAATTCAAACTTATTTGCTTTCAATGGCTTTGCATACTTCATGCACTCCCTTTGACAATTAACCTCTATGTAATGATGTTTAGACTACTCTTTTTAAAGTAGTGAGTTCTTCTGATAATTGTTCGACCTCTGCCATAATGAAAAATAATTTAAATCTTTATTTTAAATTAAAAACAAAAAAGAGTATAAAATTTATATAAATGAACATCAAAGCAATCTATAAACTACAATTCTCCAGGTTTATTTTATAATAGAATGAATGTAATATAAATACTTGATTTGATTATATAATTAAATTTTAGTATACTCAATATAATGTATTTAGTTCACAAAATAAATACTATGTAGATAAAAGCAAAAATAAACAAAATTAAAAACACCTTTAAGATTAACCCTCTATTCGAGCTTATTCGCTTATGTGATTCCTGCAATTCTTTACGTCCCTTACTAACATTCACTTATGCCTCATCAGTATATTTATCAATTCTTTCGATCATCGTCTCTTATAGTCTCACCATGGTTCCAACCCTTTAGAACACTCCAGCAATATCATTTAACATTGATTCAATCTTTTGCATAGAAACCAGTTTTTCCTCATTCTACTTTTAATCAAACATTTAAATTGACTAATGATTAGCCTCCTCCTCAGTTTCATTCAATTTTTAATATTTCTGATTAAATCCAACTCTCTTGATCACTCTATCTCTTTCCCCATTCAACCTATTCCTTTTCTCCTCCTATTACTTGATCCTCTATGTATGACTTTATACCAACTATAAATTAATCTCTCAATTGAAATACTTTTTTGAATGAATCTGATGTTTTCATCGCTTTTTGCTAAACAAAATCAAATATCGATTAATTTAAATCATTATTCAATTATGTTTTAAGTTGATTTAGATGAATATGTATTTAACTAATGTCATCTTTGACTTGAGAAAGAATAGAATTCAATTTGTAGTCTTAGTCATTAAAAAGCCCTGTAGATTGAGATGCTTTAAGAATTAAGATGAAAGCCATACTTGTATGAAATTCCTAAAGTCTTTCATTGGCTGCATCGACTTTCTCTTTGGCAAGTTTTGCTGTGAGTAGAAATTCTAATTTAAATAAGATCCTTAGTACAATTAGGCTATTCCCTTTTCAAAGCAACAAGTTTAATGTGTACTTTAGATAGAAATTATTGAGTGATATCTCTATATTAGGAACTTGCAATCTCCATAACGTGGCAATTTATAATTTCTTTTTAATTATAATTCTAAAATGCTTAATCACAATCAAAAATATTGTTACTTATAAAATATAAAAACTAAATACAAGAGAATAGAATATTATTTTATTAGTGCTTTCCCAATATTAAGGAACCATATGAAGGGCCTATTCAAATTTCAGACATTTCAATATATCCAAGTTACACAGATATCATATAATCTAGTTATATATTACATTTGATATATTCATTTAAAAGGCGTTTAAACATCACTAATACTTGCGTTGTTGGGATAATAATACTAAACAGTTCTATTTGAAATATTCATTTTTATAGGGCCTATAATTTATCACATAAATGATTTTATTCACACAAACATAGATATAAAAAATGCTCAATCTTATTAATCGATATTTGAAATAAAACTAATATCTTAATCAAGAATTTATTTCTTGTTCTTATTTCCGTCAATTTAAGAAACATCAACACTGAATAAATCAAACTGCTCGGATTGCTACTTCTTCTTGCTTGTTAATTCGACTAATAATTATTAAATTTCATTTTTGGTCTATAAAAGTTAAAAATAAATTAATTACTATAGCTACAACAGATTATTAAGGAGGTTTCGAAAAAGCGACTTGAGTTTCATTTGAAAAGTAAGAAAATGGATTACTATAAGATCGTTTTAGTCTTTTGTTTTATGACAGAGGATCTTCCATTTATTTAATTAACTATTTTTTCTTTATGTTACTTATCTAGAGTTAAGATCATATTATTATACATCAAAATGCTAAAAGAATTCTCTTGACATTGACATAATAAAGTTAACACATTCTTCCCTTGTCATATCATAGTACTAAACCTTCTAAGATTGGATTTGATTTCTTGTAATTGGTTTTGAATCAGCTCTTGCTGTCTAACAATAGGGTGCTTGCTCAAAGTTCTCATCAGTATTAATTTCTAGCTCTTTTAATTGGAGTTTCTTCATTTTTATTTAGGGAACAACCTATTGATTTTATTTCTGATTCTGAGTTTTCTGATTAGAGTTGCTTAGTTGAACTGAGATATTTTCTTTTGGTTCTGTGTCATCAAATTTAACATCAGCATTTGATAGTTGTTAAGATTATCTAACAAAATAGGATGGTTAAGTATTGACTCGTTCATTATTTTAATTGAATCTTGGACTGAAGATGCCAACAGCTATATCTTATTCTTGATTTAATTGTACAGAGTTGAATTATTTTCTGGTTTTGAGTTGTTCCATGTAATTTTAGTTTTGTTTCTTATAAAATTACAGTTCTGCCATTAATTGATCATTCCTTTAATCTTTCAATTGATTTGATCGTATTAATAACTCATTGGTGTCTTGAATTTATTCGTACTTCTTAATTAATTCATTATACAATTTGCTCACATTCAGATTACTGTTTTTTTCCTTTTCAAATAATTCTTTGAACCCTTTAACCATCATTTCCATTTTATGTAATTTCTCTTAATAAATCATCCTTTCATTTTTGCTCAGATATTTCAATTGTTATGGCTCTGGAGAAAACCCATAGCCTAGACTTGTTGTTCCATACAAATCTTAATGCATTTGCTCTAGTCTGCCTCTATGGTTTTACAACTCCCTATTCAATTCAAGATTGTTATCTGTTTTTTCAAGATACTCATTGTACACGAAATCTAGATTACGAAGATTTGATACCCTTCATATTTTAATAGTTCACTTAACTTCTCAGTACTATTCTCATTTTGAATATTTCCCTCTTCAAATGATAATTGACTTCCCTTAAAGCATTATTGCTCTCTGAAACACTCTGAGCTTCCGCTGTAATTTTCTGCAAGACTCCTCTCACACTTTCCAATTCCTCATGCAATTTTAGATTCTATTCTGAAGGAGTTACCACTTCAACCAATTTAACCAATTGGCCCTCCTTCTCCTATATCGGCTTCATCCTTTCTAACTCTTGTATTGCGTATTCCTTATCGTGAATATTGCGTTTCAATTCAATTAACTTATATTCTAAATCACTAATCAAGTCTTTATAATAATTTGATTGCTCCTCAGCTATCTATTCCTAGAGGAGTATTTTTGTTTGTAGCTAACTGCTCACTTTCTGTTGTTTTGTTAAGGCCTCCATTAATTTCTTGTTCTCCTCATTTAAATGTTTGACCAATTCTGAATTCTGAAATTATTCACTTGATGAAGTGCTGCTGCCATCTTTCGTTTGCTGTATTGTGATTAATATTAAACTATTACTTGCGATCGCTTGCTATCCAAAGCCAATGACATGGCCTATTTATTCAATTTTAATGCATTCTCTAGATCAGCAATATACTCTTGTAGAAGTTTATTCTCCTAAGATAGGTAGTGTATTTTAGACTATTGACGATTTGTCACAAACTCGTTTACTTCTGTACCTAATATCATTAATATTGGCAAATTTATAGTTATAAATTATAAATTCAATCAAAACACTGAAGTAAAATGATGACTTTATATATAAATATAAATTATACAATTACTGTCTTACTAAATGGCATTAATATCTTTATAATTCAATTACGAAGATTAGGAATAATGACAAAATTTATAATTATTTTTAACGAATAGAATATTAAAATTATGCCTCAAGAGTCTATAGAAATATAAATGTTAAAACAACAAGTTTAGTTATTACAATAAGAACTTCAATAAATTCATTAATATGGCAATATACGCATTCTTTGGAATAATATATTCTCAAAATTAGAGACCATCACATTCACATCTCAACAACCTCTCAAAATCTATTAACAGTTGATGTTTCGACAAAGCCTATCTCAAGATCAAATCAAACCAGATTATCTTAGTTAAGATGCAGAATGTCAGACTGAAGATGATTAAATTAAACTCAATGTACAAGACACAATCAAATCCTGCATTTCATCAATCAAAATCGAATTGAAACTACAATAAGACAAGTATCTCCAAGAGAATTTCAATTAAATCGAACTCTGTTTAGAAAATATTCAAAACTACTCAAAACAAAAGTAGATCAAATCAAAGCAAAAATTAAGATCATCCATTAATTCATCTCTCTCTATACCAACGACCATCATTAAATTATCCACAAAGGAAAACTACATACCAAAACCTATTAGCAATTTAGAAGAGGAGGTTAAGGTATGAATGCAATATAAGTCTTAGGACTCTCAAATTAATAATCTAAAATAATAGAACCAAGCTCTGAAGTAGGATATTTCAAATCTATAACTAATTAATAATTAATTAAGCACACAATTAGAGGAAAAGGAAGCCAAATTAAAACTCTTGAATTTTATGGTATTGAATCAACAGCAACAAAATACTAAAATAGGAAACATGATATGTGATAATTTTAAAATATGATAACTATTTTATATGCATCATTCTTCAATTAAATTAAGTAACTATTAGATTATTATTTATTCATTCTTTCCCTCATTCTTTTTAAATAATTCGTACACTTTCTTGTCTCCTTTCAATGTAATCTCACCCAATTGCTATTTTTACTTACTATTAATGTGTCCATTTGAAAACAAGCTGTATAAATCCAAAATGGTCAATTCTTACCAAGGCTCTGGTTGATCATGATTCAATTGTTGAATATTTTGTAATTTCTACTTTAATTGTTGAGATTAATTGTTAGTATTTTAAATTAGTTTGACTCCAGTTGATCCAAAGCCTCCTTCTCCTCTTTGAGTTTCAGTCAGATTGTCAGTTTCTTAAATATCAGTTTGAACAACATATTCAATGACCATTTGAGCAATTCTGTCCCCGTAATTCACTTTGAAATCGTTGTCTCCAAAATTAAATAATAAGACACATATTTCTCCTCTGTAATCTTCATCAATAACACCAGCGCCAACATCAATAAAATTTTTAGCTGCCAATCCAGAACGTGGAGCTGTAATCATTACGAACATACATACCAATTCTACCATAGGTGCCTTCAAGTAAGGCCATTGAGATGCCGGTTTTGATTACTTGTTTTCCTTTTGCAGGCACAACAGAATCCTCAGCACTAAATAGATCATAGCCAGCTGCTTTGAGGGATCCCTTTTTGGGGAGGATGGCTTTCTCGACTAATCTTTTCACATAGATCATTTTATTTAAATAATTTATTTAAAGCGCGGCTAGATGTATTATTAATTAATAGTCATACCTGTTATAAATATTGTTTAGTTTTACTAATCAGCTTAGGTCGTATGGTGTAGTGGTTAGCACCTTGGACTTTGAATCCAGTGACCCAGGTTCGAGTCCTGGTATGACCTAAACTTTTTTAATTTTTAATTAAATTTATTTTTTAATTTGAGAACATAGAAATAAATTTGAATTTAAACAAATTAATGTATTGCATTATTTATTATAAAACCCATAATTTCTACTTTTGTTAGAATTCTGGAAGGACATCATCATCTGATGAGGATAGCCTTTGATTTTTGTTTCCACTAGTATCTGCCCCTGTAGAACTATTGCTACTGATTGATGAGAAAACTTAAGCTTGACCATATTCCAGGAATAATTTGAAAGAAACATTTGGGAATAACTTGTCATAATTATCAAATAGTATTTTGAGAAATTTCAGCTAATGTTTAATTTATTCAATTGATTAAGTCTAATTGACCTAGACTCTCATGAAGCAAGGAGCAAATAAAATTGCCAAATTATTCATATTCATTCGATTGAATTCAGAATGATTCCCCACACAAATCAAAAAGCTGACCATAACAATAAGCAACGATTTATTTAAATTGGGTAATTAATCAAATACTTCTTTTAATAAATCAATCTCTGTTTGAGCAGTTGTTTCTAATTATGTTTTAATAGCAACTTACATTCGAAATGATCACAAATCCTTTTGAAAATGTGTTCAGGAATCAATGGGTCTGGTAACTCTAAAAAGAACCTCTTTATGAGACTACAGATTATCCGCACATCTTCTACAATCTTCAAACATTCGTAGTTCTCATTAATTAACTGTTGTTATAGTTAGTCCTCCTCTGTGATTAACCCTTATTTCCTAAAAATATCTGGTATCAAAAATCTATCTGGATTGACAACAAAGTAGGACAGCAAATGATCTATTACTAAAGGAATTTGGAATTGATTTAACTTTTGGCTACTCAAAGATGAACCAAAGGAACTTTGTGATTATTTTATGGATTGAACTGGTTCTATTTGTTCAAAGCTCTAAATTTATTTTGGAACTGTTATCATCCAACTGGCTTAAAAATTTGGTATCTATAATAGTTCCTTTACTCTTAAAATGAATTTAAGTTTACTCGTATATATATTTAGTCTTCTTATACAAAATTTTCTCTCTCTTCGATCTCGATCGCTAGATCAATAGGTTTGCTTTTATTTTAAAGCTTGGCTGATATAAATAAAAGCACTTTAATTAAATGTAATATTTGCTTGAGAGCTACTTCATCAACTTTCTAAATCTGATCAACTATGATAGTCCATCATGCTCTGACATTATATATACAATAGTATATGTACTAATAAAATATTGTGATTCAATACTTCTGATCTATTTTATTGTCTAAACTGTTTATTGTATAATAAATTAGCTTATTATTGTCAAAGCTATTCTGTATATTACCATTAAATAAAAAACACACATTTTATTGTTCGAAGCCTAAGTCCAAATTGAAAATACCTGAATTCTGTATAAAATTGCTTTTTTCAATATCAGACAAATTTGTGTATTTGGCAATTTATAATTTTTATTAGTAATCCTAGTCCATTTTTGGCTAATATTTCTTTAGGGCCTTTTGAATATCCTTAATTTTCATATATCTCTATTATTTCTTTAATTTACTAATATATAATAAATGATTAATTATTCCTCTAGTATCCGCATCTCTTATGGAATAATTTCATGCATTTGCTTCATAATATCTTTTTTTATTAATACATTAAATACACAAACTATATTTAATATTTCACAAAATTTCATCCTCCATTTTTATAATTATTTTTCTCATTTAATTCTAATCATACTGAGAGAAACAATAAAAATACCGTATTTATTACTCGCAATTAACACAACTATAAGATTCCATTAACGTAAGAAAAGAAATCTTTATAATAATTTTAATTATAACGTTATTTATTTCAATTTACAAAAATACAAATTTGATAGTATATATTTTACAATTTATGATAGTTTTGAATACTCTAGCCCATTTAGTATTAGAAGTATAAAATTAACCACAACTCTATATTACATTTAAATAATTTGATTATTGAAAATAATTAACAAACTTATTGATAGATTACAAATTAACAATATCATTATTTTTTTTATAGTTTACTATTTTTTATTTAAACCTCTGGAAGCACCTTGTTTCTTTTAAGTTGGCTTTTTGTAACTCTTAAAAGCATCATCTTGTGTCTAACCCTTTATATGGTTTCAAATTTATTTATTATCGAAACATATGCTTTAGTTCTTTTATATTTCAAAAACTTAAGGATAAATTAAAACGGATAAAACATGAACATTTAAAGTCTATTTAGAATTAATTGTTGCCAATTCTACTTATTTTTATTGATCTACTCTATTATGGAAGTGATATTGTGCGAAGGAAAATAATAGTCATAGTGATAAATCGAATCTAAATTTGTTTCAGAGTAATGATATAATTGAATATAAAGGAAAGTGATTTCCTTTATTTGTTTAACGAGTTACGGATCGTCAATATACTTTTGCATCTTATTATAGACTATTTTGATGTTCTCTGCATGCATTTATTCAAATTCCTTAATTTAATTTCTATACTCCTCAACTTCATTGCTGATTAGAGTCTCACCAGGATAAGATTCAATTGAAGGTTCATTTAGATTAGATAATAAAGACGGACTCTTTGTATTTTATCGTAAGAATTTATGGTCATAAATAGACCCTGATTTATAGATTCTTTTTTGATTATTCTTTTAAGTCAATTTACTGTGTTTTTCTATTCTAATATCAGATTAGATTTCTAAATCGATGCACTTAACTGCTCTCTGTTGACCTGAAGTAACTAGAAATTCTTCAGAAACAGGAAATACTTTCACTGAAGGTAATTACTCTTCATTGCCCAGAAATACTATATTAGGTTCAAGTTCCTACTCTACAATGTTTTGGCACTTTTATTGATTCTAAATAAGTTAAGGATTATCCAAAGCAAAAATCCTAGCACATTCTTAAACAAACAACATTTCTGCTCTTGTCATAATTGGTTTTTCAATAATTCTTCGTTTATGATACTTTCTGTCTTGATATTAATTGTAAGCATGTCTCTTAAGCACCAATTCTTTATTTGGAATCAATTGCACTTAAGGACATTGATTTAATTGATGATCAATTTTATTACAGACAGGACAAAATTAACCTTCCTTGATTAATTATTGATCCAAATTAAGAATCAATTAATCTCTCAATTAACAGTACTTTTGAAAATCTTCTGGGAAATCTCTTAATGTTTCAAGGAAATCAGATTTTGATAGCATTAATAAACTGACATATCCAGCTGCTTTGAACAATTCTTTGTCTTGACTGTGTAATAAAAACTCTTTGACACAAATAAATCTTCCATGACTAATGTGAGAATTAATCTTCGATCTTTGTTTTCCATCGGAGTGCTGATACAATAGAATCCCTTATTCAATGTAACATAAGTGATAGTCTCCATTGAATTCAATAGAAAATGTGTTTTAAGGTTGTATAATTTTTCTTTTGATTGATTTAAAGAGGGCATTTCGAAATTCAGCACTGAAGTATTTCTGTAAAAACTCACATTTCAAGATGAATATTTTGTATGCTTATTTATCTAACTCCTCTTTTAACTCATCTGACAACTATCCTAATAATGCTTATTCCATTTCCAAATCTACTTCATCATCTTCTTTCCATCGATAAGTCAAGTATTCTTTGATTCTAATAATTAAATAATAATATCAATTACTAATATTACAATGCATAAGGGATCTCACGTTCTCTCATATACTTGTTTATCACTCTCATCTTTTTGTTCCTCTCGACTTAATTTTGAGTGATATCATCAATAATGCCGCCAATAAAATTTACACTATAAGAAAACCACAAACAAGCACATAAAATAAAAATGATTGTCACTATTTTCTCTATTTAATTTTGAGGCACATTGTCTCCATAACCAATTGTTAACATCGTAACTATTGCAAAATAAAAGGCCTCCAAATACTAGGATGACCATCTGAGATTTCCTAATCTCTTTGAGATAATCCAGGAATCCTCATCATCTATACTGCTGAACCAAAACCAGATACAACTGAACAAATGAGCTATATAAATTAATGATAGCAAAAACTTTAGCAATCCTATTCTGCCTCTTTAGGGCCGAGTGAGATAGGAGATTTAATCTACTTTTAAAAAAGATTCATAGACATATTTGAGTTAACTTAGAAGAAGGATCAAAATTAAATCATAATTTCCTGAAGGCATTTAGTTATTGATTAGTAAAATAATGGTTATGCATTGATCTATTAGAATGGATCTATTAGTTTGCAACTTGATTATTTCCCAACGGTCTTATATTGCTTTGCCTGTTTTGTAGGCAATAGTGTTTATGTTTACAATATAATCCAATTATAATATTATAAATAATACAGTTGAAAATATCCTATCTTCAGATACCAAAATTTTTGAATGAAATGAAATTTCCAATGGCACCAAAAACACTAATATCCCTCTCATGAAGGTAGTAAAAAAGTCCCAATACATCTTAAATTTACTTTCGGGCTGAATCAATGGTATGCAAGAGAGTAACAGCAAGAAATACTTAAAAAGTTAAGATTAGATTTATTGAAGTGTTTCCTTCAATTCCTCAAATACTCGTTTTTTAATAATTTATTTGGTCAATATTCTTTATACTGAAATAAATGATAGTTCTTTACGTTTAAACTACTTGGCATAGGCAATCACATTTGAACTATTTATATTTTAAACAATACTTTTCAGAGGCTTTATCACTAATTAAATTTAAAATACTCTGATTTAATGTCTCCAATTATCGTCTTTTTTATCCAACTTTTTCTAAGAACCTTCGTATGAAAAAAAATGTCATAAGACTTGAACCTGTATCTTTGGAGGATCTATTGATTTGAGTCGGCAGCTCTGATAACGAGATCGCTTCATTTTAGAGAAAATCTTGCTCAGGTTTTGGTGTGTATGTTATATCAGGAGTTTTATCTGTTCTACTCATAGAAAACATTCCATTTTGAAAAACACTGCTAGGTCGTGATTCTTTGAGACAATATTCTAAGTACTATTGTTCAAAGTCTTCGTTTTACTCTGCCCTTAACTCTCGATCTAAGCTGTTACTATAATTATCTTCGGGTTTCAGATTTTTCATTAAAATTAAATCAATTAAATTAACAATCATTTGCAAGATAATAAATTTTTAATTTTGAAGCATTATTGTTGTACAAAATATTATTAATAATAATACTCTCAATCAAATTTGTAGGAATATATAAATATATATTAAAATCAATTATTACATTTAAAATTGGGTCTCATACTTCTGGAACTATTTACCCTAATTTCTAAATTGGTTTAACTATCACTGACTTCTTTTTCAATTTCAAACTATTTTTCAAAGTTTTCAGTCTATTATTCAATCTTTTCGAAGAGTCATGTGTTATTTTTTGAGGATTGATCAGATTCCTTTTTTTATTGAGGTATTTTTAAATAAAAACAAATGGATAAAGCATATATTTTTGTAATTTCTCAAGAAATAGTATTTACCAATTTGAATTATTATTATGACTATGTTTTATGATTTCATTAAAATTATCATTTTTAAAGAAACAATCATATGATGTCATAACTTCAAAGTCATACAATCTCTGCTAATTAAATTACCAATAGAGAGGTTCGATCTAAAAGTAAGCCTTCTAAATCGTTTGATCGTTCTCATTGAGTTCCAATTCCCTCTAAAGTTGATGGTATAAATTGGTTATATTCTCTGTCATATTATCATTGAAATCTGAAATAGTCAGCCCATTCTTATCCTATTTCTCTTCTTTGTTCTCACTATCATCACTACTATTACTACTCTCCTCACTCTCCTTTCCTTCCTTGATATAGTCTGGCTAACAAAGAAGCATCCCCTTTGGACTTCTCCCCAATCCTGAAGATATATTTAAATTAAATATTGATTATTTTCTATTTTACAATGCTTGATGGAGATTGGACCTAACATCATTGATTTTCGGAGTACTAGAGCCTTAACTTTGGGGTTCATTTATAATTCTCTTTGATTTTTATACTGCTGCTTGAAATCTGCCATCATTCTGAACTTTAAAGCAAGCACTATTCTCGGCACTTGAACTCATTGATTCTTATTCATAAACTAATTGAATTTTTTATTATTCTTAAATCAAATTAATATTTTCAGATTGGAATACTTGAGCAAATTGCTGAATCAAGTCCTTCTCCAATCTTGCTCTTCTTATAGTTTAATCACTTTAAAATCTCCTAGAGTTTTCTCTACTTTGATGTTTCCTTTTCTATTCTCCTGCCAACAAATACTTTTTTAAGATAACTTCTCTATCCGGTATGTATTATATTTGAGGACAACTTTTTAGGTTGTGATTAAATAACAGACAAGCTGGACAAAATACTCCATTCTCGATTTAAGGAGGATAGAGATTTAAATTCATTTGTTCTTTTAATTCACAAAACTTTTAGAAGTCCTCAGGATAATTCTTGATTGTATCCATAAAATCCTTTTTAGACAGTATTAGTAAACTGACATAGCCGTTAGATTTGAAGAACTCAATATTCGGACTTTGAATAATAAATTCTCTCACGCAAAAAAACTATTCTTGTTGTATTTAGGAATTCATTTTTGATCTTTACTTTCTATCAGGATGTTAATAAAGTAATATGCCCTATTCTACAAAACACAAATGCTATTAGCCATCAAAATCAATAGAAAATGTGTTTTGTGGTGGAATAATTTTTCTTTTGATTGATTTTGATAGAGCATCCTTAAAATCTTCCCCAAAATTTGAAAGAAATGCTGATTTCTTAATAAATATTTTATGCACTTCCTTATCTAATTCTTCCTTAAGTTCATCCGACAACTATTCTAAAAGAGTTTATTCAATCTCCAGATCGACTTCATCATCCTCTTTCCATCTGAATGTCAAATACTCTTTTATTCTAAAGAATAAAAAGGTATCATTACCTGTGTTTCATATTAAATGGAATCTTTCTTTGATCCATATATTTATTGATAACTCTCATTTTTCTATTTCTCTCAACTTAATTTTAAGTGATATCATTGATAATTCCACCAATGAAATTTACACTATAAGAGAACCACAAACCTACAGTATAATTCTGATACTTACATGCTCCTAAGATGAAGATAATCGTCACAATCTTTTCTATAGAGTTCTTTGGAACATTATCGCCATACCCAATTGTTAACATTGTAACTACTGCAAAATATAATGCTTCCAAATATTACAACTCCCATGATTTCAGATCTAAACCATTAAATCTTATCCAAGAATCCTCTATACTTATTTGACTAAACCAAAACCAAATACAACTAAAAAGATGCAGAATAAACAATAAAGTCAATATAAATTTTACCAAGCCTATCACTCCTCTTAAGGGCCTTGTTAAATAAGAAATTTGATCACTCTTTACAAATGTCTCGTAAATATATTTATATTAAGCTAAAACAACAAGTAAAAATAAATTAATTTTGTTATTGATTTCTGGTACAATCATAAAAATTATGAGCACAAATGATGTTGAAAAATCAGTCAAAAATTCCTGTTTCAATTAATAGATCAATAAATCCCATCTGTTTTGAATTGCAGCTCCATTCCTATATGTTAGAGTGTTAATTCTTATCAGAAAGTCAATTTGCAGTATTACAATGATTAAAGCAGTCAAATAGATATAATGCATAAACAATATCCCAGGTTCAAATGCTATTTCCAAAGGAATGAGCAACACTAAAATAATTCTAAAAAAGGAAACAATGAAGTCCCAAACCATTTTAAAACGCGATTCCGGTTATATTATTGGAATCTTGTTTACTACAGTAGTAATTAGATCGAAACAGTTTTTCTTGATTATTTTAACCCTAGATTTCATCTATTCAAGAATACTTTTATTCCGAATTCCAGTATCCTTCCTAAGGAAAGTCTTCATTCTTCCTAAAGACGATCCTTGCTTTTTGCATTGATGTTAGTAATTGAATAAATTTTACCTACTTATAATAATTTATACATATCAGCAGCCCTATCTTCTATCAAATTAAAATGGATTTCGTTCATACTCAATATTCTCTTCCTACTTTAAGAAATTTTTTCAATGAATCTCCTAATATAAAAACTACACATCAGACTTGTCCCTGTAGGAACGCTTCCTCTTCTTTCATTACGAGTGCAAAATCTACGACTAAGAAGTTCTGAACTTTAAGCAGATGTAATAATCTCATCAAATGGGGTTTCTGGTATTTTATGAAGACATTCAGCTTCAATACTTTTTGAACTAAGACTTCTGCTAATACGAGGATAGGTTGTATTGGGCTAATTTCTCGATTCTCTTAAGCAATGATCAAGATACTATTGTTCAAAATCTTCATTTTAGACAGCTCTTAATTCAATATCCTAATCAAATTCAATATTAAACATACTTATATAATATATTACAAATAATGCTCTAAGGATAATTATAAATTAATTAAAAGAATATCAAATTGCAGTAAATCATAGAATTGAGCTTTGAATTTTTGAGAGATATCAAAATATTGACATATTACAAAAGGTTTTTCAAGTTCGCCATTCAAAAACAATGGAATATTAAATAAGGAATTCAATCATAAGTACTAATAGTAAAGGGATGAGGTATTATATTACATAATTTTATATCTATAAAATTTAAATGTTTATTTATGTCAGTCATTATGTTTCAATAATATATTATATCTTGTTCTATTTTTATAAGTCACTTAATTTATTAAGAATAACAACGACTTAAAATGATTCTTATATAATGGTATTACATCTTGAAGGGGAAACGTATTATAATATGGAATTAGAATTTTCTAGATAGTTGATTTAAGGGTATAAAATTGAACTTTTCATTAATAATTATTTCATTGAATAGTAATGTCTATAAATTTTGATAATGGCTTTGACAGGAAGAGAATTATAAATTATAATACAGATTCTTTTGATTGCGCTTTCTGCTCATGTGTGCCAAGAGTACCAAGACAATGTGCTAGTTGTGATACTATTTATTGTCGCTTATGCATTGAAAAATGGTTTAAACAATCGAAGTAATTTTATTGATATAACTCATTAGTGGTGAAAGTAGAGATAATTGCTGTTAACAAAAGACAATTACTAATTTATGCTAACGATTATAAAAAAATTATAATGATCTACTTTTAAGATGTAATGTGTAAGAATATTTAGGTATGAAATGTCAAGAAGCTATTTGTATTAATCAAATTGATTCGCATGAGTTTGAGTGTGGTTTAATCAAATAGTGTATAAATTTCTAATGTTGTGGGAATATTATTCCATAAGACAATATGAATAATGATACTATTTAAGTAATTTGTCATCTTATACCAGTGTAGTGATTAATGTTGCTAATTTTTGAGTCAAGTGAAAAATATAAAAAATAAGTAAGAGATATTTAAAAGAGCAAGAGAATTTTTATTATCGAACCCATTTAACAAAAGCCACTTACCTATTAGTGACGAGGAAAGATAGAATATAATGAATCCCTTTAACTAAATTACTATTGGAAATTCTCCAATTGTCATACGATGGGATAAATCAAGGTGCGGTTCTAATATAATCCTAACAGACGGAGATTAGAAAGCCTTTCTTCATGAACCAGCATTTGTCTTTAAATCTGTTGTTGCTGACTATGGCTTTGAGTCGGGGATTGCATATTGGGAAATCGAGGCAGATGACAGAACCGAAAACTAGTTAAAAATTGGTGTGACAACTCAAAGGGACTTTAATTTTAATTCGTCTTTCTGTGATTTTGAGTTTGGTTGGGCTTTCTATGGATTAGGACAAGTAGATAATTTATATCTAAACTAAGACACGTCATAATCAAAAGTAAAATGGTACGAATTTTGGAAAGTAATTCAAAGATAAGGGCACTTTGGGAGTTTGTTTAAACATGGATTAAGGGACATTAATGTTCAGTTTGAATGGAGATAACATGGGTTGTGCTTTCAAAGATGAAAAATTGAAGCGAGGACCCATTTATCCAGCAGTAGCATTATTTCGCAAAGCCGGTTGTAAAATAATAGGTGAAAAACCTGTTCCATAGATATTTTAATAATTTTGATTAAGTTTAATACCATTAATTTTCAATTCTATTGGCTCTGTTGATCAAACATTTTTACACATAGATCTTCCTCTTCCTACTACACTGCTCCTCTCCTAGTAGGATGTTTTTGTTTATGATAAATTTTATGTTGTATATCAATCAACTTGGACAACTTAAACACAATCTATAACTCAGGTCCAAGTTTTTGAATCAATGCTCTATTTGAATATACGGTATCACTTGATTGTAATATATCATCATATGCCTAATTATAAAATAAATTACATTGAATATTTTTGAGTAAATTAGGTAATCGCCAAAAAGATTTGGTTAATTTCTACTCATTTTCTTATAATTGATCATTTCAATTGTATCAGAATCAGTCTTATCTATTTTTGTAGATTATTACTCATACCCATAGCCTCAGGAGATTTCACTATTTGTTCTATGAGTTGTCTCGAGGGTTCCTTGGTGATGCTATCAAGATTTATTAAAGGTTTTGGAGTAAAATTGAACATCATCAATTATTTATAATTCAATATAGTTTCTTTGAGTTTCTCTAATTCGTTCAACTTCAATAATATATGATGTACATCTAATTAATCAATTATGTTATCACTATAAGGATAATATTTAAATCAATTACAAAGCTTTGTTCATTAGAATAACTTTTGGTTGATTTTTAAAGAGTTTGCCACAACTAATATAATTGCATAAAATCTGAAAATCCAAATAAATCGGTTTCTGCCGTTCTATTATTTTTATTATTTGTTTTTGAAAGTAATCAAGTCCAGATATGAACTTCAGTTTTTCAGCCAGAATATAATGTTGTTTGCTGGTTTCTTTGCTTGATTTTGTTTGATTAGTAGGTTTTTATACCATGCCTCCAGTATTTAAAAATAAATTCAGTAAATTATATCTTTGTGAGATATCAGGTGACAGTTTGTCTTCTACCTATTAATTGTCTATTTCATCTATTTCTGCATTAGAATTTACATGAAGATGATTTTCTCTATGCTAAATGAATTCATCAATCAATTCCAGATTTTCCTGGTATTATCTGTTTTAAATAGATGAATCCAATTAAAATTCAAATAATTTGTTTGCCAATTCAACCAAAACTATTCTACAATTGATATTAATACATTGTATTCTGTTGTAAATACCAACAAGTAGTCCAATGAAGAAGAAGAATATCTACTAGATACCTCCTAGATTGGACAAAAGCTCATCAATTTTTTAGAAACTTCGAGTGAATTTGGTTTTGAATGGATTTAATCGAAAATTGAAGGTTGCATAAGAAGCATCAAGAGTGGTACCGATGTCTGACATCTCCTTAATGTCAGATTGATCAATTAGGAAAACTGTATCTTCTTATATATCACTTGATAATTATGATTAATACCTGAATGGCAATAGACTTTCATCATTAATGAACTCATATTTCCTAAAGTATATATTAGCTTTTCGATTAAGTTGGTTAGGTACAAAAGTAAAATATATTTGATCATCCAAAAATGCTGATCCATATCTTTATTTATACGGATTAATTATCTACCACATTTAATAGACGACTGTACTTAATTGATAGTATAAATTTGCAGTTTAAATGAACCAGTACTTGAAAAATAGCGATCTACTGTTTCTTTTGAAGCACATGAAATTTATTCATTACTTTCACAATGTGAAATGGTTAAGGTCAAAAATTGGAAATCACTGCCTAAATGATTGCTTTTAATGTTTAATAGTTACTTGTGTAAGTGCCTCCGACAAATATTGTGTTATTGTACCTAGGATATTTGTTATACATTGTACTCAGGACATAAAAAATCACCAATTCCAAAACTATTGAAATTTTCTACAAAATCAATCCCATATCTAGAGAAAGTGGATTGGAATCTCTCACTTGTACAAGGCACCAGAGGTATGATGGTTGATATCTTACTTTATTGACCATTTGGTAATCTTTAATATTTTCTTGAATATCATTTTAATCAATTTACTTTTATTCCAGTGTTAAATTAAAAAAAGGCGATGTAGTAAAATTATTTTACTCTATTTTAAAAGCAAACATGAAATCGGATTGGTCTAATTATATTGACTAGACTTCGTCTTCATATTAATTGGCTGAGATAACTCTTAGTTATTCTTTAAGGAAAAAAGATCGTAAACTTTAAGAGTAGAAATATATCATTAAAAATAACACTGCCAATGATATTGTACCCCCTATCTTGGTTCGAAAATAGGCTTGTTTATTCATACGAAGAAATACTATTTAACCAAATACGTCGACCCGTTCCAATCCTTACTATTGCAGATAATAATACCCCATTTTAGTGTTTTCATTAATAATATAAATAAAAGATCAATCATTTGCTTGCCATCTCTTCAGGAGCATTTTGAGTGTTCCTGCATATTAGATCTATATTTGAATTGGCTCTCAATCTCCTGATTCCATCAAAGTCAAGCAATTTAGACAATTTGAAAATGGCTTACATTTCATCTCCAAGTTTCTTTATCAATTTTCTATTCACTTCATGTTGAGGGTGTTAGTCTGCACTCTATTACAATATCAGATCATATGCCTATCTCAATTTATTCAAATACCCTATATATTCTATTGTAAATTCTATTATCCCTATCAATGCTTTGGGTCCGAAAAAAGGATTTATTACTAGTTTATATCACCTAACTTTTCCTGGATTTTTTCCCTTAAAAAGGCACATTTCTTAATAATAATACCAAACATTTACGTGTGTCTCGCCCTATTTTCCAGGAAAGTTCTTGAAATTGGCATCTCCTTCTCCTCTATCATTGAAATAATTGGTTTTGATGCAAAATCAAATAATAATTACTAAGAATTCGTAAGTAATATTTCTTTAAGTTTATCGATCTCATTCAATTTAGTCAAGATATTAAACACATCCAATTGTTCATTGATTTTATCACTATTATTAAATCATTTATTATTATACACTGCTTGATTATAAAACAGGACAGAAAGGGAGTTCGAGAAAGCCTTTCTCAGACACAACTAATTCACAAAGATCTTCATATTAAATCTTAAAGGTTATGATCGATTTAATATAAGATTGATTTATTTTTTAAAGTAATCTAATCCGCTTACACAATTAAGCCTTTAAGCCAAAATATTATGATCTTTAATTGCCAGCTATGTATTTTAATTACTCTTATCTTCATTATCATTCAAGCCTTGATTAACGCACTCATTGTTTTCAGTTGTTGGACGATCAATCAGCATAATATGTTTATCAGGTTGGCTTTTACCGAAAAGCCTGAGGATTTTGCTTTTGTGTTTAATTTCGCTATTGGGAATCTTTTATTAATAACCTTCTCTATTCACATAGTATTCTTGTTTGAACTACTTTTCTTCATAAGCATTATCTATTAATTTTAGATTTTATTAATGCTATTTAGTCTACTCTTCAACATCAGGACTAAACTCATAAATCTTATTCGACAATTCGACAAACACTACTTAATTTAAAACAAACGCTAACTTGTTATTTTATTATACGCTGATATGATGAATCCCATAACAATTAAGGATATCTATAGTAAACCCCCCAATTTAGATAGCAAATCAGTAACATTTTAATTCTTCCTCTCAACCAAAATAGTGATTGGACTTTTACGAAAATAGAATGCTGCATAAATAGTATCGGAATCCCTTCCCAAATCAGTTATTTCCTTGGTCTCTGTATTATCAATCGAAACAAAATTCAGATTCTGATCCTCACTTCAAATTCACAATGATGTTCTTACTTAAATGGATAAAGATCAAGACTATTTTAAAATTAATATTATCTAAAGTAAATGTTTGCATATTTGCTTATCTTATTAGGCACAAACGATAAGTAACTTTGATCATCCAAATAAATAGATACGTAGTCCGATCCAATTTTATTTGGATTTATTACCTACTTTTAAGATTACATACACTACCTTATTGACTGCATATACCTGTACCTTAAAATTACCAGCCTCTTCTAATTGTTGTTTTATTTCATCATCTGATGCACATATTCTATCAGTTGAAGCACTTTAATTGCATGGCGTAACTTCGATTTTGAGAAAGTTAAAATTATTGGCTTAATAAAATTTCTAATATACATGTATATGTTCCTCCGATATTCAAATTAATTTATGTTCTATCATTATTTACAAATACATTACTGTGGACAAAGCAAGTTCTTAAGTTAAAGTCTCTCGAAATCATCTGAAAAGTTCTTTCCATAGCGATCAAAAATTTATTAGAAACGCTCTAAAGTGCATGGAACCAAAGGAAGTTAGGTAATGTTTTTAATAACTGTTCCATTTGGGAGTCTTTCATATTCCCTTTATAATCCTCAATAGTTATACCTTTATTAGAGATTTATTGTGAAGTATGGTTGATCTAAAAAGTTAATCTGATCAATTCCTAATGCCATTATAAAATCTTCATCATTCAATTGCAGATTAGTTAGATCGTCATCATAAATTTAAGTTTACTTAGTAATTATATTCTTTCCATCCAAATAATCGACAAAATTTGTTGAAAAAAATAGAAACACCAGAATTATTGTTGTTATTGAGGTAAAACCACCAAATGACGATTTATATGTAGATTTGTGATTCATTCCAAGGCTTGGGGACTGAGCAAAAATATCACAAACTCTTAAGTCTCATCCTACTAGCAATCTATGTTTACATTAATTTATTTTTTCCATTACGATGTATATTTTTTTTATTTATTTTTAAAACAAATTTTCTTATATTAAAAAATCAATTCTTCAATTGCTTTTGTTTTAATAATAAGATAATTTATATTTAAAATTTAACTCTTTCAAAATTAGAAATTTATGAGTAGATTAACAAAATCATAATATTTCAAAAATATAAAAATATAAAATATAGAATCAATAAAGAATAAAACAATTCTGTTTTATTTATTAACTAAATATAAACAAAGTTGTCAACAAATATCGTTAAAATTTAAGATTATCTCTTTAGAATAGAATATTTTATTTTTAATTGTCTACAAAAAACTCCATAATTTGGACGAAAAATCTAAATTTTATAAACACACAAAGAATGATTCACGAATTAACAATAAACATAAACATTAAACCAATCATTTAAATTAAGGGTATTTGATAGTCCTTGATATAGTACTCTCATCAAAAGTTGCTATTGAGAGTAACATAATTTAATTCTTAAATTCTTAATTGTATTTCAAAAAGTATTATGGTTTTTTATCTAAGAATTTGTGCTTAATATTATATAATAGATCCCAATGGAAATTAATTATCAATATTTAAAATTGTTTAAACGTTAATCCCATTAAGTAAGAAAACCTTTTAGTTGATCAGTTTTTGTTATTATAATTCTAAAAATTAAATTAATATAACTATTAAAGATCTAAAGGAAAGTCTTTCTTTACATTAGGTTTGATATAAAATAAGAAGGTTTCAATAGTCAATTTAAATGTTTTTAGGTGATATAAATTCATTTTTCCAATCTTTTAATATTGTATTGTTATCCTCAACAACACAGTAGATGGTTATCTAAAAAGTCGTAATTGAAGATATTTGATATAAAATGGGTTATAGAATTTTAACTATAGTGAGAAGGAATTAATGGAAATTATAATTATAATGATTTATAGATTTATAATCAAATTAAAATAAATCTTATAACTATGATTAGGTATGGATTTTTTGCTTGTAATTTAAAAATAAAGAGATTGAAGACTATGATTTTGCATAAGGTGAATTAAGTAAATAATTATATTTAATAATTGGCTTCAGAAATAGTTTTAAATAGTTGATCATATAATTAAAAGGATTTGGACAGTGATATTATAATGTTTATATTTTAATTAAAAAAGAATGAAGAAATAAGATTGGAAATTCATGTAGGTGTTCGGTGACAAGGCATCTTCGGACAACGTTAGTGATGAGGATATCATATCTGCAGTGCAATTTGAAAGAACAGGGAGATTGTTAGGATTAGGAGACAGAGCTGGTCGATTGATAATATTCGAAGTACCATAGAACAAAAAGAGAGAGAAAGCAGAATATTAGTATTTATTTTAATGATTGCTTAGATATCTGACAGAATTGTAATCTCATACAAGAGAATTCGATTTCCTTAAGAGTACTGATATAGAGGAGAAGATTAATCAAATTTAATGGCTGAGAGCTCAAGGCAAAAATATGTATGTTTTATCAACAAATGATAAAACGGTGAAGTTGTGGAAAGTCAGTGAAAAAAATGTGACAAAAGTTATCAAGCCAAGTGGTAAGGATTTGGCAATGCCTAAATTGCAAGTGGTCGAAAGTGGATTGATTCCAAGGTAAATACTTAATTAGATTAGGAAAGTGTGAGGAAAGTGTTTCCTAATTTACACAACTATCATATAAATTCGTTGACTGCCTCAAACAATGAAGAATTTGTTTTAACATCAGACGACCTAAAAGTGTATTTATGGAGTATTGAATAACCATCAAAAGCATTTGTGGCAGTTGATTTGAAGCCTGAGAATTTGGATGAGTTGAGTGAAGTGATAACATCATCAGCATTTCATCCAACATTAGATAATTAATTTTTGTATACTACAAGCAAGGGGATCATCAAATTATGTGATATGAGAAAATCAGGAATTTGTGATAATACAGCTGTTACAATGGCAGAACCAGAAGATCCAGCCAAAAAGAATTTCTTCACTGAAATAGTCACTTCTATTTCAGATGCTTGTTTCAGTCGAAATGGCAAATATATATTTTCAAGAGATTTTTTGACTGTCAAAGTATGGGATATTGCCATGACCAATAAACCTGTTGCTACTGTTTAGGTATTTGAACCTCTGAAATCTAAACTGTGTGATCTATACGAGAACGAATGCATTTTTGATAAGTTTTCAATTCAGTCAACACTTGATTCTAATAGCTTTGTGACTGGTAATTTTAATAGTACATTTCACATTGTGGACAGATTGGGTATTACATATCATTAAGATTATAATAGGTGAATGCAATTCACAATATGAATTGAATTTTAATAAGAAGACAGTGGCGAGACAGATTCCACCAAAATATTTTGAGAATTTGGGATCATCATATGATTTTAATCGTAAAGTTCAGAAAATCAGCATGTGCTAAACTTAAAATCTTGTTGCTATTGCTTGCCTCAATTGTCTCTATTTCTACACAGCATGACAATTTATATATATATATATAACATATATATTCAATAATATACATTCTTGAATTTAATTTGGATAAGTATAAACACCCTTTTTTACTTGAGGTTTATAAGAAGTACTCATTTTATTAATTCTTGCTCCTCCTTTTGAATATAAAATTCATAAAATAGGATTAATTTCTTAGATTATTATTTCTGTATTTTGGAAACAATGAGATGAATATTATAAATAATATATAAGAAATTGCATCCAATTTACAATAATAAAAATAACACGTACAAATATATGGCTAAAAATAAAAACTGAACAACAAAGCAGCTGTGAGAATATTGAAATGTGGCGATGTGTTATTTATTATACTGTGATATACTATCATTTTTTTGTTTTGTACTTTGCTCCAAGAACAAGTTGTAATTTTCCTCCTGTTGATCTACCCAATTGACTGGAGCATTTGCTAACATATTATTGACATTCTTTACATGCATGTGACAATTCCTCTAGCATGGGAAAATACAGTGTTATTAGTTGAACACTATGGACATTTGACATCCATGAAATATGAATTAGGTGCTTAAATCAATCTCTTTAACTTGTGCTTTCTCTTTTCACTCTCATATTAGGGTCTCAATAAATCTTGGTCCATTATTTAAATTTATTTTTAAATTAATTTATTTATTTCAAACTTACTCTAATGAAGAAGAAGACATTTCAAAAAAAGAATCTCTGTCTAGACACAGACGAAGACTCTGTCTAAGCTGGAAGTGTCTATTCAGAAATTGGTCCTGATGGTCTCCGATTCCTTAAAGAAAACATCAAAGTTTCAAAAGATGGTCTTCAAGTCCAAGGACAGCAGCAACTCCAACCCATCAATGCCGATTACATTCAAATTGTGAATAAGCATTTAGGGAGAGGAGCAGCCGGAACCGTGAGTGAAGCCATTTATAAACCACTTGGTATAAGAGTGGCCATCAAAGTAAATTAAAAGAACTATCAAAGTCCATCAATGCCTATGACCGAGAGAAGAGATACTAGTTAATGAATGACATCAAAATACTCTTGCATAACAAAATGAATGCCGAAAACAACTCAGGCTATTATTGTTAGTTTCTAGTTAATTTGTATGGAGCATACTTTGATGAAGGCAGTGTTAAAGTAGTATTAGAATTGATGGATGCTGGATCTTTGGGAGACATCCTGAGAATATATAGAGCAGCGCAAATCAATGGGCCAATCATAAGTGAACCCATTTTAGCCAAAATAAGTTAACAAATTTTGAATGGGTTAAGTTATCTACATCTAATATCCAATCAAATACATAGAGACATTAAACCAGACAACATTCTACTGAATTCATAAGGATATGTAAAGCTAACAGATTTTGGTATTTCAAGAGATCTCGAATAATCAGCATTTTGTACTACCAATTGTGGAACCCAAGCCTACATGAGTCCAGAGAGAATAGGGGCTAAAAAATATAACCATTTAAGCGATATTTGGAGTTTTGGCATTGTATTATATGAATTGGCAATGGGCAAGTATCCCTTCTCAAGTGCTAAGACTTATTTTGAAATGCTAGACGCAGTTGTTAATGAAGCACAACCTGAACTCTCAGGAAATTAATTCTCTCCAGAATTGAAAGATTTTCTGACTCGTTGTTTATAGAAAAAAATATCAATGAGAGCTTCAGCAGTTGAGTTATTGAGTCATCCTTGGATACTCTAGAATTTCAATAAGGGAGAGTCAATTTCTGATTGGTTATAACATGTAAAACACAATATATTGCCAATTGCATAAAAAAATAGAGAAAATCAAGATTAAAAATTAAGACAACAGTTAGAAAAAGACTGAACAATTGAAATTATAAAAATTGTGTACTCATATAAAATCTAAATATTTTAATTGTATTCACATATTTTTATTGTTATATAAGTGGCAAAATATAACAAATATACTCATTTTTGTTTTGAGAATGGATTTTGAATAGTTTAAAATAGTAGGCTAGAAAGATCTGAAATATTATTTTATACGGTTCCAACAATGTTGTATATCAATTCTACTGATGTAATGATAGATTGATAGAGATTAGTTATTATTGCAATTGCAATTGCTATCACATACATATATAATTGAATCAGTAAAATGAATTTATAGATCAAGTACTCATGAGATAAAGCATATCTCACATATAAGCTTATATAAGTGTATATCCTCAAAAATAAATCAGAAATTAAAATAAAGGGAAAAATTAACACACTAATAAGTAATGCCAAAGAGAGACCAACAAACAACTTAAGAATTGTTAGTCCAAATTTTTTTAGCCTAAAGTTAGATTTAATATTTTAATTTCTCTCTACATCTTGACTTTAAGTGATTTTATTTCCTTCTTATCTCCTGTGCTTGATTCCATGAAGCAAACTCAAAACAAAAAGTACTATATTGACACTAACCTTCCATTTTCTCATAGCATCTGAATTCCAATTAAATTCTTTTCTCTTTTTTTCCTTTTATAAGTATTTAGGGTTTCTAAACTAAATCCGCTTCTTCTAGTATTTAATGGTTTATAAGCTTAACATACCCTTCTAAAATCTAGAAAATTCTTCTTTATCCCCATGATCCGTAGTATTGATCTCAATAAGCTTATCTGATTCAGTGATATTTTAAATAGCCAATTAAGTATTTTTGGGATCTGAGGAAGCCTCATCTTTTAATTCCTTTTTATCTTTTATGCTGTCGGATGGCGAGAATATATTCTGTACTCCGTATTTATTGTATTCATTTATAGAATCTTTGAGGGTATCATTTATCCGATGTAAACTGTTATCACCTGTAATCTAAACCATTTTTGTAGTGTTTGGATCTTCGTTGTCCCCTCTATGATTTTGATATTCCCTATAAATTGGTTTATTCATTATTAATTATATTTTTATTTTGAATATAAAATTAGAATTCAGTAATGGAGATTTATTGTTTTAATTAGTAATAATTAACTTCCAAATGGAATTTTTATGGTTCCTCTTACTTGTAATTAAAGTTCCAAATATTTTAAAGAGAATTCTTATATGGGTTTTATGTTTATATAAAATTGATAATAAATCAATCAGATAATTAAATAATGAATGGAGTGTGAGTTGAGATTTGATTTGGTGATTAAGAATGCAAAATATCAAAAACTGTCAAAAAAAATAAATTAATATTTTTATAACAATGGGTTGTGTAGCTTAAAAGAAAAAAGTTGAAAAGTAGATCTATAGAATGGAAACTCAAATAAAGAAGTTGGTTTAGTAGAATGAAGAGATGACAAATCAAATCAATACTATGAGAGAGTAGGAATAGTTACTATCTCAACTTTGTGAATAAAGGTCTGAAAGATAAGTATCTCCTTAATAATCTATAGAAAATAGATTTGACTGCTTTGACAGATGAGTTGAATAATAGATTTGAGAAGATGAGTAATGATCTAAAATAAATTGATATAATTTGCGAGGAATAAAAATAGGCAAAATTAAAAGAGATGTTAGAATGGAAGAATGTAAATAATGTTCTAATGGTAATAGTTATTTGATAAATTGGATAATGTATCAAAGAATAACTTATCTCAAATATCAGAAGAAGATGAATATTGATTGTTATTTGTATTTTTATATATATATAAATAAATAACAAAGTGAATTATATTATCATAAATACTACTACAATATTCTTTAGAGATCATTTAATTAAATGGGTTTTGTTAAGTAATCTTTCATACCTGCTTGCAAACACTCATTTTTCTATTCATTACTTTCATAAGCAGAACATCCTATAATTGTGACATTTGTTCCGAATTTTTAGGATAATTCTAACAATTTTTTAGTTGTCTATATTCCATTGATGCTAGGCATTTCCAAATCCATAAAAATCAATTTATAGAAGTCATGATTGATTTGCCATTTCTTTTCGCACTTCTCAATAGCAGAATACCCATTATATGCTGAATCTACCGAATCAAATCCTCTTATAATAGTATTATTGTTTTACAATCTATCAAGTTTCAACCTCATCATTTCTATATTCATGCAAGTGTCATCAACAATCAAAATCTATAAAGTCATAATAGCCTTAGTTGATCGTTTAAATATTGAGATGTGATTATGAACATAAACTTTGTGAATACTTTCTTCTTATTGTTGTTGCATAATAATAGATTCTTCACTCTCTTGATTACGTTCTTCCAAGCTGTTCAATGATTAAATTTCATTTAGATCTTAATATCCTATTTGAAAGTAGAATATTGAACCTAGAATTAATTTATAAAAAATACCTTTCTTAAATTAAGACTTAAATTTGAGACCACTTTGCAAATCTTAATTCAAGTTTTACAGTATTTGATTGCTAATTAATAATCCTAAGCCAACTCCTGACTTATTCATTTTTTTATGTTCTTCACTATTTCCTTTACCAAATGCCTGGAATATTTTGGCTTAATCTTCTTCTGTCATTCCTATTCCAGTGTCAACGACTGAAACATCCAGTTTCTGATTAGCCAATGAAACCTTTATAGTTACAGAACCATCGTCTGTAAATTTGAATGCATTGCCTAGAAGATTGATCATGATTTGCTTTAATCTGCTGGAATCAGAGTAAATATACCTTGGAGCTTTGCTTTCATAATTTATGAATAATTTAATTTATTTTTTTTCTGCAGTAACCTAAAATAAATCAACACAACTTTCAAGTAATAGATTAAAATTAAATTTGGCTTTATTAATCTTAAATTTTCCAACTTTTATTTGAGCTAAATCCAAAAGATCATCACTCAAATTTAATAGATATTTTGCATTGTCCAAAGCAATTTTTATTTATTTTGTGATTTTAATTGGATAATTAACTTTCATAACTCTCCTGCATTCCTTTTCCATAATAACTGTTTATGATTAATGCTTCTATTCTTCATCAATTCCTAATTCCAACATCTCTATGATACAATTCAAAGGTGTCCTGTATTCATGACTGACGAATGACAAAGTTTTAGATTTCTACTTGCTATAATCTTATAAGGCTTAAATATAATCTCGGTGAGTTATGTCCCGAGTCAATATCAAGATGTAAGGAGTTTCACTGATCAATGCATTGTACAACTTGACTTCAATTGTTCTTTTTCTGTTTCCATCCTAAGCTTTTTAGTATCCATAAACGACAATATGTTCTTAAATTAATTCATTTTAGCTTTTCATCTGACTTTAGAATTCAGACTTACTCATTTATTGTGCTAACACTCTAATCTCTTATTCCAAAATCTAATGAATATTCATAAATTCTTACTGATTCCTCATATAAAGTATCAAATTTTTTTAATAAAACTGCTTTATATTCGAGAGAATTCAACACAGAATTCTGTCTGAGTATTTCAATTCTTTGAGATGACTACAACTGATTAGTTTGGGATCTCTTTTAATTACGAAAAGCATTATGAATGAAATTACAAGGAATTGGGGTTTATTAGAAAGTAGAGAATGAACTCATAGAGTTTTTTTATTCTTATTACTGTTTTTATTACATATCTGTTATTTATTGTTATTCAAGGCTAAACAATTTCGATAAGATCTCATCAGATGATTAGGCAGCAGACAATTTTAACATATTTTCATTATGATATTCCAATTCTAATTACTTATCACATACTTTAAACAATCCTATTCCTTAAGGGAAGATGCTTAAAATCTCCAATTTATTGTCTCTAGGACTGTCATTATGACTTGGTTTATCTTGAAATTTGACTCTGGAATGATTGTTGGTGTGACCTGCACTGTCTATTACTATTTTGTCTGGGATTTCTCCTTGAGTATAACTGTCTGTGATCTTTTTAATTTTTTTAGGTTTAGAGTTATAAATTAAAATTAGCCAATGAATTGAAATTGCTATAATCGATAGATGGGCTTCCGTCAACGTGCTTATTGAACACAATATAAATAGAAGTATGTCAGAAACTATTTGATGAATAATCAATAGCTTCTTAAGTTATATCGTTTATAAATTTATTTTTGTATTAAAGAACTATTTTACATTACATAATGCCAAGACTGACATAGAGCTTTGATTGGATCCAAAATAAATGGCTAAAAGCAAACTCCATTACTATATCAAATCAAAATATTGGATATATTCTTTGATTTAAGTGATGAAACATAATATAATTCTCAAACCCTAAACTAATACTATCAATATAGCTATTAATATTGTGCCATTTCCAAAGATATTTTGAAACATTACCAATAGAGTCACAATAATCATTGCCAAGTTATCTTTAAACACCCTTTTGAATCTATTCATATAACAAAAATTAATTTATTTATATATTCAATTAAGTTATCACCAAAATCCTTAAAGCGTATTCTCTATTTAAATGTTAAAAATCCATGTCATCTTCCTTCTCCATCCCTAATCCCATCAATTTTTGGACTTGCTTCACACAAATACTTCTTTTAAAAATATTATCATAAAAGTCAGTTTATTCATTTTGTTTCTAATATAACAATTAAAGAATATAATTATTGTTGTCATCAAATAAATTATAATAATTTAATTTTGGATTGCTTACACAAACTTAAATTTCAAATTTGAATCCAAACCAACCTAAAATGAGTAACCTTATTAATACATCCCCCCACTAAATTGATTTTCATTTCTATAATCTTCTTTAATTAATACCTACTTAAAGATTCTAATTTCTCAATGTGTATTCTAAATTAAAATATGAGGCTCTCAAAATTACTTATATAATAATTCAACAATTGTAAAATTTTGATTGTGCATCAATGCACAACAATTAACTACAAAAAATCATTCAACATATCATATTAAACTCATCTTATTAAGTTTCTCATATTTTAAAGAATTAAGAATTATCTAAAATTAATTAATAAAATTTTAGAATAAATTACACACTATAAATCTATTGGATGGATAAAAGATTCAAACATACTTTAGTTGCCCATAAAATATGTCCTTACAGTATGAAAGTCCTAACAGTTATGAGACACAAAAATGTGAAATTCGAAATCAAATTCATTGAAACTCACAATAAACCAGAATGGTTTCTTAGAATTAGTCCTCTAGGGAATGTACCTGTTCTAATCATAGGAGAAGAAAGTATTTATTATTCGTAAATATTAGTTGTTTTGTCAGAATCAGCAGTAATTATGGAATATATTGATGAAATCACTCCTCCTAAATTGATGCCAGATGATCCTCTAGAGAAAGCTATAGATAGAGCCAAGTTTGAATTTTCCAATGAGATTATTCGAAATCTTTATACTTTCATTTTCTCTACTGAATAAGAAGTAATTCTCAATATTAAAATTTTAGAAATTTGTTAGATAAAAAGAATGGCTAATGAAACATTTCAAATGGATCGAAGAATGGTTAAAGGACAAAAAGTACATTAATGGAAATGAGCTATCCCTAGTGGACCTAAGTTTTGTTCCCTTGTTTGTAGCATTGAATATGCTCAAATCTACATTGCCATGTGACATGTTGAAAGACTTTAAAAGAGTAATCTATGGTCTCTAATATAGTTAAAAATATATGGAGAAATGATAACATCCTTACCTTGTGTTAAAACTGGCAGAGTTCCAGACTATGAATTTCTGATGATCGATGGCATCAAGAGTCAGAATACAGTTCTCTATAGATCTAACCCATGTTACTTCAATAATGGTGCTAAGCCTTAAGGATGTTGTCTCTTTCGTAATTGATTAGTTTTATAAATCAATTTTTCTTCCTTTATGATTGCTAATTTCATTTTAATTAAGAATTCAATTCATTCTCGTTGTTTTAAGTAACTACTGTTTGAAGATGTTAATAAAATTAGAATTTAAAATCTTTTAAAAAGCTAAAAATCTATTACAAAACATAAAGTCATTGATTATTTGAATAGTTTGAAAAATATTAGTATAATATTCAAGAAAATTCTTTGTTCTAAAAAAAATGTAATATAAATAGAATTGCATTTCCTTCTTAATTAAATGCAAATTCAGATAAGAACCAAATATCACTTCCTTAGAAGCTACTCTTCAATGTATTTCAAAACATAACTTAATTATATTGAAATTGTTTGTTATGCAATTGCCATAATTAATGAAAGCAAATAATGGATGAAATGCATATGAATAAAAAATAAGAATATAGATTATATAGAATTTAATAATCCTTTTAAGTTTAGAAATAATAATTGTGATAGGACTATTATTAGAATTGTTAAATATTGAATTTCAGTTGAATTAGAGATTACAAACAATATGGATAAGAATTTCAAGGTTCATGATTCTTATATAAAAGAAATCAAGATGAAAATGATATTATTTTTAACTTCATTCAATAATGAAGGGCAACATGTAGTTGTTATTCAATAATAATATTATTAAAATTATTGATGTCATAATCTTCTTTTCTAACTTCTTCTTAATGATGAGATAGTAATATTCACAGATTAAGTAGAAGAATCTTAAAACATAAAAGTGAATTGTCGAAATATCAATCAAGAGATTTGCTTGAATTCTACAAAGAAAACTCTAATATATAATCTAAACTGAAAAATTATCAAAAGTAGATGACTAAATATTCATTCAGAATTCATGAATCCTCTTCTTAATTTTCGTTGATGTTATTGGTTTCATGTATTTTATAAAAACTACCTTTTGAGTTTTTAAGAAGCTTTCCTAATTCTGTATCTATTTATTTGGTTAATTTGAAGTTTATGTTTTTTTAACAAGGATTTACATTAGGACTATCCTCCATTTCTTCACTCACTGTTTTATAGGCCTAGGATATAAGTGTATTTGTATACTTCTTATAGAGATGTAAAAAGTTCTTCGTTGAGTTAATCAAGATTAGTCTTGATGTAAGATTATTTATTCATATCTTCAGCCACTTCTAATCTTGTAGGGACAGTGTGATCCTATCCCAACGCAATGATTGGTTTTGGAGTGAAGTTGAATAAAATAATTTGAGGTTTTTATAATAGAACATTCTTTAGTTTTGTTATCTCTTGTAACTAATGGAGAATATTGTGCAAATCCAATTCGCTATTGATCTTTAACCTTAGAATTATACATTTTAAATTACATAGCTTTAGTAAAGAATTCAGAGTTGTTATTATTGAAAAAATAACCACAACTCATCTGATTAATGAGTATTTTTACATTTAACCTTATTGGAGATGTCCTTTCCATTAATTTATTAATGAATTATTTCCAATCTCCCTTATTTAAGTCAGAATTCTGTAAATTTTAAAGTTTATTAGTTAATTCTTCAGGAATAGACCCTTTTTATTCAGTTTTCTAAGTAAATGCAACTTTTCTAAGAAATGATCGATTTGTCACTTCTTTAAAATCGTATAGTTTATTTGATAGTTCAATGAGCATAGATGTTCTATTGTAAAAGGCAATGAAGAAACCAAAGATAACCTTAAATATCTACATGAATCCTCCAAGATATGATAAGAGATCTCCGACTTTTTGATAATTCCTGTTAATTATTTCTGTAAATGGACTTCTTCTTAAATACAGAGTTGCAAAATTAGTATCAGTGTCTCTGCCAAGTTCAGTTAGATCTCTGAAATCTTCTGCCTTTCTTATAATCAAATTCTCTGTTTCAATGTCTCTATAAATTTAGAATGAATATGAATACTCATAAGGCAATAAACTTTGATCATTGTTGACTACATACTATCTGAAATAGACATTTGCTAGTCTGGCCAATTTGTAAGGTACAAATGAAAAGTACATATCACTATCCAAATACATTGTCTTGTAGTTTTTTGCTTGTTATGGGTTAACCATAGAATTTATTTAAAACACCTGTAATTTGAACTATCCTTCACTTTTTAAATAGTTGTTCTTCTATTCGTCATTTGCACATTACGGATTCCAAAACGATGAATTTGTATTATTTTTACACCCAGTTACAACAATCTTGATGAATTTGAATATTTCACTTGAATATGTGCCTTCCAACTGAAAGGTATAATTCAGACTATTAAAATAAATTTTGTTTACGCTGGGCATAACCATTTATTCATTGACAAATAATTGAACTCGTCATTAAAATCAACGTCCAATCCCTGCTCTAATCCAACATTATTGAATCTATCCAAAGTGCAGGGTTGTAGAGGAATTTGAATAGTCTATTTCTCTAGAGATCCATCCAATTTTCTTGTATATATTCTAACTCAATAAATTCTTACCTTTGCTCTACTGATATGTTAAAGAAGGGGTTAGATGTGAAATTGGTTTGGTCTATTGATAGGGCAAACATAGCATTCTAATCGTTCATTTCCATAAAATCAGGGTCATTCGAAAAAGTAGTCTAAGAATTATAAAATACATTGGCTCTGCTAAAGAAATCTGATATGTTGGAAAAAAATATAATGCTAAGTAGACAGATAATGAGAATGGAGGAGCATCCACCGAATGAAGTCGTGTAGTTAGCATTCTTATTCATATTTAATGTAATCGTTTATCCAAAAATATCGATTTTTTCCAAACCTTTCTGTAAGGAGTTTATCATTAATTATTTATTTAATTAATAATGATAACAAAACATTAATTCTGAACATACTCAGATTGAATTCCAAAATAAAAACAAAATCATTTTGAAATAAAAAAAATTTGATTGGCATCCAATTTAATTATTCGTATTTTTAATAATAATATTAACATTCTTTTTGAAATAATTATGAGATATACACCAGTATAAAATTCAATCGCATTAGTGAAAATCTTCTTAATTATTATTGTTTTGTATTTCAGTAGATTTTATGCCATTTCTACGTTAGTTCTAAATCGGTTTTAAAATGCTTTTTATTTCTGATCCTATAAGTTAAGTTAACTTTAAATTGATATTCATTTGGCAAATATTTGCGTTTGATCTCTCAACTTCCTCTGCTATTTCCTTGTATGCCTAAAGTCTTTACTATATATTACTTCTTCAATTCTCAAAAACAAATCTTCGTTAAGGGTATCTTCCTTGCTCTTGATATACGATTGCCCAGCTTCCAAATCCTCAACCGAATACCTAGATGGAACAACCTATTCCTTGCCTAAAGTGACAATGGGCTTTGGAGAAAAGTTGAATAAAATTATTTATGATTTCCTTAACAACACTGATTTTAGCTTGTTAATCTCCTGTAATTAATAAAGGATACTATGCAAATCTAATTCATTATTGATTTTATTCCTAAAATAGATAAGTTACTTACATGGCCTTCTCTAAAAATTCTGAATTTTTATTTTTCAAAAGATAGCCAAATGTCAATTAATTTATGAAAATTCTCAAATTAAAAGTAATTGGTTTTGATTTTTTCACTAATTATTTTATGTAATGTTTCCATTCAACCTTATAGAGCTCTTATGAACTATTTATTGGAACTATGGGATTGGATTCCTATTTTTCAATAGGTGACCCTATTTACTCAGTGTACTTCAATGTTTTTATTGTGCGGTACTGTTTCAACTGATTGCCATCTTAGAAATCGTAAAGCTTATTAGCCAATTCAATTAACATTGATGTTCTATTATAAAACGCAATTAAGAATCCAAAAATGACTTTCATTATCTGCATGAACCCTCCTAGGTAAGAAAGCAACTCTCCTAACTTTTAGTACTTCCTGTTCATAGTTTCAGTGAAAGGACTTCGCCTTAAATATACAATAGCATAATTATCATCTGTATCTCTACCCAGTTCGGTGAGATCTCGAAAATCTTCAGCCTTTCTGACTATGATCTTCTCTTATTCTATGTCTCTAGGGAAAATGTATAAATATCATACTCGTATGGCATAATGCTTTGGTCATTATTGACAACGAATTATCGATAGTAAACATTAGCCAATCTAGCTAATTTGAAAGGCACAAATGAAAAATACATATCACTATCTATATATATGCTTTTATATTAATTGGGTTTCAATGGATTGACTACAGTGTTAATTTAAAAGATTTATAATTTAAACTATCCACTTGAAGCTAGATATTTGGCCTTTTCTGCAGCAGAACTACATGTTGGATTCCAAAGACTATCACTAGTTTAATTTTATGCTTTGCAATCTTTGACTGTAAATTTTATGAATTTAAAAGTCTCACTTGAATAAGTTCCTTCCATCTAAAAAGTAAAGTTAGATCTTGGGTTTAACTAAATTAAAAATACTTAGGACATAACATTTTGCTCATTCCTAAAAAATTAAACTACTCAGTAAAATCTAATCCTTGCTGCAGAAATATATTATTAAACCTTTCTAAAGTACATGGTTGCATGGGAACTTCTACGGTTAGCTTTGTGAGAGTGCCATTTATATTTCTTAAGTAAATCCTAAAAATGACAAACGAACTTAAATACTTTTATTCAACAGAAATATTGAAGTATGGGTTTGTTGTGAAATTGACTTGATCGATAGATAAAGCAAACATAGAGTTGTCTTCCTTCAATTCCATTAACTCTGGATCGTTGGAGAATGATATTTCACTATCATAGAAAACATTGTCTTTGCCAAAAAATTCTACAATGTTCGAAAAGAAAATGAGACTGAGTAAAATAATAATCAAAATAGATGCAATCCCACCAAAGGCTGTTGTATAACTAGCATTCTTGTTCATGTTTAGAGTTATATTTTATCCAAAGACATCAATTTTTGCAAGAGCTACTATAATACATGTTGTTACAATTTCGAAGGACATTGAAGTTCATCTCAAATCAAAAATAATATTTATTAAAATTAAAACATATATCATATTATTTTTGCTTATTAGGAATCAGTAATTAAATTTGATTGACTTTCAAGTTAATTAAACTATCAAAAAAAAAGTAGAGTAGACTGATAGTATAAACCAAAGCAAATTATTGTTGATAATTCTGTTATAAAATTCAAAAGAATACTCGATATTAATATTAATTTAATCAACAATAACTTATATTTTATTAGTACTATTTTCCTAAGTATTTAATATATAAATTTTAATAGTTATTAAATAATATAAAGCCTTCATGATAGAATTTCATAAATTCATTAATATTTTTGAATATTATCTCTAAAGATAGCTATGCAAGAAGCTTTCGAATATGAGTATAATTCATTTCATCATATTTTGAATGAAAATTAAGATTCAAATCTTCAATATGAACAAAACAGTATTCAACCACCACCCATTGAATTGAAGGACTTTGACTAATTAATTAACTAAAATTTAATGACTCATACTCAACAATTAACAAACAATTAGGAGAGTGATTAATCTAGAGTGGATTATAAAAACTTGCCTAAGTTAATAGGCAATCATTTCTATAAATATATTGAACAAAATAATATTACTAAAACAAAAGGAGTCTTGAATTTCTGTAATTAAAGATAAAAAAAAGAGAAAGGAACCAAAACAGAAAAGCAATAATCAACCAAAATTTCAGATTTAAGGGAAGTATGCAAAGCAGATCCCTAATCTAAAACTAATTTTAAGAGGTTCATTAAAAAATAATTATTTATCGATTTGATACATAGTTCTAAAATTGAAGATCCATTAAAATATATTGATGGAATTAGTACTTACTATGCTACGGCTGATGAACCAGATAAAATGATCAGCAGCCATATTATAAGTTCTAAAAAAATAAAAAAGTCATGAGATTTTATATATTTTATCTGCTATATTTTTCATTTATTACATTTTCTATCAATCAAATTCTTATTTTTAGATAACAACTATCCAATCGTAAAAAAATCATAGACAATCTTTCATTCCCAAAATATGTTGTCATAACTGTAGGGTCTATGATGACTATCAAATTAAAACAACCTGAAATGATTTAGGTATGATTGTGCTAATTTTCAAAGTAAAAATTAACCGATTTGAATTTTTCATTTTGTAACGATTTTAATCCAAGAATAATATTGATTTATCATGCTCATTTAGGTTTAGTGTAGGGAATTCAATATTATTCAAGGGGTGCATATTAAAAAATAGATATTGATAAATATCAGTTCTTTAGTTAATTATTGAAGTATTTTTGGGCTCTTTTAGACTGAAAGAAATAAGTTTTTTGGAACCTGAATACTTATAATATATATTGAATATGTTTTTATGTTGATGTGATATTGAATTCATGCAAAGGTCTTTTTTGTCATAATGTTGTAGAAGTCTTCAAATGTCACTTAAGCATCTCCATCTGAGTCAGCTCTATCAATCATCTCTTACAATTCTGAGTCGTCCATGGTTTCTCCCAATTCTTTTGCTACCTTTCTAAGGTCCTTTAAGGTGATGACTCCTGCTCTTTCAGAATCGAATAAATTAAAGACTTTCTATTATGATTTAAGGTATAATATACTTGGATATCGGCTTTTGAATCTCTTTCACTAATTCTGGCTGTCATCAATTTCAAGAATTCTGCAAAATCAATTTAACCGCTTCCATCTGTATCTAAATCACTAATCATTTAGTAAATGGTTTGATTTTTTGCTTCAAATCCCAAAGAAGTCATTGCTGCTTTTAATTCCTTTGGATCAATGGATTAGGTGCTTAATAATGATACAAATAAATACCCGTCTGTGTCAAATAAGTCAAATGCTTCCTTGATTTCCAAGACTTCCTCTTCGGTCAAACCAGGTTTAACAAATTCAGCTGGGTTGAATTTTCCTGGTTGATTCTTTTAAGCAGGGGGAGCTTATTAGGGTGGTGGTTACTATCCTCTTCGTGCCATTTATTAAGAAATATAATTATTTATTAAAAGATATTCACTAATTTATTTCTGTATTTCTAATATTTATTTTTCTCTTATTGGAATATACTCAATAATAAAATAATATAAAAATTCGTTTTTGGATCATCATTTATGGTAATCTAATTTTGAGAATACTTCGAAACAAGAGAAGATTCCAATTATTTGCAATTAATAGAAACTATAATTTAAATATAAATTAATAATAATGAATATTAGTGATAGAGATGTGGATATTGAGCCTATGGATTAAAAATCAAAAACCCATCCTGTTTAAGATGAAAGATAAGCATTTTTCAATTTTATTAAATCAATAATTGGGATTGGAGCAATTACATTTCCTTTTGCAGCTAACAAAGTCGGATGGTTAGGTTCAATTTTAATAACAATACCAGTACTCTTTTGCACGATAAAGTATTTTTATTTACATTTATGATCTAACACATTCTTAATCGAAGTGGCAGATTATTACTCTAATAGGAAATTGCTTTTCGGAGATATAGTGGAATTAACTTTGAAATGGGTTTGGCCATAGATAACTAATATAATGATCATTCTCTCTTAAATTGGAGTTTGTTGTGCCTACCTAATCTTTTTATATCAATCGACAGATGTTGTTCTGAATTAAATCAATATTCCCTTATCAAAAATCACTATTTTCTCCTTAACATTGATATTGATTATTCCTTTGTCTTTGATAAGAAAGATGAAATACTTTCATCAAGTAAGCAAAATAGGTTTTTATGTAAATCTACTTACATTTATCATAATATTCTTTGATTGTTTGACAATTGTATATCGCGATGGAATTTCATACGGACCCAGTATAAATTTACAAAGTACTATTGTAATAGATTTAGATACATTTTCATTTATTGGCATTGCATGTCTGACACTGTAATGCAATTTGACAATTCTGCCCATCAGAAATGATATGATAAATAAGCAGCCATTTCAAAGATACTAAGAATTATCGTTGTATATTTGTTTTTTAATTGCAATCCTAATTACAACCTTTGCCATTTGGGGCTACAAGGATAATCTTAATTAAATAATCATCTTTAACATTTAGAACCTCTATTTAAGATCAATCACTATGATTGCTTATGGAATTTGTATTTTAATGACATATGCACTTTAATTATTCCCTGCAGTCTAAATCATTGAATAGCATATATCACAGCTTGCTTACCAGAAATTTGACTAGGCTGAAGATGAAAATGAGAGCGTATTTGTTTTAGACAAAAGTTCTTTAATTATCAGAGGACTTTTAATGTTGACAATATACATAATATCATACAAGATACCTGATCTTTCATAATTTATCAATCTAATTGGAAGCTTTTTTGGTTCATTTTGTTAAGTAATATGGATTTTAGATTTATATAGTTTTTAATACCATTATCGGCTCATTGGATTTGCTTCAAAAATTAGGAAGCTAGTCTGAGATTGAAATTAGAATATTTTGTGATGTCTATATTTACTGCCTTGGCTATAGTATTTGGATCATATGAATCAATCAAAGGGTTGATTTGAATAAATAGACAATAGAATTGAGATTAAATTTAATTTATAGTGCATAATTGAAAATCAATTAGTTTCATTGAAGGATTTTTTTAGAAAAGATTTCGCATTTAGGTTTTACTTGTTTTATCCATAGTAATCATCTTTTAATAATCCTTCATTTAGTAATTTATCTATCTTCAAAACATACAATGTGTTATTTCGAGGATATTTAAATTGTTAAAGTATCTTACATTAAGGATTTATCGTCATTGTCTGCGTCAAGACCCTATCGAATAAGGAATCAAATTGAATTTTGAACTATATTAAGACATTGCCTACTTTATTCATATAATATTACTGCAATTCTGAGATTCTACTTTTTTTTTTAGAATTTTATCTTGTATTTAATTTTTAAATTGAAATGATCTGGTATTACTACATTACTGTCTTTTCTTGAGAAACAAAGATGATAGATCAATCACCTGATATATTGGCTAAAATATTAGATAAATCAAAACAACTGAGACCAATATTAGGAATAAAGAAATTAGTGATGCAATCATTGTTATCTATTAGCTTTCTCGATTAAATATTGAATTGAGGTTCCTCATTTAATCAGCAATATCATTTTCAATTTGCAAATCATAAAAGAGGATTAGATAATAATTGATATTTATAAGCTTTTGAATCGTAATGACGACATCCTTCCCATAAACTGTATTGTATCTACATAAGATATCCTGGGTTGACAAATGACAAGTAGACTAGATAGTATGTTTATTGTAATAATTGATGAGGGAGTTCCAATCTTCAGAATTGAATCCTGTGATTTCTGAGTCTGCAAAGTTTTTGAGTTCGGATGAATTCGATATTTCTTTGTTTTTATAATTGGTTAACAGTAATTGTCCTTTTTGATTTGCTATCATAATATTGATGGTCTCAACTCGAATCATGCTATTCTAAAATATTATGTCTGAACAAAAGAGGCCTTGAACATCCCAATTCAAATTTAACATTGATTGTGTCATAGTCATTGAATACTTAGGTTCAGACCCAAAATATTTATACACATCACTTAATTGAGTGTTGTTTCGCTTGTCCTTCTTCAAATTTTCAAAATGTTGTTGGAACCACAGTCTCTCTTTGGGATGAAAATTTTCCAATCTTGTTTCTTGAGGGTAGACGTAACTGAATTCGTAAAGGTCTATCGAAGAAACTAGGTAAAATTAATTAGGGATGTAGGGGTCATCAAGGCCCATGATACCAAAAACATTTGAACCAATAAAATTTGTATGATTCCTTAATGTTTATTCAGTTAAATCTTCTAATGGCTCTAAATCATTGTAATTAAGTGAAAGATATTAATAACATGGAAGAGAATAGGAATGCTCAGGAGGCAGATGTGCTGATTCAGGGTCACAAGGACGTGAGATTGGTTTTTAGATCCAAATATTGTTTCTCAATTAAAGCCAATATAATTAATTAAGATTAGTCAGAGTAATTTAAGCTATTATGATTTATGAAATAGTACTTCTTGTAAATAAAGAATTGAGTTATCTATTTATAGAATCAGCTGAATTCGATAAATGGTTAAACATCTCCTTGAGCATGATATCCTTTTCAGAATTGCTCAATATTTACTATACATAATATAGGTTTATTGTCTATGTCAATATGATTGAAGGAATGATTATTGCCAAAATAATACCATTAATAATTAATATCTGAGTTCTCATTTTAAACTTTCCTAAATTTGAGCGAAAACAACGATTTAAAATAGAGGTCTAGATCGAAAAATTCATTATTTGAGAGATTAATAAAAAATAATATAATACATAAATTGATTTGCCATATAAAGCTTTATATAATTAGGCATTTAGCGCGATCATACTATAAGTCTTGTAAATTTAATAGTATTATATTTAAACATATACTGATTCGGGAAAAAATAAGGTTAAATTTTAAATTGCCTCTCATTAATAATTCATAAAATTTAATATACTTTCACACAAGGTTTAGAGTAATTATTACTTCAGTGAAAATGAATGTAAATAAGTTGTAATATTAAATTTATTTGTAAAATTCCCTGAGTCGATCCACTCTTTTAATTTGATTTATTTTATATAACTTTGTTAATAATGTTTATTAAATTATAAAAATAGTTTGCATACACAATTAAATATCTCCATGCAATCATTCTTACTTTGAATAAAAATATTACTTAAAATTTACTTTGATTCAAGATATTCAGACAGTTGAAAATTCTAGAATGATGAAAACTAAATATTAAGGTTATTTTAATTAGCAATTGAGTATTTGAGGTGTTGAGATGGTGTGGAAAGTGTTGAAGCTTGATAAAGATGATGAATATTTAGACATTATATGAAATAATATAATTTTATTAATAATAATAATGAATCAATAATTTTTTGGCAACTCAAGATTGGCAATCCAAAGAGCTCAATAACTTCATTAATTCTTCACAGAGTCAGTCATATATGACTAATTCAAATACACAGCTAAAATGCCTCAATATCCTAAGATTGTATTTTTGCAATCAAATCCATTTGTAAGAAATTTAGTTGAGAAGTATTGAATTAAATATACTTTTAGACAATTTATTCAATATTCAATAATAGATGCTTAGAAGACAACAGGAGAAGTAAGTTTATTATTGATGGTTAGGACAGTGTTGCTAGATTGGCTGAATAAGTTCAATTGTAATCCACTTAAACTAATGGTGCATTGTTATTTGGATACCCTAATAATGCAAATGAAGCAGAGAAGTACAAAAATGAATAAATAATTCTTAGACTCGATCGATTATTGGATGGTGTCAATTTGGCTATCAGATTCAAATTGTCTGAGTCATTGGCATAGAAGATTGCAGGATCATACTTATCCTGTTAATCCTGTGGCAAAGTGTTCAATACAAGTCTACCATTTGTTACTCCAACTCATCCAGGATATCAAAATAATGTATGATAAAAACATAATTAATTTTAGTGTCAAACTCCAAGCAAATGTGCTTTAGAATAGAGTTCTGCTCCAGCTGACTAAATCAATTCAGAAGTTGCCAATTATTATTAATAGAAAGTATGATTTGTGAGGAATAGATTAGGGTGCATATCTTGAATATGAGATAAACGAAGAGCATTTGTAATATGATTCATAGGAGTTCTTTGAAAAATTAGACAATGCAGTAGCAACACATATCAAAGTTTGATATTTTTAAACAAATAAAGAAATATATAAAATTATAATTCCATTAATAAATACTTTATTTCAGCCTTTGAATTATGTGAAATAGTCAAAAACTGAAAAGTAAATTTAGTTTTAAAAATTGATTGATAACTTCATTACTATTATTTGCTTTTTCTTTTTTATTATTGTTTAATTAGAAATCTATTCTGAATGTTATGTTTATAGATTTGAATGCCCAAAGCCAAATTATCCATGTGAGTTAATCTCTACTACTAAGATTGAAGCACATTTGATTATTCTTTGCTGAGATCAGTCTATATTTTATGTTAATATTTACATAAATCCTTTCATTTGGTTGAGTTTGAATAGGTTTTTATGTATCATTGTATGCATAGGTACTAATCATTCTAGTTTTACGATCATTTTTAATGTGTTAGCTACTTCTATTTTCCACACTCCTTTTTAAATAGGTGATTTCGGATCTCTAACTATTACTACTATGGCGATCTGATCTTTCAGTACTACCTTGTTTAAACTTCAAGTTGCTTTTATGTCTAACATAAGTAGTAGAATCTCTATGGAATGCAAATAGATTAGTACGTATTGCCTAAATATTTGGATTGTTTCACTGCAAGTAATTGGGCCAATTACCCTTTAGATTGACTGGAGGGTTTTTGAGAGATAGATTTCTGATTTTTAGAAGGCAAACTGGGTTTTTTAGGAGCTGAAGTGTCTCTATGAGGAACAGGATCTTAGGATTTAGTTTTGCCTTTTCTAAGTAAATGGATTAATGCAAAAATACGTTTGTGATTTATTTTGATTTCTATCTGAGAAAGCTTTGTTTAGGAACATTTCCATGGATGATGAGCCTCCAGTTTCAGCCACTTTAGAGACTTAGGGTTATTTAACTTCTTTGGGTTATGCTTGTTATTAGAGTAATAATTGGTGTTGTTGTTATTGATTTTAAAGGAGATGCAATAAGATTTGTTGTTAGACATCCTAATTATAAGGTTGTGTGGGTTATTGTTGTGAGTATAGTTTTTATTTGACTAAGGGGGAGGATTTTTGTTGTTCGATTATGGGTGTTTTATTAAATATATTCTATTTTTCAATAGAAATTGGTTTAGGGACCTCAGGTTTGATTTCGTGTTTGATCTACTTTTCTCTTTGTTGTTTGAGTTTGAGGAGATAGTAACAAGTGGTGATGCAATTGTGTTTGTTATTTTTGATCATTTAGACAGCTTCTTCTTCCGAGATGTTATATTGGAGCAACTATTGAAGAATGGTGTAATCAACGTCTATTTTGAAATTGTCCAATCTAGATACTCTATTGATAATACTTAGTGTTTACTCCTTCAGGGATGGTCATTTTGCCAGCAAATAGTATAAAATCATGTTATCTAATTTCAGGGATGGTAATTCTTTTGGAGGGGTCTTTCTGGAGAATTTTTCGAAGGAGATCAGCAGCTTAAGGAGAGACACTTTTGGGTAGTTTGTAATCTGAGTGTTTGATCTTTTCGTAGAGTTATTTGGTATTTTGATCTTCGAATGGGACACAACTAAAGTTAAGGGAGGTAGAATACCCACAAATCATCGCGTACAAGATTATGCCACATGACCAGATATCAGTTTTCAATCCTTCATATGGCAAACCACTGACCATCTCAGGTGCAGCATAACAAGGACTGCCACAGGGAGTATGCAATTTTTAATTTGGTTGATAGAGATTCGATAATCCGAAATCGACCACCTTGACTTGCTTATTGGAATCCAATAGGATGTTCTCTGGTTTCAGATCTCTATGCACAATGCCCAATTGATGTATGTATTCGATGGCATTCAGAAGTTAAAAGAATATACGACCAGCTTCACGCTCTTCAAGTCGAGATTTCGAAACGATATGTTCAAATAACTCACCTCCTGGGGCATATTCAGTTATGAGATATAATTTTATTTCACTCTCAATTATCTCTTATAACTCATTCAGATACCTCATATAATTAAATGATATTCGGGTGACGTATTTTCCGTAGGATGTGAATTTCACGTTGAATCCTCACGTAGTCAGCCTCATTTTCTATTTTCTCCTTCTCCAGAATCTTGATTGCTACCTTTGTAAATTGAAGTGAGTTAATACTTTCTCATTAGTGCATTTGTGAATACCCATCTTCACTTTTCCAAAGGTTCCTTATCCTAAAGTTTTATCCACCACATAATTCTAAAGAGGGTTGAAATTGGGGTCCTTGAATGTATAGAGTTTTGGCATAACAGAATTTATATTAAATTAATCAATCATCTAATTTTATGATTATTCAATGTCTCCAATGCCAATAGCAAAGCCTGCGTTCCATTACGTGCTCCCCCTTGGGCAACCAAAGCATGATACAACTGTTTCACCAATGCCAACCCTGGCAAACTCAAGTTCATCCTATTGGCCTCGTTAATTGCTATGCTTAAATCTTTAATATAATGTTCAACATAAAATCCAGGCTCAAAGTCTCCCTTCACCATTCTCAGTCCCAGAACACTCCAAGCTGTCGAATTAGCTGCCCCACTCTTTATTGTATTAATCAACTATTCCAAACTCAATCCACACTTGTGTCCGTACAACAACCCCTCCACTGTTCCTATCATATTCCCAGCCAACACTATCTAATTGACCATCTTAGTATGTTAACCCAATCCAGGACCTCCCATTAATTACACATTGGCACTATACACTTTTAATACATCATTTATTCTATCCAATGCCTTCTATTATCCGCCACACATCACCACCAGTCTTCCCTCTCTCGCTCCGATGTCTCCTCCACTTACTGGAGCATCAATTGAATCTATTTCCTTCTCATTTGCTGCCTTGAAGATTCTCTCTGCCAATTCAGGTGATGAAGTAGTGTGATCAACCAGCACTGTACCCTTTTTCATGTGATTTAATATTCCATGTTCTCCCAAAACTACCTCCTCAACATCCTTTGGATATCCCAACATCAGAAACACAATATCTGAGTTTTCTGCCAATTCTCGAGGTTGAACAAATTCTGCTCCTGCTTCTATTACAGGTTATGCCTTTGCAACTGTTCTGTTGTATATGCGTAATTTGTGACCAGCCTTAAGAATATGCTTGCACATAGACACACCCATTACTCCCGTACCAATCCAACCAATATTCATTTTATATAGAATCTATATATATGTGAAGCAACTTTTGTAATTATTATTTCCATTGTTGAATAATCAATTTCCGAAAAGATTCTGTCTCAGTAATTTTATAAATCTAACATTATTTTTATTCCGTAAGCAGCATAAAATTATAGTAAAGATTGGGTAGTTTAATCTGTTAATTACACAAATCCCAAAAGACTTATTATATGGGTGATATTTCTTAAATTAATAAGCTCCCCTGAAAATCAAATCGAAAGATCTTTTCCAATAGTATGGCCCATAATTTCTATTCCAAAATACTAATTCGAAGTATACAATCTCGGTCAGCAATCAATACTTTTGCAGTTAACCTTTGTCATTCATTACTATATCAACAACCAAAAAATTTACTAATTTGTGGTATTAATACATGTGGTCGAAAACTACATGAATTCCTCGTTTTATTATGTGATCAACAAAAGAGATTCTGGAGAATAATAAAATTATTTTAAAAAATGCTAATTTATAAAAGTTACCTATATGTGCAATTTTCAATAATAAACACTTTTTTTCTTGTGCGCCTAATCCTAGATGAGGAAAGCTAAGTGATATACACAATAACAAACTCAATTTCTTTAACAATATCGGTTTTATTACTTGGTATGGAGGTACTTAAAAAACAGAATTTATACGCCAACAATCTAGGAGGAGTATTTTTGTGTGTGCTCAATATGGAGTCCATTTACAATGAATTACCTCAAATAAATACACTGCAATTATGGACATTTATAGTGATTCTTGTTACACATTTTGACGATGAATTAAAATGGCATAAATTTATGAAACACTCACTCTTCTTATACTTTGTGATCAGAACCTTCCTATAAACAAAGGATTAACTGTGCATTACTGAATAATTGACCTGTTTTCTCTGGTAACCTTTGAATCATTGGATGTTGTATTAGAATAAGGAAGATGGCCTGATGGCAATTCAGAAGCAATCTTTGGATATCACCAAATGCAACCTAGATTAGAAGCAGTAAATTATTAAGGACTCATCTGAATTGGATTTAGAATATAGCAGTGTTTTGGGGAGTTAGCGTCTCCAACATAATTTGAAGGAGTTGAAGCAAATGGAACTCAAAAATCCCTTTGTGTAACATAAGGAGTGTGTTCGGAACACCTGCACAATGAAAGAATTGGAAACAAGGCATTCCAATATATAAATACCCGAGATTTGGGATTTGTTGCCTTTTGGAATAGGACTTATGAATAATCTATTTGAAATGGAGATAAATAATTAAAAATTTTTATAGTTTTTAAAAGTGTCAGATAATGATGGAAAAAACATCATTTTAAATTTAGATTCACTATTAGATAGGTATGATCCATATTTATAATAAGTTCTGAATCGTGGGAAAGTAAATCCATCAAGTAAGTAGGCTCCAATTATAGCAACCGTTAGAGTAGAAGATTCCCAAAAGCTCCACAAGTGTCCATAATATCAAAAGGTTTAAATGACTAAAACTCAATGATTCCAGATGGAGGCACCAATCCTAACCTCACTAATAACTTTGGTTGTTGTTCAAATACAAATAACTAGATCAGAGACGAAGTGAGGACAACTAAGGCTAGATTTAAAAATCTGAATAGGTTGTTCTCTAAATTCCACCCAAAGTCTCCCTCTTATACAAATAATGTGGATAACTCCATTTAATCAATAGGATAGAACACATAGATTATTAAGATTGTTTAGGAAGTTGGGGCTATGAAGTGCTATTTAAGAATTAAGGTGTATGAGGTTGAAATCAATAATAAAATCAACTATCTCTTTTTGATTGAGAACATATCGAATAAGGAAGAATTGAGGCAATTGAACATCAGATACAAGTATTAATAGGCACTTTTGAATTCATTGTGTCATGAACTAAGGACACCAATGAACAGTACATTGTCGCAATTGAATGTGCTATCTACATTGATTGCACCTGAGATTAGAGATAAAAATTTACAGCCAGCGATAATTTCAGCCAAAAAACTTATGTTTTAATTGAATGATATATTGGATTATGCTTAAATAGATTGTAAAAACTTCAATTTGAGTATTTCTCAGTTTGATACAAATGAGATCTTTGAAATTTTGAGGGAGTTGTTTGATCAAGAATGTAAAGAAAAGTAGTTGGTTTTCTAATTAAATACTACTGCTAATTATGCAGTTTGTAGTGACAAAGAGAGAATACTGAGAATTCTAATCAATTTGATAGATAATTCAATCAAATTTACTAATTAGTGTGGTTCAATAAGAGTGGAAGTTTAATAGCAATAATCATATATAATTTTTTCAGTAGAAGATAATGGTGTTGGAATGGGGGAGAAGACTTTAAATCAGATTAGAAGAAATTGTGATTTAAAATTATATGACTCTTTCTTAGTTTAATAAACCAAATTAGGACTAGGATTGAAGATCTCTTAACAAATAGCCAAATATCTATGTGTGGATAATGAATTGGTTATAATGAGCACTGAGAATGTGCAAACAAAGATATCATTCAAAGTAGAGAATCATCAAAAATAAGTAAGCTAATAAATGTTTCCATCCTTCTAAGGGTTCAATTTTACAATCAGTTGCAATTGCATACAAATCTTGATTGTGGATGATGTACGATTCAACCACAATGCCATTGAAGCTCTGTTGTCGTAACACAAAATGAAGATGGATAGTGCGTATAATGGTTAATAAGCAATTGAGATAATTAAATAAAAATTGGTTTCGCCATGTTGTAAGACTTACAAGTTAATTTTCATGGATATTGAAATGCCGGTGAAGAATGGCTTTTAGGCGTCGAAGGATGTAATCTAATATATATCATAATTTATAGATCAATGAGATTCTGAAATAAGAGAATTTGAATGATCAATGTGCAATTGTGATGTGTTCTGCTTACAATGGGAATGAAAACAACGACATTGTGAGGAACTGCGGCATCAAAGAGGTATTGCCTAAGCCAATTGATCAAAAATAATTTAAACAATTACTTGATAAATATTTATTATGATTATATTTATTAATAAATGGGAATACTTTTAAAATTATTGATACTCTAATTAATAATTAAGGACTTCATTGATCTAGCATTTATTTGGCAAGATAGCAATATGATAACCATTTGCCTGAATATTATATCACTCAGCATTGGGATGATACTTTTCATCTTGAATTATTGGAAAATTTCAATGATTTATATAAAAGTTGTCCTCTTGGGACTATGTGTAATAAATTCTGAACTTCCGTTTTAACAAAATATAAACTTGGCCAACGCTTCCTACTTTGCATACACCACCCTTATCCTAATTAACATATATTCTCAAAATCTATCAACCAGACTAATAGTCCATTTTTAACTATTATACATAACCATCCGGGCTACATTTACACAACAAAACTATGATTTACATTCTCTGCTGATCATCATCCTCTTATAACCAATCAACCATTACATGATAAATTAAATAGCTTAGGAGAAAAGTTCACAATTCACTTAGACCTTCCTCTAACAAGAGTCCAAATTTAAATAAACCTAATTTGAATAAGATTAATTATTATCAAGTGAAAGTAAAAGGGATTATCTCAAGTGTGATTTAAATGAAAGTATTATCTTCAAAGCACTCGACATGGGAATAGAATCTCCTCAACAAGAACATAAAAATATTGGAGTTAACAAAAATTTTATGGATCAAAGAATCATTGTGAAAAAGTAACCAAATAATTTACCCACAACTGTTTTATCAGATTCCAATTGTAATGCAGAACCATTAAAACTCGAGAAAAACCCCAGCACCAAGTATTCAGAAATAGTCTCTATTATGAATAACTTACCTTTTGGTATATTGTTTGTAGATTCATCCTTAAAAGTTTTAGACTTAAACCAAAGAGTAACCCAATTGTTAGGGTTATAGAATTCAAATGACATTATTTCGTTCCTAGATTAAGCAATACAAAGGTAATATTAATATATAATAAAAGTGGGGACTTCTGCGAGTTTCGATCCTCGAAAAAAGTAAGAAAACCCCAAAAATCACCCAGTAAACTGACATTTCTTAAATAGCCTTCAATTAGTCCATAAAAGAAATACATTGACGAGCACATACCCGATGTATTTTCATAATACAATAACAATGCATCTCAATATAAAGGAGATAGTGATGGCAATATTGGAAAAAATCTCAAATCTATTTTTTAGAATTTTAAAAAAATCCATCAAAGTCAATTAACATCCATGTCTCGAGATAACTTCCAATACATAATCAGAATGGATAATATGAATACATCTAGTGGCAAAGCCAAATATAAGAGTTTGAAGCTTAAAATATTCCAATTGGAAGGTTTTGTCTAATGGGAGTCTGTGGTTTATTTATTCTTTTTGGAGAACATCACCAAGCGCGAAGAATATAAATTGCTTAATCACAAATACAAGTTTCAACAGGCCTTGCTAAACTCCTTATGTCACGAATTAAGAACCCCTATCAATGGAACAGTCTCGTAACTATATGCTTTGAAAGATGAATTGTCTTAAAGTTTGGTTGAATCTCATTTGGATCCAGCCATCGTATCGGCTAAGAGATTGCAATACCAACTCAATGATATCTTAGATTATGCTTAAATTTAATGCTCCTCCTTGATCTTGAACAAATCCTGTTTCAAGTTGTAAGAGGTCTATTAACAACTCTTTGAGCTCTTCAATTTCGAATGCGTCTAAAAAAACATCAATCTCATCATTGAAAATGTGAATCACATCTCAATCTATACAGACAAAGAGAGACTGACAAGAATTTTCATTAATTTATTGGACAACTCAGTCAAATTTACAAATCGAGGAGGCACTATCAAATTAATTACTCAAACTACTCCTCTTTACTATAAACTATCAATTGAGGATGATGGATAGGGGATATCAGAAGAAATCATCTAAAGAATTGAGGAGTAGGCGGAATTGTTGTTTCAAGATTCACTTCAATATAATTCAAATAAACTTGGGTTAGGTTTAAGAATTTCATAGTAGTTAGCCAAATACCTATACAAAGATCAGTTTTTTGAGGTTGATTCTGTTTATGAAAAGTACACAAAAGTGAGTTTTAGAGTATCAAATCAGATATAGAATTACTCAAATGAATTTGAAATAGACAAAAGACAATTCGCTTAGCTTTCACAATGTGATTGTAGCAAGATCTTGATAGTTGATGATATAGGTTGCAACCATTTTGCCTTATAAGTCTTACTCAAAAAGTTCAAGTTGAAGACCGACAGTGCTTATAATGGGAATTCAGCAATCGACTTAGTCAAAGAGAGATTGTTATAGCAATGTTGCAAGACTTATCGATTAATCTTTATGGACATAGAAATGCCTGGGAAAAATGGGTTTCAAGCTTCTTAAGAAGTAAGAGTTTGTATATTTAGATAACTTAATTATTGAAAGCGCAGAATTTGAATGAAATTTGTATTATAACAATGTATTCAGCGTACTCTGGAGATGAAGATGTACTGATAGCAAGTCAATGTGGAATGAAAGAACGTATTTCTAAACCAACTGACATACAAAAATTAGAATATCTTGTTAATAAGTACCTACTTTGAATATTATATATATATACATATATGTAGTCTCTTAATAATTTATTTTATAGCAATGCAAAATGAGACTAATAAAAGAGTGGCCTATTTTTATCATCCCCAAATAGGGAGATATCATTATGGTAAGGAACATCCAATGAAGCCGAAAAGAATTGCAATGGCGCATAATTTAATTGTGAATTATGGGTAATATATTATAACTAAGTGTTAGATTGTATCGAAATCTGGACGTATATATGAATCGGTAGGCTTCATTGAAAGAGATGGAGAAATTTCATGAACCAGAATACTTGCAATATTTGAGTCAATTCACAAGTGTAAGAAGCCAAATTGTGAATGAATATTAACACTATAATTAACAGCCAAATATTACTCACTTTACAAGCCACATCTACAACGAGTTTGATTTGTTAGATTATAATATGCCACACACTCATGAACCAATTGAAACTAATAATAATTATCCATAACCAAATAGTTTCAGAGTGGGAGATTCCACTGATAACCCTAGTTTTCCAGGTCTGTATGACTTTTGCCAATTGTCTGCAGGAGGATCGATTGATGCTGCTCATGTGTTGATTTCATAGGATGCAGAAATAGCCATTAATTATTCTGGAGGTTTGCATCATGCCAAGAAAAGAGAGGCCAGTGGGTTCTGTTATGTGAATGACATTGTGATAGCCATATTGGAATTGTTGAGAGTACACCAGAGAGTTTTGTATGTTGATATTGATGTTCATCATGGAGATGGAGTTGAAGAGGCATTTCTTCTAACAAATAGAGTGATGACTTGTTCATTCCATCAGTATGGAGATGATTTCTTTCCAGGCTCAGGAGATATTGATAGTTATGGAGAAGGATTAGGTCGATATCATGCTCTCAATATCCCTTTGAAAATTGGTATGAATGATGAGACCTTTACAGAAATATTCCAGAAAATCATCACCTAAGTTATGGATATCTATAGACCAGAGGCTGTAGTCTTACAATGTGGAGCTGATTCCCTATGTCATGATAGATTGGGAGGATATAATTTATCAACCAAAGGACATGGTGCTTGCGTGGAATTCATGATCAAATACAATGTTCCCATCTTGGTTTTAGGAGGGGGAGGATATACCATCTAAAATGTGGCTAGATGTTGGGCATATGAAACTGGATTGTGTTTGAACAAAAAAATCGATGCTCCTATTCCCACCTCAGAAATCTATTATGAATATTATGCTCCAGATTACAAATTGCATTTCCCAATCAAACAAAATGTAGAAAACAAGAACAAGAAGGAAGAACTTCAAAGAATCGTAGAGAAAATATATGGGTATCTCAAATCTATTGAACCTGCTCCAGGCATTTGCTTCCATGATTTGCCTTAATCTTTTTATCCAGAATTGAATGTAGAAGAAGGTATTGATATTTTAACATTTTAGAAATCAATCCAGATCAACGTTATGAATAAACATTAAACTAATTCGAGGGTGCTCATTATGAAGAAGGAAATGAAATATTAGTAGATCCATCCAATGGATTCTCTGTTCATAGAAGGGAATGATCAACTATATATATATATTTTTAATCAATTTTTGATAACTCATTCTTTCATCAATAGATTAACTAAAGCGTCGATTGCAACCGAATTCTCTTTCCCTTTTACACTATTTAATATTAACTAGAAATCCTTCTCAACCTATTCGTCTCCTATCTATTACACAATTCCCATCAATTCCTTTGTATCAATAAATCCTGTGTTGTTTTCATCAAATACCTTCACACTAGCTTCTATCTCCTGTTTTACAGGTCTCTTGTCCTTTAACTATATCAAGAGCTTTAAAAAATCATCTTTGCTTATCTTATCCTTCACTTATAGATCCTTTATCTCTTTATCAGATATCAGCAAACCGGCTGCTCTCAATATGAATGGCAAATCTAATATATCTTCTCTAATTTACCCTTAGAACTAATGAATCCTTTCATCTCTTTGTCATGATACAGAAATAACAATTCAAACCTTTGTACTTTTTCGGCAGAATATATTTGTTTTAATTAAGTATTCATAATAATTAGTCACCTATCATTCAACTAAGCTGATCTCATTCATCCTTAAAATCATCTTCCTCTCTTATGAGACCCTTCTATTAATTATCCGATGATATTAGTTTCTTGTGACTCTTCGTCATTGGTCTAACATTTTAATCTATTATTTTGCCAACTTTATAAATCATTTCCATTTCTGGTCCTAACATGGATATTAACTAGGAATTCAGAGTTTCCTATTGGTTCTTATTCTTGAAGATCTCATCATAAGCCTACACCATTTACTAATTATCTTACACTATAGATTTGTTAATAAACATAATTATCAAGCGGTTAAGGCAGAAAACTTGCCCTCTTGTTTGACCTAATAGATCTTGTGTTCTTTTCATTTTTATTTTACCTTTTCATCTTCAACATCATTTTAGCATAAATGAGAAACTCGATCTATCTTGTCATTATAAAACTAATATTACTTATCTTTCGAAGACTTATTCTAAGATTCCACCATATTTCTATCTATTTTCAGATCCTCATCCTCCAATGTAATTAACTTCTTTGGAGTGAAATTAAACATCACTAATTGTTTTGGAGTCAGCATTACCTCTTTCAATTTATCTATTTCATTCAACCTAGACAATATTGAATAAATATCTGATTAAGAAATTATTTATTCGCTAATTTAGAGATGTATGTCTTACTATGCTTTATTCATTAATTTAACTTTTGGAACCTCCTTAAATAGAAAGTTGCATGTAATATAATTCAAAAAGATTTAAAAATCCAATGAAATAGGTTTCTTTTTCTCAAACATTTTTTATAACTAATTAGAAAAGTAATCTAAACCAGTCGTAAAGTTTAGTCTAAAAGACAAACCTTCCTTTTAAAAATTCTTCTATTCCTCCTTATATGATTCAATACAATTATCACATTGATCGTTCTCTGTCATTATTCTTTGATTTGAAGTTTATATCTTAGAGTCAAGTCCCAGCCTTTCATTTTTCTGTTATTCTGTTAAAATTTATAAATTGTCTGAATAAATCTTTTTTTAATATGAATCATCAACACTAAAGTCATAAATTCTATTGGATAATTCAACCATGTCTGTTATATTTATGAATATATAGATACAATTAACTCTATTATAGATAGTCACTAGCAGTCCAATAAAAAATGTCATAATTTAAAGTATTCCACCAATGTTGGAAAGTAATTCATCTAATTTTTAATATTGCCGTAAAAATCTTGTTTTAAAGGGTTTTTTGCGTAATTGCAATTTGGCTAATGAATTTTCATCTATTTCTGTAGTATCTTATTGAATATCCGAAGAATCTAATACAAAAAAAGTCCTTTCCTCAATCATACTATAAAATTATATCAATTTTTGTGTACCTTATTGGTAGAAGGCTTTCGTCATTTTGAAATTCATATTTTGTAAAGTATATGTTGGCAAACTTAGTTGAGTTTAAATTTATAGTAAATGACAAAGAATCGTCCAAAAATGGCTAAATATAAGAATCTTTTGGCTTATAGGGGTTAATATTCTTAATGAAAATAAATTTGATACTTAATTTACTGTATACAATCTTACTTTATAACTAGTGTCAATGGGATTATCACAAATTGGATTCCACAAATTCTGTGAATTATTTTAACACTAAATAATAGATAGTTCTATGAAATCAAATTGATTGCCTAATGTGTTATAGGATATTAATTTTACTTGAGTAGGTACCTCCAATCAAGATGTTAGTATTTATGCTATCATATATTTATATACGTACCTTGGACATAAGAAGTCTGACAGATGAAGTTATTAAAATTACTAAGTAAAATTGATATTGTATTCTGAAAATATTTACGTGTAACGATCTAAAGTACATGGAACTAATTAAATGTCTATTGTTTCTTTCTTCACATCACCTTCTGTGTTTCTAAAGTAGAGTCTTAGATGGGCATTAAGCATTACTTTTATTTCATAGTGATATTAAAGTATGGTCTTTAAATAAAATTAAGCTATTCGATTTTAATGGCAAAAAGAAATTGTGAATCTTGAAATGAGATATTGTCAATGACATCTTCATATTCAGATATAGAGACAACTTTCAATTGCTCTTTTTGAATGAAAGAAATAAAATTTGTAATGAAAATGAGAATCATTACACTCATAACTGCAATAGAAGCACAACCTCCAAAGATTGTTTTATAGTTGGCTTGTCGATTGATTCTGAGGAATACAAGTTATCCAAAAATATCTAGTTTTGCAATACCTAATATAGGCAATAAATGTGTAACCAGCTGATACTGAATCCATAAGCTAAATAAATTTAGTTTAATATAAATTATTATAGATATCAAGCAAAGTGAAAATTGCAGATATTAGATATGTATTTCTGTGATTCACACAGAGAATAATGATGGAGTGAAAAAAGAGAATATAAAAAATTTGAGAATAATAAATATATATAAATCTTTAGCAAGATAAGTTTACTAGTAATAAAATAGATAAGATAAGGTATTTGGATAATGATATGAAAAGAAGGTGAAGATTAATAAATGATCAATAATTAATAAAATGATCAATAAAACCACTTAATTCAAATCTCTATTTCATAGCAACTCAACTTCATTTTGGGATACATGTAAAGTGGAGCACTTTAATAATGTGAGCTTAGAAGGAATGTTTTAAGCAAAAATAGGCGAATAATTGAGTAACGTAATTGTAAAGGTGAAACTCTCATACTTGATCATAATCTAGAGAGATGTACAAATTATATTATGAAACAGAAATAACTTATTGCCAATATCGAAAATGCTATAATTTACTTAATTAGAGATGGTTGTAATGATGTTGGAGTAAGAATACTAAAGGGAATGGCACAATTGGAACTATATGGAGACGTAATTGAGCTTTTTAAAGTGTTGAAGAAATAATGCATTTAAATAGACTTTGTATTAAAATATAAAGTGAGAAAATTGATGGCCAATGGCGCTTTTGCAAATGTAAGTGATATTATAATAAATGTTAGGTGTTTTTGGCAGAAAATGCTCAAACCACTGAATTGTTTGCTATCAAATGTTTTGATAAGAATCAAATTTTCAAAAGCTAAAAACATTTATAATCTCTCGAAAAGGAACTTAAAATTCTCAGATTGATGAAACATAAACAAGTAATGACTTTAATTGAGACATTTGAAACTGTGAGTTATGTTTTTGTAGTGCAGGAGTATTTGAGGGGAGGAGACTTACATGAGTACATTGCAAAAGTGGGTCATTTGTCCGAAAGGAAAGTGCATTCTGTGATATCTCAATTAGTGAGTGGGCTGGACTTCATTCATTCTTAAGGAGTCATACATAGAGACATAAAACCAGAGAATATCATATTGAGAAATCAAGATAATGTTGAAGATTTAGTTATTTCTGATTTTGGATTGGCAGATTTTTATAGTTTTGATGGCAATTACTTGTATAAATAATGCGGAACACCTGGATATGCAGCTCCGGAAATTTTGGTGGGTTAGCCATATGATTATAAGGTAGATGTATACAGTTTGGGAGTGCTTTTTTATACTCTTATAACTGGAAGAAGACCTTTTTAGGGGAAGAACACTGATCAAATATTTCAAATGAATGAGCAGGGGGAGATCAACTTTCAGAATATCCGTATTAAAGCTGAAGGACTGCATTTGCTTAAGAGAATGCTGGAATTTCGGCCAGAACATCGTTATTCGTTAGGAATGATTAAATAACATGTCTGGTTGTGCAGAATCAATTATCAGAGCCATTCAAGTTTGCAATAAATAAATGTGCCTGAAATTACAAAGGATGGAGGAAGTACTACTCCCAGGATACTTATGACTAAAACCTGTTTGGGAAAGTAAGTTCTCATGACTGAGCAAGACTAGAACACAGAAAGAAAGCATTAGCGATAACATGGAGGCAGATACAATTATTCGATTGGAAATTTTACAAATTTGTAAGGAAATATATCTTGATTTACGAATTCTTTTTTTATTTTGTGATATTTGTTATTTTTAAACATTGCAAATCATACTTGAGTATAATTATTATTATTTATTAATGTCAACAGGTTATGAACGTATTGATCAAGAAACTCTTAGAAGAGATGATTAACTAAATGGATTATTATAGAGAATCAGAGAGGATGTGATGAAAGGCTATATTGTAGAGGTCAAAACTAGAGCCAATACCCAGAATCAAGTAAGGAAATTGGTCAAATTAGTTAGACAACAACTCTAAATAAAGTTCTAGATTATCGTCAATGAGTAATTCGATAGTTAAACAGCCAATGATTCAATAAAATGATTAAGTTAAAGATCTAAATGAAATCGTTCTTGCTTCATAACGGGATCAATAATAAATTTCAAAGATTTCTAAAACATTCAGCGCCTCTCCTCCTAAAGTCAGAAGTGAGATAGTTAAACCTGTTGTAATGAATTTTGAATTATCTCCGGATTAAACCTATAATACGATTCCAATCAAGGAGGAACTTTAAACTCCTAAAACCATTTCTCAATAATTGGATGAAATAGAAAAATAAGCAAATTCTGGTGATTTTCAAACCTATATTAAAAGTTTAAAGTCAATACATTCTTAGCTCTAAAAAGAGATAATAGAAAATGATCATGATTGCAATTATATGCTCACCTAAGCAGTATAGACTGTTAGAACTATGTGTTTATTGACAAAATTTTATAAATAATTAGGAGATTTCAAGAACGCTATTAAATAGTTAAAATCCATTCAGAAACAATTCAAGATTTTAGAACCAAATTTAGTAGGAAAAATTCTCGTTGAATTAGGAAAATTACACTTTCTCAATCAAACCTATTAAACTGCTCAATCCACATTTTATGAAGCTCTCAAACATTATGAAAAGTTGGAATGGAAGTCTGATATAGCTCACATTTTGCTTTGGATGGCTAGATTGCATGCTTGGACAAGTAATTCAGAATTTATATTTAGGGAATTTCGATCTCTCAAAAAAATTAATTTATGGTGCAATAGCCATTCTTAAGGAATTCCTTCCAGAAGATCACGAATCAATAGCTGAAGCCTATGTTGCTTTAGGAGAATGCAGTTATATTTAAAAACATACAGATGAAGCTATTGAATTTCTGATGAAGGCAGTCAACATCAAACATAAAATCTATAAGGACTATAAGAATCTCAATTTTGTTGAAGCATTCAATCTTTTGGGACTGACATATGGATTAGTACCAGATGTTTAATAATCACTCAATTACTTTATATAAGCATTATAATGTTTTCAGTAAATATCCAATCCTAATTAGATACAACTGTGTTCAAAGAGCTTAAATACTTAATAATATAGCAGTTGTCTATTAAGCATAAGGAGATGTAGATAAAGCTAGCAAATGCCATTTCAGGGCCAAAGAAATTTACTCCACTTTTTTACCAAATTAGCATAGTTAGATGTAAAGATTAATTTTAAATTAAACTTGTCTATCTCCCCCTATGTGAATCGATTATTAAATGTATATTTATAATAATCCTTCTTGCATCTTTAATATTATTAGAAATAAGAAAGTGCAATTAAGTAAAAGAAAGATTGAGGGATGTCATGGGTTTACTCATATAATTGCGCTATGCATCATCAAATTTGGTTTAATCATCTTTTTGAGATGTATCTAACATCAAATAATATTTAGTATTCCTTCTTCAATATCATCAGTAGAATTCAATCTAGAATGATATAACATTTCTTTACAGTTCCTGACTGTATTTCTATATTACTCATTTCAAATGTTCGTTTCCAACTTAAATACTCCTTTATTGATCTGTCAGTTGATATATTATTATTATTTTTGTAAAATGTAAATGGTAGAAATGATATTCTAATAATTTTAATAAAATAACTAATTTAAAAAGACTGATAATATGCATCTATAGATAAATAATCATTAAACGCTATCTGATCTTTATGAGAATAACTTGTCTACTAATTTATCTTACGCTTTTTGTTTTAAGAATTATTTCGAATTTGTTTTGCTCATAATTTTGTTATTAATTAGTCCATATGGATCATTTACTTTTATACTACGTTTTCTTTCACCTTATGCAGATACTACACTACATCTTGAGTTAGTCCTACTGTCTCTAGTCATATTCACATTCATAGATTTTTCCTTTAAAGGGATAATTAGTTTGTATTTCATAGAATTTGCACTCTATGCGTGCTTCAATTTGTTAGAATGGTTGAATTAGCTAATTATATTGATTATTTTGGAATAGTCCTAATTATTGGCCTATGTCAATTATTTCAAGCTTTTATTGGGTTACTTAATGGACTGACTCAGTTGACTACTATCTTGAGTTGTAGTTGTTGTGTGTGTGTTGCGTCTTTGAGTGATATTGGAGGTTATTTTAATTGGTTGCTTGAGAAGCCCCTTAAAGTCATCAAAGTAATAGGATGGCATCGAGATTTCTCTTTTTTTTATTTTCTATGGCATTCTCAAAGTTCCATTGTTCCCAATATCTGGATTAAAGAACTAAGCTGTTTATTAAAATTGTGCAAAGCTCTAATCGATACAAGACATTCAAAAAAATGTGATTGTTAAAAATATAAATTACACATCTCAATTATACTATTAAGGCATTTTATATTCGAAATCACCCAGTTTCTCTCTCCTTATATACCCAACATAAGGCATAACCTCTACCCAGACTTCAAAATTCACTGTTGCATTGCGCAATTATTTATGAATATCTTTGAGTGGATATTCGGCTCTTTGATTTTTCAAAAGGAGCTAACATGTGATTTTACATTACTTTAGATGAAGTACTCCAACTGCTGGGGTCATCTGGTCTAGAGATGATTTTATCATAAATCACACAATCTGATTTGAACTACAAAATGATAGAATGACTTTACTCCTTTCTCTTAATGCTCATGATGCACATTCACATATAAAAATAATTGCTTCAGGTTCCAATTATACACTGGTTCGAAATCTAATGATATTACGTGTATAAAAAACCTGCCTCCAAGGAAAATTTAAAGGTCACCTAATCCCAATCGGTTGCTCCGCCATTGTAATAAGTGGCCTTGTAATGATGGCTAAACAATATTATCATTTGATCTGCAATACAATTTATCTACACTCAAAATCTTGAGATCTACTGTTGGCTTTCCAGTCTTAAAGAAATATGCTGTTCCCTAATTGAGCAAAGACAACACGACTTCTCTAGTATGACTAATATACCTAAGGTCCACGATGTGAAGAACACGATTTAATTAAAACGAGCTGTAATTGAATACATTATTTAATTATTTATCAATATTAAGTATTATCCAACTCTCTTAGTTTTCTAAAATTCTCTAGAGCACGTGATTCCTATTTCTTTTCCTTCTTTATCGTTACTTTAAATGCCAAATCCTTCCTTATCTCTACTTTAAATGCTAAGGCCGTGATCTTCATTTATTTCAAAGCTTCTCTCAAAATTCCGTTTACTTTTAAGATAAGCAACTTTAATTACAGCTTTTTAGCCATCTTTCCATACCTTACCTTTGGATTCAGATGTCTAAATACAGCTCGTTTTAAATATGTCTATCTTTGCAAGTTTGCCATATTCTTTTATACATACACGACACTTTTGATGTGCTTGATGGATAACAATTATTAATGGTTCCTCTACAATTGCAGAATGTTGACCATATTAGATATTTTCGACTTCTTCTTTATCTATTACAAACCTATTTTGATTAAGTATCTTTAAAATAATTTCTTAAAGTAATCCAATTTAAATGTACCAGCTATGCATTATTGATGTATTCTATTTATTTTCCTCTTTAATTTCAACTTGAATTCCTATAAATAATGTTTCTGTAAACTTTTTTTTAGTTATTCCAATCCTTTCAAAAATGGATATTACTTTTTATAATTGTTAAGATATTCTTAAGTGCACTCATCAAACTTGGATTAAGTAGACACTGAATAACTAGTTGGTTTAAGTATGCTTTTCTAAACGCTTGCATTGCTTTTGTTAATTAATGAAAAATTTGATTGTGGAGCTTCTACATATTATTTTACTCTGTCTTCTTAAGGTCTAAATGTGGTGTTTTGAGTCAATGTGCTTTGATAAATAAAATCCAGGATCCCTAGATTATAAGCCTAATTTAATGAGAAGGTTGGGAACTATTGAACATCTTCATACGAAATGAAAGCCTGGAGAATTTCTTATTGGTAATATCCTTCATCGTCTGCAAATTTCTAGAGATCTGTATTTTAGGATTACATGGCTTGATTCGCAAAGAAAGCATTAATGTTATTACTTTTGAATTAATCTCTTTCGAATTTACAGATATGCTTCAAAATTGTATCAGCTATTGATTTTTGAAATTGTGGGTTCTATAATTATTGACTTAAACCTTATATTTCTTCTTTGTTTTCATTTACTAATAAATCAATTATCATCAAAAGTTTCTGTATGTATGTTATTGATCTATTGTTAAATATAGGAGTTAATTATTTATTGTTAAAATGCACAAAGTATGCTAACACAGGAAAACCATATGTTTGCATCTTAATCTAGTATTCTTAAGTCAGCTGCCTGTTTATTTTGTCATTGTCCAACTATTACAAATTCATTAGTATGCACATCAAAGAATAACCATAATTCAGGTTGGCAGTAAAAGGATTCCCTGCTACAAACAAACACTACAATGATTATGGTACATGTTAGAATTCCTTAATACTTTCAATCTGGTTGTTGGACAAATTTAAGTATTGTAGGTTCGTAAATTATTCTAATCCATCTAATTTCACTATTTTGTTTCCTGTAAGATGTAACTTTGTTCTATTATAATCAGGCAAATCATATACATGTTCTTAAATGTATTAGAATATCCTATTGTTTGAATTCCAAAATCACTCAAAGTTATAGTATCAGATTTTATGTATTATTATTTCTAGTTAATAATTTCAGATAACATTTTAATTATTCTTAAAAATCAAATTACTAAATCAATTAAGGAAATAAAAATTAAAAAACAAAAAATATTGATCTAACTAATTTAAAATATGTAATAACATTAACAAGGATATAATCAAGAAATCTTATGTTAATAATTATCTGTAAAAGGGCATAAAACTTCTTCATTTAACTCAATTTTAATACCTAAAATTAAATAAATTTGTTACAATTTTCTTGGATAGAACAGTTTCTAATTATAAGAGCAAAGTAGAATTCGAATTTTTGATAAAGGATATTAATAATATCCTATCTGAAGTACCCTTCAAATACTAAAAGAACTCTATAATCAAAATCTCTGTATATATCTGCTTAGATATTCTTTTTACTTGTGTTGCCAAAAACAACAAGCAAGAAAAGATGAAAAACATTAGCTAAAGTCTTAACTTCACATTATATGCCATACGTTTACACATTTATATAACGCTTATATTTATCTGCTATTTTATTGATGTAAATATTCAAATTAATCTATTAAACTGATTTCTTTCGTGAATTAATTTTCCCAATCAAATATTTTATTTTTATAAACTAAGATAACTAAAAAAATTGCCTTTTGTTGTACTACTTATCTGAATCAATGATATTAACTAAGTTCTTGAGTATTTTAAGGATTACTGTTGATTGAGATATGACATCAGTGTTAGATTTAGTTTAATCCTCATTGACAAGTAGAATGATTGGCTTGTCTCCAAAAAAGAGTGAAAAATGAAATTACATCAATTTCTTTTCATACTTGACAAGAATTTATTAATTAATTACATCCTATTAATTTTTTTTATGTTAATTAATTTATTAAAAAAAGAAATTCTAAATTGGTTGATTATTGCATTTAACCTAGCGAATATATTCTAAAAATGCCTCCAAAGATGTGTTTTAAGGAAGAATAGTTTATAAAACCTTCTTAATTTTAAACTCTTCATCATCATAATGCAGCAACACAAATTTCTTGTTGTTGTGAAGTATTTATTTAAATATTTTTTCCCATTTGTTGTCCACTAAGGTTAAAATGAATTGTGATCTTTTGGCTTTATTGAAGTTATATAAGTAATATATCCATACCAAATGAAGAGCAGTCGTTACTAACATAACATTGATATTCTAAAATTCACCATAACAAAAGAAATAATACAGTCTCATTCCCAAAGTCACTATTGTTCCAAAGGCTGCCTCTGGGAACTCCCCCATTATACTGTTTAATATATTGGCTGTAACTTAATTCCCACCGTTATAGTTCTACGCAATAAAGTCAGTAAAAACATCATATTCNTATTATTATTTCTAGTTAATAATTTCAGATAACATTTTAATTATTCTTAAAAATCAAATTACTAAATCAATTAAGGAAATAAAAATTAAAAAACAAAAAATATTGATCTAACTAATTTAAAATATGTAATAACATTAACAAGGATATAATCAAGAAATCTTATGTTAATAATTATCTGTAAAAGGGCATAAAACTTCTTCATTTAACTCAATTTTAATACCTAAAATTAAATAAATTTGTTACAATTTTCTTGGATAGAACAGTTTCTAATTATAAGAGCAAAGTAGAATTCGAATTTTTGATAAAGGATATTAATAATATCCTATCTGAAGTACCCTTCAAATACTAAAAGAACTCTATAATCAAAATCTCTGTATATATCTGCTTAGATATTCTTTTTACTTGTGTTGCCAAAAACAACAAGCAAGAAAAGATGAAAAACATTAGCTAAAGTCTTAACTTCACATTATATGCCATACGTTTACACATTTATATAACGCTTATATTTATCTGCTATTTTATTGATGTAAATATTCAAATTAATCTATTAAACTGATTTCTTTCGTGAATTAATTTTCCCAATCAAATATTTTATTTTTATAAACTAAGATAACTAAAAAAATTGCCTTTTGTTGTACTACTTATCTGAATCAATGATATTAACTAAGTTCTTGAGTATTTTAAGGATTACTGTTGATTGAGATATGACATCAGTGTTAGATTTAGTTTAATCCTCATTGACAAGTAGAATGATTGGCTTGTCTCCAAAAAAGAGTGAAAAATGAAATTACATCAATTTCTTTTCATACTTGACAAGAATTTATTAATTAATTACATCCTATTAATTTTTTTTATGTTAATTAATTTATTAAAAAAAGAAATTCTAAATTGGTTGATTATTGCATTTAACCTAGCGAATATATTCTAAAAATGCCTCCAAAGATGTGTTTTAAGGAAGAATAGTTTATAAAACCTTCTTAATTTTAAACTCTTCATCATCATAATGCAGCAACACAAATTTCTTGTTGTTGTGAAGTATTTATTTAAATATTTTTTCCCATTTGTTGTCCACTAAGGTTAAAATGAATTGTGATCTTTTGGCTTTATTGAAGTTATATAAGTAATATATCCATACCAAATGAAGAGCAGTCGTTACTAACATAACATTGATATTCTAAAATTCACCATAACAAAAGAAATAATACAGTCTCATTCCCAAAGTCACTATTGTTCCAAAGGCTGCCTCTGGGAACTCCCCCATTATACTGTTTAATATATTGGCTGTAACTTAATTCCCACCGTTATAGTTCTACGCAATAAAGTCAGTAAAAACATCATATTCAAGGACATACAGTGTAAACAAAATGTTTATTGCTGACTGAGTTATTCGTAATTTTTAACTACTTTCGAATTTTATTGCATTATAAATCAACACAACAAACAACATGCCAATATGAGGATATAAATTGTCAATAATTCCTTTGATTATCATCATACAGATTTTGAATATCAATCCAATTGCTAATGTATACGAAAATAGTTTAAATTAAAATATTCTTTGTGATATTTGATGATTTTTTTGATAGATGTCTTCAATATTTTAGTTTATAAAAAAGCATGTGTATTTATTCATTTTAATTTAATTAAAATACAAATACTTGATACAATCGCTTTATTAAAAGGTTTATCATGGATAATCCTTGGTTCTGACTAAAAATAGAATTTTGGAGATTATTGCTGAAGAAAATTCACATATGTAACTAAATACTTAAATTATTCAATATTAGTGATTGAAGGGGTTTTATTAAGCAAATTTAGATCTTTAAAGGTTTAAATTTGAGTAAAAATATTATGATAATTAAAAAGTAAAAATAATTTAATAAATGAATAATGAACTTAAAGTTTATAAAACTGAATAGCAAAATCTCATAATCACAACAGACAGGGAGGATAAGGATGGTTGCTTTGGGAAATTGTTTTATTTGAACATTTATTCACTGATGAAAGTTTTCAAATATAATATTTTAGAATGCATAATCCCATTAGTTAAATGAAGAAGAATTGGAAGAATATTTTATCTAATAATCATCGGAATCTCTGCATGAATAATTTTCAGAACTCCAAAAATAAAACTTACATTCTAGTTTAACAATATAGCTGTTAAAGTTTTTTGTTAGTAAATTTGTGGTAATTATTAGAAAGGTTCTTCAAAATATATTGTATATAACTCATCCAATTGGGTAGCCAACTTTTAATGCCTTTGATAATCCAATATGTGTTGACATATGTTTCTAAAGTTGACAAAACAACATCAGATGGTGTAATTCTGATTTGCATAATTTTTGCAGTAAGAATTGTAGGAATACTGTCATAAACCCACTCAAAATTGATGTTAGTAAAATAGATATATATGAAAGATATTAGCTGGACAAGATGCTATGGCAATAGTGAGTATGTAGATTATGAATAAATGCTTAAAATTATCAACTCTGAGCAATACTTAACGTACTGTAGGAGAAATAACAAATTTAATTTAAGTAGATGCATAGAAAATGGTATATGCATCCAATAATCTATTGAATATCTCAATCATTCCAATCTAAACATGTAACAATAGTTGATATCCTAGTGATTACCTTGATTTACATCTATAGAGAAATTGGATATACTGTATTTGTTGGTATTATCATAATAATTTTAACTTTTATTGCCAATCATTTTCTTGGGAAATAGTTGTTATTGTCTCAGAAAGCTGTACTCAAGAGCAAGGATGATAGGATCAAACAGACAAATGAAGTTTTCTAATAAATTAAATTCATTAAAATAAATGCATACGAATCAATATTTTAAAATAAAATAGAGTAATTGAGAGAGGCAGAAAGAATTTGTATAAAGAAGAGACTGGATCACTTCTCCTTTAACGTATTTTTCGGTTGGCTTACACCTTAATTGATATTAAGTTTGAGCTTTGGTGTTTATGTTTATATGGGAAACGAATTAACCCCTAGTAAAGTATTTCCCATAATCAGTTTGCTATTAATGTTGGCATCCAATTTATAAATATTACCAATTTCATATAATTCATTACAAGAAGCATTGCTATCATTAAAACGAGTATCAGCATTTTTGCAGACTGATGAAATCATGAATAAATGCATATAGTAACTAGATTATAGAGATCCTAATATTGCCATAAAAATAGAACAAGGTAATTTTCATTGGAACAGAAGCCAAATCTAAAAGGAAACTTCTCCAATTCTCAAGAATATTTCCCTAGCCATTCAGCCAGGTTAGTTTGTTTCTTTGATTGGAGATATTGGCAGTGGCAAGTCTTCTCTAATTTAAGCTCTAATAGGAGAGATGGTTTATAATGAGGGAGATTAATAACCGTATATTTAAACATATGGGAATATAGCGTATGTTGGATAAAAGGCTTGGATATAGAATGGGAGTGTCAAGGAGAATATTTTATTTGGTAAGGAGTTTCATTAAACATCTTATGATAATGCTGTTTATTATTCATGCTTAAATCAAGATCTAGAGATCTTAATAGATGGAGATGCGACTACAATTGGAGAAAAGGGAATCAATTTATCAGGAGGTTAAAAAGCAAGAATAAGTTTGGCAAGAGCAATCTATAGTGATGCCTCTATATACTTATTAGATGATCCTTTAAGTGCTGTTGACATACATGTTGGTAATTTTATTATGAAAGAATGCTTTCTTAAATATTTAAAGGAGAAAACAAGGTTGTTATCCACTCATGCTTTGAGCTTTTGTCAGTATACTGATAAGGTCTATCTTCTTTAAAATGGGGAGATTATAGATTCAGGGGAATATCAATATATGAAATATAACTAAAAGTTTTTAGAAATAGAACAAAAGTTTAGAGATAAAGCAGAAGAACTTATAGAAAATGACAACTAAAAGGAGTAAACTAAAAATGATATCTCAAATATGAATACATCTTCTGCAACCAAAAAGTAAAAGGAATTCAAAGATCCAGAAGATTTGATTTTAAAGGAGGATCGCTAATCTGGAGATATCGACATTTCTGTTTATCAGAAGTATTTTCTATATAATGGAGGATATAAAAATTATATGCTCTTATTTATCGTAATGGTAATGTGGATCATTGCTTAGTTATTCTCTACACTTTGGATTGCACACTGGTCAGATGATTTATATAACTAAGATTACAGTCCAAAGACTTATATGATAGTCTATTTTTGTGTTGGAATATTCTAGGCAATATTGGCATATGGAAGAGCAGCCTCGATTGCTAATTCAAGTGTCAAATCCACAACCATTATTCATAATCAAATTATTAAAAGTCTACTTAAGGCTCCTTAATGTGAATTCTTTGAAAGGGTGCCTACTGGTAGAATCATGAACAGATTAACAAAGGATATCAATTCTTTAGATATAGAAATCAATATGAATTTAAGTTTTGCATCAACTAAAATAAGCTAAATTGTCAGTTCAATCATAATTGGCTTAATAGCTACAACCAAATTGATAATAATGCCATTAATCTTATTCTTCTATATAAGTATCAAGATTTAAAGAATTTACATGAAAGCCAGTAGAGAAATGCAAAGACTAGAATTAATCAGCAAAAGTCCAATATTAAGTTACTTTGTAGAATCATTACAAGGTCTATCAACTATACGAGCTTTTTAAAAGTCCTTTTTATTCTTGAACAATTTCAGTCAAAAATTAGATAGAAATAGATAAATTATATTTGTTTCCACTCATGCTAGTTGTTGGTTTAATCAAATATTAGGATTCTTAAGTTTAATTGTAAATATGTTCGCTATTATTTATTGTATTCTTTTTTCTAGTAATGCATCTTTTGCTGGATTAATTTTAACTTATGTATCATCACTAGATATTAATACTTAGCAAACTATTGATTCGTTGGGTTTGTTAGAAAATAACCTGATATCATTTGAAAGATGTCTAGATTTTACAAAAGTACCTTAAGAAAAACAAAATCAAAATGATCCACCTAGGAATTGGCCAAGTTCTGGAAAGATAGAATTTAAGGAATTATCTGTTAGATACAGACCTAATTTACCATTCGCGTTGAAGGAATTCTCATATACTATAAATGAAAATGAAAAAATTGGAGTTGTTGGTAGAACAGGAGCAGGAAAATCCACAATTGCACTTAGTCTAATACGAATGTTGGAGGCTTATGAAGGGCAAATTTTAATTGATGGCATTGATATTTCCTAGATTTCTTTGGAAAAACTAAGAACATTCATTACTTCTATTTAATAGGATGCTGTAATCTTTCATGGAACCATAAGATAAAATCTAGATCCTATAGGATAATGCCATGATGAAGACATTAAAAAAGTGTTAAATGATTGTTGTTTAGAGAAATTTTTAAATGAAAGAAATGGTTTGGATACTATGATAAATGAAAGTGGCGATAATTTAAGTGCAGGGGAGAAATAATTGATTTGCATTGCTAGAGCTATCCTCAAAAAAGCTAAAATTATATTAATTGATGAAGCAACAGCCAATATAGATTTGGAGACTGAGGAGAAAATCCAGAAAGCTATTGCAATTGCTTTCAGAGATTGTACAGTAATTGCGATTGCGCATCGCATTAATACAATTTTGAAATGTGATAAGTAATAAATTTGTTTATTTAGAATACTTGTCATTGATAATGGACAAATAATTGAATCTGGACTCACAAAAGAATTACTAAATAATAAGTCCTCTATTTTTTATAATATGTATTAAGAAGTAATGAATGGTTAATAATTGATTATATAATTCTGAAAAAAGAGTTTATGTAAATATACATTATTTGATAATTTATTCAATGTATTATCAATAATATGGATATTCCAATAATTTATGATATTTATAAGAGTATCATTTTTGAGACATTATATTTAAGGGTTTTTCACTTTACTTAATTCTCTCTTCTCTTTATTCTATTTAATTCATAAATCTTTTTATCTATTCCTTCATTATTTTTTTAATTTTTATTGAACAATGATGGATTGGAATCTTTTTATAAAATTATTGTTTGATTATGATACAAGAGATTTTTGGGAAATGAACACATAACTATATGATATTCATGAAGATTGATATATGATAACTATTAATCTGATACAAAATTATATAAAATATCAATTAATTTATCATGTATAATACTGAGTTTTGGGTAAAGTATGTATTTAGAGTGTTGCACATTGGAAGTGTTACAGCATTAGGAGGTCGTATAATATACGATTATTTATGGCCTGATTAAGGAGAGATAACAAAGGCATAAGCATTATTTGCAGGAATTTCAGGATTCCTAATGATTTTGGCAGGGATCGTAAACATATTTTTGTTGAAGGGAAAAGAAAAATTAAAATCTAAAAATAAGTTTTGGGCTGGTACCTTACATCTCAAAGCAATAACGAGTAATAATAATAATAAGTATATATAATAGCCATAATTATACTAACACCTTTGGCAAAATTTATATCTAGAGATCAGTAGGTTGTGAAAGCCATATAATTTTATTATGTAGTTGCTATGCTGTTGCTGAGTCCGTTTTTAAGATTCTATCGTGAATGGTGGACTGAGTTAAATAGATAAAATAAATTAAGTTGAAATAATATTGCATAAGAATATGAAATATATTGATATTTTAATTATTTTGAAAAGAGGGGTATCCATCACATGAAATATAATTGATTAAAAAATTTCCTCTTGAACTTATTATATTGATTAAATAATTGAATGGTTTTATTGGGATTATAAACAAATGAAATTTAGCAATATATTAACATGTTTATGTAATTTGTTTGATGCAATAAGAATTTAGTCATAAAAACTGAATTGATATGAGTGATTTTTAAATTGTGTTATTCATCCCTTTAAGAGAGTGAAGTGATCTAAAAAAAGGATGTTCATTTAATATTATTATGTTACAAAAATCTACAAAGCTAACTCGATGTCAAAGAATTGTTTAGGGTATTAAGGATGATATGTAATCTAAAGTGCAGTAGAAACCACTCACGAACAGATCAACTCGTCTGAAAAATCTGACTACCGAATCATCTCCTATGATATTGGACTACATACCATTACCGGAGAATCCAAAATTGGATGCGATGATGGACAATATCAAGCGTATATTGGATAAGCATAAGAAACAGCCTTCTGCTCAATAGGAATTAAAAAGCATGCTTTCTGCAAATCAAGTGAAACAAATTTATGGAAGTAGAAGACATATGATTGAAGTACGATTTAAAGAGTTCTATAATTCAAGATTGGCAAGTCCTCAAATTCACTCGGATGTAGTAGTGGATGTCAGTCCATAACAGGCTGACTTAAAGTCATCTCGTTTGATTCAATATCAAAGAAGGATTGGATTGGTGAAAAAGAGAGATTTGCTGGAGGAGAGAATATAAGAAATTGGTTAACGATATAGAACAAAATAATGATAATTAATTAATGCCTTATAACATTTATGATTAATAACTAAGATAATAAGACCGACTGTTAGCCAAGTTCTAAGAACTTTTTAGCAAGCCATCACATTAAACTCGTTTGCACAAAAGTGAAGCCCTTCTCATAGCAACTTTATTTCTCCTTGAAGGATTGGCACAAACAACATTAATGCTGAATACTTCACTTGTACTGATATATTTGCTAAACATCATTTACTCATCAAATCCTTAATAATTGCAAATCTTCACTCTAAAATGGTTTTTATTAAGTAAAATTCTAACATCTAGATTAATTTGGGCATTAGTGTCAGAAATTAGTATTGAATAGTTGCGGCTAGATTTTGTTTTGTTTTGTTTTGAGCTGCTCATTATAGTCATCAAATTTAGGATTTCTAACAATAAAATAGCCATATTGGCAGGCACTCTGACATTGTATATAGGATTACTACTAATATTGACATAGAAATGCGATGATATTGTAATACTCAGTTGGATTGGAAGTTTATATGCAATGTGGGTAATCTTCAATAACCAACTGTAAATTTAAGAAGAATATGATAGGAAGATTAAGGAATTTGATGGAGAAGCTACAAAATTAAAGAAAGAAACAGAGATGTCATTTAAAACCATAATAATTGAAGATTAATAATAATCTCGTTAAGAAGAATTATTAAAAAAATTGCGATTATTAAAATATTAGAAATTATTAGACAAAACTGAGCACATCTATTTAGAAGAGAAGCTCTTACAGAAATAATTGAGTAATCCCTCCAGAGTCTTAACTGTACGCAATTTGCCTGACGATGACGATAAGAGTTCCATCTAAGAAATTGAAGAAACTTCTAGTAAGAAATCACCAAGCAGAAGACCTTTAAGATTGAATTCCATTAATGAATCGTTATCCTTTGCTCACACTGTTGGTCATAGCATGAATAGGGATGAAATTAAAGAGGATGACGACAACTTTCTATCTTTGGATGACCTAAATGATTTATTAAAAATAGTGAGTGGCAGAAAAGAACATTTGTGGTTACCCTCATATCTGAGAAGCACTAAGAATATTGATTCCAGAGGGTCTGAATCTTTTTCACCTGAGGCCAAGAAGTAAATTTAATTTATATTATAGTTTCATACTTAATCATTTTACAGAGCATGAATTTAATTTTTAATTATTATAAGGTGAAACCAATATTCAAGAGCATCAATATTTCATAGATTCCAATCATAATCAAATGAAAGAGTGCTTAAATAACTTTAATTTTGATTTCTTTGAAGTAAATGACCAAAATAAATTTATTAGTTTTAGTTCCTTCATCTTTCAAAAATACAAGTAATCAATCTTAACTATATGTTAGCATCAATTAGGTACTCAAAATTAAGGAGAAGTCTGTTCAAATTGAGTTTTGTCACAGAATTGAATCATTTTACATGCAAAACCCTTATCACAATTCTATTCATGCAATGGATGTGGCTAACTCAGCATCCTTCTTTTTAGAGAATGGTCTGGATGTCACTCCCTTTGAATAATGTTGCTTGATTATATCTGCACTATCGCATGATGTGGGACATCCTGGATTAAATAACGGCTTTTTGGTTGCTTCTCAATCCAAATAAGCATTAATATGTAAAGATGAAACCATTAAGTAGATAATGATCAAAGTGTATTAGAGAGTTATCATGCTTCTTTGATGTTTCATGTATTGAAAGATGAAAAGGCAAATATCCTTAAAAACATCAATGATGTTGATTATAAAGGATTTAGAAAGTACTGTTTAAATCTAATATTGGACACTGATCTACAAAAGCATTTTCCATTATTAAATAAATTCAAGAACTTTTTAGCTTTAGGTTCAGATAGCCAATCTGATGAGCAAACGAAGTTACTCATACTCTCCATAGCAATTAAATGTGCAGGTAAGATGAAAATTAATGTATAGATGTTGGACATGGAGCAAAATAGTTGAATTTGCATAAGATTTGGAGTCGTAGGATAATTGAGGAATTCTTCTTGTAAGGAGATTTGGAGGCTTAGGTTGGTATTCAGGTGACACCTATGTGTGACAGGAGCCAAAGTGTGACAAAGTCCCAGGAAGGCTTTTTAAAAGCTATTGTGTGGCCTTTATTCGATGCCTTTGGGGAATTCTTGAAACAGTATGAAGATAATATTTGATTCTTTTTAGTGAGAATTTTAGATAGACTTGTTTAGATTAGATAAGTGTGAATATCTAATATTGGCAGTAGCAGTAATAGGAGGAGGAGAACAAGGGAAAAGGATACAAGTGTTCGTTCTTTTAAGATACTAATATCATTAGCATCCCAGTATAGAATAAAAATATGATGTTCAATTTAAATTGGTGATATTATTATTAATTATTTATATTTTCAGATATTGTATTCACATTTAGTTTATGGTAATTTATGTTTAGTTATCCAAGGATGTTTGAGCATTTATTCAATAGTCAATCTTTTATTGGGGTCAGATTGAAGACCTCCTTTGACAAAGAAAGTTAATTCTGCTGAAAAGGTGTGTGGAATAGTTAAACGGTGCTAAAGAAATGATGATTGAACTGAATACCTTTAGTATATTATCCATGATGCCTTTCTGATCTTTATTTCCCAAAAGCACAAATGGAGTCTACCCATACACCAATTCATAAGCAAGCACAGCTATTTGCCATGCATCCACTCTTGAATCATAGCCCTTCATCTGAATCACTTCAGGTGCCATGAACTCTATTGTGCCACAAAAGGTTTATCTTCTGTCCTGATTCGAACAAACACAACCAAAATCCCCAATTTTGATTTGATTAAATGATAACATGATATTCTCTGTCTTCAGATCTCGATGCATGACTTTGTTGACATGCATATACTAAATGCATTGTAGGATTTAGTTTATGTAATAAGCTGCTTTATTCTAAGTATTGAAGGCACATTTACTTCTGGGAACTTGTATCCAGGCTGTTTTCTTTGGACTTTAAAGAGTTCGCCCTCGTTGCAATATTCCATCAGCAAGTACAAATTGTATTCATCAGAATAACAATTATACAACTTAACTATGTTCGGGTGATTCAGTTTCATTTGCACTTTGATTTCCTGGATCATTTGTTTCTATAACTATTCATCCTGGATTTTCTCCTTCTTGATCACCTTCAAAGCATAGACTGTACCACTCAATTTGTCGCTTATTTTAAGTTCTGATAATACATGCACAAATGAACATCCGAAAATTGGCCTCTTCCTAGCAATTTGCCAATTCGAAATTGAGGAATCCCTTCAAATGTTTGGAACCTCGACTTGGGAAACCAAGATTGCACTGTCTTATATGTCTATATTCTTGACATTGTCATACAATCCTGAGGGGAAACCTTTTTCAACATTGGTGATGCGATCCTGCTTGTCATATTCACTAATGTTGGTGGTTTGTGTAATTGTTCCGCTGTAGATTTCGATGAAGTTGATTCCTTACTACCACCGCGAAGTGTTTAATTCACTGAATCCCGCAATCTTAATAAGTTTTATTCGAGAGTGACTGTTCTAGCAATTAACCCATTCCATTTCGTTTGGGTTTCATGCATCTTCTAAGATACTGACATTTTCAAGTGACTTTACAATTTTTCCTACTTTTTAGGCTCTGAATTACCCCTAACTTAGGTTGGCTTTTAGAGATAGAATGATTTCATATAATAATTTTACGATTATTATTATAATAATTAAAATTATTTTGTATCATAATCTGATGCTTACAAGTATTATCAAATTAATACTCTCATAACCAATTTTCAGCAATATTAATTTTGATTCAATTTTGAGTCTCAAATAAAGTAAGAAAATGAATTATTAGTAATATATAACTATTTTTTAAGAGTTGATAGATAAAGGGCATATAATAAGAAGAGTTTTTTTTAATTCTTCATGGTTCTTTGAGATTTTTCATAATTGAACAATAAATACTGTTTACAATTTATAATTAATTATTTCTTAAAATCTAATTATAATAAGTATAAGGAATCAACTAATTTAAAATAATAGTATGATTCTTGTAATCTTCTCTATTTATTAGAAACCTCATCATATATTAAATTATAATTCAATGCAAAATTATGTTATAGAACATAAACAATAATCAAATATTAATTATCATACGATGCAACCGTAGATCCACTTTCCTTACAATATAATTTCATCATCTAGTAGCAGGGTCCCAACTCCATGAAAAGTGTCTTATGAGAATCCACCAACAAATTTATAGAGTTCTCCTCCACAATTGAATTACATAACACCTTTTCCAAAGAATTATCCATTTCTGAATTCCCCTTCATACATAGTGAATTAATGTTGAACCAATTGAAATGATTTAAAATTGTTTAAATTAAATTAATCTTCTTAAAAATCTTAATTGATGAACCTCCCTTTACCCTCAAAGTGATCTTATAACCACTCTCCTTAATAAATGATATTTTAATTAGTATCTTTAAGTGTTCCATTCCCAGACCTTAGACCATCTTCCCATTCGCCTTCATAAGTGAATCCATTTTCATACATTTTTCTACCTCTACCATTCTGAACAGGTTCAATAAATCTAAAATTCGATTTTTTGAACTTATTAACAGAATGAGAGGAATTATGAACCCTATTTCGATGGCTAATGGAAATATTTGAACGTCTATTGGTATCTATGTTGGTTGGATTATTATTGTTGATTGAATTTAGACATGATTTAATAGATTGCTAACTTGAGAGATTGCTCATATAACAAGATTAAAGGTAAGATTATTAATCTAGATTTTCGAGATTATTTCTTTAGAGTTGAGATCTTATTGATATTAATTATGATGTAAATTTTTGAAATTTATCATTTTTCAATTTGTTAATAGAAGATTAAGTAAGCATAATTTTTTGATTATTAGTCCGGAAGGGAGATTCCAAAATACCAAGAGAGTTGACTCTTTTTAAGCGCTAACTCATAGGTGGATTGGATTCTGCAGTTGTTTTCTGAGTGTCTTTGAAATAACGTTTCATTATATCAGTTAAGAAAAATTAATAATAAAATTATATGTATTGATAAATAATTTCACTCTTCGACATAGATGTCTTTATTTCCAAAGTCTAAATTACAATATTATCCCATTCCTTTTCCATAATTGAGACAGTTCAATTTGATTTTATCTAAGACGGAATCATCTTCAATAGTGGCAGGCATCTATGAGTAGATATATGCATAAATGAATACCTTGTATTGTAATCCATTGACAATGGCTTTAAGAGTGCCTCTAAGCACTTTTCCACTTCTAGTTTTTGGCAACTTTTCTACGATAATAGCACTTTAGAAACAAGCTAAGGGTCCAATATCATGTCTAATCATAGCAATTAGTTCTTTTTCTAAGATGGATGGTTGAACTTCATGTCCCTATTTAATGACTATAAGTCCAACAGGGATTTCACCTCTTAGGTCGTCCAATTTGGCAACTACTGCAGCTTCAACAATATCCTTGTGTTTAAGGAGGACCTCCTCCATGGCAGCAGTACTTAATCTATGCCCAGCTGTATTGATAATGTCATCAATTCTAGTCATGATATGCAGATATCCATCCTGATCAAAGAAACCAGCATCTCCAGCAGTATAATATCCTGGAGTATCAGCGAGATACTTTTGGATGAAGGCTTCGTCATTATTATATAGAGTCTGCATGAAACTTGGGGGCATAGGTAATCTGATGCAGATTCTTCCCATTTACCCAGTTTCAACCTCTTTGTTTTCATTATCCATGATTTTGATGACAAATCCAGGAGAAGGTTTAGTGGCACTGCCAGGTTTGGAAGGGAAAGTGTGTAGATCCATGAAATTACAAGAGATTATCCACCCAGTTTCAGTTTGCCAATAGTGATCATTGATTAATACACCAGTATTGCTTTGAATCCAATTGTAGGTAGGGATATCACATCTCTCTCCAGCCATTGAGATGCTTTTTAAACTAGAAATATTGGATTTTCTGATCCAATCTCCATTGGGATCTTCTTTCCTCATAGCTCTTAAAGCAGTAGGAGCAGTGTAGAATCCAACCACTTTATGTTTCTCAATTATTCTCCATATGGCTCCTGGATCTGGAGTCTAAACTGGTTTGCCTTCATATAAAACAATCGAGCATCCTTATAAGAGTGGACCATAGACTGTGAAAGAATGTCCAGTTACCCATCCTATGTCTGCCATAGAGAAGTACACATCGCCTGCTTTCAAACCTAAGATGTGTCTCATTGTCCATAACAATGCCACAACAGTTCCTCCAGTGTCACGTTAGATGCTAAGAGGATAAATTGATATAATTACCCTTTTGGCTATCCAGTGGTACCAGAGGTGTAGAGTATGTAGAGGGGATGAGTGCTTTCCACTTCCACACACTCAACAGGATTGGCAAATTTCATTGCTGTGTAGTAATCGAAGTCTCTTCCAATCACCATGCTGCATTATTTGGTTGGTCTTTGAACTATCAAACAAATTGGAGTGTGGTTTGCTAATTAGATTGCTTCATCGAGCATCACCTTGTAATCCACTATCTTATTGACTTCGAGTCCACATGAGGCAGTTATTATTAAGGTTGGTTTACAGTCTTTGATTCTTCCACTTAATTCCAAAGCAGAAAACCCTCCAAAAACCACAGAGTGAATTGCTCCTATTCTTGAACATGCCAGCATTGCAAATACTGCCTCCGGAATCATAGGCATATAGATTATCACTCTATCACCTTTTGAAACTCCTAGGAACTAGTCGATATGAGAGTTTACCAAATTGACGATAGACGCCGCTCAATCGAGATACATGATCATGCAATTCATTGAATGTGTATTGCAAACTATTGTGAACCATATTGCTTTCCCAATATAAAGCCACTTGATTTCCCCTCTAGATCAAATGCTTATCCAATGCATTATAACAAAAATTCAATTTCCCATCTCTAAACCATTGATAAAAATAATCATTTATTTTTGTCAGGATTTCTTCTGGCTTCTTGATCCAATCAACGAATTCACTTTGTTCACGCCTTAATCTTATTGATTTCTACTTTACCAATAATTGATCCTCTCTTCGGCATCACTAGCTCTACTTACTGCTATTTCGTATAAATTTTACATTTAATAAATTAATTAATGTTTTTTTTTTAATTTATTTTTATAACTTGAATGCTTTCATTCTGAGGGAATTTGAACAGAATATAAAAGAATTATTAAACTTTCTCAAAGATGCCACCATCCCATTATAACTCAATTTACTACATCCAATCAACAAATATGTAATTAATCCTATGCTATAATAAAAAGATCATTATTACTATTCATTTATGGATTCTTAGTGATACCCCCTTTAAACATATGATAAACTAAATAAATAGAACTATCTCTACTATTATACTCTTAATTTATAGAAAGATATTATTTTTAGTATAATCAAAAAAGGAACTTTGCCACTTTTGTGATTTATTTATATGAAATTATTGTAAAAAATATCTGATATTTCAGATGAATTATAATTTAAAATAGCCAATTTTGTTGGAAATATTAACTATTAGTGATATAAAATTAATAATCAATTTTTTTGTCTTTTTATCACATTTCTTCTGACAGAATAAAAGGAAGGAGGAATTGAAGGTCTGGTACTATGATAGGAATCTGATAATTTGGTTGGTTCCTATTAGAGTCTCATTTTTAATTTCAATTTCATAGCTTCAAAATTGGTTTGAGTGTTATTCATAATAGTATTTCTTACATTCATAGTAATTTGAGGAGGTGATTTAGTTTGAAATCTTTTGATATCTCTTAATTGCTTTTGTTTCTATGCTGTTAGATTACTACGCAATCTAGTGTGACGTTTAAAACCAGAATAGATGCTTTAATTGAGTCCTGGAATAGGTGTGAATTTTTCATCATCCATTACTTCCAATTAGGTTGTAGACGGTCTGGGAAAGAGTGAATGAGGGTTCTATTGCATATTTTGATTTACGTTCTGGGAACTATCAAAGAATTCGATAGTGGCAAATTATTGTTGATTCGCACAATTGTTTATATAGTTATTAAGTTAAGTTGATTTCTTGGGTAAAGAACGAGATGCAATCTTCTTAAGAATCATTCTTTAAGCAGCTGATTGATAGGGTTGATAGACTTTATTTTGGCAATGTTCAATAGATAGCATAATAGTTTACTGTAATAGTGGTTTTTATTGACCAGGACTATATTTTGATTCTAATTTAGATTTTTAAGTTTAATACAATATTGATAACAAGGGTTTTGATTGGATAGATTTAGATTTGCTTACTTCTTCAGATTTGTTTTCAATAGACTCCTCTTCTATCTCATCATCATCTAATGAATCAGAATTCCCTTCAGAACAAGATTGATTCATCTTATCAACATCCGACTTTAGTTCATCAATCAACTTTTGGAATTTTGTGTTTTGAAATGATATTTAACAAGAATCAGTGATACTTTTTTTGATGGAACTGTTTTTAGTGAATCTATTTGATCTTTTAAGGTCTTCATTCTTTAAATTAAAGATCTGATCCATTTCAGTTTGAGTGTCTATCATCTCAACCAAGGTTTCCCCAATAATCCAACCCATTTTTAACCAATGTTTAGTATTGAATTCGTAGGTTTAATTTTATGTGTAGTAATTACCATTTGATGTTTCAATTGTAAAACAATTCACAATATCATATAATTCAGCAAAGACTCCACGAGCAGTAGATTTCTTAGATTAACTAATTCTGAAAATTGAAGAATAAAATCTGAACATATCGGTTTTCTAACTAAGTAATTTGGGAAGAATACGACACTTATAATAATTATAATTCCAGAGAGCGTATTCTGGACCATACAAAAAGACATTCTTTTTGACTAGTTTATATGTTATTCATACTGGAATGTCCATGTAAATCGATAAATGCTATTAAATTATTTCCGAATTTCTTGTATTAATCCTTTACTAATTTCTTCATAGCCTATACAGTAGGAAACAGAATTTTTTCATCAGTCTACCTAAATTTCCTATTTAAATCCTTCCCTGCTAATCCAGTCCTATAATTGCCTAGAATAACTCCATCAGGATTCATCATTGGCACTACTTTTATTACACATCTTAAATAGATTATTCAATTTTTAATACTTCTCAAATATCTTAAGGCCTTAGTGACTAGACAAGTAATCCAATACGCCTTGCATCACCCAAGACCCATTTGATTCTCCAGGATGAATGCGTGCCTATATGATTATGCATTTCTTGTTCTTGTTTTTAACCTTATTGAACGTAAACATTGGCAATTGAACACCCCCCAAAGATTCACAAAATATTGAACGCTTAACATGATTACATCTTTTCTCTAAATCATCGCAATATTCTAATAATTAAGAATATGTATATGGAACACAATATGCAATCCTTAATAATTCATTATCTTGATTGCAAACGATACCAAAACTTAGGCAATTATTATTATTTTGAGATGTTCTATAGCATACATTCTCTCCTCCTTATAACCACTCTTGAGTAGTTGATCTCCAAATGTATGGTTTCATTCCACGCTCGTAAAGACTGTGAGACTTAGTGAAGTTACAAATATTTAATTAGATTTTTTCGCCTTTTTTCATTCCACTCAATTCAAAATTGTACCAAGATGTATGTCCTTAAGTATTTCCATCGACCCTCATATACAAGTCATACTCAAATTCTGATACTTGTTTCACCACATCCAAATTGCCACTCTCAAAGATAGAATTAAATTAAATTCTACAATTACATGTAGGATTCATCCCCAAAAATGGGAATTAGGTTTTGTTTTAATTTGCTTTGGATCGCTTAAATGGATATGTTGAAGTAGTAGAGTACTGCTTGTGCATTTAACCGTTATCTTGAGGTCTAAATCCGACATAAATAAGTTAATTGTTGTGTAAAGCATCTGAGATTATTTAATCATTTAACTAATTATTGAAGTTCAGCGTAAGCAATTTGCTGTAATCCAACTTGGGTGCCCAGCCAAGCAACATGTCATTCTCAAGACTTATGGTTTCATCAGTGAGAGCTATGGGTTTAGGAATTTGATTGTGAAATGGTTACATGTTCAAATCTGCATCCTAATTTAACATAAATTATATATATATTAAAATATGGAGAAAATCTCAAATCTCTTCAAAATGGAATGAACGGTATTTTTCATTTCAACACAACAACTACAATTAAACAGAAGTGTAACAACTCTGTTAACATCTCATTATTATTAGAACTAAAACTTTAGATAAACCATTTTACACTCTTTACGATTAACCCTTATATACTCTCGGGAAATCTAAACTAGTTTGAAGACTAATAATAAGAAATATTCTATAAAGTCTTCTTAGAAGGAAGGGGGTAAACTGTTAAGGTTAGTGAAAACATTCATAAGAATATTAAAATAAACCATATTGCAACTATAAACCAAAATGAAAGAATAATTTTTCAATAGTTTTTTGGTTATTTGATCTATTCCTTTATACCTTAACAGCATTATTAAAGATTTGTTATGGAAATAGAAGATGCGAATATAGTGTAAAGGTAGAAATTAATTATTGAGTTTGATTCATCGATAATCAATATTTTTTGGAAAGATCAATTTGTTTTTCAAACATTGTTAAATCAGCTGGTTGAAGACTCAAATGTTTGATGCAAATGTTTTAATGTTTCTATTTTATTAAGTTTTTATAGGATTCAACATAGTACTCACTTTTAAGAATTACTTTATGTGATAATCTTTGGAGTATGAAGACCATAAATCCCTTTCTCTCTCAATTAATAGAATTAATAATTCCAAATTTAACTCTATAATGCAGTTAAAATAAAATCTAATATGATAATTATCAATAAATGATTAAAATAATTTATAATATTTCGAATTTAAGAATTCAGAATAGTGTGTATTGCGAGTTTAAGAATCCAGAATAGTGTATGATTTAATAATGTAATTTTTATTATTAATTTAAGCAGGCGGTCACTTTTGTTTTTTTAAAAAATATCATTCTTGTCAGAATTTAAAATAAACACAACGTTAATGATTGTTGAAACTAGATATCCTAAAAATAAACGTACATAGTGACTGGGAATTAGATTTAGGAAAAAATGAATGATTAAATCAGATCCATTGAATTGTCACTTCTAAAATAGAGTCAAAATTTCGCATTAAATCAATCAATTCAACCTAAATGCAAATCTTAAGAGTATTTTATAAGAAAATTGTTTAAATAAATAACATAATTTCACAAACTACATATTTCAGCGAAGCAAAAAATTTAGTATATTTGACTTCTGAATGTGATTATGGCATTTTATTAGTTATTATTTATCATTTTCTCAATTCGTTTGCAAACAGCATAAGCAATATCAATTGCTTTAAGTATAAATGATATCAAATTAAATATCGTCATTTTCTAAAAGCCTGTCGGAAAAATAATCAAAATCATTCAAAAGAAAATTTTCTTCAGTGTAATTCTCTGTAGGTACTTTGTAATTTATTTCTAAATGCCCTCCAGGTGGATTGTTCATATATTTTTTATATATATATAAAAATCGTTATAATAATACATTTAATTGTAGTATAGGGGTAACATTATCATTCTAAAATACATATTTAGGAAATATATTATCATAGTGAAGATTTCTCATAGTATGAAATTCATTCAATCAAAATGACCAATTTTAAGACTAAAACTCTTCCAATGAGATATAAACGATCTTTGTTGTTAGTGGTGTTATTAATATCATCTAATAATTAGTCTTAATTTAGTTAATTTTTATTAATTATGATAGGAAATATAGTCACGTTGTTGGTTTCTTGGCTATTATTAACATTGATAGGTTTATTGTACTTGGAAATAGTCAAGTATAAATAAGAAAAGGATGTTGAAATATTTATTGGTTTCTTGAATAAGTTTATAGGATAAAATTATTATAATTCCCATTCATTTGATAGATAAGTAACTAATTATTTTCTAAGTAGTTCAATTCACTTCTTGTGTAACCTTAACATGATTATTGCATTCAATCAGACTTATATAAATATTATCATCCAGATGTAATTATGAACGACGTTTACACATTTCGCGAGTATTCAGGTCTTGTTAAGTAAGCTCTTTAGCAACACTATTTCGATGTATTGCCAAATGTAACACTTCACAAAAGAAACAAAGAGAGTATTAAAATTTTGATATTTAGTACCTTGTAAATATAAATTGCCTTTGTAATTAACACTGCCATTCACTTATTATGATTAATTAGCATTGTCCTTTAAAGTGGGACAGAGTACATTATTTTCCTATACAGAATAGGTTCTTTATGTCTGTTCCAAAACTATAACCATCTCCCTCAAAGATCCTCCTTATCCCACAAAAATCAATTAATGACCAATCAACTCAAATATTTAAATGATATCAAAAATAAAGGCTTGGATCAAGATTGTTTAGTATAAATTTAATTTAATTTTAGACCAACGCCACTTTTCTACCTAAAACTTACAGACTCTTTGATGAATCTGAATGCAAGTAATTTTTCTCTTATCTGAATTCAACGGAGTATCAAGATAAAGTAAAATTAGAAGGCCCTTAATTTATTGTAAAGATGGGATTAGAAGTTCATAGAGGAAGAGGAATAACAATGATGTTTCCTTAAGAAACTGAGGAGTTGAAGGACAAATTTCAGAATGGTTACGTTTGTGGATAAATTAAAACCTATAGAGTCGCATAATAATATATAGGAAATCCTGTGTTATTTAAGGGACATAAAATAGAGTTTAGAGTTTATTGGATTATAGCATCCACAAACCCCTTGATTGCCTATGCATATGATAAAACACTTATAAGAAGATGTATTCATCCATATGATAAATTCTCAACAATCAAAGGAGTTCATGTTTGTAACACAGCAATTGTTAAGAAGACTTTGTAATCGATGTTAAATGAAACTCAAGAATAGGGTTAGGATGAGGATGATGATGATGACAATAATGAGCTTACTAATATGAATAACAAAAAAACTGAGAATATCAATGCGAATAGCACAGTTAACAAATCCATTTCTGATCAAGAAGATCTCTATATAGATTGGAAACTTGATTACCTACAAGAACTATTGTTGAATCAGAGTAAAATCAAAAATAAAAGATGGTTAAAATAAGAACTGTTACCTTAGATTGATAGAATGATTATTCATGCAATCAGAAGCACACAATAGACTTTTGCGAAAGATAGCAAATTAGGGGAGTTCTTTGCTGCTGACTTCATAATGACAGATGATCTTAAACTCTACATAATGGAGATCAATTACAACCCATAGACTCTCAAGACTACTGAGGCAAGACTGAAACAACATACAAAAATGGTCTAAGACATGGTTGAAATATCCAATGCCTATTTGAGAAGTAGATATATAAGATTTAGAAAGATCATTGATAGGGTGGTAGAGAAATTATCTAAAGGGAAATCAAGACTACAAGATTTAGTAAATCCGAAAATGGGCTAGGAGATTCATTAAGCGTATTATAGCAGGTTGGAACCAAACATCAAGATTAGTTCAACAAATCTCTTTAGGTTGATTATGGATGATGGGTTACAAGGGACATCTAAATACAAAGACCTTATATAAGAAAAATGTCTGAAATGATTTTTAAGTTATACATTTTTATTTGCATTAGACGAGTTGTATAATAAGTGTTTTATTAATCTATTATTTGTTCTTTTACCGTTGAAATTAAAAATTAAATAATAAACTACACAATGTTAGTTTAACAGCAATAAAGGCAAATGCCAATGACACCAATTCCGCATAATGCTAGAAAAGTTATTGAAAACTTCAGCTATGCACTTTCAGATGCAATTGGAAAGGGTTTCAGTTCTGTAGTGTACAAAGGTAAAAATGATGAAACCAATGAAATTGTTGCAATAAAAGTTATTGATAAAAAGGGACTTAAAACACCTTTGCATTATCAATTATTGAGATCAGAAGTAGAAGCATTATCACAACTAAACTCCAACAATATCATGAGATTGTATAAGGTGTATTACACTGAGAACAATACCTACCTAATAACAGAGTATTGTGACTCTGGGGATTTGGGATCGTTAATAACTAAATAGGGGACATAAAAAGAACCATAGTTACAAAGGTTGTTCTATGGAATAATGTAGGGGTATAAATAGATGAAGCAAAAGGGTAATTATAGTCTCTCATTCTAGGGATTGTGCATAGAGATCTCAAACCAGCTAATATTCTACTAAAAGGACAAGTTCCTAAGATAGCAGATTTTGGATTTGCCACAACTCCTTAGACTATTGCCACAATGCCCAATGTTAATGTAGGATCACCATTGTACATGAGTCCTCAGGCATTTAAGAATAGATATTCTGAAAAATCTGATATTTGGGCTTTGGGTGTTAGTTTATTTGAATTGCTATTTGGGTAAGTTCCATGGCAAGCAGGGAGTGAGAGAGAATTGGCTTAGAGGATGGCTACTGTTCCTGTGAATTTCCCAGGATAAATTTCAGATGAATGCAGAGATTTCATTCAGAGATGTCTGGTAGTTGATGAGAACAGAAGAGCTACGGTTGAAGAATTGGAGAGACATGTTTGGTTACAAAGACAAGAGTTGCAAGTGATTAAAGGGAATGGATTTTAGGGTATTTTTAGAGGCAGTCATGGAGGTTAGCAAAATCATATTCAATTTCACAATATCTAAAATAATGGTTTTGTCAATACTACTTCTCCTCTAGGGGATGCTCATAATAAATAGTAGATGTTGCTGTAACCAAGGGAAAGCAATTATGGAAAAGAAAATACCTCTTCAATACCCAGATAATAACAAGGAAGTATTTAATAACAACCCCTTAAATCAGTTAAAAGAGTCCAAGAATCAAGGAAGGAGTCATAAGTGAATTAATCTATGAATCAAGAATTCTCTAGTTAGAGAGAGGAGGAGGAGTGGAATGAAAACAAAAAGAATGATTACATTGTTGTAGCTTAAATGAACTTTTGCAGATATTTATATAGAGTAGCTGCTTTAATTGACAAATATAGATTTGCTACTACTCCTTATTTGAGAGAGAAATTGTTGTTTCTAGTCAACAAGAACATAATGATAAAGATGAATAATCTCTAAGAATTCACTGAGGGTCACAACACTCTGAATTTAGATAAATTCTAAGAGTATATTCAAAATTCTTAGTTTGGTAAGTTGAGTGCAGCAATCAACTAATATTACCAAAAATATACCTTACAATTTAATACTGTCTGGTTGTGTCTACAGAATCCAGAATAAAAGTAACTCTTGGTTGTTGACAAAAAGTTTGATGCTGTCTTTGATGACAATTTTACTGAGTATGAATCTTTTTATATAATTCTCAACTCCATTCTCAGAAGTGCAATCAAAGAAATTGAATATTAACTCGAATAGAAGATCACCTTTCAAGATACCCAATAATTATTACCATTAGACATCGAAGGAGGTGTAATACTATTGGATTACTTGATAACATATTTTTAATTAGCATCCCTCATTCAAGAGTGTTTCGAAGATCATTATGGATTTGCTGTAGATTCTAAAATCGAATAAATTGCTGATGGCAAACCAGTACGTCTGACCTTTGGACACTACATCGAAATCAGAAATAAGATAAAATAACTTGATATTTGATACATAGTTTTATATTGACTGTTATTTTATACAGAGTATACTGAAAGTATCATTCTTTTTCATTTACTTCTATTTATATTATTATTATAAATATTTAATTAGAGATGCAATCCCAAAATAATCAATATCTCTAATTTGTAGGAAAACCACATGTCACTGCAGTCATTGCAGGAGGAAGGAGAAGAGTAAATTATACATTCGAAGATAAAAGTGAACTTGTTGAAGAATATGATATCAACAATCATGAATTAATTAGTAAATTTTGAATAATAAGTAATAACAGCTAGAAAATGGAAAAAGGTATCTAATATTAAAGAATCATAATGGGTTTATGAAGTTGGCGAAGCTCCAATTGATCAATAAAGCGAATTGAAATTATCTAATGCAAATGTAACCATTATTATACTAAATAAAGCCTATATTTTTAAGGAAGGATACTCCTCAGCACTTCTAATTTAGAGTCCGCAATCTGAGTTATCCAGAAGATGTTTACCAAATGGAAATTGATGAAAAAACTCAAGAAATTGTGATTAAAACAACAAATAAGAAATATTATAAAAGATTTGCTATTCCTGATATGAGGAGAGCAAATCTCAAGCTCGAATAAGGGAAGGTTACTCACGTTTATAAGAACAATACTCTAATTGTGTCTGTAAAGAATCCTTATATATTTATTAGTACCCAAAACCAGATTAAATACTAGAGAGAGAATATTAAATTAGATAAGAATTCGATAAATTAAACAAGAAGAAACCTAAGGAAGGTGATTTAGAGTGTGTATAACAATGATATATATATCTAAAGTATTTTCATTAGAATAGTATGATGTTATTATTTCAAGTAAANTCACTGAGGGTCACAACACTCTGAATTTAGATAAATTCTAAGAGTATATTCAAAATTCTTAGTTTGGTAAGTTGAGTGCAGCAATCAACTAATATTACCAAAAATATACCTTACAATTTAATACTGTCTGGTTGTGTCTACAGAATCCAGAATAAAAGTAACTCTTGGTTGTTGACAAAAAGTTTGATGCTGTCTTTGATGACAATTTTACTGAGTATGAATCTTTTTATATAATTCTCAACTCCATTCTCAGAAGTGCAATCAAAGAAATTGAATATTAACTCGAATAGAAGATCACCTTTCAAGATACCCAATAATTATTACCATTAGACATCGAAGGAGGTGTAATACTATTGGATTACTTGATAACATATTTTTAATTAGCATCCCTCATTCAAGAGTGTTTCGAAGATCATTATGGATTTGCTGTAGATTCTAAAATCGAATAAATTGCTGATGGCAAACCAGTACGTCTGACCTTTGGACACTACATCGAAATCAGAAATAAGATAAAATAACTTGATATTTGATACATAGTTTTATATTGACTGTTATTTTATACAGAGTATACTGAAAGTATCATTCTTTTTCATTTACTTCTATTTATATTATTATTATAAATATTTAATTAGAGATGCAATCCCAAAATAATCAATATCTCTAATTTGTAGGAAAACCACATGTCACTGCAGTCATTGCAGGAGGAAGGAGAAGAGTAAATTATACATTCGAAGATAAAAGTGAACTTGTTGAAGAATATGATATCAACAATCATGAATTAATTAGTAAATTTTGAATAATAAGTAATAACAGCTAGAAAATGGAAAAAGGTATCTAATATTAAAGAATCATAATGGGTTTATGAAGTTGGCGAAGCTCCAATTGATCAATAAAGCGAATTGAAATTATCTAATGCAAATGTAACCATTATTATACTAAATAAAGCCTATATTTTTAAGGAAGGATACTCCTCAGCACTTCTAATTTAGAGTCCGCAATCTGAGTTATCCAGAAGATGTTTACCAAATGGAAATTGATGAAAAAACTCAAGAAATTGTGATTAAAACAACAAATAAGAAATATTATAAAAGATTTGCTATTCCTGATATGAGGAGAGCAAATCTCAAGCTCGAATAAGGGAAGGTTACTCACGTTTATAAGAACAATACTCTAATTGTGTCTGTAAAGAATCCTTATATATTTATTAGTACCCAAAACCAGATTAAATACTAGAGAGAGAATATTAAATTAGATAAGAATTCGATAAATTAAACAAGAAGAAACCTAAGGAAGGTGATTTAGAGTGTGTATAACAATGATATATATATCTAAAGTATTTTCATTAGAATAGTATGATGTTATTATTTCAAGTAAAGTATAAATTTAATAATATATTTATAATATATAAATGATGTTATTATTATTTATAGAGTATATTTAAAATTATTCTTATTCTTACAATAAGAATTCATGATATGCATATTATTATAAATTGTTTATGTTTCTTAATATGAATACAATATTCAATTCATTGAATCATAATCATCTCCATTTCTCTTCTTTTTCATACGAATAATAACATATGCTATAAATCCAATCAATAAAACTCCTCCAACAATACTCAAAATGATCCACCATAATTTGGAGCTATGATATTAATAAGATTATACCTTTCTTCAGGATCTGGTTTAGGGGGATCAGGGCCAGGACCAGGGGGATCTGGCTAGACTGTTACCTTCAAATCGAAATCGACTTGAGATGAACTGAAATCATTTCCAACCTTGATGACTATCTTCTCTGATTTTAATGGGAACTCAGCAGTTTAGATGAATGTTAATTCAGGTTCTGCAATTATTGAATATTATTCTGTGTCACTAGTTGGTGAATTTGCATATAATTTTTCATTTCTAAAGAATAAACCGAAATTTAATGTGTTAAATGTTTAAGCATCAGCAGTGAAACTGAAACTTCCAATTGCTGTAGTTGGTTTTGTGGATTCTCCAATAGGATAAATTGCAACAATGTATTTGTCCATATTAGAATATGGAATTGCTGCATAACTCTTGGACACAGCCACATTTCTAACATTATTCCAAGTACCATATCTATTCAGTGAGAATTAAGTTTCCAATCCTGAGTAGGTCAAATAGGTTTATCCTTCCTTAGTAGCAAATTTAATCTTCAAACCATATTGAACAACATTGCTGGTTTAAATGAAAACATTAAGGGTGTTAGCCTCAAATGCTTTTAATTCTTTGACCAACAAGTATTGAGTACTACTAATGGCGTATTGTTTAATTTTCAATAATTCAGCTGATAGATTAACATACTCTAAATTGACTGTTACTAAGTTTTAATTCTAGAAGTAGAAATCTTAGAAGAAGACACCTTCACCACTTGTAATAAGCACTTTGTAATGTTAGATATCATCAACTTTATTGACTGCAGTGACAAGGAAATCATTAGGGGTAAATGTTAAAAGGTCTTCATATTGAGTTTGAATTTGACTTAAATTGATTACGTACTCTTCATCTAATTCCCAATTTTCATTCTCCATGTTGATCTTGGAAATAACAAATGATTAATTGTCCAAAACAATTAAGAAGTCATTTTGAAGTAACTCTATTTTTTTGGTTAGTTTGCCTAATTTCAATACTTCACCAACAGGGAACCAACCTGTTACACTAATACCACTGGTGGCATAAACAGTGTATTGAGTTCCATCGTGACATAAACTTAGGATATAATCTTCTGAGGAAGTGGATGCGAAACATTGATAGACTTCACTAGGTAAATCCAATGGGATAATATCCTTTTAGGTGTCATCATCATTTAGGAAAATCAAAGCATCATTGGCTTGGGCAATATTGTGATTGATGGATTTAATTTTGTATGGTTTGTAAAATTAAACATTAGCTTTTTCGACTGTTTATGTAAGTTACACTCCATTAGTAGCCTTATTGCATTGATCACAGGTAATTTGGAATCCTGAGATTTGGCCACTAAACCAGTCATTTCCTAATTTCTTTACTTTTTTAACATAATCCTTAGAGTCAATTTCGATCGAGTTGGCTTTGAATTTGGTTTTGTCTAAATACACCTTGGTTTGAGTATTGATGACTTTGATAGGTTATTTGATAGTGATGGAAGGTGAATCTTAGAAGTTGAAGATCTCTAGAGATACATCAATTTAAGCAGCAAATTATGGATCATTGATAGATGGTGCAACAATTAAGACAGGATTAGTCAACATAGAGTAGACTTGAGCTTGAGTCTTGGTTTGGAGATAGACATACATTTAAGATGAGGTTCCCTGAGTGGAGATCAATTATGGATCTTCAACAGGAAGAGCTTAGAACACTGCTTCATGTTAAAGTGTATTAGGTTGAATAACCAAAATGTGGTTCTTAGCAGTATCTTCATTAAGTTCTTATGTCTTAGTTTTAGCAACTACAAAGAGATAACCTGTGTCTGAACAGAAATCTCCCAAAAGTGGCCAGACTAATTCAAAGTTATACAATTGGACTACTTTGGTCTAATAGATGTTGTTCAATCTATCGAAATCGTATTCTACAATTTTATTAGTGATGACAAAGAATGTTTCAGCACCGATGGCCAATTCAATATTATCAGATTCATCAATGTCAATTTATTTTATGAAGGTGTATGATGTGTGGAAATCTAAGAGAGTGATGTGATCTTGATGAATCACAAATATAAGATTTTCTCTTAATTTTCTATTACCAAAGATCTTCTTGGGTGCCCATGTTCCCTTGTAACCTTATTCTACTAATAAATCCAAATCAACAGACTTAACAAATTCTCCATGTTCTGTGTATGCACTGACTGTTCCATTTTACAATAGGAATAGATAATTCTTTAAGAACAATATGCTAACACCATTCTCAAATGGGATTGTCTTAATGTCTTTGACTTAATTATTGGTGTATACTTTCATGTATACATTATTGTTCTCAACATAAGCGAAGTGGAATTTGGGACATTCACATTCCCACATTTAGAATGTTGATTTAGTCAATTTAGTACCAACACTCACACTGTCAAATACTTTCTCATAAGTGGCATCACCATTGAAGATGGAATCATGTGTAGCCTTGAGAATGGTTAATTTACCATCCTTATTCTATTGGGCCAAGAAGAAATATGATGATTGTGTTCCCACTAAAACATCATGGAATTGTAAATCCTTAGGTAATTCTACTGGGAATTTCAACTCCCAATAGGTTCTTAAGGTAACTGTTACTGCAGTTGTATCATCTTTCAATTCCACAATTTGCTTGTATTACTCGTTTGGTCCACTGGTTAATACATTCAATTAGAATGGCTCAGTGTCTTCTGTTATTTGACTAGGGAATGGAGTGAGACTGTCACTGTATTTATAAAGTTATTTATCATCACTTTCGATAATCTGATATGTTAGTTGAACCTTACAAGTTTGATCAGCACTTGTTGCTATGATTTCAATCATCTTCTTTTCTTACACAGTGTCAGATCCTTTGTATTGAAGATATCCTTATGATAAAGTGTATCTATAGGCTGTATCCTAAGTCAACACTATCATATCTGGCAAGAATGGATTAATCATTACATAATTAGTCTATGGAATCACTTATAATTGTAACAAGTCGTTTGATTTTGCATCGATATCAAAAAGATAAGTGGCATCATCTTGTCTAACAATCACGAACTCCTATGACAAGTCAACATTAGCTGGGAATGTATAATGAATTCCATCGGGCAATTTGTATTCTGATTTCAATACACCATCGACGATTAATTCGACAAATCCATATCCTAAGACAGCTATGTTCTCTGAGTAAGTGCCATCTCTTCTCAAGAAAATATTTCTATCAAATGCATAAGCAAAACTCATTCCAGTATCAATTTATTTCTTCAATGAAAATGTACCATTTGGAATGAAATTTACTACAAATACTCCATATTAAGCATCCAACAAATAAATATCTCCATTCTCCAACACCTTCATGTCCACTATATTAAACTCAAAATCATAAAATTTATCCAACAACAAACCCATAGTTACTCCATCCAGAACATATCCGGTATAGGAGGGTTAGCCCTTATCATTCAACAGGTAAATCTCCAATATGGAGTCTCCACTCAATGATCCATCTTGTGAAATCGAATATGAGGGAGTTGCTCTCACCAAGTACTTGAACTCCTTTCCACCCTATCCTTTCACCTTGTATTAGCCCAATATACGGCCATGGTATGCTGTTATCAATGCATCCTCCACCAAGTATTCATAAGAATCTCCATCGTTCACATAATATAACACATTCTTGACTTCATTCTTAACCACCTTTGAACAATCTACAATAAAGGTCTTCTCAGCGATATATTCCAAATCATAACAATTTAATCCGTCTGTTATTTAGTTCAGAGTTATGACCTCATCAAATTTTGGAGCCTCTACATTCTGACCTGCCTCCCTATCATAATTACAATCTCTTATACCCTTCAGCTATTCCCAATGTTATTGATGTCGTTCCCTTGTTTAAAAACACGAATGAATTGACCCAATATTTGTTTGACTTTAGTGCTCTTGATGATACAATCTTGGTGGCAGCTAACACTTCATAACTTTTAAATACATTAAAAATATGGAGCAGAACCTCCTGTGTTTTCTACCGGGTCTATTATCTTGAACTAGTTCTGTTGGGTATCACTTAAAGAGAATGTCAACCCTGCTCCACTAAAAAATTCATCAACCAAATTCCAATTCAATCTTTCATCTTTTGTGGCATAGATAGTCAAAGCATCTATCTTCTAGCTGCATTTCTAAAAACAAGGAGTTGTTAGTAAAGCAACAAAAATAAATGATGAAATCAAATTCATAAATTAAAATATCTACATTGACTCAAACTAAATTAGCTTATAATATAATAGAGTTTGATAATTGTGTAATATGTAATATTCAATACAGACTTTACAAAATAATATTCAAATTTCTATATTATAGATACTATTATATTAAATGAATAAACCCTATTCTATACCTTTTAATTTCTCCACTTTAATAAACCCTAACTCTCTAATAACTTCAAGGTTTTTATAATGACGAATACATCATTAAGGTTGTTTCATTTATTATAATCATCCTAGAAGAAGACAGGAGTTTATAAATATTTATAATTTGCTTTAAAAAAATAAAATATGCATTATCAATCATCATGAATCTCGTCTAACTAAAACTAGTTAATTTGATAAAATTCTTCTTCCTACTTTAATAATTATTATTGTTTTTTGTTTTCTCTACATATTTTTCTTATAAAACCCATTTTTTCATTTTTTTTTTCTTCCAAATTTACTATTAATAATTGAATAGAAAATACCTAAATTTTAGGCCTTTTTCAATAAATAATAATAATCCTCCAAAGTCTTTCTTGGACATCCAACTAATTCAGCTGCTTAATCTAATGTAATCCTTACTGTTCTTCCATCAACTTCTCTAGTTTCTGTTTGATAAACCTATCTAATCAGAGTAAGTTAAATTTTAAACCTCCACAATTTAACTAAATTCATTGCTTCACAGACATATCTTTCCTTTGTTCTGGCCCTTGGCTATTATTGCTATTATTATTACTACATTAATTTTTATATTTATACAAATTTTATATATAACTAATATTATAATTCAATAATCTAAAGCATTGTTTTTAGGACTTTTGAGTAATAATTATTTTTTCTAACGCTCGATATCTTTGGCTAACTTTTACTATTATTAAAACAATTTCTCTTTGTCATCCTTAAATTATTGGGCCTTATCCAGTTTCTCTTTTAATTTTTTATTTTTTGTTTCAACAATCTCTTTTAGCATATTAGCAGCCTTTTTTTTATGCTCCTTTATTTGCTCTTCCTTTTTCTATCTATCCTGCTCTTACTTCAATTTTGATAAGGATTGAGTTTCAGTAATAGATTTTAAATGTTCTTCATCCTTTTGTCTGATCTTATCTTGAAATGTCTCATTCTTATTATTAAGGATAAAGCCATTCCTTGATTTAATCTAAATAAGAATTTGATAAGTACATTTTTTCTATGATTATTTTTCTCCTTTTCAATTAATTCTATCTTGTCTTCTGCTTATTTCATTCTCTCCTATATTTAATTTATTTTTTCTTCAACATTCTATACTTTCAATTAAGCCTTCTCACTTTTTTCTGACATAATTTTCTTATAGTTTTACTAATTTCAATAAATGAAATATGCATACCATAACTTTTTTCAGCTTTTCCAATTTCTCCTTTTTCTTCTGCTCCAACATTTACTGTTTGACTTATTGATTGACTCCTATTTCATCTAATTTCTTTTGGTATTATTCAATTTTCTAAATCTTCTCTTGATAATATGCATTTTTCTCTTCTTCATTTCTCTATTTGATCTTCTTAAGTTGTTTCTTCTTGGCCAATTTCAACTCATTCAATAGGATTTCTTTCTTCTCATTTAAGTCTTTCCACTATTCCTCTTGCTCTTTCTAATACTTGTCCAATTGTATTTTCTTAATCAGAATTTCCTCCTATTGTGTTTTGACAATCCCTTCTGCTATTCTAAGATTAATTGTAATAATTACTTTTTGACAGTGGATTTCTTATTTCTATCAGTCTAAATTGTTTCTAAATTACTTTTATTGGCATCAAGTTACTCCATGACTTTGTCTTTGGATACATCATTTTGTGCTAATTCTTTCAATTTCCCTTGTTCTATCTTTTGAATTTGTAGTAATTTCTCTTTTTCTTTTTCCTTCTTCCTCAGTTCTATCTGATACAATATTGATGCTATTTTACCAATAATTTCTTTTCCTTCAAAGCCTATTCAACTTACTATTGTTTGGATTTAGTTTGTTCTAGAATTGAGTATTTACGTTTCTCTTATTCTTCCTTTTACTGTTCATACTATTTCAACTACTCCAATTCTCGTTCCTCCATTATAAATAGAGTCATACTTGTTTTTTCCTCATTTTGGCTAACAGTTTGTCTTCCTATAAGGCAAGGTATTCATTCTCAACTATTGATATGGATTCACTAAATACATTGAGCACCATCAGTTGCTTTTTTCATTTTCATGTGTAAATAATATTATATAATAATAATGAAAGAATGGGAAATGTATTGATTGCAATTCGGTTTGTCTCTGAGAAACTGCTTGTGTATTAAATGACTTTGGAAATTGAATTTTATAAATGCAATATAATAAATGATGGATAATAGTTACGACTATTGGTTTTCAAAATACGATTCAGAGTCCTTCGAAAAGGATTTCGTCAAGGTTCCATACAATGAATTCCTGAATCAGTTGGTATCATGAATCAACTTTGTTTAGATTGTCAATCCTGACTTCAGTCTTCTTCCAAATGAACCCCAATTTTCATTAGATAATGGTCATAAGACCTTGTAGTAAACATTGCAAACAAATCATTAGATTATATCAACATTCTTCTTACCCTTACTCGATAACTCAAGGGAGTCTTTCCTGAGATGGGTGAGAAGTGTGATTGCATTTATAGATTGTGAGAAGATGTATTCCATCATGTTTTGGAATCTGAGTTTCATTCCCAACTTCCTTGAATATAGATTGTATGCAAGTTTCGTTAGACTCTACAAATTCTTAATCAGTTTAAACTAAAATGTGATTCAGACTAAATCTCTGACCACTGAATAAATCAGGTTGTCAAACAAAATCACCATCAAGACTCTGGCTGAAAAGTATTAAGACGCTCTGTATGTCTCTTTTGAGGAATTGGTCAAATTGTAAAGACAAATGCTCAAAGTATTAAAACCGCTTGTCAGTCAAAACCCTACTCTCCTAGGCAAGATTTACTATTTCATCTATCACATGTACGATAAACCCATAACACAATTGCGCAAAGATCTTGATTTACAATTTGGATAATTGGAGTATCTGTGGGTAAAGAAGATTCTCGCTGAAAATGAATTGGCAATCAAATACATAGATGCTTATTTAAATGAAGACAAACAGCCATTGTCAAATAAGGATCAATTTTTATTTGAAGATTCTGAAATCTTTAAATAACTTGTGAGTTCAAATAAATCAGAAAATCTGTATAAAGTGGATGCACAGGACAAATCATTGTTAGAAAAGTCAAAGAAGATTTAATATCTGAATTAAATGGACAGTAAATGCAAGAGAAGAAATCACGATGGCAAGTCTTCATTTCTTGTTCAGAATTATAGTGTAGTTTCAGAATCAATGAAGTCATCATCTGAAAATAGATCAAAGACTTATGCTGATGAACCACCTAAATTTAAATAAAACTCAATCTAGACTAATTCAATAGCTGATAAATCTACATTCATTCAATTTTCAACGAATAATCCAACTAATGTGCAGAATTCAGTTCTAGGATTCTTGGCTAGTGATCTTATTCATCTTGAAAAAGAGCATCAATAGGAATTCAAAAGTAATACCTTGCCCAAAAGAATTTAAATAGATGAATCTATTAAATTAAATGATGATTTAGTAGAATTCATCTCAAAAGCTGATAGTTAAATTGTTGCTATAAGAGATGAGGATATCACTCTTGAGGATAATTACAAAAGGAAAAGATATAGGATTAAAATTAATAAGAAATTCGAAGAAAACGAATCACCTGATATCAATAGAAAGCAAACATTTGCCAGTCTTAATTAACAAGAAAACAACGAAGAGGAATTAAGAAAAGTGAGAGCCAGGAGACTATTAGAAGAACAAAACTAATTCTTTTATTAAAAGCTCAGATATGCCAGTAATCAAGACAATGAATTACCTACTGTTAAGGATAAGGATCTTTTTCGTAATATATATATCATATATGATTAGGATATTCTTTTGAAGATTCAATGAGTGAAGATGAGGAATCTGAAGAAGAGATTAAACTCAAATAATAATCGCTAAAATAAGCTAAAGTAGTTGTGCCAAAAAATTACTCATAAAATACTCAAGGCATTATTTTCGAGAAGTTTAAATAATATTCTGGAGATTGTATTCAAGGTGGTTCTGAAAAAAGAAAATGTTTTTTAAATCGATTATTTCATATGAATGAAAATTCACTTAGAATATCTGGAAGGTCTTTGGTGTTGGATTTTGAAGAAAGAAAATGGTAATTTGATTAATCAATAATTAAGGGAATTGTTAAAATAAGCTCATTTATCAAAGACGTTAATGAAAGAGGAGAATTACACATTAAATTTTGATGAACCAATAGCCAATATAATTCATAGAGACATTCATTTTAGATAGAATTTAAAAAACAATTATGAAAAATACTATAATTTTTGAATGCTTTTAATTATAGTACATATATGAACAATCATTCTTCTAAAAGATCAGAGATTTCCTCTGCAATTAAAACTAATTCTTAAAGTTTCTGTTTGTTTTGGTTGATTTAAATTTGTTTTTAGCTAAAAGGATTACGTTACTAAAACACAGTCTTTGAATGATCATGGTTTTAGTTCAAATCTCTCTTCCTTAATTCAAGTAAAGCTGCTTCATGTTTGCTTCTACTCTATTTACTCGCATTCTATCTTTAGGTTATATCATTAATATTACTCTAACTATCACTCTGATATTCTTTTAAGAGAATAGTCTTTTTCTTTTTTGATACTAACAATAACCAATAATTCATTACTTCTTGCTTCTGGCTTTGCAGTTTCATCCAAAATGAACTTTTGCAACTATTCAATAGTTTCCAAATTCTTCTTCCTTCTATCCTCTGCAATCTTTCTCATTTTATCCATCATATGAGGAAAATCATCATAGATCTCATTCTCAAAAGCTTAAAGAGTTAAGTAATAAAATTCACAGTTAGATTCACATTGAACTACATACTCTCTTGTAGTGTGGAAAAAGATTTCTATTTCTCCAAAATATGAACCACTTATCATAGATTTGAATGAGAATAATTTTAATTGACTAGTAGTTGCTTAGACTATGAAATTAGTTTTAAAATTGACTCTTCCAATATCAATTAAATAAATAGCATCTGGATTTGATTTTTCTTCCCAAATCACTCTAAAATCAATATGACTTAATTTACTCGCTCTCTAGCATAAATAATGGTTTTAACAATGGTACAATGTTCACAACAAAAGCTTTATCCTCTACCAATTAAAACAATGCTTAATGTCCAAACACACCACCATGCATAGACATCATTATTTCATATCTTAAATTCATAGGAATGTCTTAAAATATTTTAGTATCACTGGCCCAAACAAATCCATTCTTACTAAAATTGTACTCCAAGGTCTCTTTTAGACAATCTCTTAATTACCTAGAAATTTTCTTTTCTAAACAAAATTCACTCATTATTGCCTTTTTCTGATTTAGTATATGTGCTTTATAATCTATTTGGGATAAGACTGAGGACAACAAACCTATAATTGTTGAATAGAATAAGACTCCTAAAATCATCAAGATAATAGTGACGATCTTCTCCTATGGGGAATAGGCATGGATATCTCCATATCCTACAGTAGTTAAGGTAGTGAAGGCATAGTACATTCCTGCTATATATTTAGTTTGAATAGATGAATTCGATAGGTCATTTTAATATACCCAACTGTTCACTTCATAGTTATTGAATGCTGCAACGTAATGCCAAACACAACTTGATAAATGAATAACTAATATGACCGATAAAAATAGGGAGGTCAATCTAGTCATACCATAATTGAATTAGAAAAAATCGCTGCTTGTTATTCTAAATTATTTTGATAATTTCACCAATCCTGTCAATTTATACAGTCTTGGCAATTTTGCTAATTTCACTAGTTTAATTTCCTAACCGTCGTTCGAATTTGATGAATCAATCATGTAAGTCAAAGGCAAGCAGGAAATGAAATCTAGTAAAAACCACCCTTTCAAATATTTCAGAATCACCGTCCTTTTTTATACTACCAATTTCCCCTCTTCATCATAATATCCACTAAACATATTGATACATAAATCTATCCAAAATAATACATCAGTAACAATATCTATTTATTACCAATATGATTCTTCTTTGTTAACATAGAATGAAACTACTATGAATCAAACACATACTTCGAAATGGCAATATTATGGATGTGTATAATATAATTGCAGTGAAAATTAAATTCCACACGAATTTAACATAAGAATCTGGATGAATAATCGGAAATTATGGACTTTAATCTTTATGCTCTGTAGACTTATTAAGAGGAAAGAGGTATTTTTATAATGCAGGTCTTAAAATCATCGAATATTTTACCTGTCTCTTGTTGATATGTCAAATAAATTAGATGATGTTCCATACATAATTATTTCCTAGGATAATTTATTAAGTAAATAGATTGCTCTTAATCGAATGAAGGCTCTATGGAAAATTGACTTAATCTCTTCTGGACTCATAGCTTGATGTTCTGGAAATATAGTTCCTTATGCTCTTCCTCTTAAAAAAAAGTTAAGAACTTTTAGAGCAACATTGGGGTCATGCTTTTATTCCTTCATTTTTAATTTATTGTTATAATTAAATTATGTTAATAATGATAAATGATATAGGAACTAACATTATAGGATAATATTCTTTATTGAAATGATTCCTCATGCAAAAATCACCTCTCATAAATGCAAATAACATTTATTCCAAGTGAGAATTGATAGACGATATAGATTTTATTATAGCAAATAAATTTGTATATCACTCATCTTAAACGAATCAAACATTCCCAAATTTTAATTGATTATTAAACTGTTTTTTTTTATTTTTCAATCATGAAATACATTGAGATTAAATTATGTTTTAATTTTCACATCAATCATTAAAGATACCATTGTATTTTTTTTAAATAAAAAGGTTAGTGTATGACTTCCAAATTTAGTGTGATTATCTAGAAGTACACACGTAACTGTAGATTATTTATTAAATAAACAAATAAAAAAAGAGTAAATTTCCGCCATCTAGACATGAATTTAAACAAACTTGCTGTCTGCCTGCTGACTTTCATACTCTACTCAAAACTAAAATTCATGTTGTATTTCTATTGAGTTATTTTTCAATTTTAAGAGTTATTTACTTGTCATTTTTTTTACAAATTATTTATCATTTTATTTATTAATGTCAGAACTAGAAAACATTAAACTTAATTGTGATAGTAAAGGGATCAAAAAGAAAATTCTTCAAGATAAGTTTAGAAAAAAAGTTTAATTTCTTCAACTAGTACTGTGTTAAAACTAGACAATAAAAACAGCAGCAGCTTAAAGTTAAATTAAGTTTGCCACAGCAAAGGTAGTCCTTAAGAAATTCCGCCATTATGGATTCTTAAAAAATTCAGATAAAGGTGTAAATATGAAATATATTCTAGATTATGAGAAGTAAATTGATCTGCTCAGATAAATTGCATGCATAAAATCTGAGATCAAATAGGAGAAAATTTAAAAGCGTGATCAGGAATTTTAAGTTCTTAGCCAAAAGATAAGAACAATATAACCACAATCTGTTAACAAGGTAGTCGGAGGTGAAATGAATATTTAATCTCAATTAAGAATCTTCTAAGAAGAACTTCAAAATCTTCAAATAACTTAATTGCAATTGGTAAAATCTGTCCTTTTAGAACAAATAAAATTGATGGAAAATCACGCTATTTTTATGAATAGAAATTCAAATCCTTTTATATTTTAATATTGAAAATATAAATCTTTTTATATTAATTACTAAATTATTAAAAATAGTAGCTATTCTGTTTTATTAGATAAATAATTAGATGCCTAAATTTACTCCTTAATGCAGCTACTTTCAATTTTTAAGAGAAAATAATTAAGATAAAAGTATTTAGGAAAAATTTGATATATATAGAAGCAGCCGTTATAATGAGTTTCTTATTTTAAGAAATATATTAAAATATAATTTCTCCATCTCTATTCCGAATTATTAAAATATTAGACCAATGTCATATTTACGGGCCAAGAAATCAATATTTTATTAGTACTTATTTTTGAATACTTTAAATTATAAAACCTAAATTTTGGTTGAAACAGCTTGGATTAAGCAAATTCTGATGTGAATTAATCAATAATACTAATTAAATATTTCAATAAATTTTTTTTATTTTATGCGGCTTCAATTTTTTATTATTACTATTACTTGCATTCAGAGTCATCAAAGAGCCTGTAAGTTTAAGGTAGAAAAGTGGCGTTGGTCTAAAATTAAATTAAATTTATACTAAACAATCCTGATCCAAACCTTTATTTTTGATATCATTTAAATATTTGAGTTGATTGGTCATTAATTGATTTTTGTGGGATAAGGAGGATCTTTGAGGAAGATGGTTATAATTTTGGAACAGACATAAAGAACCTATTCTGAATAGGAAAATAATATACTCTGTCCCACTTTAAAGGACAATGCTAATTAATCATAATAAGTGAATGGCAGTGTTAATTACAAAGGCAATTTATATTTACAAGGTACTAAATATCAAAAGTTTAATAATTTCTTTGTTTCTTTTGTGAAGTGTCACATTTGGCAATACATCGAAATAGTGTTGCTAAAGAGCTTACTTAACTAGACCTGAATACTCGCGAAATGTGTAAACGTCCTTCATAATTACATCTGGATGGTAATATTTATATAAGTCTGATTGAATGCAATAATCATGATAAGGTTACACAAGAAGTGAATTGAACTACTTAGAAAATAATTAGTTACTTATCTATCAAATGAATGGGAATTATAATAATTTTATCCTATAAACTTATTCAAGAAACCAATAAATATTTCAACATCCTTTTCTTATTTATACTTGGCTATTTCCAAGTACAATAAACCTATCAATGTTAGTAATAGCCAAGAAACCAACAACGTGACTATATTTCCTATCATAATTAATAAAAATTAACTAATTAATAAATATTAAATATTAATCTTATTAGAAGAAATAGATTCAATCGTAAAATTAATTCATTTGAATGATTGAAAATGTGAAATGAAACATTTTAACTACGATAATATTTCTGTGTTTCACCAAAAATTAAATAATCTTCTTTAAGAATGCCAGACAGTATTGGAAAAACGAGAATAAAATAGTAATCATTAAAACTATCCAAACTTTTTAAGCTTTAAAGACACTAGGTTTATCATAAAAAATGATGTTATAGAAAATTATAATAAATTAAATTAAGATATAAATTCATTATGAATCAGATAAATCCTTAAAACAATCAGCCTCCTTAATAGTAGCCTGCATCTAATGAGACTTCTAATGATAAGATATAGATTTAACTAAACTAACCAACAAAAGCACCAACTGGCAATTAACCATTTGATCAAGAGAAGTAAGCCTAAATACTAATTTTAATTAGAAGCCATAATTGGAAGTGCATATTGACACCTGAATGGCCTCTTTTGGATACCAACTACTTCAGAGACAATTTCAAAAACAATGATGATCCTTAATTTGATATGTGAGATTAGAGAAGCAAATTCAATATCAAAGCCACAACCAAATAATCAATGAATAAAAAATATTTAAAAATAAAATAAACCATTAATTAAGTTTAAACAGGGAGAGAAGCTTTTTGTCCCATTATTACTTCCGATTTATTTTCAATTTTAAAAATCAAGTACAAGTTTAAGGTTCTAATTAACTCAAGTGTGTCAAATGGTTAAAATGGGCAAGGAAAAATATTGAAGATATTCTTGTAAAAGTGAATTATGGAAAAGGAATGAGAAATATTATTTGAGTACTTTAATTACAATTTAATTGATTATATTGATTGCTTTAATAAGACTTAGGCTTATTATTAATTTTATTGAGAAAGATGTTTATTGTTGGGCCTGGTTAATCGTACTAATCCATCAAATTGCTTGGTTCAGGTTCCTTCGGATCTGTTTTTTTGGTCAAAGAACTAAATACCAAATAAGAATATGCCTGCAAAATTGTAATTTTATGCTCTCTATACACCAGATTTCTAAGCTCCATATTTAAAAATACGATGCCAGTTCCATGATATACAACGAAATCAAGATTCACTCTTCCTGCAATCACAAAAACATCGTCAGAGTGTATTCATACTGGGAGGATAATAACAATATTTATATACTCCTTGAATATTGTAGCAAAGGACATCTCATTGAACCAAAAACACCCTTCAATGATGATGATGTGTTTCAAGTATTCCACTAGATTCTTGAGGGAGTCAATTATTTACATTAGAATAAGATCATTCACAGAGATTTGAAAGTAAGTTTTAGATCTAAACAAGTTTGAAAATATTTTAATTCATGAGGATGGTACTTTGAAATTGTGCGATTTTGGTTGGGCGATTAAGGTTGATCAGCTCCCAGTTCCGAATGTAATGTGTGGAACTACTGAATACATGCCGCCAGAAGTTGTATCAAAATGTTCTCTTGATTTCAAGTTAGATAGTTGGTCATTAGGAGTTATTTTATTTGTATTTATTTATTCTATTGTAGGTATTATTATATGGCAAATTCCCATTCTTAGGAGAAAATCAAGATTAGTTGATAAGAAACATTTTATTTGACTAATTGATAATTCCAAGAAGAACTGACATCAATGAAGATCTAGCTAATTTAATTTAAGCATTATTGATTAAGAATTCACAACTAAGACCCAGCATTGAATAAGTTTATTTATGTAAATGGATGAAATTCAACATGAAATTACATAATATTTTTAATCATTACGAAAATGAATAGCTTAAGCAAAAGGTTAAGTAAAAGAATATCTCTTTGAAGGTAGTAAATAACTCACTATAGTACTATTTATTTATTATATTAGTTCGACTCCAAATAAAAAGATGGTTTGTTCTCATTATGTTGAATCTAAAAATGATTAAGATCACAAACCAACAGCTTTTGGAAAAACTCACAATAGTTGTAGAACTATCAAATCCGTATCGACTAACCCTTCTCCGCAAATTCCTCAAATAGAAAAATTCTTTAATTTCATAGAAAATATGCAAAAACTTTGATTATTTCAATTTACTCAAGAGCAAATATAGGTTATTTAGTTTTTACATTCTACATATATCATTTAACTCTCTTTTAGAACTATTCATCTTTCCAATCCATCTTATCCCATTGTGGTAATTGAGCTTCTGATTATAAATCAGCATCCTCATTTTATTAATCCAATTGCATGCAATATCCATAAAGATGAGCAGATCCATTTCCCTTTGCTTCAAGCTTTGTTTATTTTAATTCATGAGTGATATTAATTCTTAGGGGCATTTAAGAGATTTACTATTTAAAAAATATATTGATACTTGATTCAATGAGGCTATGAATATTTCATTAATACATTAAGGTTGGTTCAACTAACCAAAACTGCTGAGAACAATATGAATTAATCGTTATCAGCTACCATCTTAATAGTTTAAGATTCTCTTAAGACAACTCCATAAAAAATATTTATTTAATAATATTTTCATTGAAGATCATTGTGTTAGCTGTCTGCCTATTAACCATTTTCTTATTTCATTTGTGCCTGCAGCAATTTCATAGAGTTTGGAATCAAGCATGATTCTGCCTACCGGATATTCTTTTGTATATCCATTACCTCCCAAACATTAAATTGCTTCCAATCCAACTTGAGTGGCATTAGCAGAAGTATAATAAATTAAAGCAGCGCAATCCTAGGATAAATTGAATATATTTACAGTATTTGTAATATTGCCCTAATCAACAGCTCTAGCAACACTATATAGCATAGCTCTACTAGCTTGTAAGGTAGTATACATTTCAGCTAGCTTTTATTACATCATTTAAAATTGTCCAATCTTTTTACCAAATTGTTCTCTAGTGTTACAATAATCTCTTGAAATATCGAAGGCAGCTTGCATCAATCCAACTGGACCTGCTGCCAAGACTAATCTTTCATAATCTAATCCACTCATTAAAACATAGACTCCTTGATTGACCTCTCCTAAAACATTCTCGGCTGGTATTTCAACATTATCAAAATAAATCGGTCCTGTATCAGAACATTTCATTCCAATTTTATCAAGTTTCTTCCCTCTTGAAAATCCTTTCATATTAGCTTCAACAATAAAAGCAGTAATTCCATGTTGTTTCTTTTCTGGCTCTGTCTTTGCATAAACAATGAGGATGTCAGATATGGGACCATTGGTAATCCACATTTTACTTCCATTTAGGATATATTTGTCTCCTACTTTTTTTGCCGTTGATTTCATTGATACGACATCTGATCCAGCATTAGGTTCACTCATTGCAAGAGATCCCACCCATTCTCCTGAACACAATTTAGGAAGATATTTCTTCTTCTAAAACTCATTCCCATGTCTTTCAAGTTGGGCCACTATCAAAGCACTATGAGCTGAATAACTCAACCCAATTCCTCCTGAGGCTCTACTGATTTCTTCTAGGATCATACAGTGAGCAGAATAAGATAATCCAGATCCCCCATAAGTGGCTAAGTTAATTAATTATATATGCTTACGATCAACAGTGGCACCTAAGAGTCCCAAATCTCCCATCTTCCTCCATAGATGAGGAGGGAATTTACCTTCTTCATCAGCTTTGTCAGCCAAAGGAGCTATCTCCTCATTTGCAAATTTTGCTACGTGACACCGTAATTCCTCAATCTCAGGTGACAAATTGGCAATGAAGTTAAAATTAAGGAGTGAAAATGAAGCTCTTAGTTTGCTGAGTTTTTATAGCATATTTTAATAATTTGATAATGTTGCATATCATTTAATTTACATATCATTTGAATGTATCAATTTATAATATTAATTCCAAAAAATATTATAAAAATTATGCAATATATTTGATCTTCAAAGAAGATAAAATTCTTTCACTTTTTTAGTCTAACATTTGGCGGAACAATGGCTCGCTAATTATTAACTTAGTCTCTAATAACTAGGTCTCCTTGCTCGTTCAATTCCTCCAAAATACCAGAATAAACCTTCTGCAAAATTTTTGAATCTTCAAATTCACACAATTGACCTCTTCTGTATAAAATCCTATTCATCCTAACCCTTAAATGTTCAAAACCAAAGTCATTCAAATCATACAAAGCCTTAGTGACTCTTTCCTTCAACTCTAAATACAGCTAATTTTGATCAACTTCCTTCCCTCAGTTTTCTTTAAGAGATGTAGCTCCTTGAGTACACCAATTCACATTAATTCCAATTCCAACAAACAAAACACATTTATTGTCTATTAGTTCTGACTCTACTAGTATACCAACAGACTTTTTGCAATTAATCAGTATATCATTCATCCACTTCAATTATGCATTCAAATTGTATAGTTCTTTAAAGAGTTTCACAATTGCGTATCCAACAATTATGGTTACATTCTTTAGGTGCTCTTTTCTAGTGAAAAATGGGAAGATTATAGTAGTCAAGATATTTTTTTTAGATTGACATTCCCATTTTCTATCGAATTATCCTCTACCTTCAGTTTGATGAAGAGCTCTTATATAGGTGATTTAATTCCAATATTTTCTTTTGTATTCCTTTTTCGCATAAGTTTAAGTAGAATCCACTGTTTCTAATAATACATCTTCCGAAAAGTGTCTTTCTATTTCTTATAATTTGCCATTATTATGACTATTAGTCGAAAAGCTGGAGTCACCTTTTGTTTTCTGCATAGGCTTCTGTAAATATGAAATATATAAATGTTTAAATACAAAAAACAGCCTAGAAATAGGGATGTTTAAATTTGATATTAAAAAAATCTCAGATGTCGATTTGACTGTGGTTATGAAAAAGCTAGAAGAAAAGTAGGTCAGACATATTCTACTTATTAAGTATAAATATAAATAATTAAGTTTCTTATGCTTTTGAATTGAAAGTGTTTATAATTGGTTTGTAAACAATAAAAGGTGAAATTAAAAAAATTATTGACTAATAAAGTGAGAGCTAAATTGTAATGATTAAAACTAATCATTTTTTCAGATAAAATAACGTTTCTTTATCCGAATTATTTGTTCAATCATTTTCTGCTCCCTAAAATCACATTTTCCTCTTTTTTCTAAATCATCTTATTTGATATATTAACATTTGATTGCAAGGAATAGTTTAGACCAGAGTTCTTCTTTCAATCAAAGAATCTTTTATTTATATTTATTTGATTCCTTCTTCTCATTACCTTTAAACAATTTAAATCTAGGCCTCTTGCTGATCTAACTAATCAAAATTTCTGTTGAAAACAGTCTTAACGTAAAGAATAGAAATTCAAGTAAACATGAATTTAGGGTTTATTTACATATAATTGTAATTTATTTATTCATCTTAATTTAATCATGATATTAGTTTTCTCTCTGCAATCTTTAATTTTGGTAGACTATTTCTTTCTTCCTCAACTGTCTTATTTAGTAAATTGATAGAATTTTTCTTGGAGGGTTTTGGAATTTTTGAGTCTATTGGCAAGGATGAATTTAGACTATTTCTGAATTATAACTATTCTAGCAACTCCAATCTCTCAATTACTCTCCTTCTCTCACTCATTAGCCTCTTTTCCCTTGATAACATCTAGTCACTGGCTTCCACATATCCCAACTTAGTTTACATTTTATTACCTCTATCCTTATAACGAACAGTCACTTCAGTCTTCTGCATACTTGGATTGCTCACTATCAATAGACCATTATTCGAGAGCTTCGTCTATTAATAGGTATTGTATTATTTATCATTTTCTGATCCTGAAAATCCTTCTTCAGATCCATATTTCATCAGATGAGAACTTTCTGAGTTTTCATGAGATTAAAATTATAACTTTTATAATTCCTCCCTCATTTTCCTATTTTCTTACATCAATTTCTCAACTTCATTCACTGATAGATTTGCTTATCTCAATCTCTCATTCTCCTCTTGTATTTTCATTAATTTGAAATGCATATCGTTACTGTTCAATCCTTTTCTCTTCATATTAAGTAACTGTTTCAAATAGTCAATCTATATTCAATTATATTATCTACCTCTTTCAACAATTTATTAACCAATTCTTGATCTGTTGCATTAATCGAATTAGCTTATACTATTTAAGTAATATTTCGAGCTCTTTAAGCAAACTTCAATGAATTAGCAGTCTCATCTATATTGTAAATATTTGGAGCAACATTCACAAATATATTAGTTAATGTATTCCCACCAAGACTGTCTTACAATAATCTTGTGATCTTTGATTCTCTGTATGGAATTGGCAATTTGTTAATGTTTTTATTGTTTTGAGATAAATTTTGGATTACTTTTCCTAAAGTGGTGAGAGATTAATTGATGCTCTTTAATTCATTCAAGTGAGCACTAGTCATTGAGTCTTATTTATTGATCTTCTCTGATCCAGCCAAATCACATAAATTGATTTTCGATCTCAATAACTACCCTCCTGAATCAGCCTTGCTAGTCTCAATCAATAATTGAAATATAGTGTGACTTCTACTAGACTTTAAATTCATAGTTGTTTGTCTGATCATTCTGTTCTTCTCTCCTCTTTTCATCAATGCTAAACAATCATATAAATTATTCACTGCATATTCAGTCAATTATTCTAATATCTTGAATGATATTTACCAACATAAATCCCCTCGGTTTTTGATTCATGAATCTATAAAGCTTGAGGTACCTTGTGATCTTGCAATAAGTCATAAATCTTTTCATTATAGATTTGCAAAAATGAGCAATAAACATAATACCCTTATTATAAATTATTGAATAGAGTATAAATAGTTCTGGGTATCATACCTGCATGATTCTAATCTGTTTATAAATCATCAATGAATGTCGATTAATGGCCCAAACTAATATTAAGTGAATACTCCCAGTCACTCCCAAACATTGTATGCGTTTTACCTTCTTAAGAACTACTAAAATACCACTGCCTGTTTGACCATATGCCATAATAGTTGTATTGTATCCTTATAATGCTTTATGAATGGTTGGAGATATGAATTTGAATATATCTGCCTATGACACTCTCTCATCAAACACTTAATCATATTCCTACTTTAATATGTGTGTAGATTATTCAATCACTACATATTTTTGCTAATTTTTAGGAACAAATTACTACTTGGTCAGTCTTTATAATACATTCTTATCCTAACTCTTTTTTCAATAAAGGCCTAACTCTTACATAAACCTTTATTGATTGTTGTTACAGGGTTGATTTATTTAATTTTGATTGTTACATTTAATAAAGTAAAATAATATAAAAATTATCATCTGATTCTCTAAAGGGACTTAACTAAATATTTGTACTAGATTTTTCTTTATTAAGGCGATTGAACCCCAAGACAAGAGATTGTCTATGACCACTTCAAGTTACCCACTGTTTTGCTTTTTATATTTTTTTTTTGGGTAAAGCATATGATAAACCAGATTTTAGATTTTATTATCCTTATTTGGTGTTTTTTCGGAAGAGTGCTGTTATTTGTTTGCAATCATAAGTCTAGGTTTTAAATGGATATTTTTTATCAGAATTCTTTTGTCAACAACTAAGATTCCCTCATTTTTATATTTAGAATACTGATGAATTTATTTTTGAATTGTAAGAATTTAATTACTTTCAAATTGTCCTTCTGTCAGTTATTGTGAATTGTAGAGTGTCAATAGTGAAATATCTATAATTTTAATAAAAACCTTATGTGTAATGACAATAATTACCTTAACCTTAAAAGAATCCATTTTTCAATAGGCCATCATAAGTATCTCCACTCTTGAATATTATTTTTCCTCTCCCATTAAGCGAACCATTTTGAAACCATCCCATCTCTACTCCGCCGTTATTATACTAAATCACTCCAAAACCAGTTAGATCAATTTACAAGCCATAAACAATTCTATCATTATGATTTACAATTTATGGCCAATGATTTTCCAAAGCGATTTGAATATCCTCTTTCAATTAAGGTTCTTCATTCTTATTCCATCCTTATAATTATTTTTACTTTTCTTCAAATATCTTTATATATCTATGTTAACAATCAATACTAAAATTAGTAATAGTCAACCTCTTTTCCTCGTCTACCAATTTATGCATACCCCACATTGTTTATATTCTTTAAATGGCCTTGATATAGCTATCCAATTTAATATGAGAGCTGACAATTACCATCGGCTTATCCTTCCTTAAATTCTCCTTTATGTCACCTCCAACATTAAAGTAGTAGACAACAAATCCATGAATAACATAATTTTTCCATTCTCCATAATAGAAACCTCCACTAACAAAATGACTTGATCCAATTCCATTAGGTTTATTCAATTTCATTGATACGTATTTTTAATTAAATCTCATTTATGTAAACATAAAATTAAGGATAACGCAAAGTTTTAATTGTCTTAATGATTTGAACCACAGAATTAATAGAACTATAATTAGCTTAATTTCTTTTGATGATTAATTTTTTTTGTCTCTTCAATATTTAATAATATGGCATTCAATACTTAAATTTTGAAATACTTTATTATTTTTAGTATATTGTATCCCTATTAAGAACCATTTGAATCTCTATCTTACTATTCTCCTTCAGAAGAGACTCTATTAGGGATCAGAATTTACGATGAATTTCTAATGCTTTCAATCAAAACTATATTCTTTTAATAATTTTATTTAAACTACTCTTACTAGAAGATTCAATTGGCTTATTTGATAAAATTTGTACCTGATTAGTTTTCTAAATATGAGACTTATCATTTAACGTCTTTTAAAACGCTACATTAACCTTCATAAATATTTCCCATATTTATATAATTATTAAAACTATATATTTTGTTTTTTGCAATGTTGAGATCAATACTAAAGATGATATCATAGTCAGATTTTATTAAAATAATTAGGAGTATTTCTCAAGTTAATAGACGCTACTCTAAAACTGATATGAAAATTGAAAGAACCCATAATTAAAAATTTTTATTTTTTCTTACCAATATACAAAACTCATTCACTCTTTTGTATGATGAAAACATTCGTTATCGGCCTTAGAGCATACTGTTGTTACTCACATACGAACCCGTGAGTAAGCCTGTATGTTCGGTGATTACAATAACCAATCTGATATTTATATTTAAAGTCCACAAGGATTGTTTTTTATAAAGTTTTTATGCAATAGCAACTTATTTAGTTATTAATATTATATAAATTTTCAATAATTACTTCCTTTTGAAAGAAAACAAATATTCGTTCCTTCAAAGAATGCTAATTAGGTATATTTTTATCAATTATATCAATCCTATTCGTTTTTGTTATAATCTATTCTAAATATTATAAAACATTTCTTATTTCTAGCATTCTTTCATTCAATATTTATATAAGAAAATAATTTAAATATACATGAATCCACAAAATAATTTGTTTTCATAAAATAATTCAGAAAAATTATTCTCTCAAATTTTTATCCAATTTATAAAAAATATAAAACTCTAAAAATTTGCTATTCTTTGTGGATCACAGCAGTTTTTGGAATTTTATTTCATAATTATGATATATAACCAGGATTTCATTGAATAATTATGGATTACAGATCAAATTGCTTTAAATGAAGAAGTTGTTTTTATTAAAGAATAGATTATGAAGTGCACTTTAATAGAAAAGTCACATATCTTTAAGACAATTTGTTTTGATTAAGCAATCACATTTTCCAAATAAAATCAGTGTTATGATGTAGAATTTAACTAACTAGTATGATATTATTGCTAATTACTTATAACTATTATAAAGAATAACCTTTATGAATTAATAAATGAAAAATTTTGAATGATTAATTTCTTCTTGTTTCTTTAAATTAAAATTAGTGAAATTTATTCCTTTTAAAAATTAACTAGTTTTAATTTGTGAATAGCTTATATAATTAATAATATAATTTTAAATTAAGAATAAATTCAAATGTAATTAGAGACTAAGACTGCTTTGATGTGGATAATCTATTGCAATTAAGCAAAATATGCTAACAATAAAAGACTAGAGATTTAAAATTATAAAAAAAATCAAAAAGAATCGATTTATTCACTTTAGCAAAACAACAATGAATTCAGTTTAGATTTACTCTTTAATACTCATACTTAAGATCATAAATTAATTCGTGATCCATTATAATTAAGAAAATGGACTCTTTGAATTCATAAATAAAGAAATTACTTTAGCAAAAGAAATTAATAAGAATCTGATTAATCCAAAAATTATTTAGTTTTGAGAGCCAAGTCATCTAAATAATGTATAACATACTGTTATTGACTAGTTAATAAATGTTCAATAAAATCCGTAATTTCTTAATTTATTTGAAAAAATATAAAGAGAAGCATAAATCAATATCAAATTCTGCTGTTGTGATAAATTTTGTGATGTAAATGGAGATTGATATGATAAGATAATCCATAATAAAAAAGGAAAGGAAACACATTAATAATTTTAGTTTTAAAATGTATGAAAATATTTAGATATCATAAATAAATGAAGAAGCATACAGAAAGAATTTATCATCTTCTTAATATACTGAGGATGAATACAGAAATAATAGGAAGTTATGATTTTAATTTGATGTCTTTATAAAATAAAATTATTATTATATTTATCTAATAGGTATTATACAAAAAAAGATTAGTATTGTATGATAGAATACTTTATGGCTGGAATCTTAGTTTGTTTTAGTACGATCTTTATAATATTGAGATGTTTTTAGAGAGCTCCTCTTTAAAGAATCCAATACATAAATTATACTCCTAGCGGTATTAGAGAAATGATTAAAGAGAAAAAAACTAGAAGTAGAGAGAAAGTATATGCAATTGATAACTGAAACTATAATAAATAAATTATCAATATGAAATAGTTTAAACAATAAAAGAGTAATTAGGATAGACAATAGGATAAGTTCTGTATTAATGCTGCAGCACTATAAGATCATTTAAGCAGGTAACTGTTCAAGCTGCCTAAGATAAATTAAAAATAGTTATCACTAGCCTAAAAACTAGGATTAGTACCATCGCCTCCAAAACCTCTAGATCAAGAAGAATGGGCTTAGGTTGAGGAACAGTCATTAAAAAGGGAAGATATATAAAATTGTGTATGTCCTATTTGCTTAGAGAAATTCAGAATGCAATAACATGTAATTTTGAGTTGTAGCCACATCTATCATAAAACCTGTTTAGAAAGTTTTGAGAGAGTCTCGTAAACAAAACAATGTCCTATTTGTAGAAGATAGGACTATGAGAAGAAGCAATTTATGGTGGCTAACAAATAATATAAGATCTAATCAATAATTAAAATATAAGCTTTATTTCGATAATTTATATGTAGAAAGTAGTTTTATGAGAGGATGATAAAACTGTAATACAGACCAGAAAACAACTTATTGAGAAGGAAATTACTTTTTTATAAATTATCAAGGATTTCTCAAAGAATGTCTAGGACTATTTAATAGCAGGGTAATTAGGCATAATATGCAATAAATCAATTGGGTGATAATATTCAAGTAAAATAAGAGCAGATGGAAAAGAATTTAAACCAGATTTATATAATGAAACACAATAACGAGTTGATGGCTAAATTGTAACCAATAATAAAAGTGGATTGGATAAACATAAAGAAACTGGCCCTAGAGAGGAAGGAAATTGATTGCACAATATGTTTACAGAGCATGGTGAATACGAAGGTGTTTTTATTGAGTTGTTCACACATGTTTCATGCTAATTGTTTGAATTCTTTTGAAAGATATTCAATGGCTTAGATTAACAATTGTCCAATCTGTAGATAGACTTATCAAAAATCTCACTTTAAGTTATAATATTGATTGATTATAATTTAAAAATGATAGTTCTCAGCATTATTAATATAGGATTGTAAATTTTAAATTTAGTATTCATTAATATAATTTTAATTATAAGTAATAATTGTATGGACATCAAAGAATAATATGCCTAATACACTCAAAAAAATTACACAGCCAATGTGTTTAAAGTAGGGGATCACAATTTCATATTGGATAAAAGGTACAATCCCACAAACCAATTGGGAAGTGGAGCCTATGGAGTGGTGTTGCAAGCAGATGATTTGAAGGCACCTCCTGAAGGGCCTAAGAAAGTGGCTATAAAGAAAATCGAGAAGACTTTTTAACACCGTTTTTATGCTAAACGTACATTGAGAGAATTGAAAATATTGAGGAATCTTAAACATGAAAATGTATTCTTTAATATATCTCTTAGATTGTTAATTTAATTACTATTGCTTTGCCCAAATCCAGAGTATCAATGAATGACATGTAAAGTGATTAACTAATTTAGTTATTTGGTTACAGAATTATTAGATACTGACTTACGTAAAGTTTTGGAAAGAGAACATGCTAAATTAACAGAAGATCATTATAAGTTATTTCTGTATCAAATCTTGAGGGGAATTAAATATATGCATTCTGCCAATATTTTACATAGAGATTTAAAGCCAAGAAATATCCTCTTAAATAAAGAAGATTGCATGTTAAAAGTCTGCGATTTTGGTTTGAGTAGAGCATTACTTAGTCAAGGACTCAATGGCTAGAATCCAAATGTGATGACGGATTATGTGGAAACTAGATATTATAGAGCACCTGAATTGCTTCTAGGATTGAAACAATATACCAAAGCTGTAGATATGTGGTCAGTAGGATGCATTTTTGCTGAAATTGTTCGTGGCAAGGCATTGTGGAGAGGAGCATCTGCAGAATCTTAATTAAAATTAATATTTGAAACTATGGGCACTCCCAATAAACAAGAAATCAAGAATTATAAAGATCCTTTCTTCTAATAAAAGATGTTAGAAGCTGTGGTTCATTTGGGATAATTTTAGAAAGTTCCACTGGACAAAATCATCAAAGGAATTTCTCCCCAAGGATATGATTTATTAGAAAGGCTCTTGGATATTGATTTCACTAAAAGAATTACAGCGGATGAAGCATTGGCTCATCCATATTTCGAGGATCTTCATTCTCCAGAAGATGAACCATATCGTCAACCAGTGAGTGACAAAGAATTTGAATTTGAATTGTATGAGTTAACCACTGAATAATTAAAAGGTATTTATATCTAAATATCCAATAGACATGGTATATGAGGAAATACTATTATATCATTTCCCTGATTTTAGAAAAGAGTATGAAAGAAAAATTGCAGAAAATGAAAGTGTTATTAAACATATCTTAACAGGATAAAGTGCAAGGTTAATAGATCCATTAGCAGACGATGATTTTCCTGATTTTTAATGATAAATCATTGTTAATCTTTCGTGAAACTTCTTTTAAATTTGAAGCACCTTTTCTATGTTCTTCCTCTTTTTCCTTCCAACTCATACAATATTTAGTATTACCTATTTCATTATAAAAAATTCTTTTTTAATCAAAAGAGTACTATTTGATTAAATATAATAATGTTTCCCACTTAAATAACCATTATTTATACTCTCATTAGGTTTGTCTTTTATAAATGCACCTCTCTTTTCAAAATTCATTCAAAGAATCTCCATTATTACTTTTTATTTGTAGTACTTGATAAATTGATGTAGGAATTGTTGATATATTTATCAATTTATTCTTCCATTCAGGGAAAGTTTTTAGGCTTTTGGAGTTTCAGAAATTTTGGGTTATAAAATTATTGATGAATGGATGTGAATTATGTAAACTTTTCCTCTTTGCATCTTTTCAAACAGTTTTGTAGAGCATTCAAGAAATTTTATTGAGTTTAAGAGCAACTTTATTGTCTACTAAGTATTCTATTTCTCTAGTTGTAAAAATAAATAGGTGGATGCTGCCATTAAATAATAAATATCATCTATCATATATTTTTAGATAATCATGAGAAGAAATTCTTAAAATTATTTAAAAGATCATAAGATCTTAATTGGGCAAATATAGATTTATTTTTCATGCTACTCCAAACAAGAGGGTTTCTAATATTACATTTAAAACATTAAAATATTTGATATTGTTTCAGCTTTAAATTCAAAAATATGTTAGCATAAACAAGGAATATTATATAATTGAAACATCTAAGTGCTTCCATAAGAACAAATTCATTTATGGTGTAATTAAATATTTATTCAGTTAATATATTACACAAAATAAGACAAATCATAAGAAAAGATTGTTCATTCTAGTTGATCAAAGAAGCTTTCGAGATCATCTTCTTGATTGTCTATGAAATTCTTGATCATTGGATTTTAAGGTCTTTCGATATCTGTGAAATGAGATTCGTAAGATTGATTTGATGAAACACTCGAGGTATCTGCTCTTGAATGTTGCAATATGCGAACTAAAGGTTTAGGATAAGTAATTGTATGAGTATTCATTTGTATACTAAAATCTTAAAAAAAATATTAAAAATACTTTTTTCAACACCAGGTATTTATAATCAAATTTTAATAAAAAAACTTATAATGAGGAAATCTGACTGATGAATTTAACAGAAACCTCAAAGCACCTAATAAACATATCACTTCTGAACCAATAAACCATATGAACATGAATCAATTCAATTCATTAAAGAATTACTTAATAAAAAATCAAATCGTATTTTTATGATAGATTTCTTTTTTTAACTCCATAGATCCATTCAAATTTAAAAAATCTATTGGTGGTGTTCTATTTTTAATACAGAGAGCCAAAACCTTGAGTTGAAGAACTTCATTGGATTTAAAAAGGTGATAATGTTTAAAATGTTTATAAAGTTATAAAACTCTTAATTTATTATTGAGATTAATAATATTACCAACAGTACTAGTCATTATATTGATTAAAAATAAATTGAGTGATTCGTTAAAGAAGTAATGAGATTACTGTAGAACCTTTTAAACAAATAATTAAATTGAGAAATTCATATTAATTATTATTATATAGAATTTTTGAATTATATAAAATTATCTAAAGTTTTTAAAATCTTCAGGATTAACATTTGGTAAATTTAGAACAATATTCTTCATTTGTGCTATCATTCTGATATTAATTTTGAGTATAACTTTAAGTAGATGTTGTTTTTATTTTTCCATTCTCTCAAAGATCAAGATATTTAATGAGAGTAGATTAAATTGATGTGGAAAGGAATATTTGCGATGACAGTTTATTGCTTGCGTTGTGAAGTAATCGTAATGATGAGAACAATGTTATATTAAGAAATTTAGAAAAACGTAATTATTTAATACTTATGAGTTCTAAAATCAAGAACCTCTATTTAATATTGCGCCTGCGTTTGGAAGAACTCAGAGTAGTGACAATAAAGACTTGCTAGATCGGAATCAATATTTTACTGTTTGCATCTCTGCGAGGCGATCAAAAAGCAAAAAATCAAAATTCACTCCAACAATATGGTCTTACTTCTCAAAAATAATTACAATAAGCTTAACAAATCTCATCTTCGCTTTATAATCACAACTTTGGCAGTTTTTACCCTGAAGTAAGTAAGTTTGAACTAATTTTAGTTTATAAGAGCCTCAATTACTTTATATTTGGTTGGCTTGGTGATTAATTTACTTCATACTGAAATCTTGAATGTCATTAACAAAAAGTTCGTGTTGTAAAAATGTGTTGGAACTATAGTCATAGTGTTCCTCCATATTTTAGACTTAATGATCATTAATGATTACCTAATATTAAATTCGGAATACAGTAATCTAACTTAAGCTGTATCAGATATTTATGTAGATTCAGTTAGAAAATAGAAGGATATGATTTAATTGTTCGAAGCAGTCATAAGATAGTTGGTTAACATTAATAGGTAATTCAGTTTTTATAATGATTCAGATTTCTTTCAGTATTTTTCTAGGCATCAGCTCTTTGGGGAGAAGGCATAAGAAAATTGATAAAGAATAAGAAAAAGACTTGGGGAACAACAGATTCTTAATTATCATCTCCTTAGCCCCAAGATAAGACTTAGTTAAATCAAGTACCGCCAGTTAACGGGATGAATAATAAAATGAAGGGTTAAAAAAAGGAAGTTATTTAGCATTCTGGAAAGAAGAAGAAATCCCAACAACAATAAATGGAGAAATCTACCGAAGAAAGAGGATAGTCAATAGAAAAGAAGAAGAAGAAACTTCTGGATAAAAAGCCATAAAAAATGTCACCAAAAGAATATGAATAACAAATTGAAACTAAAATTGATGAATCACAATAATTAATACTTTCTAAGCAGGTTTCATTAATGCAAAAGGATGAATAAAATAATTCAACTTAGGCAGGTTCAAATGGAACCAAATCCTTGTTTGATCATAAAATCAAATCTAATAGAAGTGAATCATTTCCAACCAAATTGAGCTAATTAGTTGAAATTCCATAGAAGTATTAGAGATATTCCTCTTAAAGTTAAAAGAAACAAATAGACCAAAAAAAATAAATACGACCTTTATATGATAAACTTTATAAATTCAATTTGCAAACTAATGTCGACAAATATGAAATCAAAGTACATAGTATAATTGAAATGAATAATTCAATAAATAGAATTGCATAGGAAAATTCTTGGAATTCATTCTTAACGATAAATGTAAAGTTAAATTATTGGAAAGAAGCCTATCAATAAATGCAAACTTAAGAAATTAAGGAAGAGTTATAAAAAGTAATAGCGTAATATGCATTATATCTAATGAATTAGCATGCTTAAAATTAAGAAATAGTAGAATGAGAATTATTATTTATATGTGATAATGTCATTAAGTTTATTTCAATTAATTATAAAAAATTTATCAATTATTATTTATTCCATAATCCTATTTTTGCATATTTATGAAATCACTTAATTCTAATTAAGAATTTTATACTCATTGTTACATAATTAAATCTATTTAAAATTTTCTGGATTTTTTCAGTCTAACAGGGGATTATTTCGAGTTATTAATTTACTTAAAATACGTGCTTATTGATATAGACCTAGTTAAGAATTATATTTACATAAATATTTATAAATTTATTAAATATCAATTATGTCTAGTTTGTTTGATGAAAAAGAATGCGAAAATTGTAAGAAGGTATTGAATTAATATTAAAAATCAGATTGAATCTGATTATAACATTGTAAGGATAGATCATATAAAACTCTAAGCTGAATATGAGAAATTATAAAAGGATATAGAAATTATGAAAAGGGACACCTCATAAGTAATATACTTTATTATTCACTTAGAATGATGGAGAATTAAGAAAAAATAGGTAGAAATTTGATTAATTGTAAAATGAATTAAATAAGATAAATGAAAAATACTAGAAATTATATGGAGAAAAAGAAAGAAGTGATGCAATGATAAAGCAATTACAAGCTATAAATTAGAAAATTTAATAAGAAAAAGAGGAAATGTTATTTGCAAAGCCAGCAGAAAATCCGGAGTAAAATCAAGCTCTTCAATAAATAAGCCTATTGCACGAGTAATTAAGAAAAGCCTAAAATTAAAAAGAATAAGCCCTTTCTATTAACACTCAATTAACTTTAGAATTATAATAATTAAAAAGCTAATAAAAGCCACAATAAAATATTGTTTAAACTGTTCAATTTTAAAGAGATTCAACAACGAACGAAAAAGTGTTTTAAATGGAAATACAAAATCTTAGATAGAGAATTAATGAGATGAATATTGCCCTTCAGAAACAATAACAAGAATACTAAAATTTACAATAGGAATCTAAATAATAGATCGAAAATTTATAATAATAATTGGAACAACAAGATAAAAATATTGACTAATAATAATCATCAACTATATAATTGAAATAGTTGCAAGCACAATTAAAGAAAATGGAAGCCCAAAATAAAGTATTACAAAAATAATTGGATTATAAAACTTAGAGATATAATGAATAAGTAATTTTACATAACTAATTAAGCTTGATGATATTAATAAATTGTAGGAAGAATTAAATGCTTGTAAAACAAACTAAATTGTCAAAGTTCTTGGAGATGAAGAAAAAGACTATAAGGAAAAATATAAATAGGTGTTACATTAAAAGTAAGAACTTGAGTAAAGTTTTAAGGAGAAGGAATCCATTTTGATGTAAAAAGTTTAACAGTATGAATCACACATCAAATAAAGTAAAGTTTATTAGTAATAATCTTAGAATAAGGAAATGCTGGCTTAGAAAATGTAAAATTAAAAGAAAAATTAGATGAATTAAAAGAACTTCAAGGAAAACTAAATTAAATTTAAGAAGAAGAACTTACTTAAAAAGTAAAAATTTTATGCATAACCTTAGATGATTAATTCTAATTAAAAGAGATAATTGGATGACCTAATAAATAGTTAATATCAGTATAAATAAAAGGTCAAGTAATTAGAATCCCAATTATAACAATGTGAAGATAAACTGATTTAATCCAAGTACTAAATAGCTGATATGATGAATCTTGCAATGGAGCTTGGAATGACTTAATTACTTGATAAATTTGCTTCATTATAATAATGAGATGAATATATTAATTATTCTTATAATTTATTATAGATCCTAGCATTTTAATTATATAAACCTAAAGAATTTTATCTAAATATTATTTATGAAATTAATATTTTAATTAATTAATAGAAAGCATGGGTAAATAAAAATTGAATGAAAAATAAAGTTCAAGTTAGACTATATTATAAATAGAAAAAACCATAAGCAAAGAATAAGTTTAAGAGTAGGAAGGTGCTATTAATATATCTGAGGTTCCAGAAATAACCTGTAGTATTTGCTACTCCACTATAGCCGATCAAGTAATATATTCTTTACTTATGATAAGGGAATTATTTAAAATTGTAAACATACATATTGTTTCTAATGTATTTAAAAATGGTCAGAGTAGAATCTTACATGTCCCCAATGCAGAGCTGACTTTACAAAAGTCATAAGAATTAGAAAAGAAGGTTAGAAAGCCAAAAAGAAAACTTATAAATTTAAATAACCAAAATAAAATAATGACACATCGATCAACATCAATCTGGTATAATACTATACTTAACTACTCTTTTTAATGTTTGATATATATTAAGATAGTGAAAGAGAATGATTTTACTTATGTATTAATGTATACGTATTTATGATTTGCATAAAATTTGGTCTAATCTATATGAACTATGCTTATTTAAAAGTAACATATTTTAAAAACTCTACTCAATTTTTACTTGAATTAATTGAGTTAATCTGGAAAATTAATATTTGAAACAAAAGAAAAATAAGTGTATCCTCTTATTCCATAATTTAATAATAATAATGATCAATCTTATTGTTATTAAGGGACTTCAGCCGGGAAATTGGGTTCTGGCTATTCAGGAAGATCTGGTTATTCTGTTTACACTTATTAAGGTTATTTTGGATAGAAATGATTGGTCGTTGCTTTGAATCCATAACCATAATATAATTGTGACAATACTTTGTTCTATTATATAGATTAAATAATAAATACAGAATAAACAGTTACTAATCCTGGCCAAACCAATGATTTAATGATAATAACACCATTATTAACTTTATTATTAGTGTCTTTGGCTAAAGGATTATAATCAGTTGTATCTCCAACAATTCTAATTTTCCAAGCTGGCTTATTATTTGGTAATTTATCATTTGATATTTGTTTTAATCTATTTTCAAATGGATCAGCTGCTTCTATTTATTTTTAATATGCTTCTGGTTCTACACCTTCTGGTAATTCGGATGGTATTAAATGAACCAATCTACCACACTAATATATATAAAATAAATATCATTACACTTAATATATTCTAATTGAAATGCATCCAATCATTCAATGTTTTTAAATCATGAAATCCTGGTAATTTATATTCAGGTGCTGGATCTATTTCTCTAGGTTCACCATCTCTTAGAATATATTAACCTTTAGGAATAATAACAGTTGATTATGTAATTCTAACAATTTGAGCTTTTAATAAATGTTTTTCTTTTCCAAAGAAATATGGATTTGTTATGACATCAGCTTCTAAATTACCTGTAAACATATATTTAATTTATCTAGACACATTAATTTATTAAGGTGTAATCAATGGTAATTCAACCCAATCCTTATCATTTAGAATATCAGTGCATGCCCAATAAGATTTAGTATTAACTCCAGATCCTCTAGGTTCAACTTCAGGTGGTAATTCCCCATCTTCAACTTGACTAGTAGCTACTCCTTCAGCAATATAATAATCCTTCTATCTTCCCATGATTTTACCCCAAAATCTTAGTTTAGATGCTTATTTAGTAACAGATAATAACTAAAATATTGTATAAATAAAGTACTGTCAAGGCTTTGAATATTTTATAATTTTCATCAATTCCAATACCAGCCCATTCATATAAATAAGCTTCTTCTGATAAATTAGGTAAATATCCAGTTTAAGTTGCCTCTTAAGGTTCTTCATCAGTTCCAAGATTAATTTTATTGACTAGCTTCAATGTCTTTTATTAAACAGCTGAATCCATTGTAATCTTTGTTCTTTCTGCATTATCAAATTCATTATATTTATCAAATGAGAATCCACTTGATTTTACTTAAAATGAATAATCTTCAAATAATTCAAAAGCATTCTACAATTATAGTTTAACATATATTNTTGTATCCTCTTATTCCATAATTTAATAATAATAATGATCAATCTTATTGTTATTAAGGGACTTCAGCCGGGAAATTGGGTTCTGGCTATTCAGGAAGATCTGGTTATTCTGTTTACACTTATTAAGGTTATTTTGGATAGAAATGATTGGTCGTTGCTTTGAATCCATAACCATAATATAATTGTGACAATACTTTGTTCTATTATATAGATTAAATAATAAATACAGAATAAACAGTTACTAATCCTGGCCAAACCAATGATTTAATGATAATAACACCATTATTAACTTTATTATTAGTGTCTTTGGCTAAAGGATTATAATCAGTTGTATCTCCAACAATTCTAATTTTCCAAGCTGGCTTATTATTTGGTAATTTATCATTTGATATTTGTTTTAATCTATTTTCAAATGGATCAGCTGCTTCTATTTATTTTTAATATGCTTCTGGTTCTACACCTTCTGGTAATTCGGATGGTATTAAATGAACCAATCTACCACACTAATATATATAAAATAAATATCATTACACTTAATATATTCTAATTGAAATGCATCCAATCATTCAATGTTTTTAAATCATGAAATCCTGGTAATTTATATTCAGGTGCTGGATCTATTTCTCTAGGTTCACCATCTCTTAGAATATATTAACCTTTAGGAATAATAACAGTTGATTATGTAATTCTAACAATTTGAGCTTTTAATAAATGTTTTTCTTTTCCAAAGAAATATGGATTTGTTATGACATCAGCTTCTAAATTACCTGTAAACATATATTTAATTTATCTAGACACATTAATTTATTAAGGTGTAATCAATGGTAATTCAACCCAATCCTTATCATTTAGAATATCAGTGCATGCCCAATAAGATTTAGTATTAACTCCAGATCCTCTAGGTTCAACTTCAGGTGGTAATTCCCCATCTTCAACTTGACTAGTAGCTACTCCTTCAGCAATATAATAATCCTTCTATCTTCCCATGATTTTACCCCAAAATCTTAGTTTAGATGCTTATTTAGTAACAGATAATAACTAAAATATTGTATAAATAAAGTACTGTCAAGGCTTTGAATATTTTATAATTTTCATCAATTCCAATACCAGCCCATTCATATAAATAAGCTTCTTCTGATAAATTAGGTAAATATCCAGTTTAAGTTGCCTCTTAAGGTTCTTCATCAGTTCCAAGATTAATTTTATTGACTAGCTTCAATGTCTTTTATTAAACAGCTGAATCCATTGTAATCTTTGTTCTTTCTGCATTATCAAATTCATTATATTTATCAAATGAGAATCCACTTGATTTTACTTAAAATGAATAATCTTCAAATAATTCAAAAGCATTCTACAATTATAGTTTAACATATATTCATACTTTTGGATTATCCAATAATATCTTAGTCAATACATTATTCAAGTGTTAATATAAATTTGTATTTGAATCCTTTATTTCTTGCAGTTTCTCTTTTAGCATTAATCTAAATTTTTAATAAATAAAAATGATTATTTCAATTATACTAAAATGAGAAAATAAATATTCAATTCAGAGGCATTTAAAGTTCTATAATTAGATTACTTTATTGATAAATTAGTCATAACAGAACACATTATAGATGTAAATTAAGATGATAAGTGTTTGATTATTTAAGGTGCTCTAAATTCTGCTAAAACATAATTCTCCCTAGATAAAGACAATTTTCTATCGTTTTAGATCATTATTAAATTTTCGATATTAAATAATATTTTCTAATGCATAAAAGGCAAATCAAATTAATTAATTGAGACATCAAGCTCTAAGGTATATGGATAACATATGAAATTCGATTTTTCAACTGTATTTAATAAATTAATTCAATTCATACTTATTAATATTTACTAAAACAAAATTTATAAGTCAATATTAATAATAATTTTATTTTACTCTCCTTATTACTTAGATATGAGATTCCATCAAAGTCCAAATTTAGATGAGTAATAAAAATGGAAAATAAAAACTAAAAAATCACAGAATAAACCAAATATTAAATATATCTTTCATATAAATAACTTTTAAATTTTTTAAGCTTCTGTTTATTAACGAATAAAAAATATATTAATAAGTAATTTATTTATTTGTGATCTAGGATTTCTTCATGCTTTTTCTAAAAATTTAGAAAAAAGCCAAAATCTAATAATCTAATTAAACTGATATTAAATTAATTAGAAAAAATTAATGGAATCAAATAATTATTGTTATGATTGTCTATTGATGGGAACATTTCTTTCCAAAACATAATGTAATTTCTGACTAATCTCGAATAACAGATATTTATTATAAAAATTATCCCTCACTTTGAGATATTTAAAAAATTTCTCAATGATTATATAAATGGAACTATCAAGAATGAATTTTCCAAAGTTTTTTGTGTATTTATGAAATTTATCATTATTCTGTGTTTGGAAGCTAAAAATATGAATTTATTGTATTTTTTTAAGTGAATTTACATTAATCCTGTAGAGGAAATTGAAAATATTGAATGGCAATAAAAACATTTAGAAAGTTCGAAACAATTCTAATTATGTTTTAATTGGCAGGTAATAAACATTTACACAATTAATATATGAATTATTACAATATTCTTGGTGTTTCAAATAACTCGACACATGAACAAATAAAAAAAGCATATCGCGTTCTTGCTAAGCAACATCATCCAGTAAATTATCAAAATATGACCAGGATAAGAATGCAGAATCAGCATAATTTAGAGTAATTTCTGAGGCTTATCGAATACTTTCTAATTCTGAACTCCGTGTTCGATATGACATTTTCTAAGCCTAATTGGATAGACAAATCAGCCTATATAANAAATAAAATACTTTAATATTAAAAATTAAACTTTTTATATACAGATTTATTAATGGCAGAAATAAAGACGCTGAATATTGATGAAAAATTCGATAACTACTAATTCTATTTTAATGTAATAATTTGTACCAGAAGCAAATTTAGAATTGGAGTTAGTAACTAGGAATTGTGCTATTATAAAGCTACTTAAAAGAAATATAAACTTTAAGAAAAGTTGATGAATGGATTTTCAATTCTGAGAACCTGTAGATCCCTTAGAGTTTAAATTGATAATAAATGAAGAATAGGGGAGCATCTTGCAAAAATAGAGAAAGTATCAACTATTATAAGATACAGTGAATACCAATATATTCCTAAAAGGGCTAACAGGCAAATTGTAAATAAATTTCTTGTTCTTTTGTTTTACTATTCAATGTAACAATTGATGAAATCATTACTTTTCAAGTTGCTCTTTGATTAAATTCATTGCTAAATTGAAGTATTTGTGTTTATCTAATATAGGGGTTTCCAAATAAACAAAAATTAATGAAAGATTAAATTGTTAATTGAATATAATAGTAAGTTTGGGAAATTAAATGATATAGTCAGCTCTGCTTAATAAAATCTTAGCGACTTATTATATACTAGAGGTTTTCACCTAAGATGTAGAATTGGGAAACATAAGTTAACAACTATCTACTGATATTGAAGTCTTCACTAGTTATGATTCATTAATTTATCTTGATTATGTTTACTAACTTAGCAAACAACTAATTTAATCAAACCTTAATTCTATTACTTATTCTAATGATTGTAATATATCACAGTTGATTAGCCAATTATTTCTTCTAACAATAGTAAGTGGCTTGAGTTTCGGATTTTAGTGATTTATGCAAAATATATGAACTTGGTTTTGTTTCTTAAAGTTGTTGATTTTATGGATAAAATATTCAATAAATTTATTTCTATGATTTAATGTCTGTTCGAATAGATGTTCTCTTTACTCAAATTTATTATTGTTTGAATTGATTTATTGACAATATCAGGTCATCTTCTAGCGTGGATGAAGTTTGTAAATTTTTTTCTTTCATATCAAATCTACATTCATTCATTTTATCATAATTAACACTATCAATTCTGTAATTAAACTCTTATTCTAGTCTTACTTCCAATTATTATCTAAAATCGTATTTTTAAATTGTATCTAATTAATTATTCTTTTTATTTACTCCTTAATATTTAATTTTTAACTATGTATAATATGAATATTGCTTGACAGATTATCATTCAAATTATTCAAAAGAGGATTTCTCATTAGTGTCTAACTCTATATAATTTATTATTTTAGATTTCTTATTGTTTGATTTTACAGGATTTAAATATTTTCTTTCATTAATGATAAGATGATTTGAATATTAGTAATTTAAGACACTTTAGTATTTGATTTCTAAGCTTATTTATTCTATAGAAAAACATGTAAAGATCCATGAGGTTTCTAGTGTCAGATGCAATAACTTATTTCCTCTCCTGTTTTTCGTTCCATATAGGGCTTATTGCAAAGTGCGAATTCAAAATAAAAATAATATTTAATCTGTCAAAATTCTTTTTTCATCCTATAAAATACGAATAGAATCAAAATGAGAGCTACTAATTTATCTTGTCTGCTGTCTTTGTCTTATATTCTTTAGTTTCGCATGTAGATAAATTATCCGAAATTCATTAGATGTTGAAAAAGAATCCAAGCTATCATTATTTCACATGAATTGTTTATTTAACTTTATAAAGGAATGGTAAAATGGCCCTATGTAGGTAAACATTTGGATTTAATATGGGATTATTCAGTAAAAAAAATATAAAAAAGTCAAATAAGAATAATATTATAGCAGTTAAATCCTATTAAAAAACAAAAAGGGTCTTCTCTTTATTCTATAATTAAAAACGTGCCAATAAATCAATTAATTGAAACTTTTAGGGTTTTATTCAATTTTTTCTAAAATTCAATTCAAAAAATTTATCTCAAATCTACTATAAATCAAATTTGCTGAATTCTAATAAATTAAAACATAAGAAATCTAAAAATAAACCTTTTTTTCTCAAATTTATCTAAAAAAACACATCTAGTTGAATATAGATCCTCTACTAGGCGTCTTTTACAATCCAATTAAGATAACTTTTTCTACAAATAAGAATTGCTAGATTATATCATCAAAAGTATAACCTACTAATTTCTGAAGCTACTGACAAATGAAATAAATATTCAATAAATGTTTATATTTTTTGATCCCTTAGTGTAAAGAGAATTCTGTTAAACCCTTCTCTTTATTTTTGAGGAGATTGAGCTTCTGATTTTTGCTTCCATTAATCAAATTACTTTAGACAAAAACAAGACTTTAATTAAGCAAGTATAACCCCATTTTTTTCGTGTCTTATAATACAAAAATTCAGATTTCATTGTGAAATGGCAATTAGATATTTCAAATATATTGTTAGAAGAGTTCATTACTTCTAAACAGCCATATCTAGGTTTTTTTTTTTACAATAATAAATTATGATGTAAAATTCAATCTTACTCTATATCATTATTTATTCGTCTCCTATTATTTTTAATTTTTAAAAGATAGTTATATTCTTTAGAAATTTTATATTAATATAAAAAATAACCAAATAAATTAAATGAACTATGATTTGCATGAGATAGAATGATTGTTTATGTGACTTGTCAAATTTTTGCATTTTCTTGATTGTTTACTTATCTTTTCAATTGTTACTGATAAATTTGATACTCAATAGGATAAATTTAAATTTATATCTGTAATTTAATTCCATTTTTTCTGAATTTATGGGAAAACAATAAAAAATTAATTAAATATATTTCTGATGTTCGGCTTTAAGGATTCTAATACCCTTTTCTATAAAATCATCATTTTTACTTAAATAAGTTTAACTTAATTTTAATATGTCATCAAAATTAATTTGACTCATCTGTTCCAAGATGATTTAAATCTTTGTCCAGAGATTTTATGGTAATAATTTCAAAATATTTCGAAATTTGATGTATGGATGAGACCCAGAGTAAAATTTGAAAATAGATTTTGAAACATTCATACAAATTATTAATTTAATTATTTTAGTCATTAATTCATAATTGCTCAAGATTTTTCAAATTGTTCTTTATTTTGCTGGCTATCTTTGGCTAGGTTTATTATTCATATATTTTTTCTTTGATTGTCATTACTCTAGGATTGATATCCTTTGAAAGATTCTCTGGAGTTCTCTTGTAAATTAGTTACATATATATATTACTTTAATGATAGGAGATGCATAATAAGAAGAATTATTTGAATCAACAGCTTATTTAAGCTTACCTACCAATTGATATTAAGGTAATCTATGAGATTGTGGCGATTCATCATCGAATATCATATCCGTAAAATCATCATCCAAATTTTTAAGAGACATTTGTTCTTCACTATCGTTAAATTATTCTTAGATTTATTGCATAACAGAAATTTGGGGAGTAAAAAGAAGATTTTCTTTTTTTTTATTTCCAATACAATTTTATTATGGAGTCATAAATTCAGGTTTATCGAAATTGGAAGGACCAATAAAGTTTTTCATAAATCCACAACTACCTGCATCAGTATTACTTGATTTAATAGTATCTTTAGTATCTTAAATGTATTCTTCTGATGATTTGTTTAACTCTGAATATCTTGTTTTATCTAGGTTGATCATAAACCACTCATGTCTTAAGGCATCTCTAGGTTAGGGTCTTTATGAGGGTCGAGGATGTAACAATAATTTCAAAAGTGATAAGCCTAAGAATATTTATGATTGTGTACCTGCACTACTGATAATAGTTTCAATGGAAGGATAATCAATCTTGCAATGATAATTTCTCATAACAACTTCATCATAAGTGGAACCCTTAAAAGGGGATTTACCAGCAATCAAAAGAAACATCAGACATCCAACACTAAAAATATCAACTTTCGAATCATAGATCTTATCTTAAAGTACTTCTGGAGCCACAAACCCAGGAGTTCCACATCTCTAAAACATATAATTACCTAATGGATCATAAAAGTCGGCCAATCCAAAATCTGCTATTACAACATCTTGCAAGACTCCTTTTTTACGCAATATCATATTTTCTGGTTTGAGATCTCTATGAAGTATGTTCTTTTTGTGTAAATAATCTAAAGAATCCAATAAAGTAGCCAGAATAGTAGCAACTGTTGGCTCAGATTATTTTTAATTCTTCTTTATCTATTAATACAATTCACCTCCTTATAAATAGTCTTGAACTAGAAAGATATGGGTATCATCTTCAAAGACTTCATGCATTTTTATTAAGCCTTTGTAATTCAACTTCCTCATGATTGACATTTCTTTAATTAAAGCTTATTTATCAGTTTCTGAGTTTATCATCTTACATTTTTCAAAAGCCTTAACTGCATATTACAATTTATCAGATTTTTTAGTACAAAGATACACCTGTCATAGTAAATTGAATTACTTTTGCAAAATTTCCTTTACCTATCATCCTCTCAATAACATACTCTTCTTTGAAGGTAAGTTGGAGACATTGCTTTTTGAGAAAATCCCAAATTTATTAATTTAGTTCTTTAGATCTTGAATATAGTTCTTTGAATTTCTAATTACGAATTATTCGAAAACCATACCTCTTCTAAATTTATATATATTATTGAATACTTTATTACAAGCATCGGACTCCTATTCATTTTTATATTTGATCCTCTCTATTCTTGATACACCCAGATCAACATGGTGAATATTTTTCTTATTTGGCTTTGTTTTGTTATTAATTAAATACCCTCAACTTTACTAATTTGCCTTCTTAAATGATATAGTTTTTGCTTGTCCAAAAACCAGTTTTATTACTTTTTTCGAACAGGACAGATTGAAAGTCAATTTTTTATTCCTCTATCTAAATGTTTGTTTTCTCCCAAAAAGAATTTGAGAATTTGGCATCGTCGAAAAAGGATAACTTTACTTGCATCAATAATATTAATTAAATAATAATAATTAAGTTATAATTCCCCTATCTATCTCCTTTTTATTATTTAATAAGATTTTATCATTTTAATATAATTTAATTATATTTCTTTGGGGAATTACAAATTCTTTTCCTTTTGTTATACTTTTATTCCATAATTGATGATTCAATACTATTTTCACCTAATTTCGAAATTATCTCTCCATTTATTGTTTCCCTATTTCAATTTCTAAATTTATTACTATTTATACCTTAACACTCCCTATCTATTTCTTTCACTCAATTTAAATTTAATATTATAATATACTGAATTTAATCAACCTCAATTAAATTATAAAATCCATTAGAGTTGATTTTGAATTGGTGTGGCTAAGAACGCCTGCTTTCTTCAACAAAATTTGCCTTCACCTCTCTTCCTTTAACAAATCTCCCTAAATAATAGATATTATCAAGCAAAGCAATTTTGATTAACAATTTAAAAATAATTTGACTTATTTTTATTTCTGTAATAATTTCTCTTTTCTTAAGGGATGTTTTTATTCACTCAATAAATTTTAATACAATAAATTTCAATTTGTACACATCTAAATTGATATGACTTTCAATTTGACATTAATTATCCCACACTCTAAATTAAAGTCTACGATACATTCTTATCAAAAAAGTAGAATCATACTGTCTTTTTGATCCAAATACTATTCAATTTTGAAGACACCTTTTGATTAAACAAATATAAAATTCAACTGTGTTATGGAACATCCTATTTTAGTCTGTGTATACTATCTGCATTATCTAATCTTTCTGTATTGTTTAGGATGATTTCAATCAGAATTTTCTTTGAATTTGAGATACAATCATTTAGTAGAATATGTATAAATATAATTGAATTGTATCGAGGAAATAAATAAATAAATAAATAAATATGCAATTCAATTAAAATAAAACAAAAAAAAGAAGGGTTACTCCCAGTGATAAACATTAATTGTCCACATCACAGGAGAGATGCTTAATACCTAAATACATGACTTTGAATAATCAGAACATTAACAAATCAAATAAATATTAAATCTTAGAATAGATAGGATAGGGTAGTTATAGTACTATATTTATTGTGGAGGACAAGTTGCATGGTGGTTATTATGCAATGAAGAAGGTACTTTAAGATCCCAAATAAATAAATAGAGAATTGGAAATACATATAAACATGCGTCATCCACATATTGCACCTTTACGTGATCATTACCATACTTTTGAAAATAGGGCCAAATATTTGCATTTGATTATGGATTTGTATCAAGGGAATTTGAAAAATGCAATTAGAGTTCCAATAAAAAGAGTGGCAAAATAATTGTTTTAAGCATTAGAATATTTGGAGTCATAAAATATAATGCATAGAGATCTTAAACCAGCAAACATTTTGTATTAAAGTGGAAACATTTATCTAGCTGATTTTGGAAGTGCAAAAAAAATGGATGGATCTAAGAGTTTGAGTTATGTATGTTCAAGAGCCTATAGGGCACCAGAATTACTATTTGGTTAAATATTTTATAATACCAAAATTGATATATGGGCAGCTGGTTGTATCCTGGCTGAATTGGAATTGGGTAAACAGTTGTTTTTTGGTCAGAATACAGTTGATTAGATTGTAGAGATATGTAAATTTTTGGGTACTCCTAATGAATTAGAAAAGGCTGAGTTGGGATGTTAATTCTATATTCCCAATTTATAGGCTAAGAAACTAAGTATGATATTTATTTATATTGTTTTGAATTAGAAAACTGATCCCTTATTAATTGATTTATTGTCTAAGATCTTTGTTTTTAGTCCATCAAAAAGAATCAATTGCAGTGAAGCCTTAAGACATCCTTATTTTTTGTCATGATTGTACTAAACCAACATTCATTATAATAGATCTAATTAAGACTATTTGATAAATAAAAATAAATTATAAGACTTTATTAAAGTTTTTTACATTTCTCAAATTGGATTAAAATAGGTCTCATAAATGAATAGTAACATGAAGTAGATTTGAAATAATTGGATATTATCTTTTTTCTTACTAATATATGATGTTGATTGTTATTCAAATAATCAAAGAATATTAGAAGAAATAAGACATGAAAATTTGAGATTCCCATTATAGTAGTGCTTGAGTAATGTGAATGATTTAAATAATAAACTTAAAATATAGATATAAAGTGGAAAAATTGTAATAAGATTAAAATGAATATTGCAATAATACAATTTTATCATTCAGTAATTGAAATCATTTTGGACATCTCCAGTTTTATTTTCTTTCTATTACCCTAACCCAATAATGAAGCATCCTCTGTATCTGTTGATTAAGAATTGTAATTTGATAGTTGCTAACTTAAATCAATTTAGATCTTCTCGATCTTCTTGATATATGGTGATGCTAAGAACAACTTTTTATGCGAATTTGATTAAGTATGCTAATTAATTTAATTTCTTTATTAAATACAGTTAAGTAATCTGTATACTTAGTCTTACAAACTGAGCAAATCTAAACTCGATGCTTTGGCTTGGGAATCAGCTATAATAATGATATGAAGTGGTACCAATTATTTATTTTTTATTTTTATTTATTCAATTTTTTGATTAAATAATTGTTAATGATAGTTTAAATTGCTTTCATATGCAGGCTAAATTTATATATAGATCTTTGATACTTTCTCATATTCGATGATAAATCCAGGAGTTGTAGACTAATGATCATCATTGAAAATTGGAAAAATATTCAATTTTTATTACAACTATCTAAATCAATATGAATGGGTTTTACATATTAAAAACAGGAGTATAATCTATATTAACGTTTCGATCCTTTGAAAACTAACTCTTATTGCTCAAAATGAATTTGTAAGACATTATATATATTATATATAATTTATTATTTTATTTCATTTAATTTTATTTGAACTACACTCCTCAACAAATGCATTATTAATATTATAAATATCATTTCTTATTTCATCATCATTTTATTATTTACTTCCAATTCCAAGTTATTAATTATTTCTTATTTTATTCATATTATTATGTAAGATAAACCTTACCAAGATAACAAATAGATAAGAAACCTCTCTCAATAATCTAATTACATTTAGAATGAGTATCCAATGTCCATCTCAACTTACTAATCTAAATTAGTTGTTAAACAATGCTAGGTAATAAACTATCACAACATAGTTGCTACAATTTATTTAACGTCAAGAACACCTTAAAGGCTAATTAAATTAACTTCAAAAAACCAGACAATTTAGTTAATAACAAGAGAGAAAAACTTTTGCAACTAAACCTAGAGCCTTTAGTATTCATCACAAAGATTAAGTATGCAATAATAGCCAACCAAATTTGATTAATGATGACTGTAATAATGAAACTGATCACTGTTAGTTATAAAAACGAGAATTTTAATCAAATAATTTCTCCACTTTTTGTGACAATTCTTTAAAAAAACAAAAATTTTTGCCTCCTATGAATCCACTAAATTAAGATCCGTTCCTTTAGACGTTTGGAAAATAAATGGATTTAGTATCCAAAAATAGATTTCCTAAAGAAGTTTTCTTGGGAAATGTAAGCAAAATGAAAAAACAGTTTTAGTAGAACTTTTATTTATGACTATCATTTAAGTCTTAAATACTATTGATTTTTAATAAAATAACAATTCTCTGATTTATAATAGTTGACTTTACATATCTAAATTCTATTTTAACACTAGATAAATATAGTAAAATAGAAATTAAATTACAATATTAGATCTTATTAAAATCTATTATAAAATACAATATTATTTGTTTTTTGATAGAAAATGTATCAAACTTATAAATTATCAAATTTTCTTCTAATTTATTAGTTATTAAGGAAAATTTTAACAGCTTAAATCTCTTAACAATTGGAATTTGAAGGAGAAAGACTCATCTTTGATTCAAAATCTTGGTAGTTTCCATCAACAATTATTTTAGATTTTCTCTCTTCAAATTAAAATTGAAAACCCTATCTTTATTCAGAGTCTGATTGATGCTCATAAAATTGTTTAATCATATCTTAATCTAAACACTTAACTATTTTTTATCCAATATTTTCATTCATTTCTGGCATTTCATGAATCTAAAAAAATGATTTACAAGCTTCAATAAACCTTTCTAAATTCTCTATTTTTTATATTAAATCATACTTATTTTTTGGTCCTGATGCAATTCTTAATTCAATTTATTTAGCTGTTTGCAATTTATCATTGGAGTGGGAATAAGATCAAATAAAATTTTCTAATTAGGAGTCAATAAAATTTATTTTAGATTGTCAAGTTCTTAGAATTTTCTCATTATTTACACTATATCTAGGTTTTCTTGGATTCTCAAATTTGCTTAATTCAATGAATTTATTCTTTTCTTATTGCATCCAAAACAGAATTAAAGAATGTGTATTAATGAATCAGGTAGTTTTTATCCTGGTTTTTATACATATTTCTCTTAATTTTATTTTGTACTTGTATCTTTTTTTACACTTTAAGTAAGATCATTTACCTCCTCCTAGAACCTAAACAATCTATTTGCTAAATTGATCTTCATTTCAGTCTAAATGAATGGTTTTGTAATAATCCCAAATATTATAAATATTAATTACCATAGACCTCCAATCTTACTTAAAATTGTCGGTAATTTAATGTAGGATCTTTAGTAACTAGTATATTTGTTATCTAAAATTATAAAATGATTGACTAAATAATCCGAATTGTAACTTGTTGTTGATTCCTAAACGTATTATTGAACTAAAAATTAATCCTCCACTATATTGTTAGTTAATACACCATTATCAGTCATAGATTGAATTATCCGAAATCCAGAATAGATAGTTTTAGAAGTTGATATTGAAAATTATGTGAACGAAAATTTTATAAAGTTTTGTTGGATATCTTGAGGATTACTCATTTAAATCAAAGAATCACTCATATGAACTACATAAAAACCATTAATTAACTCTTCATTTATCTACTCCTAAGTTGCGCAATCTTGTTTTTCTGTGCTATTTTTGCAAGCTGAAAATTTTATTGTAATATATTAATAAGTATTACCAGAAATTATTCCTTAGAGTATCTCAAAATTATAAATATCATTACCGGAGGATTGCTTTCTAACACTTCTTTCTTTATACATTAAACTGTTCCTAATCGAATTTTACTGAAATATTCCTTTTACAAATCTGTTGCGAAGTTTTCAACTGTGCATGCTTCTGTAGGATAATTAATACATCTATATCAATACTTTTCAAGCATACGTATTAATGACATCTATTTTATTAGTAGTTGTGTTTAATTCCCTTATTCTTTTGCAATTTTCAATTGAAATTGAAAAATATTTATCAATTGTTGTTAATGGATTTGAATCCATGTTACCAACCGATATTGCTAGTGTGAAATTGTTAAATGATAATGGAAATGGCTAAGCAATATTATTTAACCGTACCGATGTTTCTGTGACTAAGTGTTCACTTAAAATGGTTTAAGGGAGTTGTTTCTAGACTAATTCCTAAACTTCTTAAATTAAGTAGGCAAATGTCAATGCCGATGCTAATATCGTAAAAAATACTCCTAGGAAACTTGAATATTTTTGATATCCAAATATCAACAAACTTGGATAAGCACCATATAAATCAAGAGCTTGAAAAAAATTCTTACATTTATAAGCCTAAGCTTATAATAAATGTTACTAACGAATGATTCATTTCTGAATTTCAATAATATTTTAATTATAATTTATAAGAAAACATTAAACTTAGATCAAAATGCTTGGGCTGTTATATTTAAATTCAATTCGAATGAAAATTTTAACAAAGGAAAATTTTTGCGAGTGATAGCAACTAATGAAATATCAAGAACATTTGTATTAAAGAGATGGACTAAGGAAAGAATATATAACACAAAACAAATTACAAAAATTCATATTTCTTATTAATATTAATAGATTATAAATACAATGAATGAAGTTGTTTGAAAGTGCGGTAAAAAAAAATTTATAATATATTTAAATTAATGTTTCATAAGAAATCTTCGGGTCCATATTTTCCAACAAGCGTGTCAATTGGAATATAATCTGAATCACTACTATCACTTTCAGAATCTGATAAATAGATGAGTTGTTCTTGAAATAAGAATACTAATTACTAGATATTTTTTGTTTTTTTGAACGAGGATATTTACTTATCGAAAGTTTTATTATTTTTGAGACTTTACATCTACACTTAGGACAGGATTTCTATTGCATAGTCCAATTCAAAACGCAATTTATACAGAAGTAATGATTGCATCTTTTGAAAATACCTTTGCTTTGGATTTCTTTGAAACAGATTTCACATTCATCTTTTTCTGTTTGTTGTTCTATTTTTATTTGCTCTTCATTATTTTAAATTTGTGATTACTGCATTTCTATTATAATTATTTAAGATTTGTAAATATTCTACAGGGTTTTAAATATATCAAAAATGAAAGTATATATTAAGGATTTAATTAAAATTGATATAATTATAAAAAAGTTGAAAATTTATATTTTAATAATATAATTTATAATTTATTGTTTATTTATATTTTATGTTTTCAAACAACTACTTCTGCTTCTGTTCCTTTTGATACTTCAGACCAGAATTTAATGTACTAGAATTATTTTTATAATAATTACTAATTAATTGAGTTATTATTCCAATTAGCTGACCTTAATTAAAATTTCATAATATTTATTTTATTTGTTCTTTTTAAATCTATCAATTTCATCAAAGCATAATATGGATGTAATCATAATGCAAAGATCTTCCAATAATTTAATTTCATTTTGTGTCTGTTAAATTTAATATATTATTTACATCTTAGATCTTCTTCTCTAAAGTCTATGCTTATTCTGTGTTTGATCCTTTTGAAAACATGGACTTAAGAGTGGTTTTACCAGCCTATAATTTCACTAGCTCACTATTTTGATCTCTTAATTTTTGTTATGCCGAAGCTTTCAAATTGTCTACAAATTCTTTCTACTTCAAGGTTTCTTAAAATGCCTCTACTTCCCTACATTCAATTCTTAACAAATCAACAAGGTAATCATAATTGTTTGTTTGAGCATTTTAGTCTTTCTGAAATATTATATCAATTATACAATTTCTCTTGCGGTAACATTTACGTCATTGTGATTTGTAAAAATTAGATTTTCTGTTTTATGATTCACATACTCAATTAGAATATTTTTCTCATATTCTGGTACAATTGTTTAAGTCATTATGTCTAATATATAAGACTTGTTATACTAAATTAATCGGTGTATTATTTCTTTGCTGCAGCCAATAATTTCACTTATTCTTTAAGACTTTCTAATTATTTAGTTGTTTTGTTTAAATAAGTGGAGAAGCTGGACACTTTCAAAATTAAATCTGAATTCACTTCTCTTCCATTCAAATGAGGGAAATTTTTCTTAAATTTTTCATACACTTCTTATATAGATTATTTTGGTAATCCTTGTAATGCCTATTAATATCAAACATATCAGATTACTTTCTCCATGTCAGTATTCTTGGTTCTTAAAAAGGTCTAAAATTCATCAGAGAAGTAAATATGTCTTAACTTAGCCACTTATTCTAGGAAATATTACAGGAATCTTTTACGATCCTCAACTACTTTTTATTCATTATTTCCCTACACTATTAAATAATAATCATACTAGAGCTTATTTTGCTGGAATTGGAGGAACATAGCATCCTGGCCATCTTTGTAATAAAGTCAGTCTCAGAACATGAAAGTCATTGTAACGACGCAATGCTTCAAATTGACCTATTCTATCCTCTCCTTTAATGTTATAGGACACATGCTTTGATGCGATAGATTCTGTGATATTGATATTGATTGGTGTTGTATCCTCTTATTCCATAATTTAATAATAATAATGATCAATCTTATTGTTATTAAGGGACTTCAGCCGGGAAATTGGGTTCTGGCTATTCAGGAAGATCTGGTTATTCTGTTTACACTTATTAAGGTTATTTTGGATAGAAATGATTGGTCGTTGCTTTGAATCCATAACCATAATATAATTGTGACAATACTTTGTTCTATTATATAGATTAAATAATAAATACAGAATAAACAGTTACTAATCCTGGCCAAACCAATGATTTAATGATAATAACACCATTATTAACTTTATTATTAGTGTCTTTGGCTAAAGGATTATAATCAGTTGTATCTCCAACAATTCTAATTTTCCAAGCTGGCTTATTATTTGGTAATTTATCATTTGATATTTGTTTTAATCTATTTTCAAATGGATCAGCTGCTTCTATTTATTTTTAATATGCTTCTGGTTCTACACCTTCTGGTAATTCGGATGGTATTAAATGAACCAATCTACCACACTAATATATATAAAATAAATATCATTACACTTAATATATTCTAATTGAAATGCATCCAATCATTCAATGTTTTTAAATCATGAAATCCTGGTAATTTATATTCAGGTGCTGGATCTATTTCTCTAGGTTCACCATCTCTTAGAATATATTAACCTTTAGGAATAATAACAGTTGATTATGTAATTCTAACAATTTGAGCTTTTAATAAATGTTTTTCTTTTCCAAAGAAATATGGATTTGTTATGACATCAGCTTCTAAATTACCTGTAAACATATATTTAATTTATCTAGACACATTAATTTATTAAGGTGTAATCAATGGTAATTCAACCCAATCCTTATCATTTAGAATATCAGTGCATGCCCAATAAGATTTAGTATTAACTCCAGATCCTCTAGGTTCAACTTCAGGTGGTAATTCCCCATCTTCAACTTGACTAGTAGCTACTCCTTCAGCAATATAATAATCCTTCTATCTTCCCATGATTTTACCCCAAAATCTTAGTTTAGATGCTTATTTAGTAACAGATAATAACTAAAATATTGTATAAATAAAGTACTGTCAAGGCTTTGAATATTTTATAATTTTCATCAATTCCAATACCAGCCCATTCATATAAATAAGCTTCTTCTGATAAATTAGGTAAATATCCAGTTTAAGTTGCCTCTTAAGGTTCTTCATCAGTTCCAAGATTAATTTTATTGACTAGCTTCAATGTCTTTTATTAAACAGCTGAATCCATTGTAATCTTTGTTCTTTCTGCATTATCAAATTCATTATATTTATCAAATGAGAATCCACTTGATTTTACTTAAAATGAATAATCTTCAAATAATTCAAAAGCATTCTACAATTATAGTTTAACATATATTCATACTTTTGGATTATCCAATAATATCTTAGTCAATACATTATTCAAGTGTTAATATAAATTTGTATTTGAATCCTTTATTTCTTGCAGTTTCTCTTTTAGCATTAATCTAAATTTTTAATAAATAAAAATGATTATTTCAATTATACTAAAATGAGAAAATAAATATTCAATTCAGAGGCATTTAAAGTTCTATAATTAGATTACTTTATTGATAAATTAGTCATAACAGAACACATTATAGATGTAAATTAAGATGATAAGTGTTTGATTATTTAAGGTGCTCTAAATTCTGCTAAAACATAATTCTCCCTAGATAAAGACAATTTTCTATCGTTTTAGATCATTATTAAATTTTCGATATTAAATAATATTTTCTAATGCATAAAAGGCAAATCAAATTAATTAATTGAGACATCAAGCTCTAAGGTATATGGATAACATATGAAATTCGATTTTTCAACTGTATTTAATAAATTAATTCAATTCATACTTATTAATATTTACTAAAACAAAATTTATAAGTCAATATTAATAATAATTTTATTTTACTCTCCTTATTACTTAGATATGAGATTCCATCAAAGTCCAAATTTAGATGAGTAATAAAAATGGAAAATAAAAACTAAAAAATCACAGAATAAACCAAATATTAAATATATCTTTCATATAAATAACTTTTAAATTTTTTAAGCTTCTGTTTATTAACGAATAAAAAATATATTAATAAGTAATTTATTTATTTGTGATCTAGGATTTCTTCATGCTTTTTCTAAAAATTTAGAAAAAAGCCAAAATCTAATAATCTAATTAAACTGATATTAAATTAATTAGAAAAAATTAATGGAATCAAATAATTATTGTTATGATTGTCTATTGATGGGAACATTTCTTTCCAAAACATAATGTAATTTCTGACTAATCTCGAATAACAGATATTTATTATAAAAATTATCCCTCACTTTGAGATATTTAAAAAATTTCTCAATGATTATATAAATGGAACTATCAAGAATGAATTTTCCAAAGTTTTTTGTGTATTTATGAAATTTATCATTATTCTGTGTTTGGAAGCTAAAAATATGAATTTATTGTATTTTTTTAAGTGAATTTACATTAATCCTGTAGAGGAAATTGAAAATATTGAATGGCAATAAAAACATTTAGAAAGTTCGAAACAATTCTAATTATGTTTTAATTGGCAGGTAATAAACATTTACACAATTAATATATGAATTATTACAATATTCTTGGTGTTTCAAATAACTCGACACATGAACAAATAAAAAAAGCATATCGCGTTCTTGCTAAGCAACATCATCCAGTAAATTATCAAAATATGACCAGGATAAGAATGCAGAATCAGCATAATTTAGAGTAATTTCTGAGGCTTATCGAATACTTTCTAATTCTGAACTCCGTGTTCGATATGACATTTTCTAAGCCTAATTGGATAGACAAATCAGCCTATATAATATGATACGAAATTTTATCAATGGAAATTAAGAGAGAACAGAAGTTAATAGTGATAACAATACAAAAGACACAGAAATAATTAACAATGATTCTAAGAACAAGGATGTTACTTAAATACAAAAGAAAAAAATTAGAAAAAATCCTCATTGATAATATTATATCTTTTTCTTTGATTCATATTTCAAGATTTTCATTTTGAAATCAATAATCATTATCTATTCTTGAAATTTTATATTAATTTTTTATTATATAATGTCTAAGTAAAATAAAACTCTCATCTTTGATTAGGCAGCAAGACACGCGAGAATCAAAAAAGAAAATGAGGAGCAATTATCGTAGGCATTGAAACTTTATTAAGAATTTGGAAAGATAGAAAATAATGAATTAATAGCTACAGTAATTGATTCACTCTCTACTATTGAATTCTTCAAATAAAATTGTCCAGAAGGAATGAAATTAAGCGAATTTGTTGCAAATGCAATTAAATATTTTTAATTTGAACAGTATGATTATGGACAACCAATATTTCACTATGGTGAATATGGTGATAAAATGTACATAATATTAAAGGGAGAAGTTGGTGTATTTGGGCCTAGACCATTAGATGATATCATTAGAGATATGGAATAATTAAAGAAATAGGAAGAGGTAGAATTAGTGAAGGTACAAAAAAAGTAGTTAACAGTAAATTTTGATAACTTACTTAAAATGTAAGGAGAAAAATATTTTAAAGATGGAGTACTCTTATATTAGAAGGTAATCATATATACAATGTGTAGATTTTTTAATATTATTCAGGATAAAGTTTTGGCGATGTTGCATTAACATCAGATAAACCCAGATCTGCTAGTATCATTGTCTATTCAGAGAAGGCATTCTGTATAACTATGAGGAGAAATGATTTTAAATAGATCTTTCAGAAATCCATTTAACAAGCCAGAAATACTATTGATTATTTTATGAAGATATTTCCTGGAACTTTGAAATTTAATATTTCTAAATTCATCTAATATCTCAGACCGATTATTTTTCATAGCAAAACAATATTATGGTAAATTGGAGATGAACCATAATTCTTTTTTATTATTGTAACTGGTAGAGTCTAACTTTATAAGTATTTTGATTAAGATACATTAATGGGGAAAAAAAAGAATTAAAACTTATCACATGACAAGTTATATTTAGCTAAATAATCTCATAAATCAAAGATAATTGTATTAATTTATTATTATAAATAAGTTAAGCCAATTATCAGATGGTAGTATAATTGGTTAGGAAGAATTAATCGAAGATTTACCATATAGGAAATACTGTTGTGAGGTTGTAGATAATACAAGTGCTTATTATATGGAATAATCCGATTTTAGAGCCATTCAAGGAAACCACCCTGATATTATGGAATGTCTAAGAGAAAGAGTATAAATTAATAAAGATTACATTGATAAAAGATAAAGATTGATTTTAGAAAACTTTAAAAACTATGATGATTATTTGAGTTCTCTTAATAATAAACTAAGTTCTTAATCCTAATTGAAGGATCTCTTTCTCAATATTAATAATAAACAAATCTGTATCAGATCTTAAAAAAATTTGAAGGTATCTTAGAATGAAATACTATTGTAACATATTGATTATGACCAAAAAAGAAAATCTCTTGAACAGGAGGAAGAGTCGGAATTAAGATTTATAATAAATAACAACAATTTATAGCAGATCAGAGATAGATTTGTCAGACAATAATAAAATGAAAGGGATTGTCTATCCTAATAGAAATAAGCACATAATAGAAAGCTAATAACTCAAATATTAAAATAATATTAATATAAAAAAATTTAACATGAAAAAAAAGATAGAAAAAGAAACTCAATTTTTATTACTTCTTCATAAACTTCAATTGGTTAGACTATTGAAACAGAAAATTCAATTGATATTTTGAGGTAATAATAATTGCAACGTTCTTCCGTAATAATTCCTACTCATGTAAAACTAAGGGCAAGAAAATAATCAACTCAAAAGAGCTACAATAATAATCAGACACTAAATAATTTAACTGAAATAGAGAGTAGAACACATTAATAAACAAACATTACACATATTACTCCTAGTACTTGTAAATTCTTCAAGACAATAAGATCCATTTCAGGAAAATGCTGATTATAAGAATTTTTGATAAAATTATATGATATACTTTTCCCACTTAAATACGATAACTTTCACAAATCATCTAATTATTTTTATAATCTGATTTGGAAAGTCTTCTCTTCTATCTTGAATTTATTTAAATGTTTAAACAATTCATCAATTTTTATCTGATAAGTCTTCTATCTTATAAGCATTAAAATATCCTAGCTTAAAATTTAAAAGTTACTTCATATTCACACTTCAATAATTCTTGTTCCAGGTTTGACAAAACTGCTAAAGTTAACCTAATTAAGAATAAATCTCCTTCGCATAAAAAATAATCCCAAACTTTGCTTGAAGTGATTAAATTGAATGCCCTAGAAAAAACTGTGTAAAACCATTCTACTAAAAATGATTGTTTTGGCAAATTGATCTAATTAAATTTGTTTGCTAAAACTGGTAATTTTTCTTGGAAAAAAGAATCAAATAATAAGAAGTAAGCTTCTAAATAATGGCTTTTAAATTAATAGAATGTTCTTAACAATTGGCTTTTGAATAAAATATTGGCTAAACATTTCAAGGCCTTTTGTTTCGGCATTCGAATTAGAAACATGAATGCTAAGTACGTCATTCCTTAGATATATCCCATATCTGGTCTATAAATCTTAAATTATAACTTCATTTAATACATGAAATATTGTAAGTATCTCTCTTAAGTCGTCTTTCAACTTATCTGAATTTTCAAAATCATTGATAATAGTAAATGTTCTCTAAAGATCACTTAATAACAATGAAAATACTTATTAATCAAATTTTTTAGTTCATTTGTTATCAATGGATGATTTGGAATAGATACTAACAATTTTTCATAAAGTTATTTATTAATTTATAATTGATTACCAATTAACTAACTTAAATAACATTCTTACAAAAGACCAAATTTTGCCTCTATGATGTTCTGGATACGAATTTCTCAATAGCTCTCTTAACTTTCCATTTATTACTTTTTCATTTTTATATTTTTCTTTAAAAAGTACCATCACTTGATCTTGCCAAATTTTCATTTCAAATTGTTTATTTGCTACATCCTAAATTAAAGGGTTGCTTTACTTTAATTTTCTTCATTTCCTCCTCATATAATATAGTGTATTATGATTTTGGAATACTGTCAATAATAGATTAGATCTCAGGTTTGTTATTTTTTTAGGGTGTGTGAAATTATTCTAATTTTGTTATGAATCAACATACTTTTTAAATAAATTACTTATTCTTGTTTGATTTCAACACTCCTTTGACTTTATTCATCTTAACTTATTTAACTTAAATTATCTGGTGAATCCTGAAATGATGATACATTGTCTACGTGTTTGGTACTTTCTTATTCCTTTATAACTTATTCCTTTTCAAAATTTGCCTTCTTTAATAATCTGATCTCTTAATGTAAAGTCTATTTTCAAATAATATTGATACATCTAAAAGTAATTCCCTATCAGCCCTTTCCACACTTAAATTAACTAATTACAATTCGAGATCTCTAATCTGTGTGGATGTATATTCTTTATATTGAGTAAACATTTCGCTCAAGTTATCATTATTTTCTTTGAGAATGTTGTTTTATTTTTCAAGTTGTTCAACTTTCTTAAAATAATAGGTTTTGATACTTCGTTTAATTTCTACTTCTATTCTTGCAATGACATGATTGAATCTTTTAAACACACTAATTCATCTTTATAAAAATTAAGTAATTCTTCTTCATTATTCATTAAAATGAATTGTAATTAAATATTTATTGATTAACTGAGATGTCCTGATCTTTATACAAAGAATTAACATGCATCGCTAAATTGCCCTCCAAAATACTCATAAAGTTTCATAATGAACTAAATAATCCATAAACCAAGAATTCTGAGAAATTAATATAGTGTATAGAAATATTCGTCATCAACTGAAGACCTATGCTAATCATTTGAATAGCCTCAAGTGTTGAATTTAACAATATCATAATTACGGGATTTGAAATCTATTAATAAGACAAAAAAGACTAGCTTATGTACAAAGTCTAAAAGTAAGGAGAAAAATCTACAAGTGCCTGATCAATATCATGAGAGGAAACGATCAAATACCTATCATGTCAATTCTCTAGCTAAAACAGCCCTGTTATTTGTTAATCGACAAGATAAGAGAATGAAAATAAGTGAAAATGTAGATAATCATTTTGATATCAAAAACTTAGAATTATTACAAAGTAATTAATAGAGTGTTAAAAATACTCATTTTAATACTACTATAATGTTACCAAATTACAATTTTGAATCAACTTTACATTCTTGTGTGTCTTAAACAAACATCTCTTTGGCAAATTAAATCAATTTGGTTAAAGAATATGTGTCTGAAATTAATCAATACAACATTAAATGGACAGAATCAGAAAAAATAACAAAAAATATACCCAAAAAGTTATTAGAAAAATATGCTACCTCTGATGATACATCATTGTATTTAGAATCTTCAAGATTTAAAATTGAAAGAAATTTTAATCAAATTTACAAAGCAGGCAAATTTAGATGGTTATATCCCGGTGAAGAAGCTGCTATTATAGAAAGCATAGAATCATTTTTAAATGATTGCTCAAAAAAGATATCATTATTAATGATGAGCGCATAGAAAATCTTAAAAACAATTATCATTTAAAAAAGGTTAGAATATTTGTTTAATTATCCTATTTGCATGAAATAAATAGAGGCTCATTGGAAAATCATGGCAACAATCTTTAAATTAAAATAACAGCATCGTCATTATAAAAATTAAGTAACAAATAAGTTATGGAAAGACATTCAAGCATCAAAAACATTATTTTTAGATTTAAATCTGGATAATAATAAATTGACTCATTTTGTCAAATAATTATAGATTTGATTTAAATAGTATTTTTCAATATTTAACATCATAAAAATGATATATATTATATAATCATAAAAATAAATTGGCTAAAAATAATCTTTTTTTCCCTCTCTTCATAACTTTGGTAGCATCTCTTCTAGAAACCAGTATGTAATCCTCTGGAATCTAGAATAATTTCTTTATTTCAGGATCCTCAATATCTATTTACTTGTATGCTTAAAATGTCACAACAGCATCAATTGTAAAATTTATTGGAATTTCTATTCTGACTGGGAATCCTTTATCGTTAAGTAGTTATTTAACACTCTCATTTTATAGAACTGTTTGTAAAGATGAAATAAACTCATTCCCATTTGCTAACATTTTTATAATTGGAAGAAACTACTAAAAATTTATTGGAAATTCTTTATTAATATAAAGTAAACATGATTCCTATTGTTCTATTTATTAATTACAAAAATACTTTTATCATCTTCATTTTTAGTACTATTTTCGATGTTTTATTTGACTTATTAACTTTCTTATTTAAAAGATGGAGAATTAACGAATAATTAATCACCTACAATTTGACTTGTTATTTACTCTAAATTAAATCTTGCACTTGTAGGATTTTAATCTATAGATTAATTAAAATATTAATCTTAACTCGTAATATAATTTGATTAATGTTTTTTATTGAAATGCTATGATGTAACAATGCGAAATTCATATTTTTAACAGATCCAATTATTAATTTTCTAGTTTACAAAATTTCCAAAAAAATTCTTGCTTTTGATTAATTCACAATTAATTATTTTCAAATCCCCACTGACACTTTCGCAATTTAATAAGTCCATCAGAATTTGATTCTTTTCTTCAGGATCTATCTCTTGCTAATTTAATGTTAAAATCATACAATAGGATAATAGTAGATCTTTTTGGATCTATTTAAAATTGTAACAAATTTACAATTTGAACTGTTTTCCTTTCTTTGTACTGAACCCATTAATGGATTATATAATACTGTGAGATCCCTTCTTTTATTTTTATAATTCTTTTTCCCTGCAAAAGTTGAGTCCAATCTCAAAGAGGAACCTAAATATAAGGATATATTACCTCTCTTATATATTTTGAAAGTGTCATTGGGAGTAAATTTGGAGATGAAAGGAATAAGGCTAGATTTGAATTCCCATTTCATTTCTAAATAGAAATCATTGATTTTTAATAGTTCCTAATCAATTTAATTTCGTTCCTATTACATCTCAAATAATTTCTTAGAAACTAAGTAATCAAACAATAATGATGTAGTCAATAAGTCTTTTTAAGCAACAGTTTCTTCAATGGGACTCCATCCATTAATATCTTTGATAGAAGGGTCAGCGCCATTTGATAGCAGTAATCGAATAGTAGAGAACTGATTCTATTGTTATTACAATTTGATAGCTAAAAGCAGAGGTGTATTTCCACGTATATCTTTTAAATTTAATATGTCGGTTCTATATTCCTTTTACAATAGTAATACAATTTTGGTTAATAACTATATGTTTCTATTAAACACAGCTTCAACAATTTGATTTAAAAGGTCTTTTTCATTTAATTTAATGGAGGATTGTTGAGCAAATGATTCATTACCTGGAACATCGATAGTATACTGACTATTATTCTAAGATTATTGGCATGATCGATTATTATTATTATTATTGATGCTGGTCTAATTAATATTTGTAAGATAGAACATTATTGGAGAATTGACTTATTTTAATGATTAATCAATAGAGTGATCTGTAACTTCTTTAGCCTTTTTTATAATGGTCAGCGTGTTATAATTGCTCTCAGAAATAGGTGATGTTTATCTATTTAAAGATGGAGATTTATTTAAATTAACCGATTAATCATCCTTATTTATTGTAATTCTGCTAATTTAATTGCCAAGCCAAAACTTTTTTGATTTTATTTCATTAAACATCTTAATTTTCTCATTAAAAAAGCTATTCTTATATTGGCATAAAATGTTAGCATTTTTGTTCTCATCTGAAATATCAAATTCTGAAAGTTATATTTCAGAAAAATCATTTAAAGAGGATTCAGAACTCTGATCTTATCTACTTTTATGAAATTTAAAACAAGTTTAGGATTTGCGAGTACTGGCTCCACTTATACTCTTCAAACAAAGAGATTTATGTTTAAATTTTAGAGGAAGATCATGCAATTTATCTAATTTTTATTTAACAGAATCCTGATATCCTTCTTCATCGCTATATTCAAAAGTTTGCATTATAATTTATTAATATATATAATATTCATAATTTACAATACAAAACATGAAATCTAATCATATTCGCCATTCAACAAGTATCATAAATCTCAAGAATCATATGAATGAAGCTCCAAAGCGATTAGCTCTAAATGCAACAAGTTTATCGAGATATGTGCAATAATTTTTAAGCACTTCCAAAGGTAGAGATAAATTTATGGCACTATTATAATATTCATTTGATTTTTATCATAGTTGTACAAAACATTCAAACTTACTCTATATATAATAATTGGTTTCATAAAATGATTTAAAATGTTATGTTGTTGCTGAAAAATTTAAAGAAGTAATAAGTCTCACATTAATTTAGAGTATTTCCTAAAGTCGAAAGATATTTAGACTTTTATTTTTTCTAGATGAAATTAAAGGGATATAAAGGTTGATTAAACAAAATAAGCCTTTATTGTTCAAAATATTAGCTATTTCAGGACATTATTCAAGTTTCATGTACTATGTAAGTGACAACTTTTTATGGATTATTGCAATTTTGGCATAAAGGTATTCCCTATTTAAGTAATAATATTAGCAAAGTATTATAAAAAGAAATCGAAGCAAGATGGAAACAAAGGAAAAATTCTTTTTCTCAAATGAGAATTATAATCAACTTGCTAAGATTAACAATATTAATAATATTTAGAGAAAAGTATAAATTAATTAAATTGGTGATAGCAAAGAGAATAGGATTTTGTTAGAGATGACAAAAATAATGACTTAAGATACTTCAAAAAAGCTATAAAATTCTCTTATTAAATTGAGAAGAAAGAGAAGATTTGAAATTTTGGAGTTAATTTTATCAATCCTAAGATTCTTCATGCTGACTAAATCTCTAAAGATGACAGGATATTAATATCTGGATCCTGTGTTTGTTGCTAGTATCATCATTAACAATATTATTATAGCATGTGGGTTAGTATCTTCAGGGTTGGCATTATTTAAAGCTGTTTACGAGAAAAGGATTTTTATTTAACTTGATAATTCATCGAAGATAGAGAGTTAAATAAATTAGAAGTTATTACCAAGTTATTAATTTTGATTTATTTTTACCGTGTATTTATAATATAATTCCAATAATCTAGAACTATTACTTTTAATCATATTCATTTCTGTTGGATCAATTTTGCTCCATACTTAAGAAAATAATTCTCTTTTAAAAATTGCTTGCATTCATATAGAAGGTAAGAAATTTCGAAAGAACAAATATTTCACAATTCAATTATCAAATTTGCTTCTTCTATTGTTTAATATGTTTTTATTTCTTGAATGATCAAAACTATTAAGGCCAAAGAAAGATTTCCTTTCAATAAGCAGATCGCTTTAATTCTATTTTTGTGTAATTTATGAATGAATATGACTTTTAACCATGATTCTTAAGAAAAAATAACCATTAATTGTTTATTCTAATATTAATCTTAAGAAATAAGTAGTTAATCCTCATTCCCAAAATGACTATATATTCTTTTAATTATGAAATATTGAAATAATATCAAAAATTTTGAAGGTTTTTATTAGAAAAGATGATCTCCATCTACATTTAATATAATCCATAGAATATTGGATAAAGATATTGTATCTATAATGATATTTAGAATTATGATAATCATTTTATTTTTTACTACTGAAATATCTGGGCATCTTTTTTGTTGATGCTCGTTTAGAAACTTATTTCATCTAATATAGTCTTATTTTTTGCTTGATTTTCTTAAATTTTTTCTTTTTGAATTCATAATCGTTTGTAAAGATTTAAAGAGTTTTAAATGTATGCAGAAATTCTTAAATAAGATTACAATAACATCTAATTCAAACTATAACAACCTGTCGACATCAATTAAGAAAAAAGGATAAGGAGGTCATTAAAAACTATTGTATTACTTCAAAAGTTATATAACTATGAATGCTAAAGTTTTAAAAATTTTGAAGAAACAATCTAAAGCCATTTTTAGTAAGAACAAATTTTAGATTTAAATTCAACAAGCTTTTATCTGAATGTAAGAAGGAGATTAGATATTAGAATGGATAAGAATAAGACTCAAAAGATAACAAATAATAGCATATTATTAATTAAAAAATTCATGCACTTTTCAAGTGGGTTAAAACATCTCAAAAATGTCAAACTACTAAACTACTTTCTAGAGATTCTTATCTTAGTCATATTATTGTGAATGAAAGCTAAATGAATTAAAATAAAATAACTTTAGCATTTAATTTTTAGATTTATACTTTATGCTTAATAAGGATCATGTTAGATAGATAGCTAACAAAGCTAAAAATAGTTTCTTAGAAGAATTGTGGTCAGCTAGTACATTTCCTTCGGACTTGGTTACTAAAAAAGAATCCAAAAATCAAGTGTAAATATAAATACATTAAATAGTTTTTTAGCTTATTGAATAGTTTTTGGAGCAATCTATGGTTGAATTTATGAAACCCATTTAATCGAATTACTTAAATTGCATAGTTAGCATTATGAAGAAAAATAAAATTGTTATTATTTGGAATACACCAAAAATTTCTTCTGACATAGTCACCAGAATTAATTTCGATAGAAAAATTATGGCACAGTTTGGAATCCTTGGATAATGCGTTTATTCTATGACTCATATTTGAGAGAAAGATTGTAAAAGTAAGAATTTTGAATTATATAGGCTCTTATATTATTACTTAAAAGATGAATAATAATTGAAAATAAACCCAACATAAACACATGTTTGATAATAACGAAAGGAATTTTATCTTCTGGCAAATTGGATGATTCGATTATCTGAATTATATTATATCATGGTTTAGGTTGATGGAAATTAGTTTTACATCCTTCACTACATCTAATACACTTATTACAGCAAGTATAGTAATCGTCCGCTCCACATTTTTTGCAAGAATAAAATTTCAATTTTCCACTGTGAAATAAACAGGAATCCTAATTATTAGAATAAATTAATACTATATAATTTGTTCTAGGGTTGTATAATAGATGACATTATTAGCATTCCTTTTTTGAGCATTTTTGTAATTGCAATTCAGCATATTTGGCTAATGATTATAAAATTTATGAGATTAATTAGTTTTTTTGATTTCCTAGCTCTTCTTTCTATTTATGCAATTCTTTTAATAATTGAGGATCATTTTATTCTATTCTAGGAGATACAACTTCATCAAATTGCATTAATGAATTTTGTGTGTCCATTCCTTAATTATGAATTATATTTGTATGAGATGGCTATTTTTAATCTTGATGTAGAAACTCATACAAATAATTTACCTCATTTGGAACCAATTATTTTTGTTATTAAAATATGGAATTAGTGAATATCAACTCTCTCTCCTAATCTATCTATAATTATTGTTGCTTTAAAAATTCCATTCTTGTGATTTATTTTTCATATTAATGTTTTGTTAATTATAACTTTTGTTCTTCTTCTTTTTCATTTTGAACATATTCGTCAAGTTTCTTTTGTAAAACATCATTCTCTTTAACAAGTGATTCTGTAATAAATACATAAAATTACGAATGGTTGAATTATAACTTTGAACTATTAGTTGAGCATCTTATTCACTCATCATTGGATTGTCAGATAAGACACTGTTAGTAAATGAGTTTGTCTCATCGTGCATTTTAAAAATAATTTAATTATTAATAATTTATACACGTATAAAGATGTTTAAGATTTTGGCTTTGCTATTAATTGTTTAGCTCTATGCCTCTGATCCTAATACTTAAAATGCTGAATTTGATGCATAAGCATAATAGCAATAACAAGCTGAAATAGAAAATGAAGGTCAGAAGTAAGTTAAATGTTAATTATAATAGAGTAATAGCCAAACTTACAGCATGTTGGGTCTTATCAGTTTAGGAGTTATCAGAAGAATAGAAATCAGTGAATGAAATAATTAAGAGTCAATCTAATTAGAATAGGGAATCTATTTTTTACAAGATCTAGACGACTATGTTGGAAGAATGTTATTCAAGGGCTCCTGATGAAGAGTTAGCAAATGTGATGAGATCTATTTAGGATGATAATAAGAATTACAAATCATTCAAATAACAAATACCAGATTTCAGCTTTGAATAATTTACTAATGCCTCATTTGATTGGACTTTCACAAAAAATGATGAAACTTTAATGAAATATATTAGAGTAAATTTTGGTTTAACCAATATTAGAGATTTGAAGAATGGGTGACTACAAAAAACACTGTTAGTAGCCCAGTATAATAACCAAATTAAAAATAGAGTGTTTTTGCTGAGTTAAAAAAGAAGATATCTGAGATGAGTAAGAAGAGCTAATCAAAAGATTCCGAATCCAATAATAAGGAGTAATTGGACAAATATTAATTTTACTTATCTAAATAATAGGGAATGAAAGATCCAATCAATTTTTTATTTGCTGGAATAGCAATTTTTTGTTTCTGTTTAGTGTTTTACTTTGGTAATGATTTTTTAATTATCGAAGTTTATTCCAAAGTTAAGCAAGCTAACTAAGATCCCAGACTAGATAAAAAGAATAAGAAACAAAAATCAAAAAAAGAGTGATTAGATATTAATATTTTTTTTAAATGCAATAATATTCGCCAAGAGCAATTATTTGGATGACATATCTCAATTATTTGCCCCAAGATCAAACTCAATAATTGTCATTCCTTAAAAAATAATAACTGCTCTACTACTCTTATTTGGATGAGTTCATTAAGAAGGAACTCCTAGAGATTTTCAATATTTTGAACAATATAGACATCGATCAGAGTTCTCTCAGTTTTAGTTCATTCTAGACCATTAAAACCTAAGTTATCAATTCATGTATGGATTATAATGAATATATCCAAAACGAAAAGTTATTTGAAATAATTGAAAAAGATGTTCCGTATCTTATATACAATATTTATAAGTCGTACTTCGTTGAAATAATCAATTATGAAGGAACAAACCAATGACAGGTTCTCATAGTACTTTTTTACTGACTCTTATAAACGAAGAAAATAACAAAATGATACTGCGCCAACTCATTAGGATATTTTCATTAGAATTTTATATATTTATGGCAAACTTAACCCAGCTATTAAATATATGTAGGGAATGAGTGATTTACTTGCCCCGTTATATTTGATCATTAAAAATGAAGCAGACACATTCTTTTGTTTTACTAAGATCATGGCTCAACTTAAAGATGCATATATTTCCACTCTTGATTTTACTTACACGGGAATCAGGGGGCTGCTCTTAAATTTTGAAACTCAATTCAAATAAAGAGAGCCAACTTTATACAAATATTTGCATACTCTTGGCATTCATCCTTATATGTATGGATATAGATGGATTATCACTTGTATGTCACGCGAGTTCCCGTTCGATTAAATCTATTAAATATGGGATCTAATGTTACATAATCGTAATATGCACGATTTTATTATTAAATTTGCCATTGCCATTCTTAAATATCTGAAACCCTAGTTAATAGAAGCTGATTTTAAATTGGCTTTTGATATTCTGTTATATGGTGAAAAAGATGTTAATTAAATTCTCAATTTTATGTGATTTTATTAATTTATACGTGTTTATACTATCTATCAATTATTGCTTCTTATTATTAAAATTATCTCATGATTTGGAACCTTCAGATCAGCGACCCAAATATCAAATATTTGTTACAAAAAGAAAGGGACTCTTTGCTCAAACATCAACAATAAACTTAAATCTTCCATGAATCCATCAATAGCATTATGGATTAACAAGCGAAGGATCTAATTCTCCAAAATTTACAACTCATACAAGATTCTAATTCATTTGGTATATTTCGCTCCCAAATTGAGGTGTCTGCTGCCTTGTAGGAATAATTCAAGGAAACTAAACGAATTATTGAATAATCTGACATTCTACAAATTATACATTAAATTGATTAAATTCAAAACTCTATTGCAACTAACATTGAAATAATCAAAAAAGATGAAAACATTGTGTAATATATTGCTCACAATAAAAAAATAATCATCCAGATGATTACAAATAAATATGAATAAACTATTATTAATACTTTAAATTCAGTAGGATTCCCTGATCCTAACAATGGACCAGAAATAAAATAATTCGAATAAATTTAAGAATTGACACTATATTCCAAATTGATTAAACATGTCTCACAATTTGAATCAAGATTTTTGTCTTCAATATTCGTGAAATTAAATTAAAACTTTGATTATCATTTCATTGACTCTATCCAAGCCACCTCAAACATTAATAATAGTTCGTGGTTTTTTAATTATTTGTATGAAAATTTTGAAAAATCTATCAAACAACTCTTTAAACTTGATCCTAATTATGAAGATTAAATCTAAAATTATTAAAACTTTGAACTAGAAGAAATCATTTAGACATTTGCTTCACTTATGATTTAACATTATGTCATATACAATATTACAAAGGTATATATTTCAAATATTTAGAGAGTAAGAAGAGATAAAGATGAGTTTATTTTTTAGCCAAATTTAGCTTTATTGTTCTTGGAAGAACTCGATAATTTCTGTTAATCAATTGAATAGTTTTGGTATATTTGTTTTGATTAGAAATGTAATTAAATATTTGAAGTAATCCTTCTTATTCTTAATGAGAGTAATATCTTTGGTAAGATATTAGAGTGGGAAATAAAGTTATTTAATCAAAGCATCTTTAATGAATATGAAAATAAGATCTAATAAAAAAATATTCATCTTTTTTTAAACCTTGTTGAAGAATTTTAAATTGTTTGGAATAGTTAATATTAAAAATATTCTTTGATTGTTAATCAGAATCTGATTAATCAGGTTTAATAAATATATTCCCTTATTTTTAAATAATTTTTAGAGTTATGTGAATAATATTACTTAATTATAAAACAAATAGATAGCAAAGATTATGTATGTAAACAATGATAAATTATAGGTCCAGTTTTTATAAACTTATTACCTTGGATTAAAAGCATTAAAGCAGCAATTTAAGAAATACAAAGCCTCTATTAAATAGCTCAAATAAAATACATTAATCAAATTTTTAGAACCTTTATCAAATTAATGCTCTGAGGAAATATATTAAAAATTATTTAAGGAATATTTATATGATGATAAATTAACATCTGACTTTTTTAAATCAATTACCAAAGTCAATTTTTATCAGAATCATCAAATTATATTTCTTCAAAGTTAGCATGAATTTGCTAAAAAAATCAATAACTTTTACTACAAAGCCAATTCAACCATCAATTAAATAATTAATACTAATTTAATTGAAAGATAATATATTGCTGATTTAGCATAAAAGGTAATCACAATAATAATTTCCTAACTCACTACTAAAACACAAAAACTTATAGTCAAATAGGAATATTCTTAAGATGGTATTCTAATCATGTTTTTGATAATTTTGAGAACCACCTTTTTGGTTTTATATTCATCCATTAACCATTAAAAAAATACAAAAGCATAAAAAAAAATCATTGAAAAGTAATGAATTTTTATTATTCTAAGGTTCGAACAAATATAAACAATTATAAACAACAGATATATTTTGAATGAATAATCATGGTAAAGAGTTATAAAATCATATCCATTATTAAATCAAAAGGATGTAGAAATTTTAAAAAATTTAAAAATTAATTAAACCACCTGAAAAATATATATATATCTTTAATTATTTAACATAGCAACAATTGAAAAAAAATCACTTTTCATAATTGTGTTTTCAAATTTATGTAAAGACTTCATGTCAAGGCTAAATTTTTTATAAAAATACATAAAATATAGCCTGAATTGAGAACAACAATTTTATATCTGTTTTAGAAATTGTATCAATCTCATTTTTATATAAAAATGTTTCTACCTTCTGAACAAAAATTCCTATACTTTTACATTTCTTCAATTTTATTTTAATTGGTTACAATTAACCCGACGACAAATGAACTTTGATTACTAAATATGCAATTTGATTAAAAATAATCTCAACGCTAACTATTCAAAAAAATTACATAGAATTTTTTAATGTTTAATTTAACATGTAAATTTAACCATTTGTTTCATTTAAAATTCTAAATTTATTGTAATTTTTTTTACAACAATTTATCTATATTAATACCTAAAATAGAAGAAAATATAAAAAAATAAGTTCAATATAAAAATTTATTGACTTTTAATAAAAATGAGAATATAATATTTATATACTTAAACATTATTGGTAATCATCAAAAATGGAAAACATTTTTTAATTAATTCTGAAAATTTTCAGATTAAAAGTATTATTTCAAAAAAAATACAAATTTTTATTGATCTAAAATATCAAATTAGAAAAATGAAAAGTATTATCAATAAAGATTTTATTTTTGGAAGATTAATAAAATTTATTCTATCTAAACTACTTATTTATTGTTCAAAATTTTTATTTACACTTTTTCTTGCATAATTTTAATTTTGATCTGCAATTTTATTGATTTACAAATGAATTTTTGATCCATTCTGCAACAAAATATTAAATTTGATGATAACCATTTATCGATATATGTTTTTAAAATACATTTTTTCAATTTATACTCCTACTTGAGTATTATCAAAAAAATTGGTTGTTAAAATTTCAAACAACATTTATTTTGATTATTAATAAATAAGGTTGAAAAAACGGAAAGATCAGATGGGTGCTGATTATTTAAAAATGAATTTAATTAAATCATTTCGGTTAGAAAATTGCAAGATATATTGTCATCCAAACAGGTAGGGTTATAATGCACAGTATATATCCATAAAATAATATTAATGAAACGACATCTTCTAATTATTATTGATATTGCTTTGCCATAACTAAGATAGTGATCGCTGAGGGAGTACAAAAGGTGATGAACAAAATGAATAATTCACACAAATCTGTCATTATACCAATTTAATCTAAACATATAACTGTTGTTAATCCAATAATAGGTAACAGTATTAACCTGTTAGCCACAATTTAAAGGATTGTAATTAAATTCTCTTTTTTTTATGTGTTTTTAAAATATATTAAATAGAGATTACTTCCCAAAATCATTAAAACAGAAGGAGGACATGCTCTTGAAATTGTTTATAATGGTAAGAACAGGGCTCTATGTATAAACGTATCATTAACTAATTGCTTTTAAATTGGTAAACATAATAAAGAGACAATAACTGAAATAAGAGGAGGATTCCAAAAAGAGGATTCTTATTTTTTATTTTGAGTAACTTATTATTACTGTGGCTGAGTTATCTTTAAATTTAGGAGCTCCACCTCATTTTATTGTTCAGCAATTTTATGTTATTGCATAATTCTCTTTCCTATAGACCATCTGAAAGCATTAACTATGACAGTTTAAATTATTATTATTGTAACAAGTTTCGCTTCAGTTTCTTTTTCAGATTAATTTGTTATCTTGGAAAAGTAAGTGGTTAAACCATAAGCTATCTGTAATTAGATGTTTATAGTATGAGGATTAGCTGATGATAAGACAATGATGGAATTTAGATTTTCTTTTTTTATCCAATATTTATTGCTTATTACTCCGATCAGATATCCACAAAATATACAAAAAAATGTTGTCAATATTGTTGGAATGAGTCCCAATAATGAATCAAAAGTTACTGTTTTTAGAAAATTCGTAAAAATCATCGCTGGAAGAAACATTCTTTCAACTACTTTAGACAATGTCATTGTGAATTCGTTATTAAATATTTTTTGATGAGTTAGAAGTGCTCCACTGCTGGCTACAGCTAAAGCACCGAATGTTGCAGAAACAACTGCTTCTATAATTGTTAAAATAATCATAATTATAAAATGAAATTTAATAGCACATTTAAACTTCGTATATATATTATTTCTGGTATTCCTTAATTTTTTAAATTACTTTATTCTAATAATTACTGTTATACAGAAAAATCATCAAAAAATTATGATCAAAATGGTCTCAAAAGATCATTAAATACATNTAAATAAGGTTGAAAAAACGGAAAGATCAGATGGGTGCTGATTATTTAAAAATGAATTTAATTAAATCATTTCGGTTAGAAAATTGCAAGATATATTGTCATCCAAACAGGTAGGGTTATAATGCACAGTATATATCCATAAAATAATATTAATGAAACGACATCTTCTAATTATTATTGATATTGCTTTGCCATAACTAAGATAGTGATCGCTGAGGGAGTACAAAAGGTGATGAACAAAATGAATAATTCACACAAATCTGTCATTATACCAATTTAATCTAAACATATAACTGTTGTTAATCCAATAATAGGTAACAGTATTAACCTGTTAGCCACAATTTAAAGGATTGTAATTAAATTCTCTTTTTTTTATGTGTTTTTAAAATATATTAAATAGAGATTACTTCCCAAAATCATTAAAACAGAAGGAGGACATGCTCTTGAAATTGTTTATAATGGTAAGAACAGGGCTCTATGTATAAACGTATCATTAACTAATTGCTTTTAAATTGGTAAACATAATAAAGAGACAATAACTGAAATAAGAGGAGGATTCCAAAAAGAGGATTCTTATTTTTTATTTTGAGTAACTTATTATTACTGTGGCTGAGTTATCTTTAAATTTAGGAGCTCCACCTCATTTTATTGTTCAGCAATTTTATGTTATTGCATAATTCTCTTTCCTATAGACCATCTGAAAGCATTAACTATGACAGTTTAAATTATTATTATTGTAACAAGTTTCGCTTCAGTTTCTTTTTCAGATTAATTTGTTATCTTGGAAAAGTAAGTGGTTAAACCATAAGCTATCTGTAATTAGATGTTTATAGTATGAGGATTAGCTGATGATAAGACAATGATGGAATTTAGATTTTCTTTTTTTATCCAATATTTATTGCTTATTACTCCGATCAGATATCCACAAAATATACAAAAAAATGTTGTCAATATTGTTGGAATGAGTCCCAATAATGAATCAAAAGTTACTGTTTTTAGAAAATTCGTAAAAATCATCGCTGGAAGAAACATTCTTTCAACTACTTTAGACAATGTCATTGTGAATTCGTTATTAAATATTTTTTGATGAGTTAGAAGTGCTCCACTGCTGGCTACAGCTAAAGCACCGAATGTTGCAGAAACAACTGCTTCTATAATTGTTAAAATAATCATAATTATAAAATGAAATTTAATAGCACATTTAAACTTCGTATATATATTATTTCTGGTATTCCTTAATTTTTTAAATTACTTTATTCTAATAATTACTGTTATACAGAAAAATCATCAAAAAATTATGATCAAAATGGTCTCAAAAGATCATTAAATACATAGTAACAAAAAATATATAAGTACGTAAATATTAAGAAGGGAAAAATAAAAGGACAGAAAATAATAATGATATTAATGAATATCGAGATTATAATATTAAAGTAAAAAATGAATTCAAGCAGAGTTTTTATATTTGTTTTATAAAGAAAGAATCGATAAATATATAATCTAAATTAAATCACACGTAGTTTAGTAAAATTATACTTGTCTTTTTTTTTTGGATGATTTATGGATGAAAGAAAATCACCTTATTAAAAGAAAACGATTGAAAAATCAATAGCTGAGCTGAATTGGGAATTTTAATTTATTCCATTTTTATATTGTAAATAGTTAGATGAGATTTCTTTTACTTTTAATATTTGATTAGAAAGTTAAGGCTTATAAAATTATATAATATGACAAAAAATTGATGATTCATATTGATAATGCAATATATAATGCCTAAAATTTTGTTGGATAAATATATTCGTTTTTATCAACCTAGTTTTGGGGTTGTTCTTGACAAGAAATTTATTAATAGTAAATTTGATTCTACATATGATGAATGAGAATTAAAGAGTTTCTGAAATTTAAATGAGATGATAAAGATGGAGAACTTAGCAAAGATAATAAAATGTACAGCATGATTATACGAATTTCATTTAACACTTTTGATATAATGTTGTTTCCAAAATATTAAGTAGAGTAAAGGAATAGGATATTTACATTTATTAATTTATGTTCCTATTACTTTGGTATTTTCAGTACTTTATATGGAATCTTTGACTTTATGAAAGGATTTTTTAGTTGAAAAATTTTAATATAGTTTAATTCTTAACTTGTTGTAACTTTAAAGGAGGATATGAATGGTTTTTCTGATTATAGCGCTATCTTAAGTTGTTAAATTTAATTATGACTATTAGAAGATGTTTTTATAAAACTATTTATTATTTACCCTGTGATGAGTGTAATTATGGATCTTATTTGATTATAAAGGTAATTCTATCCAAAATATATTTACACAGTCTTATTATTACTAGATTCAATTTTCGATTGAATTATCAAATCGTAATTAGGCCTCTTTATATAATTTGTTGTATTACTTTATAATCCAATCAATAAAATTACATTTGGAAAATACTTAGCTCTGATGATTGTCTGAAAACTCATAATATAGTGATGAAGTAATATAATATTTCTGCTTATTTTGTTTATTATTGAAAAATTTTTGATTTTAGATTATTAAAGGCATACTTTTTATTCAAATTGCTGAAGAGGTATTATAAATGAATCATAATAATATTAAATTACAGTTTATCTATGTATTTTACACTCTCGAAACTATTAAGTGAATTTACGAATGTAAATGCTATTTTTTCTATATATTTTGTATTCTTTTAACTCTATGATTTGATTGATATATTTTCATAAACTANGAAAAATAAAAGGACAGAAAATAATAATGATATTAATGAATATCGAGATTATAATATTAAAGTAAAAAATGAATTCAAGCAGAGTTTTTATATTTGTTTTATAAAGAAAGAATCGATAAATATATAATCTAAATTAAATCACACGTAGTTTAGTAAAATTATACTTGTCTTTTTTTTTTGGATGATTTATGGATGAAAGAAAATCACCTTATTAAAAGAAAACGATTGAAAAATCAATAGCTGAGCTGAATTGGGAATTTTAATTTATTCCATTTTTATATTGTAAATAGTTAGATGAGATTTCTTTTACTTTTAATATTTGATTAGAAAGTTAAGGCTTATAAAATTATATAATATGACAAAAAATTGATGATTCATATTGATAATGCAATATATAATGCCTAAAATTTTGTTGGATAAATATATTCGTTTTTATCAACCTAGTTTTGGGGTTGTTCTTGACAAGAAATTTATTAATAGTAAATTTGATTCTACATATGATGAATGAGAATTAAAGAGTTTCTGAAATTTAAATGAGATGATAAAGATGGAGAACTTAGCAAAGATAATAAAATGTACAGCATGATTATACGAATTTCATTTAACACTTTTGATATAATGTTGTTTCCAAAATATTAAGTAGAGTAAAGGAATAGGATATTTACATTTATTAATTTATGTTCCTATTACTTTGGTATTTTCAGTACTTTATATGGAATCTTTGACTTTATGAAAGGATTTTTTAGTTGAAAAATTTTAATATAGTTTAATTCTTAACTTGTTGTAACTTTAAAGGAGGATATGAATGGTTTTTCTGATTATAGCGCTATCTTAAGTTGTTAAATTTAATTATGACTATTAGAAGATGTTTTTATAAAACTATTTATTATTTACCCTGTGATGAGTGTAATTATGGATCTTATTTGATTATAAAGGTAATTCTATCCAAAATATATTTACACAGTCTTATTATTACTAGATTCAATTTTCGATTGAATTATCAAATCGTAATTAGGCCTCTTTATATAATTTGTTGTATTACTTTATAATCCAATCAATAAAATTACATTTGGAAAATACTTAGCTCTGATGATTGTCTGAAAACTCATAATATAGTGATGAAGTAATATAATATTTCTGCTTATTTTGTTTATTATTGAAAAATTTTTGATTTTAGATTATTAAAGGCATACTTTTTATTCAAATTGCTGAAGAGGTATTATAAATGAATCATAATAATATTAAATTACAGTTTATCTATGTATTTTACACTCTCGAAACTATTAAGTGAATTTACGAATGTAAATGCTATTTTTTCTATATATTTTGTATTCTTTTAACTCTATGATTTGATTGATATATTTTCATAAACTAACTTCATCTATTCACTAAATCAAAGAGCAAGATAATGGATCCACCACCACAAATACAGATTCCCTACTATTTCTCATATTCAGTCCTCCCTTGGTTTTAGCGCTAACCTATTAAGCTCAATTGACTGAATAGCTGTTAGCTTGAATCCTTCCCCTTATTAGATTTCTATATAATAAATTATTTGTATATAGCCTCAGAAAATTTAGCTAGATTTGAATAAAAAAATCAAAATTTAAATAAAAGAATTAACAAAGGTCCTACAGAAAAGTTAAATAGATTAAAATATCTAAAGCAAATTTAACTAATTACTTATATTTTTATTCTCTTTTTTATAAAAAGTAACTTAGTTTGATAATGAAAAATTATATACTTAACTGAAATTTAGGATGCATCAAAGCGCTTGTATAATCAATTATTCTCTTTTTGATGTTTCACACTAAATACTAACTCTATCAAGCTCATTTTAATTTCTTAATTCAAATTGATTTTCTCTTCGAAAACAAAATTAGGAACATGGAAATTTCGAAAAAAAACTTAGTTTGATGATATGACTTAATGGTACTCTTTAGCTTCTAAAATGAAAATCAATAGAGTTTACAGTAGAAATAGTTATTAATTTCAAGAATGCAGTTTGAAAGTTAAAATAATACTCACATAAATTAAAATAATTATATCATTCTAGTTTAATAACACCATTTTAAAAACCATTGTGTTAAATTATAAAAATATATTGTAATTATAGAGTAGAACTAAATTTTATAATTATTGAGAGAAAAAATATTTATTTATGGAGGATGAATTAAAATAAATTCAATTATATTTAGTCATAATTCGAAGGCATAAAGGAATAAACTAAATTTATTTTTCATATTAGAAATTCGCTTGTGTATTAAATTTATATTATTTTCTCAAAATTCTAAACAAATTTGTAATAGAATTATTTATTTTTCTAATAAAATTAACCAACCATTTATTGATTGAAACCAATTTAACTCAAATTAACCCAGATTTAAGATTCAAAGATTCATTAATCAAGCTTTCTAATTATATATTGAGATGTTGAGTAGATAATTAAGCTCACATAGGATTTTTTATACCGCTATTGATTGGAAATTAAATTGAAATTTAATTTCTGATAGAATTTGCATTAAAATATGCATTCATAGCTAGAGGATTTATGATAGATAATAATTATAATATGCTTTAATCAATATCGAATTCTAATTGGTCGACAAATGATAATAAAATAATTTAGATATTAACAATATAATTAGGGCTTACTCAAATTTAAACGTCTATTTTGCTACCTTAGTTACAGAAAATTAAAAGCGCAGAGAAAGTGGTCGATTGCTTTATGAAATAGAATAAAGATTTAAAAGAATTATAAGAGAATATTTAGAATGAGATTACTCATTAAATGACAGTGTAAAAGTAATGCAAGAGATAAAAAGGGTAATGGAATCAATATGAATTGATAAGGTTAAAAAATAAATTATCACAATCAATAAAAAATATTGAGGAGTCTAATTGTCTCTTCTAATACATCTAATAACATTATGATTAAGAAATTATAAATTAGATTTTATGTTACGAATTTAAAACTATTAAAGAATTTTTCTAATAAATTCAAAAAATGGGTGCTAAAATTAGCAGAATTAATAATTACATTTAATCTAATGAGAATAAATAAATCAAAAATAATTTTGGAAATAGTTGTTTAGTGAATAAGTAAATTTAAGATTTATTTAAAGAATTTTATTCCTTAAATAATAGAAATAATCATCAAGTTGAAAAATAATTGATATAATTATACAATTCATTGGAGAATCAATAATAAGATTAGTAAATTTATGATTTTAAAATGTCTCCATAATTAGAATATGAAGAATTATTAAATTTATGTAATTTAGTAAAGCAGCATTTTTCTTATTATCCAAGACCAGTTCAATTATTGTCTGTAATAGAATTATATAATCATAATGATAAATTAGGGAGGTTATCAGAGATTTATACTGGAGAAGGCAAAACTCTAATAGTTGCAATGCTAGCCATTTTATTATGTAAAAAGAAAAAAGTTAATGTGGACATTGTAACCAGCTCTCCTGTTTTGGCAATTCGGGACGCTAAAGAGTTAACAAGTTTTTATGAATTATTTTCAATTTCAGTTGCTCATAATATAAATGAGCCAAATACTACTTAAAATGAAGGGATGCTTCCATGTTATAAGTCTCAAGTGATTTATGGGGATCCTCATAGTTTCTAAAGTGATATATTAAGGCATCAATATTAAGGCATCAATATTAAGAAAAAGGAACAATGGGTGACAGAAAATAAGGATATATTATTGTTGATGAAGTTGATTCTATGCTTATAGATGGAAATAGTAATAAGACTTTATTATGCACACCTATCCCAGGAATGCTTGATCTAACAAAAGTGCTAAGATTGATTTGGGATGAAATTTCTAAAGTAGAGCCTAATATATCAACTGAAAATAAAGTTATGATTATTGATGGAGATAATAATTATTATAGCATGGATTTGGTAGAATATGTCGAATAAACTTTGGACAAACAGATAAAAGATGCTTTGGAAAATTAAATACCTAATTTTAGATTAGATTATATCAACTATATGAAGAAAAGATGGATAGAAAATGCAATTTAGGCAAAGTTTCATTATCATGAAAAGTAACATTATCTGATTGATAACAACAAAGTTAGAATAATTGATTTTTAAAATACAGGTGTAGTACAAAAGGAAAACACATAATGGTAAAAAGGATTACACCAATTTATTTAATTTAAGCATAATCTTTCTATTTCGACTTTAAGAATAAGCACAAACTTTATGTCTAATGTTGGCTTCTTTAAAAGATATAAAAATCAGCTCTTAGGTCTAACTGGCACATTAGGATCGTAAGTAACATAGAATTTGTTAGCCAATAAATACAATATTGACTTTGTTTTCATACCACCTTATAAAAAAAGAATATTATAGGAAGAACCTGGAATTGTAGTTTTTGGAGAGGATGAATGGTTTGAGGAAATATATAAAGCAGTAAGCTATTAGATTAACAGAAAGAGGGCTGTGCTTATTATTAATAAAACCATTAATGATGTAGAAAAAATAGAAGCATACTTGTAAAACTTCAATTTAAAATCAATCACATATGTTGATAACAATTAGGAAATTTAAAAAGAAATTGGACCTAATATAATTATTATTGCTACAAATTTGGCTGGAAGAGGTACAGATCTAACAACTAATGAAGAATTAGAAACGAATGGAGGTCTTCATGTTATCATGTCGTTTTTACCGAGAAATTTGAGAATCCAACTTCAAGGTTTCGGCAGAACAGGAAGGTAAGGAAAATAGGGCACAGCTTAACTTATAGTGAATTGCTTACCAAATTTATATGTTGGCTTATTGAATGAAATAACATCGTTTGATGATGCAATAGGTTATTTCAAATAAAATACAAAAAAAGAAAACTACACTCCACTAGATGTTCTTGTATATTTTCGAGATTTACATGAATAATAATATTCAGATGAGATTGAACAGGAGATGGATAAACTAGAGAATGAAGATAAATGTTTTTAGAAATTCTATTAGATTGCTAAAAGCAAAGTCAATATTAAAACTGATAGGCCTGCTTTTTTAGCATTAGAAGAAAAATGGGGACTTTATTTGGAACAATTTTAAGAATCGGGTCTAAAAGAGGAAGAAATAGAGAAATACTTAAATTCAAAAGAATGGCAGAATCCAAAGTAATTAATTTATCAAGGGATCTAACATAAGGATTTAAAGCTTCTTAAATAGGCAGCAGAAATATCTGAGCATGATCCTATTGTAAAATATTATCAAGGTTTATTTGAAATATAAGAAAAAGATTATGATAGTGGTAAATAGTCATTAGAGCAAGCTAAGGCACTTTTATAAATCAAAATGGATGATGATGAAGGCTTTGCAACAGCTGCTAAGTTAAATAGGATTCAAGTAGATTAATTTAAAGAACAAGAATAAATAAACAATTAACAATAATCAGATATTGAGAACAAAATTTAACCCCAAAAAATGGCCAATTTAAACTTAAGAAATAATTCATTAGTGAAAAAAGGATCGGCCATTCAATTTAAAGAATAAATTAATAGCAAAAAGGATCTTTATGAATAAAAAATTTAGAATCAATTAAAAGTTTATTAAAAAGCAAAAGATAATATTGATGAATTATTAAATACATTGTCAAACTTTCAAAAAGATAAAGAAGAACTTAATTTAAGTTGGGTGCCAGTGATTGAGAAGGAAGAGAAAGAAAATGCTGAATCAGAACAATGCATCAAAGACTAAGAGGAAGTGATATAAGATGGACCATTACCTAGGCTTGGAAAGCTAACAAAATAAAAAAAAAATAGTTGGGGATAATACATTGCCATGTTTGCACTAGGATTAGGGTAATTTATTGTCGGGTGCGGAATATGTGCATTTACTCGCGGAGCAGCTATGCCAATTGGAAAGGGACTTATCAAAGAAGGTTTTTCAGACATGATATATTCTGTTACAGCTGCTTGGTAAGGGATTGATATTGACTGGAAAGCTTGGGGCAAATAAAAATCAATTCAAGTTGCGACTGCCTTAGCTTTGGCAGGACCAGCTGGCATATCAGAAGCCTTGTAGCTTGGCAGTTCTATGAAGAAATCTTTAAAGAAAATTGGATTCCTTGAGTTTTTAAAATCAATTCCTAATGTTACATTTGAAGGTTTGAAAAGATCAGGTTATTGGCTGCCTGAGAAAGATTAAGAGAAAGTATAATAATAATGTGATGTATTGAAATAAGTCTCAGAGAAAACTTAACAGGCAAATAACGAAAATCAGATTCTCAATTTGGTAAAGGAAGTTTTGGAAAATTAAGTGCAAATAGGAGTAATTTCGAATGAAAAAGCTTCTGAGATTTCTAAGTTAGTTAACGATTGCTTATATGAATCCGAAGGAGATGTTAAAAAATTTAATAATAGCTTCATTTAAATAGCATTAAAATTCATTAAGTTATAAATGGCAAAAACTTAATCGGAAAAAACTCCAACATAAATTAAAAGCGATTTGATTGAAGTTTGTGGAAGGGAAGCTACAAAAAAATATGATAAAATAAAAAACGATATTCACAATTACAACCAGTATAAGCAGGCTCTAAATAATGAGTTAACACAGTTCCCCAAAATTATTTTTTGCAATTTCTCCAAAGATCAATAAATCCAAAAGAAAATGGGCCTTTTGGACCTACATTATGAATTCCACTGTGATTCATAATAGGTAGAAAAACTTATTACAAATGGGATGATATAGACGAATATTTGTTAGAATTTTAGTATTTTTAATAAGGATTTTCAAAAGGCTTGTAATCAATTATAGATTTCAAATCCTCAATCAGTAAGTTAGTTTTATCAGGAAGTTATAAGACCTTTTATATTAAAGCTTTTAATTAATTTAATCTAAGAAGACTCAGAACCATTAGAGTGGTTATTTCATTTGGAATTATAGAAAAGCATTCAATAGAAAAACTTGTAAGGCAAAATTGAAATCGAAAAATTAGAGAAATAAAGTAAGACAATTCAATATAGATAAAATTAAATAAATAAGCCAACTTATAATTAAACATATTATCAGAATCAGGGCAATTAGGTATGAAAATAATTATATATTTAGATAATTGATGAATAAAGTGCTCCACGTTAGTTTCATTTCTAATAAGCATAATGGTTTCAAGAAATTAAAAACTGTAACTGTTAGTAGATTTCCAAAGAAATTATTGGCTACATGAAAATGAAGAGGATGATCAATGACGATGGTATTTCATTCTCTCCAAACTTTTAACAAGAGTTTTATCAATACTTAAGCAAATCGAAATTCAATACTATGATGAGAGAAGTTGTAGAACAATCAATGAAAAATAGTCTTCGCTAAATTTCTACTTTAAAATCCAACTCAAAAAAACTATTCTCAACCAAATTATTAAAAGCAATAGAAATTGAAATAATCGACGTCATTAAATCATACATATTTAATTAAAGAATGGAAATTGAAAATAAAAAGTTAGCTAATAAAATGGATTGATTGTTTAATTAAATGATTTCAGTTAAAGTAAATTTAATCCAAATTGCTATTATTTTTAAAATATAATAAATAATAATTATTACCTTTTATTATTAAATAGCCGCTCTAACCAACTAGAGGGTATTTTTTCTGTTTTCCAAAAATTTAATATTTATAGAAAATGACGAAGTATGTTCATAAAATAAAAGGGAATTCCTTTGAATATATGAAACAAAATAATAAAAAAGCAAAATTAGTGGTTAAAAGTCATACGATCAACTAGGTAAAATGGACAGAAAAAATGCATTGTGTTATGTAAATATTTTCAAAGGTGTGTTATTATTTAATTTCCTCAAAATACAATAAAATTATTTTAATCAAACCATTATAATATAATAATTAGAGGTGGTCAATTATACAATGATTTAGGTTTGAAAATTGGTAAATGGATGGAATTATGTGTACGTTTCTATAAGTTTTTAAAATTATCGGATATTAAATAGTTTGAGTGAGATTCTAAGTTAAGAGGATAATATAATGGAAAAAAATTGAAAGATGGGACATTTAATTTCGATAATCTTTTAAGAATA